AAAGCATGAATTCACTGTACCTTACTCTCACGAGTCAAATGGAACAGCAGAACGCTTTAACAGGACTATAACAACAATGGCACGATCCGCCTTGCTCGACCACAACCTCCCAAAAAATCTATGGACAGAAGCGATTAACACCATGGTACACGTCAAAAACCGCCTCCCGCACAAATCACTCCCGAATATGACACCATACGAAGCACTTGCCGGCAAGAAACTCTTTATTGGGCACCTCCGATCCTTCGGTGAAACCATGTTCATACATATACCCGTCGAAGCACGACCAGCTGGAACAAAACTGGATGCAAGGGCTATAACGGGACAATTTTGCGGATACGGAGACTCTGAAAAAATCTGTCGTGTCTACATACCATCACAAAGGAAAGTAGTTCTCTCTCGTCATTTTAGGTTTAAAGGTACATCCGTAGGGGAAGAAATCGAAGTCAAAACAAAAACCGATACACCCCCCAAACCAAAACAAATCGAGATCAAACAAGAACCACCCTCACGTCCGTCAACACCAAAGCAACATAGGACATACGACGACGACCCGAGTGACGACGACATGATCAATCAACAGATAATGCGCGAAACCACGGAACATTTCTCCGACACTGATTCGGAAGACCACGCAAGTATAGTGGGGGCCGGCTATACGAGGCCCGCCACTGAACGTACCCCGCATGATGATAATGAAACAGATACTGATCAACCAAGACGTAACCCAGCACGGGAACGGAAAGCTCCGGTCAGATACGGACACAACATTCAGCATGACACTACTCTAACAGAACCTACAAACTACCACCAAGCGATCAACAGTCCTGACTCCGAAAAATGGCAAAATGCTATGAAAGTTGAACTCGACTCACTCGCAAGGAATAATACATGGAATCTGGTCAACACACCGGATCAACGCAAACTGGTCGACTGCAAATGGGTATACAAAATTAAACTCGGGCCCGATGGCAACCCCATACGGTACAAAGCCCGACTAGTCGCAAAAGGTTTCTCACAAGTCCCTGGTCAAGACTTCGATCAAACCTACGCCCCCGTCACACGATACGAATCCATCAGATTACTCCTCGCTCGCTGCCTTCAAACCAGCGGCCAATGCGATCAGATGGATGTCACAAGCGCATTCTTATACGGCGAACTCAAGGAAGAAATCTATATGAAATCTCCTCCAGGCTACCCCACTCCCGGCAAAGCATGCAAACTAATCAAATGCATCTATGGCCTCAAACAATCATCAAGGGAATGGTATGCCCGCCTCTCAAAAGCGCTAATCAAAATAGGATTCAGAAAAGCAGACTTCGACCCTTGTGTCTTCATACACAAAACAGGGGAAGTTGTCATTGCCATCTACGTAGACGATATCCTCATCTTCTACTGGTCTACTGAACGCAAGAATCGCGTCAGTCTCCTCCTTCAGTCTGAATTCGAAATGACGGAATCTGGCACAGCCAACTGGGCACTCGGAATCCACCTGATCCACACCAAGACCGGCATCATCCTATCGCAGGAAGCCTATCGCAGGCGTGTACTCACCAAATATGGTTTCGACGAATCCAGACCTGTGGCAACACCTATCGACAACAACGTTCATCTCCAAAAAGGAACGGAAGCTGAGAAAATCGACGACCCAATGATTTATCAGTCAATAATCGGTTCACTCATGTACGCAGTAATCGGCACTAGACCCGACCTCGCCTACACCGTCACCATGCTCTCGCAATTTTCCTCCTGTCCCACCAAGGCTCATCTAGCTGCAGTCCATCGCGTCCTCCGTTATCTCAAAGGCACCCTCGATTGGTCACTCTTTTACGCCAAAACGCGACCAACTGCACTTATCGGCTACAGCGACGCAAGCTATGCCTCCGACATCGACGATCGCCGCTCATTCACATGCCACTGTTTCATGCTAGGAGAATCTTCTCATCTCCTGGCGCTCTTATAAGCAACGATCTGTCGCCACTTCTACAACTGAAGCGGAATACATGGCCCTCTCGGACACCAGTCGACAACTGATTTGGTTAAGGAATGCAATTCACGAGCTGGAACGAAAACCGAATCTCTCTTTTATTCTTCGAGGCGACAACAATGGCTCTCTCTCTTTAGTTAAAAATCCTGTCTTTCATAAAAGGTCTAAACACATTGACGTACACTTTCATTTTGTTCGGGAACGGTTTGAGGATGAATTATTTGAACTGGAATATATTTCTACGAACGAGAACATGGCGGATTTACTTACAAAGGGATTGGATAAGGGCAAACATGTTTTATTTTCTTCTACTATTCACTGTGGCTCACGAGGGGAAGTCTTGAAATAGGGCGCTCGGCACATTTCATAGTTTAGGAAGATTCTCATCATTTCATTATAGTATTTGTCATCGGCGTATGACTCACTTTCTTATTAGCCATCCTATTACTCACACGTCTATGACTCATTGTATTTCTTTTGTACTACCTTTCATTAGTATAAATATGGGGCATTCCCCCTTAGCTAGAACAATTAACACGATCAATTACTTCACTTCTCCTACATACTTTCTCTAAACACCACGACCTTTATAACCGTCATTGAAAGATCGCGCGTGTTCTGTGATTTAAACTCTTATACACAATTTTAACACTGATTGGCCTGATTCGGGTAACCACATTTACGTACGTGTTCGTCCTCGGGCCAGCAAACAAAGACAATTCCTCGCCTTGAGTTGCCTCGCCTTGAATTCCCTTCAACTACATGTATTCTAGTGGTCATTTTCGACTACGTGTACATATATACAACATCCTCGCCAGGTCCATGGACTTCAATTTCAACATCTCCAATTGACTTAAGTAATACAATACTCGCAATGATTACGATCTAGAAACAATGCACGAGTTTCACTATTCAGCATCAGGATCACAGGTTCGAATCTTACAATCTCCTTACGGACATGGACTTTGATGTCACGTTTCATGGATACATAGACACCTCTAAAAACAAAACATCACAAATAAGAAGTAAAGCCACGAGCGAATCTTAGGACCCAAATACAAACAATTTATTCCCAGACAAACGAAGAAAAACAGCCATATTGGCTCATTTAATCTTACCCCCCAATTAACCTTTTTGGGGATCAGTATAACATGATTGCCCTCGGCGAACGCAGGGCGGGCACCTAGTTTCGTCCACCGGTTGGATGCAAGGCTTCTTGGAGTGGATGCACCTATGGCACTGACCAGGTTTGGTCACAGAAATTTCCAATTGATGGAAAGTCTTTCCCCGAGGTCGGCCGAAGCAAAGCTTTTCTTAATATTAAAAAAAGTTTGCGCCTCCTTCATCGTCTGGAAGTCGGGGAGGGACTTTTGCGGGATCTCTGGAACTACACAAACAGTCCCTGAAGAGAGGGGGTAGGAGTTAGCCTCGGTTCCTACGTGAACACTGAACAGCAGTAAAGCTAGAAAGATTGGGCTCACCTTCGGTGGTCACCGGCTCCCGGGCGTCGGGGACTGTTTCCTCGATCCAGTCGTGGGCGGCTACAACTCATATCCCTATTCAATGTTACAAAATGCATAAACATGAGGAGGGGTGAAAGAATAATCAACGGTGTAGAACATACCGTTCTCCTAAAGACTCAGCCTTGAGCTACGGGAACTCTTTGGCCTTGAGGATATCTTCATAGGCTATGTCGGTCCTCCTAGGTCTCAGGTAGTCTTTTTCTTGTCAATAGCAGGACACTCTCGAGATCGACCTCAAAGGGTTCGTAAGATACATTGCGCGGGCGCTCGCGCAGACGCATTGGTGTCTACCATTTAGACCTGGATCGTGTGGTCTGGAAACATTTTGCGAGGTTTCCGTGGGGTTTGTGTGGACCAAGGCCTTGCTTGCCGTTGGAGTGGTGAAGGTTCTGCAGTAAGGATGGGGAGTGGATTTAATGTAAATTTACAAGATTCAAATCTCAAGCGTACAGTCACCCTACCCTTGCGCTGAACTTCGATTACTTAGACGTAGCTAGCGCCTGTTTGGTTGAACAGGAAAAAATACAAATACGATAAGCATATGTGAGTTATCCGCTGATTTATTCCTAATTTAGGGGCTTTGGAATTCCTTCTGGGCGATTCCAGAGCTCGAGCTTTTGATATAATGAGTTATCAATGTGGGGGGAGGCCTTGAAAACTTTCATAGACATGACATTATCACCCATGATTCGTGGCAAGAAAAATTACTCAGGTGGGCTATGGCAGGTATTCCTTCCCATGTCATAGATTCATTAGACAACTAGTAGTCAGAGCGTATGGGATGCTCTGCACGTCTCGAGGGGTTCGCCGATGTTTACGAATATCAATATAAAAGGGTAGGGAAAATCTGACAAGCACACGTTAAACAAAGCATCATTATGAGATATAATGATATTGCACCTTTTTTGGTTATTTTGATTTAATTTATCTTTTTAATTTTCTTTTCTCCTGGTTGCGTTGCCAAAGATCTGGTGCCCGGGTGGTCCAAATCCGCTTGAGAGTAACCGCCAAACTATAAGCTATATCACTTAACAGAATCAATCTAAGAAGGATCGCCTTTTTATAGCCACGGCGATATTTACAGAGAGTCCTGAAAAATCAGGGCTTGGGCGTCAGGACTCCAAAAGCGTCTAATCTTGCCATTCCATATGTTCCATATACCAGAAGCCACAACACAGACCACTGAGTCTCCTAACCTTCTGCCAGCCCTCGATATCTACGACCATCACCGCCGACACTCCCTGCAATCCCTGATACAGTGCCCACACCTCTCAGTTGTCACCATTCCCCCCTCCGTTGCCCACCAGCAGGGTCACTTCATGAGCGTACTGTACTGACAGCTGCCTTCGACTACTCCACACATCCTCCCCACGATGAGGATCTCCCCAAGCACATACATGCCCCTGACATAATGGAGGGGATATCCCATCGCCCTCGCCGCTGCATTCATTGTCTCGTAGTCCGGCACTTTGCCAAATACCTCCGAGGCCTTAGTACTCTCTCCACGGCGTGGCTCTTCCGGTGGAGCAGGGGGTGAACTGGTGCATGCTCTCGAGCAGTGATCGGCAGACCGATGCCTCCATTGTCAAGGCCAGAGGGGCGACGCGGTGAAGCAGAACGAGGGCAATGGCCAGGAACGGGGTCAGCAGTGTTACCGGCGATGATGCCAGCGGCGTAGGCGGCTTTGAAGCCTTCATTGTAACCACAGGTGTATTAGGTGATCTCTAGAGCTAGTCTTTACCGCTTTAACAAGATATCGAAGGGATATGAAAAAATACCTTCTTATACAGCAAGGGATATCTGATTTTAAACTGAACCTGAGAATAGAGAGTTGCAAATCAAAAGATCAGGTTCTTCCCTGGCGGATAGTGGGGATTTGGGCTGCTTGGTGGCACGCCTTTTGTAGACCTCCTCCAGGGACCATTGTAGCGGGTACGCTGGTGATGAGGTGGTTGTTTATGGTTGAGCTTGTCCTATCGTGTGAGGACGAGATGTGGTATGTTAACATTACGACCAAAGGGTGCTTTGACGAAATTGTTCCGACTCAAAATCTCCCCGTTACACTTACGGTGGTGAGTTAGTGCTGCCTGGCTACGTGCACTGTGTTTTTCGACTCTTCAAAGTAAATATGGCTATTAAGGTTGAAAATATATTCATCTTTTAGATTTGATTATCTATTCCTCCAATTGTACGTCGCGGCATTCCCATCTATATCTAGCTTTATACCACGAGACGTAATCCTCTGCCTTTCCAAAGACTAAACCAAAAGTTTTACAAACATAGCAGTGATCGGCCCCATTCAGAAGCGCCAAAATCTAACTACCTACAGTAGCGTCTCAAGATTTCCAGTTCCGCGCACATCTAATTTCAATCGCCAACATCTCAATATCAGCTTTCGCCTAGAGTTAAGGCCAAGCCAGCCTAAGATATCAATTCAAATTGTTGGGATACCGGGAAATAACTAGGCAAGATTAGCAATAACTAAGTCCGAACTCCCTGGAAACGACTTTGTTGGAACTTGAAATACGTAAAAGCAGAATATTAGAAGCAAGTACTAGATACTAAAAGATCGCTAGCAACGGTGAAAGACCATATCACCAACAAGCGACTCACTTATTGCGGGCCTATATCAGTGGAACTTCTTATTGGACCCTACTCAACCCGGGCTACGAAAGGAATGGTGAGGCGTTGCGAATATCTCATAGGTAGTTGAGCAGGAGACTATATTTTAGAGGTAGAGTTAATTCATTTTAAATACAGGTATTCAACTATATTAAAGCGACGAGCATAATTTGTCACTATCCCTTACCTACATATACCACCAGCCTAAACACTTCATCAAGGATCTTGGGTAACATAATGAAGGAAAATGAAGCAATGTCAAACCTGACCTTCGGCGTCCTTATCCTCCCCGGTAGCTAGAACTTCGATCACAGTACCTCGACACCTCCGGCTTTCTCGCTTTAGCTCAACTACCCACCCAAGAGGGCTATTCACAGTTTCACATTAGGCTGTAGTAGCCTTCCCCTTCTGTGGAGAGTCATATCTCCACGCCTTAATTCTCTTCTCCGCCCTAAGCCTCAAGAATTCATATTTTGACAGGCCCGGCACACGTTTGACCAAATGCCTCTTTACCCTTGATCTGGAATTCTGTTCTTCACCGCCAGAGTCACTCCCTATAGCTTCATGAATAACCGACAGCCGCTTCCCCTTTGAAACCCTACGCCTAGGTGTGGTGTAGCTTCCACCGCCTGGTGATCTTCTCACGGGGGTCTTTGGAGCCTCTGGTTCTGGTGCTGCTTTTTCCATCGCGATTTCCGGCTCCATCGGTGGATACTGTGTTTTCCAGCGGCGGGAGGGAGTATACGGTGCCAAATCACTCAAAGGGCTTTTGCAGTGCATTGTTGCCAGACCACTCAAATCGGGCTTATATGTACTGGCTTCGTTGACTTCCGGCTCCATAGGCTGGTAGGCCGTTCCCATAGGTACCTTTCGCGGGGATATGGTGTTATCGGCAAGCGCACCAATGCTAGAATCGTTATCATCGTCAGATGAGGTGGTGGATGGACTTGCACTGAGGTATTGCTGTGCGACCATGGGGAAAAAGTGGGGCTCATCCATTTCGCCCATGTCGGAGTTGTCTGCGACCTCCGGGGCGACTGTGGAGTCTGCTGGAGCAGGGTGCGGTGCCGTAAAGCGGTAGCTATATGTGCTGAGTTTCATGCTGGGCGGTGGTGTTCCGAGGTGATAGTGGTAAAGTTGAGAGGGAGAGAGGATGAGGGTGATTGGAAAGCATGGATGAGACGGAAAAGGCAATGGATACTGAACGTACGTCTCTTTGTTGTTGGCAGCAGTTTCGAGAGATTTTAGTAGGTGGAAATCTCGCTTGGCGTGCGGCGGTGCTCGATTTCTTTGTTCTGACCAGATAAAAACCATCAAAGGCCAGAAACAATATGAGCTCAACCGGTGAGAGATTCAGGAAGCCACCTTTGTCGCTTTTGTGGACAAAATGAGCCAGCTTTGGGTTCTTCCCAAGCGATCGAAAACGAGTGATATCTCGTGACTCGGACTTCATATGGGAAAGCAGAAGCGCCTGAAAACTATATTTTTAGATACAAAAGATCCGGCAGAGTAACTATCCATAAAACACAAGAAAAAGAATTTACATTGTGACTTTATGACAGAAATCGTTGCACCCCAGGGAATTACAGGAGAGCTCAATTAGAAAAGCTTATGTCATCTATATCGATCGATGATTGACACCATGACGACGAGCAACCAAGCGCATTGAAACCCTCAATTTTTATCTTCTTCAGCACCCCTCCTCCTCATTCTAGCGACACTTCAACATCCTTCTCATTATTCCATTGTCGCCGCCGACTCCGAATCCAATCCAGCCTGAACTGCTCTCCTTCCTGCCATGTTATTGGCCCAATTTTACCTTCAACGAGTCGGACCCCTGTTTCATACTGGAGAAATTCTCTCTCCTGTATCTCGACCTGCCTTTTCACCGCATTCCACGCCTCAATGCTCGCAATTGCCGGGACCTCCGGCAGGGATGCCTCAGAGTTCCACGCCGTCTCCATCGTTATCCAGCTCCCCAGCTCATCAGTTTCCTCGTCTGCTACGGCACTATGTTTAGGTCCGCGGTGGTGACCCACACGGGACTGACGACTCCTGTGTTTCGCCACCACGATTGTTTCCTCGTTCCACACCTACCACCCCCGGTCAGAGACTTAATTAGCGAAGCGCGATAAAGAGACACGACAGAGCTGAAGGAACAAATACGTACCAGTTTAAACCTGCCCCTATATCCCTCCGTTGCGGCCACCTCCCGAATCGCCGCCCGCGAATCCGGACCCCCCGCCAGAAACAAGATCGAAAACACCGCCACCAAAACAAAGACCGCCGCCAGCGCCACCCCAAACCAATACAAAATATTCAAAAATCTGTTGATGTCTTCCATAACCACCGCATGCGACGCCCCATGCCCCTCCGGCCACGGCTCCACCTTTACAGGCCCCTCCAAGCGCTCCATGGCGACCTCAATGTCCGCAAGCCTCTTTTTTAGTCGCTCAAGGTCATCCCGAAGCCTTTGTGCGAGGTCATTATGGACACGTAGATATTCCTCATATCTGAGAGACTGCTTACTCTTGTCGCTCCCGGCGAGCTCGGCTTGTATCGCTTGGTGGAGCTTTATGCACTGCGACTGGACCTGTCGGAGGCTCTGCCGGGTGGTGAAGATGTTCGCGATGATATCTTTCTGGTTGGAAGTGAGGCGAGCGATGACCTCGTCTTTTATCCTGGCGCGGGTACCCATTGCATTCTCCAAGTCGAGCACAGCCGATGATGTTCAGTAGCTCTGTAGCTCTCGAAAATGAGGGGTGTGTATTTAAACATAGTAGACGCATCTGCTATGAAAATGATTGTGTTAGTGTGCACCGTGTCAAAAGAACAATGAATCTTCCTAGCTCACAAGTGAAACATAGCCAAGAGATGTGGTTAACATTTTCTTCTCGAAGACGGCCATTCCGCGCATTAACTTTAGGAAATTCATTAGTGTGTGATAATGTTTCTCTACCAATCGAGGCCGAGCCCAAGCAGGGTTAGGGTTTCCATGTATATGTTGGTTAGCGATGCGAAGCGAAATAACGTTCTATTTAGAAGAAAGTTCGCAGTTTATATGTTCTCGTTCTATTAGTAGTGAGGCGCATGTGCCATGATTTTATACCTTATTAATTTCGTGTGCTGCCGTTCGGTTTTTTAGTTTGTGGGCTGGCTTGGCGCTGTGGATGTCGCTCAACTTTTTGCTTGGGTGAGTACTCCGCGAGCATGTATTACAATAAAAAACTAGATTTGGGGGAAGTATCGGGCAATTTAAATACTAGCTTTCAATTTCCTGTAGGTAATAACATGGGGTTTACCAACTGTCTTTAATCCTCTAACGCAATTTAAACAATAAATGAATGTACAGAGTACTATACTTCTGATGGTTTGATGTCCCCAGGGGTGTAACGAGTATAGACGAGTTATGTACCACCTATAAAGCCCAAGATACCTGAGTATTACATGTAAATGACACTCCCGCTGCCCGGAGGAGGCAAAGTACATGTAGGCGGAGCGTTCACGTTCCAACCGGGGTGAGCAAGAGTGATGCCGTATCCGGCTACACAGGGGTCATAGTCGAGGTCAACTCTCCCTCTACAGATCTTGCACATCATAACAGGTACACTAAACCCCGGGTCGTTCACACCCGTTTGCTTTCCTTTTCCGTCTAATAGACGTAGAAAAACCCCCGTCGGTTTGGCCAACCACAGCCAATGGACAGGAGTACTGGTGCAACTGATCGAACGCTTGTAGGTCTTGTGTATGATAACATTACCACCAACAACGTCGACACAGTGATCCTGAAAATGGAAACAGAGCCGTTCATAAATGACGTCGGGGGTCGAGCGGTGCCACGGATGTAAGATCGGGCGAGGAAGCTCAGTGGGGCGTGAGATTGACAGTTTCAACTCTTCATGGGCACGCATACGATCCTCACGCTCGTCCTTGTTTGTGAATATTTTTTTTGGGATTGCCAGAATTCTCTCCCGCGTGGGAGCCTCCCACCCCACACCCCGTCCATGACTATGGAAATGACTGGACCCAGCTTGTGTGTAGAGAACAGCACCCTGTTTTGTAAACCTTATACAGGGCGTGCTGAGGCGGTCTGGCTCCTGCGAGCCGAAGATTCGTACCCCACCGTGTGTGTCATCACTCTTCTCCGATGATTGGGATAATCGACGGGCAATAGGTCGAACCTCTAAATATTTAAGGTTTTGTAGTTCCCTTTCCTTCGCATGAGATCGGAGGAAAGCTTCAACACCTAGTGGTGATGGGGAAGGTTGGGGCCCATCGTCCGTCGCGTCTATAGAGTCCCTGGTAGCTTGGGAGTCATCCTCTACCTCCTTGTCTTCCTCGGTATTCCGCTCTTCACCAATCTCCAGCTCTTCGTTGGTATTCTGCTCTTCCTTGGTATTCTTTTCTTGCTCAGTATCCTGTCCTTCCTTGCTATCCTGTTTTTCTTCGTTCCCGCGGACTTCCTCTGCCACCGGGACCTCCTGTGGAGGAGTAGCTAGAGCCGTTGTTAGATAAGTTAGTCAATCTGAACTATGAAGAAACAGGGACTGCGGTTATCGGGGGTGCGATTAACTCACCTGGATTATCCATTAAACCGCTGTTTGGTGTCCTCCGCAGTCAAGAAGAATGTATATGTGGCAAATGATAGACTGAAAACCTCTATCCCGATTATTTTTAGATCTTGGAGATGCTTTTTCAATTAACAGTGTGGTAGACCCACAATTGCTTCGTGCACGGAGGCACTTATAGAAGACGGCCTATGTAGGTGGCGATAGCGTAACATGATGTATGCAAATTCGAAATAATCTAGGTGTTCATCTCACGCATATATGTGTGACATAAATGGTGAGTATGAAGAAATGGCCACCGTTCTTTCCATATTGCAACGTCTAGAACGTACGCGCAGGCGACCAGCGGCGGTTCTACTGCACCCTGGCATGCCAAGACCACCAAAAATGCCACAAACCCCGAGCATGCTAGCTGTCTTGATATAAAGCTACTGATAGTGTTTAAAATGTTTCTATGATGCGATGGAATCAGTCACCGCCCTATTCTATGTTCGGTAGGGTGCGTTGTACATTTCCAACCAAGGTGTTTCTTACTATGCAGTATTTCTAATTTCTTATTTATATAATTTCGACCTAGATATCATCTGTCGGAAGCACCTTCGCGCGCGGGGGGGGGGGGGGGGGGGGGGGTTAATCAACGATCACCATTCCCCTCAAGCTAGTAAAGTGATGATCCGAGTGATATACTATGATCCACCAGCGCTGAGTGGGCTATAAAAAAAAGAAAAAAAAGATAGAGAAGTTTATTACATATTGAGAATTACTCAACCAGTGTTACATCTGAGCAGCAAACCTACCGGCATCTTTGACACCTAGGACCATGAGAACCTCTACAGAGTAAGCAGGAGTGTATGCTATTTTATGAATTACGATACTTCGAATTTGCTCCCTTATTAACAGTTGGAGAGCGATAGTTTAAAATCTCTCGCTGTACAGTTATAGTACAGAGCTGATAGAACACTTCAAACACAGGCCAATCATTTTGGACCCACCATGTTACATGCATGTAGTAATCATCGGCGGGTGATGATAACCAACTTAATACAGGCAGGATACATGACACTCCCGCAATATTCATACAGTGAGCTGCCATATCCAGAACCGAGTTATATCTCTAGTTGAGTAGCTTTTTGGTGAGCTTGCATATTGTCCCCATCTCCAACTCTTCGCCGCAAGACCTGCACACCATGATTGGTGAGCTCACATCACCCCAATTCATGTTCCCTACTGTCCCATCAGGTTGCCGATAGCAATCACTGATCTTAACTACTCTGTTTATCTCGATGGTGTCGGAAGTGCATTGGATGAGGGGTCCCTCGTCCGGAAACCGGTGGAGGTGAATCCTGTCCAAAGCTAGATCAATACATATGTTGAGAAAGTGATCGTTCAACAGCGATATCATCGCTAATGGCTCTGAACGATCCCAAACATGTACAAGTGGGGGCGCAGGTTTTCGCTGTCGAAGACCTCCTCGATAGCTTGGTTCCGAGTTGATTGGGGACGTAGAACTAGCTACAGCTGGCTTAGGCGGCAGCCCCCGAAGGGTGACTGGGCTACCAGACTCTCGTACACGAGCTCTACCCCTTGATCTAGACAGGTTTGGTGGGGTAAAATAAGCGGGTATGGTTACTGCTGGAGGCTCCGCCGAAGTTCCCGCGGACATACTCATAGAGTTGATGGCAGGTAAAGTGGCGCCATAACCCCTTGTTGCAGTGAAAATATCTGTCTCGGTCTGTAGTAGGTGTTGTAATTCCGGCGTCGATGATATATTCGGTATATCATAGCTAAGAGGGACCGACGAAAGAATTTCCTCACTCTCGCCGGGGGCTGGAGGCGTTGGATGGCGACGTGTCAGAAATCTCAACGTGTTAATTGCTGGCAGGACTTGCTCACCGTGTCTGGTGGTAGCAAATATACATCCATCATCCATGTTACGGGATTCGGGTGCCGCCATATTTCCATCAACACTGTCACAGGCGTCAGAGTTGAGATACTGATCACAAACATCGGCGTCAGGATTGCCGCCATCCCCTGGAGGGGGTGAGGGTGAGTCATATTCTCTAGATCCACCATAGAAGGATGACAAGAAGCCAGCTCCAAGAGGTTCCTCCTCAAATACATTCATATCGGTAGGCATGGGAACAGTAGATTGTGGTACGATAAACGGCTCATTAGGATGTATAGGGCCTCCCGGCATTCCTACAACTCCGCCGGAGGTGCTCAACGATGGCGTGTCTAATAACCAAGGCGGGAAATCATTTGAAGCCTTGCGTTTGTTTTGGGATACCTGAGCTTGAGGTTTGGGCAGGTTGTGCAAGAAAAGATTCGGCTTTTGTCTTTTAGATGATGGGCTAGTACCCGCAGTAGCCGGTTGTTGAGAGGGATCGACATTATCGCCCATTATGTTTTCGTCCTCTAGGTCTCAATAAAAATACAGTGCCTGCCTGCTGTGGTATATGGATATATGTCGGGTAGGTGATATGATGTGATACAACGATCTAGGAAATATTCCGAGAGTAAGTGTTTGTGAGCTCCTTACTTATGGTAAGCTCGAGAGGTTACTTACTGAAAACTCTGTCCTCAAATTAAAGCTGGAAATCTGCACGTGTACACACTTGCAGATCGCTCTCATTGTTGTATAAAAACAGCTGGTACGGCCACATTTTTCCGAAACCTTGATAAAAAAAAGATAGATAGTTGTCCGGTTTGTGGGCTAGGTTCGTTTGGGGTCAGGTTCGATTCGTGTCAGTGTTGGGTTAATGAGGCGCTACAGAGAGGAATTGAAAAGCTGACACTAGGATACACTAGTCCTAGCTAGGCCAACATGGCATCGAAGTGTGGTGGTGAGACGGCGTATCGATCTCAGACAGAACCCATGAAGATCATTCAACTACAACAGCTAGTGGGAACCAGAGGATCGCTTCTCACATCTCGGATACTCTCCTCAGCCAAACTCAGCTTCCCAATATTTTGTTTTTCCTCATAATGCAATGATAAACATCTCTACTCGTCTTATACCCACCAAACACTCCTTTTAAATGAAGAAGGTAGCTTGGTCACTACACACCGCCGAAGCCCCGATACAGCACCATAGGAATCCATGCTCATGCTCATTATCTCTGAATCTTCTTCGAGCCTCGTACATCATTTCTTATCACTGCCTACGTCCCAGCTGCCCGCGATCCCACCTCCGGTAGATTCATCTCCGTCAGAACGATTAAAGCACCCATTGTGTTAGGCCGAAATAATCACCAGGCTCTTCGTATGCTCAGGAGACTTTGCTGGTGTAACTTGCAGCCCTCATATGGGATCTCCCCAGATAGTAGTGCTATGTCATATATGAGGGCAACATAATCACGCTATTAATGAGGCATAGCTGAACTTGTACTAATATGTTAACAGATGAGGTGTACTTTTCTGTGTTTAAAAGCATACAGGCGAAGGTTGTAGATCTCTTCTTTGGGTTATGCTTAAGGAAAAGGAGGGCATCGATGTTTCTTGCGAAGGGAGAATATATCTGAAACTAAGACACATATTCTGAGCCAAGTCCGAAATCAAATGTCCTCGGTGTGGGATGGCAATTCGCATACGTAGTTCACTGAAAAAAGTCTCAAAGCGCAGACTTTACACAACTGCCATGGCAAGAACAAGTAACGGAGATGCAAACACACCTATCACGTCATCGCTTTTAACTGCCATTCTACTATTAACTTTACTAGTCAGTCTTCTCTTATCAGAAAACTCAAAAATAGTATTCAGAAAAGATTCAAGGTACGGGTACACCGCCAATGAGGAGAACGTTAAACTAAGATTACAATGAACTGGTCTGAAGGAACAAACCCGCATATCAAACGCGACTCCCCGCCAAAGCAAAAAACAAAAAAGCCACATCTCCAGGTGGACCAATCAGTAGAGCATACCCGCTCCAGCAGCAGCGACAACAAGTGCTCCAAGAGAGCCGACCTTGACAGCTGTAGCACCGCTAGTACCTACTGCTGTAGCTGCACCGCTTCCACTACCGCCACTCTTCGTACGACCTCCACCTCCACCACCACCTCTACCACCACCCTTGGGAGCATTAATATCTTCGCCGTCGCTGGGTGGTGGAGGGCTATTGCCTTCCAAATCCCGCTCCTCCATCCCGCCCGGGATGGCATTTGGTGTGCCGATCAGGGATTTTGCTCCCCTACTGATGTGTTTAATCATCTCTTCTTCCGTGGTGGGGGCGGCTGCTGCATTGATGAGGGCTGGGGTGATGAGGAGGAGGAAAAGAAAGACTTGGAGAATGGGAAACCCTGAGAAATGCATGACTGCGAAGTTGGGTGCTGAAGGTATATTGTTTAGTTGTTTTGGTGTAGTAATAGTTTGATGGTGATGGAGGGCTGACCGTGCCTGGATATGATATATGACTGGTTCAGAGTGCTATGAGGGCTTAGAGGCCGTTATTAAGTCATGCAGAAGATGATGGGGGCTGTTCCTGCAGTTCTATGGATCCATACATTCCAGGCTTATTCATGAGGCCATGAGGAGAGAATTCTATCGAGTGTGCACAACTATACGACCCGACCCGATTACGGGAATATGTAACGTCAGGTCAAGTTACTATTGGGCGAGTCATTAATTAATCGACTATTAATTTCATCATATCAGGGCTCAAACCAATACTAATCGATGAGAACTCACGGATTAGTGGGAGCTTCAAGCTCGGGGATAGTATGTATAGGGAATGAACAAAACCTGATATGTTAAATTTAATTGGTCCATAGCCATTAGTAGTACATTACCATAGTTCAATTTGAATGTTCGCTTTAAACTCACTACAAATAAACTACTCCGAGCCATAAAGCCGTAATCATAGGTCGGTGGAAGGCTTCCAATTAGTTCAAAGTGGGTTAACAATCGATTGGTAAATCATAGTTTCAAAATAATTGTTCACATTGTCCATCAAGATGCTACCTTTCCCACATGTATGTGAATGATGGTATTGTATCTAGGTCATACACACTCTAAAGCAGGAAAACGAATTTGAACTAAGTTGGTGCCATTCAACTACATCCGCGCAATACAAGAGTTGACAAATTAAAACGATTTACAAAAGGAAGATCAGTAGATGAGATTAAGTCCAACCCCCACAGCAACAATACCCCCGAGTGATACGGTTCCCAGGGTTGTAGCGCTAGAAGCCTGCCCATCTCCAGGTGTCAACCCGCCCCTCTCTTTGCCGACCTTATTGTAACGTTCGTTCTTGGTTACTTCCTCTCTCGCTCTTTCTTCTGACATACTTCCGTCCTTATACGCACGTTCATCTTCTACCAAACTCTCAAAGCTTACGCTAGTAACAATAGGTAAACGTGGATATAAACCCGCGACCGGTGTGCTAGCCGCGGCTGCGGATAGAGCCATGAGGACAAAGACTTGTAAGACGGCAAAGAGCATTTTGAGTTAATGACGGGAATCGATGATATTGTTGTTGTGTGGGCTGATAACTATGCTGTGTTAGCTAAAAAGCGACCTTATCCGGGAGTATGGTGGTGAATATATGTATCCAATGACTTACCGTGCAAGGTATGTTAGACAGTGGTATGTGTGAGTTCTGTTACTTGGAGGGTTGGGCGCTGTTGGCATTGATTTTATAAAGGCTTGTTGACCTATGATCCAGCTTCTATGAACATATGACCACAGTCTACCAAAGCCTTCTCTTTCGATTGGGCCCTTCATGCAGAAGATACAAAGCTTTTTGAGATCCTGCAAATCAGATCTCTCCCAGGAGGGTATACCCCCGCAGGGCCGGAAGTACCCAATTAGAGCTTGTGTTCATTCCCGGATGTGATTGGATTTTTCGTGTCGGTTTGATTCTAGTTAGTTTTCATGAAACTATGTTTTCGATCGAGTACTTTTGACCAGACCCCCAATTTTCTTCCCTCGTTCCCAGACTGTTTTGTTGTTGCACTACCTACAGACACATTGACTTGGCACTTGTACCTGAACCATAGGACTATAAATCGCTCACCCCTCCCGGTAACATTTCTCACTCACCTCTCTACCTACATCTCCTTTGTCACTAATTTTTCTCGTCTTCTCGAGAGGCCTCTCAGCCCGCAATCATGTCGACGGACATCGGGCAAACCGACAGAAAGGACTCAAGGGCATTCAAAAAGCTGTACGATAACATTGCAAGAAATTTCGAGTCGGCTCACCGGTACAAAGCTCTGCTGCATGAAGAGCTCAGGCAAAATCGAAAGGCCCTAGATGACTTGTTGGACTCAGGCTTTGACGATCCAAGTAACTCAAATGCAAACAATGCTCTTGAACAAGACCTCAACAGGAAAAGAAATGAGCTTCAGGTTAGACTGAATAATGTTGAACTCGCATGGGCTCAGAGTGTAAAGATGGCGCACAAACACGTTTGGGAGGCAAATGAGATCTTGACCAAGGCGTGTGACATGGCAAGGAGGTCCATCTTTGCTGGCGAACCTCACAAAATGTAGGTGCCCCTTTACTTGCGCGTAGCATACTACAGAGGCTGACATAAATGCAGGCAACAGGAGAACACCCGCAGTCAGGGAAATGAAAATACCACACACCGTCGCACATTGGCCCAACCTATACCGCGATCTCAACGACCACCTCCGGCTCCGCCTGTACATCCGCCTCAAGCTCCGCAACACCATCGTCAAGGACCTCCAGTTGGACCGCCACGAGATGAGTATGCGGTCCCTAGGGGTGGGAGGGGGCACCAACGCCCTGAGAAACGTCCGTATGTCCCTTCAGCCCCGGCAAAGATGAGAAATGGGGACGATTTCGACTGCCTAACCCTAATGGGGGAGGTTCCTCCTCCTCTCAAGGGGCAATTCGTTCGCCAAGCGCAATCTACTCAATCTTTTCGTCAAGAAAAAACTGCTCAACCTCTTCGTCAAGCGCAATCAGCTCAATCTCTTCGTCTAGAGCAATCTCTGCGGCAAGAGCAATCTCTGCGTCAAGATCAATCCGCTCAACCGCTCCGCCGCTCGTCCGGTAAACAGGTTACTCGTGCGACTCAACTTGCACAGGAAGCATTGGCACAGCCCACACGCCGTATGAGCACTTTGGTTGTGAGAAGTCCACCACCTGTGCATGCACCACAAAGCAGCGCCGGCACTCCAACCCGTGTACCTGCATGGCAGCTCTCTGCTGGAACGGGAACGGTATCCAAGGCAATGATCTTAGCTTCAGACGCTCAAATTGAGGGTGAGGACTTCCTTTCTCTTCTAGCTGAATATATGGTGTCTAATTTCAAGTTTACCCGGTAGAACCTAACAAAAGGATGAAATTCACATTCTCCTCCATCATTGAAAAGTTTCCAGATGCCGGAAATGAGAATCAGGACCATCGTCGTCCAGCCGCTCACTCTGCATCCTCGCAGGACTCTTTCGAGAGCCGCCGCCACCGCTGAGAAGTAAGATTAGTACACTAGAGGTTATCAGCTACCGCAATACATTCGGAAGAACTATGTGATTGATAGTGTGGGGATATTTTATCAGATCGCTGATTCCTGAACCCGTAGATTCCTTAGTCCGAAGATTGTTTTATGACATCTTCTGAATACACACATGTACAGATCTACACCGTCCTATTTCTTTCTTTGTTTGAATAAATTGATATCGTTGTGTACCGACGTTGCGAAAAAGCCGCTTAGCCACCAGTTGACGCGGGCTTGATACACGTAGTTGCCCTCAAAAATACTAAGAGAAAGTTTTATTGTCCATATTTTCGTGAAATTCCACATACTACTGAGCAGAAGGGTTTGTATACAAAAGTAGACAATGGGCGTAGGTTCCTAACAAAATTTATAATGCTTGCTTCACTATTTTGGCTGTGCAAAAAAAAGAACAAAAGGTACTGCAGATATGGCCGGACCCATATCTACTACCCCCACCCCGGGTTGAACCATGGACCTTCTATAGACGTTCAAAGGTCAGGGACAACGACTCGGTGTTCCGGCAGGCGAGTTAACCGTTAAGCCACTCGCCCATGTGTGTTTCTCACCTTGAGTCCTAATTGAATGCCAAGATTACTTTAGGCACTAAGACTAATTTATCGTCGGGTATCAAAAATAACCGATCAGTCACGACAACGTCGAAATCACTTCAGGTCGGAATAACTCAACAACCAGGAGAGCAATTGAGTAATTTTAAGTCTCCTAAACGGAGTTAGGTGCTTGGGGAGAATGGAATTACCCTTCTGACCTCGAAAGTCTCGATGTGAGGTTTCTTCGCAGGTCGGTTTTGGTTGCTATGAGTCTCACGAGGGTGCCAGTGATCGGTTATTTTTGATACCCGATGATAGCTAGGCGCGCTAGCCCAGACGTACAGGGTGTTCACAGTATGTGTGAAGAACCCTCTTTTAGGAAATTTTATTCTGGACTGGTCCGAGATTGGTTGAATTTTTCGAAAAGTGACAACTTGGCGGCCAAGCAAGTATTTGAGGGCGTGTGCCCCAGCGTTTGCAACGTAACCTCCACCACCGCAATTTGACTCTTTCTCACCTCGATTTTTTGGAACTCCCTCCAAAATCTCTTTAAAAACATCAGAACACTGCTCAGATCAAGCTCTGTTCTGTGGTTATCCTTTTGTATTTTTAGTTAAATATTTCGATTTTTTAAGTGAAGATATGTGAAAGTTCTTCAGACTTTTCTCCAACATACAAATTGTGTGGCTAAGCCCGTTGTAATGCATTGTAACTCTGAAGGTTGTTGGTCACTTTTGGTTGCCACACGTGGCGCCCATACAATTTCGAACCAATAAATCGATGTTCTCGGTATTTAAGGTGAACACCCTGTACATGCAAGTACTACACACTGTAGAAATTCCGGTAGAATCATTTGGGAAGTCAGAGATGAGGGAGTGGGCTTCTTCCTCCGTACTCACTGCATAAATCCCTTTGAGGGCAAAGCCCCTGGGGGCAAAGCCTCTGAGGGCAAAGGGGACTATCAGGTCACCGAAAACTTACGCGTTAATTCTACCGGAATGTGTAGAACAGCCTATAATTTCGCACTTTGCCATCCTTCCCTTCAACTGTAATCAGCACCTGTGGCCACCCACGGCATCTCCCCGCCACCGATTATATAATAAGTGTCATATTCGCGCGTAGCTAACATGTCCACTATCTGTCTTGCCTCCTCTGCTATTCTGGTCCCTACTTGGCTCAATTCGGCAGTCTGCACTCAGTTGAAGTACCGTAAAACCCTTCGGTGGCGGAGGTGGTGAATTTCGGGAACAGACGGAGGGATGCAAATATTCTAAAATTTGTTGATTAGGGGATTTATGCGTTCGGCATGAAGCTTCTTGCTGTTGTTTTGTTGGAGTGAGGCTCAATACGCGCTAATTCTAACTCTACCGGCCAAGGAAAACGAGTGATTTGTTATGAAACGAGTGATGGTTTGTGACTCGCTTAATTAGTTAGCGGCAATGGTGCTACCGAAACCACACAACGTCGTGTCAACCACTGTGAGGACGATAACAAAAAAACTCACCAACCCAAAACCACCACACCAACTCATTCAATAAGTGCCTACTGACTTTCGAGGAGGGCAAGACATTGATAAGTTGAGAAGCCTCACCAGCACACTTGAGCACAAAAATACCGTCCCTAGAGTAGAAAGCGTTGTGTACAGCGGGGTTTGTATCGCAAGGAGATTCCGTTTTTAAGTGTTCAATCCACGAACACATCAACCCCTGGGAGGTTTTCTTTTACCAAGTAAGCTCTGTATGCTGTATGACTCAGTTATCTATAGTCCTTTACTAATATCTTTCATAGATATTAGATAGAGACCACCAGAAGGGTAGGCGTTGACTTATGGAAATAGCAGAAGTCGAGGAAAGCGTTGCTCTATTTAACATGTGTACTACGGATAGTAAAGTGCGACTCCGCCCAACATTGGAGGGTCATGCGGATCATGCGATTTAAAGACAGTTATAGGGAGTGGACCACGAAATTTCAAGAATAGGATTCCGAAGTGAACCTTTAGTTGTAGTGAAGGGGCGGATTAAATTGTAAAGGGGATAGGATTCGGTCGGAGAGAGACTTCGATCTAAATTTGGGGTGCGGTATCGGTCATTTTTCCCTCCCATATTGAGGCAAATAGAACCTGCTGGTAAGTCTAGTTATTGAGATCCATTTTTCGGCGCTAGTTATCTGTTCGGTGGGTATTGATAAATGAAATTGTCTTGCTAGACGATAGTTCTATTCTAAACGCTTTTACTACTACTACTCTACTCGCGACCCAAACATTATCTTAACTCTCTAATCTCTCTGCCAATTCATGCTTCTACCAAACCCTCTTGTCCCAATGATTATCTAAGTTGATTCCCCACACTCGGTTCATTTCAAATCTCCCTAAGCACCAGGGATGAGAGCTATCCCATCTGATTCCTGAATTCCTAGGTATCAATGTTTTTCCGCCCTTGGAACTTCATCCAACCCCCGTCAATGGCTCATCCGTTGTAGGCCAACATAAACAACTCATCAATGTCAGTACTCCATTTAGAAAGAGCAGGTATCTGATCACTACCGGAACCAGACCCTCTAGTTGCCTCGCCACCATCTAAGTTAGGTTGACCATCCCCCGCATGGTCCCTCGAATTAGACCCACTATTCATCGCGTCAAGGCGAGAAGTAGGCCCACGCTTCTCCTCTTCACCGCTAGAACCGGACCGACTGTTCTCATCTTGACGTTTCTCATCAACAAACAATTTCAACCTATACAGAGTCCTTAGAATCTCCACCAATTCCACCTGGTCGTTCTCTTCAACACCTGCAAGGTCAAGTCCTGTAACGCGCACATCTACATCCATCATGTCTGCGTCTGGCAAACCTGGGCTCTCCACATTAACCCCCCTCTCATCACTCTCGTCAGCTCCCACCGGCTCTATCCTCAAATCCGGATACGTCAATTGTAGCGCCGCCAGCACATCCCCCGGCGTCACACTCAAATCTACCAGCCTCGCCGCAATCCTATCCATCTCCGGATCCTCAAACGTCTCCTGCACAAGTCCGGAATCCGGCCACGCCGTCACACTCCTTGCACTACTCGTCGTATGCGAGCTCACTGAGCCCCATGTAGAATTACCCCTCAAGGCGCGGAACACACCACCCGCCTGCACAAGTCTAGTGAACGAGGGTCGCTCAGGCGGCGGGAGCAAATCCGAGTCACCACCAGAAGAGTCACTTCTAGGGGGAGTGACGGCATCCATCGAGTAGTCGAGAAAGTAGTTCCCAGGATCACCAATATGAGCACGGTAGAATGCGGCGTCCCAAGCATAATCTTCGTCTTCTTCTTCTTCGTCGGGTACAACTGGTATGAAGGTGTCTGGTCGATATGGTACGACTGGGAGGGGTGGTGGGATTGGTCTGGCTTCGTCTGCGGTGAATAATCGGAAGGCTGGGATACTGTTGGCGGGTCCTCTGATTTTCTTAAAGATGAAGATGCCGCTGTGGACGAGAAGGAGTACGGAGAAGAAGGCGGAGATGTCGCCGAGAACGAGACGGACTGCCTGTTCATTTAATTCAACTTCGGGGAAGAGGTAACGGCTGGTTAGCGCGAGGAGTTGGTTATGCATTGTTATTTGAGGTAATTTGGGGCTGGTGGGATCTATTTCGAGGTTATATTTTGAGATTGTGTTTGTATGTTGTGCTGAACAGGATACTGTGATTGTGATGTCCGTATGAAAGAGCAGTGCCGTGGTATTTAAACACTTTTCGTGACGGAATAGAATTCAGAGAATTCAAGGTTGATGTGGGTAGTTCATTTGAAAGATGAAATTCTGTTTCGAAGAAATTTAAAAAATCACAACTTGAAGAGCGAGTTGGACTAGGGGAAAGCTCTCTCAAGCTAATGTAAGAGATAGACCTTCTCTATCAATGGTTTCATCGTTCTGAATGTTATCAACACGTTCGATCCAAGCTTATACGGCGTATTGCCGTCTCTTAGAATTGTGTCGAAACCCATACCAGGGGATGGGGCGTCTTTTGGCAGCATGCTCGTCTCATTAAGATATGTTGTGGTACCAGCTAGGAGAAAATTCTTTTAACGATGCTCCAGGATCAATGCAGGTTCTAGATCTGTGTATGCTGAGCGGTGGATCTCTGAGCCTAACCAGTTAAACTCCCAGCAGAGCAATGATACAACATGCAGTCACGCTTGGGGGCTTGTAAACACGAACCCCTTTGTCGTGAAGAATAGGAAAGAACAGTTATTCGAAATACTTCTCTTCTTTCTTCCGGCGGTGTTGATTTTTTCAATCACACAGAGGTCGTTATCATCGAAAATAGTCATCACAACCAACCGCAATCTAATCTGATCGAGACCAATGGGAGATCTTGATCCTTGCAACACTTACATTCCTTCCACCAACACTTCATACCATTATCAACAAAGTACCTGAATCGGAGATTCACCCTACAACGCCGTCTCACCGCTCACACCTGGTACAACCTTTGGCACTCCATCTACGCGTGTCCTTCGGTCACTCTGGTTGCCAAGGGTTTTGTCGCAGCTAATACGTGCCGTTCTGCCACTATGGCCGAGACATAAGGATTCGTTTTCTCCCTCAACAGGTGCCTTCTTGCCACCCGTAGATAAGACTATCTATTTCTTCTCAGCTCAATAGTGCCATCTTGCCACCGTGACCTGCAGGTAGAACCATTTTTCCCCGTCGACGAGTGCCTTACTGCCACTGGTCGTCAATGACTGGAGTTTCATGTCATTGATGTCTCTACAGTGCCCTCTGGCCACTGTGGGACAGACTAAGCTACCTTGTCTACAACGTCACAGTGCCCTTTGGCACTTGAGGCGGATTAATTTGCTTTTTTATGCCCTTTTAGACCTCTGGATGTCATGTTAAGTTTGGTGCTAACCTATATATAGAAATGAATGGGAGAATGTGAGGTTACCGAAAACCTGTACTAGCGGTCCTCGGTGCTATCAGGAGGGTATTTTATAAGCGCTGCTACCTTGAATTGTTATGTGTGTGAGCAACTCGCTAATAGCAAGGGAGTAGTTCAGCGTCGATAATGAACACTTATACGACTAAGCACGAGGAACCGCAATCCACGCCACTACTGGTGTAAGATTAGGCTTGGAAATCAGGTTAGCAACCGCAAAATAAATTTACCTTCCCTACAAATTACCTGGTTTTCTTTTCTCTCGAATTGGAGGTTCATGTTTTCTCCAGACTACTCATTTTTTCATCATATCTTCGCAGCGATGAAATTTGTACCTTGGTGAGGACCGGGCCGGTATTACACTACCCAGCAAAAAGATCATGAAAGTAACTTAACGCCCTCTTCAAGTGCTCTAATCATGTAGTCTGGTTGAATATTGAGTGCTAATATCCTGCTTCCTATTTGGAATCGCTCAGGTTGAATAGCCGGTGGTCTGGGGTTGAAACATGGGTAAAGACTATTGATGTAGCCTAAGAGAAAGTATTGTTCTTAAGGACACTGGCTTGGCGAAACATAATAATAAAGGATAATGAGATTACCTTTTCTCACCGAGGCTAAAGACCTACACTTCAGTGCTGTGAACTCGAAAAACGTTTTTTTCTTCCTTGCCTCCTCCCTAAGCAGTCACTACAGAGTCAACCAGTAGAGAATACTTGGCGATCACTAGGAGTGCCTGACACGAACTGGTAGACTGCACATGTTGATTCCAATAAGGTGAAAAACCACTTCACCAACACTCTAGACTCATTTTAACGTCTCGGGAATATATACAGCGTCAAACCCCACATCTATAGGCTTTGCTACCACACAATCACAACAATCGAGGCTTCTCAACCCACGACTATGTCATGAATCGGGCAAAATAAAAATTGGCTCTGCACTGATGACGCTCGCTCCCGCTCCCAGACATTCTAAATATTGTATCATATCATTCCGGTTTGAAAAAAGTTCTAGATGGATTTATAAAATATATTGGTATTCTATAGAATACTTGCTGCAGAGGAACACACGAGTGATATGCCCCTCAACCAGAAATCCTGTCACAAGATTTAATTTTCATCGGCAGTCATTCCCTTCTCCTGCTCGACCTTTTACTTCGACCAATATAAATGTCTTTCACATGGAGTAGAGTTAAAGATCAACGAGAGAACTATCAAAAGTGGGAGTTTTGAAGTCTCGTAGCTCTCTATCTTATCCTGATTAAGTTCCATAAGGACAAAAGTACGGACATAGTAATGGTAAGTAAAATAAAGGTACCACAGCTTTTGAAACAGATGCCTGGATTCTACCTTCGATGGTCCATTTTACATCACCAGGCATCAGTCCAAATTTTCTAAGGACATCCCGTTGCTTTATACAAATAACAGGTGTCTTAACATGATATACCGAAGTTCCCGGGATCGGTTTCCCTAGGTAGCGAGAAATAGAAGGTTCGTGGTTGATGAGCACGCCATATCCGAAGGAAAAGGTCCCGCCATCATTTCTTAATGAAGCCCGAGAGAGGGTGGAGGTTCAATTTCAGAGTGCAGGGCGGGAAAACCAAACTAACCCGAGTTAGACGTATCTTACCAGCTAACCTAAAGCCTTGGCACTCAAATATCACTCCAGGTCAATATCACACATGGGCGAGTGGCTTAATGGTTTACTCGCCCCCCAGACGGACACCGTGAGATTGTGCTCTGCCTTCGATTACAGAAGGTTCATGGTTCAATCCAGGGGTGGGGGTAGTAAAGATGACTGGACCATCAATGCTACCTTTTGTTGTTTTTATTTACATCACAGGAGTGAATCGTTTCTGGTAATATCGACGCTGTTTTTTTCTTTCTTTTTGCTGGGGGCTGAAGACTGGTGAAGCGTACGCACATCCGATCGATGTATCACTATGGCGTAGTAGGTACATCGTCGGTGTTGTAAAAAATACTACCGCCTAATAGGATTTCATATCTACTTAGTTTTGGCCTCGAAGGAGGAAATCACTAGCAGTCACTATCGAAACCAGAACATAGGATAATTGGGGGAAAAAGAGGGGGAAATGCCTGGCTCAACAGCACACGAACTAATCTCTTTATTTCATCAAATGACTAATGTTGCTGCTTGCTTCTCAACACTTCATCCTCTGTTCCCTCACACTAACCCTACAACCCGGCGCACCAGAAACCCCATTTCCTGGTCATCACACCCACCAAGCCGCCATCCTTCTGTGTGCCTGCATCACGGAGAGGGTTCCTTTACTCCTTCGATCTGAGTAGTGAAGGACACAGATTCTGAAAAGCCCTAGGCCGAGAAAGTTTTTACCTCCGTCTTGTACTTCCCCCTAGCACAGAGGTATCCGTTGTAGAAAACGAGAATCATATTACTTTATGCTCACCGAGCAGTAGCTACGAGTAGTAGGTGAGACGATTTAGTCCTTCTTTGGGGTTTCCACAAGTTTCATGAACTAACATCCATGTATAGTAGCAGGAGCCCAGTGCAAAACCTTTATTGTCCCGCTTCTCCGCCCATTGCATCGCGCTTGGAGAGCCAAAAGATACATACAAGGAGAGACTGCACAGAGTAGGCTAGCTATCAAGCACATTTAGAGTGAGACATAACTTCAACCTCCAGAGCAGGTTGGGAATAGAGTATCTTCTAGCAGGGAGGGAGCTACATAAAAACCTGAACTTCAACTTGAAAACTCCATCGCCACGCATAACACTGCCACACCAAAGCAGCATATTCCACCTACCACTGCATCGAATCCGGCGGAAGCGACAATCATTGCCAGGGCGACACCCGCCCCAAAGGAACATTTTGGTATAAAGATTCTTCGAAAGGAATAGATTATCGCCTTCTCCCAACGCGCCATGGATGTGTCCTCCAAGAGGAAAAGGTCAGTAGTGGAGCGAAACTTAGAGGCTCCATCAAGGAAGAGAGTATGCGGGGGTGATTTATTCCTCTTCCGCCTGGCACCGTTAAATAAGATCCATACTGCTGTTCTAAAATGTATCACAAGGGCTAAACGGTTTGTGATGATTCCCGATCAAGTGGTCCCTAGGAGGAAGAAGAAGAGGTATATTATCAATAGGTTTACAAAGAGAAAGGTTGTTTGGAATTGATCGTGTCCTGTTACTAGTGGTACTTACATGTACTTTACAAAACATATTTAATCCTATACGAACATCCATCTAACCACTCTCATATAGTAACCAGAACATAAATTCTTTACAGACTTTTTCACAATTCCTGAATACTGTTTTCACCGCCTAAGTCATTTACCCGGACACTACCGGTAAATATTATCATTCGGAGTGTTCGAACTAACCACATACACACCCCAAACCCAGACAACTGCCTCTTCAAACTTTATCTTTAACGAGATACCTTCAACTCTCCGGGCGTCTCTAACTCCTTATGAAAAATCGAATTTTTGTTGTGATCTATAGCCTAATTATTTCCGTGGTCTTGGGAGATTCACGCAAATCACCTCTACATATGATCCGGGGCTACGCCTTTCTGTGTATCTCGGATACCGTAAGATGCTAGATTTAAATTACAATTACTTCTCCTCACACCTTGTGCGCATGTACCGATGTGATGCACTTCACATAAGTAGAGTCTAAGAACCTGAGCTTGTTACTATAATTCTGAAATTCGATGTATGACGAGAAGAACAGGATCTTTCCACATTGTGAAAGGTATCTGTAGAGATAAGGAGCAGGAGTAGATCTAATGTAATTATATTCAAAGAGCCGAGGCGGTCCGGGGTGGGAGGCCTTCCAAAGATCTTAGTGAATTCTCCCCAAAAGTGAAATTGCACCGAAGCGCGCCTCTCTAAAACAAAGTGCTATAAAAGGGCCTCCATAGGCAATCATCTCCTTCTCTCAATCAACACCCAATATACATTTCACAAGCTAAAAAACCAATGTCGACTAGTAACAACCCAAAGGACAAGGTGCTTGATACACGCTTCTTGGAAATAACTCCAGACAAAGAACAGCTTTCTGTTAATGATCAAGGCTCCACGGATAGATTGAGTAGTGATGATCGTATGACTTATCCAATCATGTGTTGACTTATTTGTTTGCCTTTGACATATTTCTTTTCCCACTTGTTTATTTAATTGTTACTCATTGGTGATTATCAGAACTCGATGACCAGCTTGACTCCAGTCCACTCGCCCGCAAGAGTACTGGAGTAGGTAGTCGCTTGGCGGTCCTTCCGTTGAGGTTTACTCTCCCGAGTGCTAGTCCTGTTGAACTCAAAGAACATCCAGCCCAGGATGCACTGGTACAACCGGAGGTTACTGATAGATCCAATGAATTTGAAATGTATTGATTTCATTTGTAATTTATTTCTTCCGCGATGTCTCTAACAATAGTAGTGATCTTTCCGCTCCCCCAACTTCAATCAACCAAGAGGTCACACTGGGACTCAATCATATTATCGATACCGACAACACCGGTGCCTTCTACGAAGATACACTAGCCTTTGATCACCGCCTATTTGGTGAGATCATTTCAACTGCTAGCACTCCTCTCAGTACCTCTTTGGTCGGCATTGTTACCCAGTCGTTCGACAACTATCTTTTCAACTTCATCTCCACCACAGACGCCCAGGAGATTGAGGTCTCCCTCGCAATCCCTCAGAACACTGAACGCGTTGAGCTTTTCGATTGGGCCCAGCGCTACGGTATCGACACTTCTGATGACTGCTTCATTGATCTTCTCAGTGTCGTTCGTGCCAAGCCTGTTCCGATTGAGGTTGTGAGAGGTATCAAACGCTCTGCTTCAAAAGAGTTTGTAATGCCGGCGGCAAAGACTATTTGCAAAGAGGTTCGGAAATGTCTTGCTGTGGCACCGAAAAGGAAGGCTGGGCCAGCAGATAAGAAGCATAGACCGAGAGTCGTGCAGATTTCAGTTTGGCCCAGGAGGACTACGGCGAAGGCTTCTTGGACCCCAGTTCGTATAGGGAGGCGAATACCCGTGCTGGATAGTGTCATCTCTTGCTTCAGATGGGAGGAATCGGTTACTGGATGAAAATTGGTGGTAAATGGGGGTATTTACTTACAGATGTGATCTTTGGCCTGCGGGTGTTAAGTCCAGTAGATAAAGAAATTCATTAAGATATTAATTACCGATCCCTTCATTCTGTCTGGGAATTCCACCAAATATTTCTCATCCCCTCCCTGCCATAGAAGACGTGCGAAGCCTAAATGTCATGATATGGTAGAGTGACGTTATTCGTGTTACAGTAGGTTTGTGTTCTCCCGGGTGGGTTAGGGTTCTAAACGAGCAAACTCGGTTTAATACCCCAGTATGAAATAAAGGATTGCAATGTTTATTCCGCGTGCACTTTCATTGTATTTTCAAAAGGCGATATGCTATTCGGGATAAGTACATATAGTCCTAAGATTTTCTAGGCTTAGAAGAAACTAATGATTTTCATGTAAAATTCAATGATAATGTATATATGTCGTGGCTTGCCTTCGATAAATCTCATCTGGAACGTTTTATTCAAAAGAAAACCTTGCATTAGCAAGGCGTAAACTCTGTCTCCCTAATTCTTTATTCCTTCTTACTTCAACATGCCAATTCCCGTGCATGGTTGCCCAACCAAAACCCTCCAAGCCAAATAACACCAGGGAAAGAGAATGCTGCTATACAGCAAAAGCCCTTTCCATACTACAGGTGAGCCTGCCCTCACAGGACATGTACGGTTGCCATTTGCTCAAACGCTAATTTCCGGTGTACAACCTAACCTTATGATCGCCTGCCATAACGCTTCTTACCCCCCAAACCACTAAATCGACGATCTGAATTAACCCTTCGCCTGCCACGACTCGACCGTTTGCTTCCAAAGGAGCCATTACCTACACGCTTCCTCTATTTAGCGCAATGTCCGGCCAGATACACTGTGAATTTCACAACGCTGGGCTACCTAAAGGTTCATCAAAGACCGCTATTCACCTATTAGGAAAGAACACGCCGACCCAATGTTTCGACCAAATAACTACCGCGAGCGGGCTCTCGCATGTCTTTTCGGCCCCGCCATCGTCGCCTATCCGCGGCGATCTTGTGTATCGAACATCTTACCATGCGGAGGAGGGGTTGATAGTACTAGTGTATATACCGCGTGCGGATGGGGAAGGGAGGCTGGACGTGCGTAGTTCCGAAGGTATGAAGAAATCAGATATGTAGTTGCCGGTACCTACGCTGATGTCTGTGTATAGATAGTAAATTTCCATACGGCTATAAAATATCTTTCACCTGTCCTGTATCTGAGCTACTTGAAATTGAAAGTCTAGCACTTGAATATGTTACCTCTGGTGCGTTTTTTTGCACCTACCTCTTACTCCATTCTATACTAGTATTATAATCTGACTACGATAGCTTCTAAACCCTCGGAGATCAAGAATTCCGCCAACACTGAGCGAGATACAAATTTGGCGTTCCGAAAAATCCACAATCTAGTCGAGAACGCCTGCAGAGTAAAGATACGGTGCAGGCAAAGGCGCACAGTCGCTACATCTGAGAATTTGAACTCCCCAATCTTTAGAACCCCGGTCACTCCAAAATTCAATGTCTATCCAGCAAGCCTTGAAGGGTTTCATGACGTTAGCCCGACTCAAGAACCCATACCCATTAATTGGGGCGTGTATGTACCGCACAGTAAGACTCAATATTGATCCTGCTAATACTGTGGACGTAGGAGATCATTGGTCGGACAAACGATGGTGCGCAAGCCTCATTCCCAATCGTCGTTCCAGGAGATACTAGGTGAATCTCGCGCAGAGACTGGACTCACCGCTGTCACTCCACAGGCCGTTACACCCCGCACTACTACTATCTTTCCGGAGATCAAGGTGGTACCAAGAAAGAGAAAGCTACCAACGAGCTTTAGTACAGCGACGGGGGATAGAAAGCGGCCCTGCGTAAATCTAAGCATTTACGTCAAAGACCTGCACAATCCTGCAGGAGACCCGATCCATGATGACAACGACATCCTGGATCAGGAGCAAGAAGGCACAGATAGCGCAATATCAAAAAATGTTATCTTGGGCGATGGCAATGATGTACTGCTGAAGACTGGTCCTTCTTGGCAGGATTTACGCCGTCTTCCGTGCGGGAGAGTGTGTTTTGATCCTGCTTTCTATGGTTGTTGATCTTTACAATTGCCTCATGTAGGGTGAATTGTTTTACTACCATTCCGTCGTCAAGAAAATATATATCATCTTGGGTTAAAGTCGGGGAAGCCCTATGAATCTCTTGTAGATCTGAAAGTCCGCTTACACATTGTTATCCGTACTTCCAGAGTTCAGTGCAGGCCACTGCCCTTCTGGTGTTAGACCCACTCTTATTATAGCAGTTAGTACCCCACACCTGAACTACAACGGTCCAATAATTTCTGTTTCTACTCTACACGGAGTGTTGGTGATGTGATAAACCGGTGATTGATTGAGCTCAATGAAAATTCGATTACCCCTACCAACGCGTTTATTTCCTTCTTCATTTCCTCCGATATTCGAGATTCTGCGCCTCCGGGCCTAGTCATATCCTTGACCACAATTTGTTACACTGGTAAGTATAGTCAATGGAGGAAAAAGATTCGAACAGCAACGTTTGACCTCGTTGTGGTTTAGTCTAGATTTCTTACAGGTCTATTCCAAAATGTTCGCATCATGTTTTTCAAATTGTGATTCAGGTGAAAGCGCACTCTTCCGTTGTAGTGATCATATACACCACGGTTTCTTTATATTTACAGTCTTTATCAACCCCGCTCGTCCCGGTAGTGTGGCACAAGCACTACTCCCTAGTAGACACGAACTTATACCATGTGTAAATAACAATTGAAGAAAAGGAAAAGCTATATACTCTTTAACGAAAGATTACTCTAATTTGTGGCAGTTGGAGTAGCACCAGTGGAGTTGGGTTCGGATAATATCTACCAATTTTATATCAATCCAAGCATGCAAACAATGCTGTAAAACTTACATTTCCTGTCTTGAGGTAGCGCCGTTATCCTACTGCCGTAGGCACCGCACGACCACACCGTAGTTATTGTTTCCGTTGGTTGAAAGTTTATTTCGCAAAAAGGAGCTCGAGAGAATTTTGTTGTGCTGCTATACTTGCTATCCTTCACCCCCCCCCCCCCCCGTAACGCGATGAGAAAAAGGCCCAGAACCTGACCCAAGGCTACTCCATGCCCTACTAAGGTGATATAAAATATCCTCCGAGCCCTTGGCAGCAGAGTTGGGCTCCGCATTTTGAACATGTGGTGTTTGTGTTGGGTCGCGTAGTCTCATTCCATAACGGCCCTACTTGAACCAAGTGTGAGCCGCACCGAATACGGTTAGCATTGTTACACCAACCCTGCACTTCAACTACAACCTCCACTGAATCATAGTAGGTGTCAGTGTCAGTCATCCACGTTGTAAAGGGGAAAAGCACATTATTATAGATGGGCAGAGAACCAGAATATACACAATAATTAAAAATTTTGTGCGTAGCCTGTTTGGTACACTATCGGAGGCTACACCTCCATCCTCCCTTCTGCGTCCGAAGCCAGGGAACATACATGTATCTTCCGCTGTATCGGTATTATGTAAAGGATTGATAGGGAAATAAATAATCAAGGGGTAATACGTTCTGAGATTTTGTATGAAGCAGATGAGGTGGGCACCCTTGACAGCCAAGAACGAGTGATGTTTTATGATTCGTTGCCACAAACAAAGCCACGCAGTGCGGCTCTAGGGATATGCCAAGCACGTGCCTGCGGCAAACCCACAGACTTAAGAGAACCGATTTATCGTAAAATATAAATACTGGAGATGTAAAGTTTATTGCTGCATTATCTACATTTACAGAACCATACAGATATTATGCTCTCAAAAGTTTCCAACTTTATCGCCCCAAAGAGCACCGAGTACAAACAGTCCCGGCAGGAACACCAAAACTCCATAACCCACCACCCCTTATGCTTACCTCCTTCGATTTATTCCATTGACACTGACTATAGAAAATAAACAGATAGACAATATCTCCCAGCTCGACCATCCAAGACGACCGAAAAACCGAGGAGGATCTATTATGTGCTCAGAAGCTTTCTCTCAGATTCATCCGGTGGAGAGCTGGCCTGCCCTTTATCGAGGGAATTATAGTCGAGAAACTCAGGAATGCTATGGAACGTCTCAGATTCGCCCTCATCTTCAATGCAATTGAAAAAATCCGGATGGCCAATCCCTATTTCTCCGTCGTTGGTGAAGGAACTGTCGTTGGCGAAGGAATTGTCGGGGGAGAAGGAATTGTCGGGAGACAAGGAATTTTCCGGCGGGTTAAAATGTTGGTTGCGTGAAGCCGTTACTCCCCTGAACTCAGCAAGGCAGGAGAGGAAAGGCGGTTCAACTATTGGATATAGTTCTACAAAATTGGGGACATTTGTAGATCCTTCAATCGCGGAGAGCCCCATGTGTTGAAGATTTGGCGGATAATCAACGCCATGGCAGTTTGGAGGCTCACTGAGCATGAACGATGTTTGGGCTTGTGTATAGGGCTCATGCCGACTTTCGCCCTCAACACTCATCGAAAATTGTCTCGCGAAACCCCAATAAGTCTTACTTGCCATAGGACGTACGACGTGCGACTGAGTGGTCAGCGTAGGTTGAGGCTGAGAGAAGCCCGGTCTTAAGCCAGGATCAACCAACTTAAACGCCTCGCCGAGAGAGGACATATGGAGCTGTGACGAGAAACCATCCTCGCCGCCTTCTCCTACCTGGCTGGGTTCGGAGGCCTGCTGGTCACCCGCCGAGCAGCTGGTGGGAAGCCATGGGATTACTGGAACCGATCCGCGATAGATCCTTTGAGCCGAGCTGGCTGTGTCCGTGGACGATAGGCCGCCTTCGGTATTGGTAATGGTAGGGGCTGTTTGAGGCCGACTTGGGTGAGGAGGTGGCAGCAAATGAGCGTCCGCCCTGTTGCCGGTGACCAGATGATGCTCTTGCTGATCACCCTCTCTCGCAATATGGTGTAAATATTCGATATAATCATCGGCGGTATGAATAAAGTTCCAGTAAGAGAACGTGCCGACTGTGTTTGGCTTCAAATAGGCAATGAAAACACCGGACCACGCTTCACCGGTAAGGTCACCTTTACCCAGGTTGAAGATTCTGCGACGGAATGTCTCAAGTCTATTTCGAGATGAAAGCTGCTCTTGAACCCTCGGAGAGTCGTCAATTAAGGAGCCATGCACTTCAACCCTAAACTTGTGAATAGCAACTGTATATAAGAGATCTTTGGGCTTCGAACGTACTGACGGCCTATGTTTACGGATAGCCGGGGCAATTTTTAAAACAACTGCTTCGCCAGTGGGGGGTTGTGGGACGTTGGGCTGAGGCCCCATTTCTTCCTGGATAGCGGTACAATTCTCAGGATCAGCAGGGACGCCCTCGCTTTCAATGCTCACTGTGGTATTTTCGTGGCCGTTATTGGCTACCAGGATATCATCTTTCATGCCGGTGTTATAAGTCAACATAACATAAGAGCCTGGGAAAGCCCAAACCTCACCATTATCAGCCTGTTTGGCCGGTGGGTGGAATGTTAGCTTTTGTGCATTGACAAGTGTTACCTCCGCGGGAACTTACCACTATGCTACCTTGATTTTTGAACTCTTCATTGGTTGGAGATTGAGGCTGCGAAGAACATTGATTAGTTCCCATTGACTAACCTATTCGAGAGAGATTGCAAGTCCACTCCTCACCTCCGGGGTAGCTAAAAAAGCTGAACGACTCTTCTCCATTTTATGAGCTTTAGCCTCGGCTTGGCTTTGCAGAATGCGAGACGAATGTGTTGTAGTGGCCAAAAGTCTCTGAGGGGGTATTAGTCAAAGTTTTAAAAGGATCTCGACCGGGACGCTACATACCTCCATTTCTGGCTCAATCAGCTCACCAACCCACTCAGGGACCTCTGGGAGAGATAGAGACATTGCCTTCCGTTCGCTGGCCTTTTTTGCTGCCTGTCTTTCTATAGCCTTGGTTCGAATATCGTCCGTTTGGATCCGGCGCCTTTTAGCGGGTTGCACCTCCAGCGCTGGGGCAGGCACCTCAAGCAAATCTTGAGTAGGCTGTATATCAGCTATCGCAGAGTTATCATTATGAACTCGTTTGCGTGGGAGCTGAGGAGATTCTTTATGAAGAAAATAACACCATCGATCAGCATAAGTCCAAAATCACTTCGATGGCATTAGGAAAAGGATTGGTGTCATTATACCAATTGGTGGCGTGGACATGGAATGGGTGGGATCAGTAAGCCGTGGCATCCCGAAGTACGTACGAACTCCATTTTCAGCCTCCCAGTTCCGCCGAACCGCAGCCTTATTAAGCTTATCTTTCCTTTGAAGTGCCTGCCTTGTAAGCTCTTCCTGCAGACTTGCTTCAGTCGGCTTCACTGTTTCTACAATCGGTAAAGTGGGTTTCATGGCTCCACGCCTTTGTAAATTTTCAACCGATTCCTTGTGCAACTCACGAAACCTTGCATGCTGTTGTTCTTCATGAGGGAGCAAGGACGCTCTGTAGATTTCGCGCTCACGATCTGTAAGTGTGGCATGCTTACGCTTGCTTACGGTTCCGGGAGCGAAGATACGATTCCCTTCGGCATCACGCGTGAAGGGATCCACCGCTGGTGTTTTGCGTGGCATTTCGTTGGGTGGGGGACGAAAAAGAAGAAAAAGAAGAAAGAAAAAAGAAAGAAAAGAAAAAAAGAGAGGAAGAAAGAAAAAAACGGAGACGGTGCACCGAGATGTGAACAATGACAGAAAGGCAAGGAAAGAAAATCAAAAACGTGTTCTTCTTAAAGGATATGACCACCTCACACGAGGAGTAAGTAGAAGGGCGGAATGCTTCCTGAGATTCGATTCAAATTTACTCGTCCCCAAGTCTAGATTAAACGGCACCAACAGTTATTTCTAGTTCGGAGTGCACGTGGAGAGCTTTGTTCAAGGTAACTTACTAATTATATTCAGAATAGATCTCTGGACTTGAGTCTTTCTTAATATTTATATATTCAAAGATAGTCAATCCGGTGAACGGAGAAGATAAAGGTGGTGTGGAGTGGGGTGTTTAGAGGGGGCGAGAGTGTTTTGTGGAAGAAGAGGTGGGGAGTAAGACTAGGGAACTTGAGAGAGAAAAGAAGGAGGAAGTAGAGACAGGGCGAGTGGAAAGTAAATTGGGAAAAGAAAAGGAAACCGAGAATCGAGTGGCTAAAAACGTCGGGTAACAGCGACACTGGTGCAGCCACCGCAAAGACGAGTATATTCGCAATTTCCTTTCGGCGCTCTGGAGTTCAAGGTAGGTTTGGGGGATACCTGAGTGTCTAGCGACCTTGAGATAATACTTATGTCCCCGGTTGTCTCTTCTTTTCAAGTGTTTTGTCGAATAAAGAGACGGTGGCAGGGGATTTCTATTTGGTGCTCGGTCGATTGTGCGCGAGACTCTGGAAGTTCGGGTTAGAACTTAGCCAGCTGGAGCTAAATCCGTCGGGGCGACTTGCTTTTGGCGCAACTTGTATCTTTGCTACCTTCACCCAATCATGTGACATAATGCCACCGAAAGTATTGAACAAAAGAGAAAAGGTAGGGTCCTAATGGCAATCGATAAAAGATTAAGCACTCGTTCCATCAAAAGAAATAACAAGGCGAAAGAAATCACTCCGCGTCATTTAGCTATAGTACAGGCCAAGATTTTTTTCCGAGCCCAAATTAAAGGCTAATTATCTTGCGAATCGAAGTCGGGCAAATCAACAATGCTTTTTCTAGACCACTAGGAACAACGGAAACAACAGAAATGATTTTTAAGCAGGTTATAGTAACCTTCATAATCTAAAACGGCTTGAATATATAGCCTTAGTGATCGTAAGTAGATATTAGTGGTAGGGGAGTTAGTGGCTTGGCCCCCGGCCGTGTCGTGTGTAACCATATCTCGATCCTCGGTAATACTATGTCTGAACCGAAGCGTCAGACACTACATACATGTAATCATACTTCATGGATTCTTTTTAGTATTCTCGAGTTTGTTAGTATCTTTGCTTAGAATATTTCAAATCTTGGGACTGTTGAAAACCTCTATGTAAAGACCTAGGCCCCATCTTATCAATTATCTGCAATCGAATTTGCCAATTCTCCCACCTCCGCTGGGATTCCTGGAATGCCTCACACTGTAGAATCGTTATTATATTTCGATGGATCTTTTCTGTGCTGCACCTACTCTTTTTGTCTCACTCTACTCCGCTATTCCCAAACCTTAATGTGGAAGTGGAGGAGGGGGTGGGAAAAGAGGGTGGGAAAAGAGGGTGATGTGGTGAAAAACAAGCCACTCTGTGCGTTTTCAGTCTTACCCGCACGGCCGAGCATATCCATAATAGTGATAACCACTATTGTGTGTGCTATTACCTCAATACTGGGAGTAGCGTTTTTTGTTTTTTGTGTCGTGTTTCGGGGAGCTGTGGAATAGGAGAATGTTTATCCTGACTCTGCTTGACGATTGGCCTCAGGATTTTATATGCCGGGATTATCTTAATCCTTAGCCAGGTTTCATCCATTGAGGGGCAAAAAGAAATAAGGAAAGATACGGGGATTTCTACACGTCAGGACTAGGTAGCTTCTTGTTCAGCACCGTCTCCAAAGATCAGCATAACTTTGTTCATACCTACCGCTTCTCCTTAATTGACCATTCTAAGTCCGAAGTTCACAAGCTAACGCCAGCTTCCCTAGTGCTCGAGGATACGCCTGACCCCGGACCAGAGAATAGTTACCTGTGGAATGGACGACGTAACCTTCTATGTGAAATATTTCAGTCTCAAATGCACTTACCGCTCCCATCCAACTCCTAATAATCTTTGCAAGACTTGCCTCTGGTACAGTAAATGATAGTTAGATAGTTTGACACTTTCCGTCGGAACTGTGTGGACGAGTGCTTTCTGGGGTGGGCGGGGGGGAGCTCATAAAGTAGGTAACTACCTCAGGATCGGACAGAACTAGATATAAGAACTCGTAAGGGAAAATCATATATGTCAGAATGTGGGAATATCTTAGATATCCGGACATCAAGGCTATTCCAAACAACACGCCCTCTATGGCACGCCAATCAAACAAAGGCTTGGGAAGTGTCACAGCAAGCTTTCCCATTCAGATGAAGGCTAAAGGAAAGATATCATACGCCGTCAACCTACGGAAGAAATTCCTGAAAAATGACGTGTTGCTGTCTAACTTAGCAGCGCCTAGATACCACCTTACCCCCCCAGAACACATTATGCCATTAGGGAATCAATCTCATGTGTTTTTTCCTCCACACTCTCTACCCAGATACGCCTTCCTCCACTGGTTCACTTCAGCAGCACAGATTAGCCCGCAGATAGACGGGGTCCGTCTGCATTTACGACCTCCGACGCATGTAGAATCCCGGAAAGGCGAAAAAGCCATAGTGTCGGAGCCGGAGCCGCACCTCAGACCATAATTGTGGAAAACAGACCAGTGAGTGTGTTCTATGCGAGGGTTCTAATAGGATAGCTCGCTTTTCAAAATTAGGGGGCGGTCATGTTATTAGTAAGAAATTGTGTATAATATGGGAATAGAGTCCACACGGTGAGCTTACGTATCATGATGAGGTTGGGCTGAGATTATGAAGCCCGTGTGGGTATTATTTACATGTGGAGGGAACGAACATTTGGAAAGAACCTATCTGAAAGCTTACATCAATAATACCTACAAAGAGTCCAAAAGATCCGCTGATCGCACTAGGAACCTATTTCACTACTTCAATGTATCCTCTACCTGTTCATAATGGAAGTGCTTTTCTGGGAGGGGGGGGGGGGGGTCACCTAAAAGGCAAATTGTAACTCCGGGGGTGGGGATGATTAACTAGATTAAGTAAAGAAGATCTCATATAAATCTTTTTTGAGCAACAGCCGACTAGGAGGAAAGAAATAAGATCAATTTTTAAAAGCCTTCATGGAACTATTTATACCTACCTTACCGTCGAAACGCATACAATTTTAAGCCTTATTCAGTCGGCTTATCCAGAACGTAGGCTCACAATAGCTTTATCAGTACAAAAATCCCTTTTTAAGCCCTATTTCATCCTTAAAACATGCTTAAATAATACTTATTTGAACCTTATTGGATTCATAAGGCTATTATGAGCCTACGATCTGGATAAGCCGACTGAATAAGGCTCAAAATTGTATGCGTTTCGACGGTAAGATAACATACTCCCACCGTCTCAGCAGTAGCCTGTCCATATCCACGAAACAAGAAAGACATATAACCGCCTGCTGATATCCACGAATAAAGAAAAAGAAAATAAAAAAATATAACCCTAATTCTCTACCGTATATCTCAAGCCAATACAAAAGCTCATGTATCGGATATCCTCAAGCAACGCGATCAAACAACGCCCCCCTCACAAACCCCTCCACATAGATCGACATCTCATCCACTTCCCAATCATGTTTTAACTCTCTCGCCAGCGTCCTAATTGCACCTTCATCACCCTGCGCCAGCACGCCCCTGATCGCGTGATGTAGTCGTACAATGCTGGTCCCTGTCTTGTCCAGCCAAGCGTATGACGGCAGCTCCGGTGAGGAAGGCAGGCTAGAGTGAACTGTCTGGGCAGCTGGTTGGGGTGTGGCGGGTTTTGCAGCTGGTTCGGACGGACTGGAGAGAATTATCTGTGTATTTCTGCGGGGCTTCGCGGGTGGTCTTAGCGGCGATACTGATGGTGCTTTGGGAGTCGAGCCGTAGAAGATTGCCGGGGTGGCGTAGCGCGGAGGTGTAGTAGGCGTGCGGAACTGGGGTGAGGAGTGGAGGCGGGGGAGTGCTACAGTTGCGCGGGCATGGCCATGAGCGTTGGCGGTGATGCTGTTTGTGGTGCGGGGGATTAGAGCGTGCCGGGGAGTCGGGAGATATGTAGGGCGGGCACGGTTAGAGGCAGCGGGATTGGGGGCGCCAGGATGCGGTGGAATTAACCCACGTGCGCGATTCGGACCGGGGGCGTTTGGGTCGCGAAGATGAGGTTGAACTAGGCCGCCTGCACGGTGTGGACCAGGGAGTCTTAGGCCACCGGCAGCTTTTGGGCCTGGAAGATTTGGACCGTGAGGGTTATTCGCACCGCCAGCGATATTCGAAGTAGGGAGGGTGGGACGGCGGATGAAATTCGGGAGTTCATGATAAGAAATCCTCTTGGTAAGTGCTAATGATTTGGTATGAAACGATGGTGGAGGTTCAATCGGTTCAAGCATGGCGCGGAGTTGGGAGGTTGAGGCCGACTCGTGGTGTCGGATCGGTGGAGTTGGTGCCTGACGTCCCTGGGACTCATCTAAAGGGCCCCATTTTGCAGTTAAATACTCAAGATGAGCTTTCGTATTCGGGGTCTCTGTCTCCGCTTGCTTCAGCGACTTAGGCAGATCTGCCGTATCTTCATCGTCGCTGATCTCGATGACGACCGGCTGTGCCGGGGGTGACGGTGGCGCGCGGGGCGCTGGTTTATTGCGGGAAAGCAAGTACTCGGAGTGGTGACTTGTGTCGCTGACCCCGCTGAGGGTACTCGAGCTAGTATAGTCTTGATCGGCGGGGTCATCGTCGTTGAGGACGTTGGTTGGCTTTGGTCCTGGAGGTACGGGTGAAGAACGCCTGGTGGGGTGACGTTTGAGGTCTGGTTGTTTGAACATTTTACTTTGTCTGTAGAGAGCACAGGTGATAAGTTGGCGAGGTGGGTGGGAGTTGGCTTGTGGCGGTTTGTATCTGTTGCTTAAGGTTGGTGAGGTTGCGTGGGGTGCGGATGTGGTGAAGCATGGGCTATCACTCGGGGATCTCTTTCTCTTTCCGTTGTCTTGTTGGGGGTGTATAAACTGACTGGAGTTTGTAGTATATTTCTGTTGCGGTATATCCATAAGATAAAGAAGTAGGCAATCTCGAGGCTTCCCCGTCATGCTCTTCTTTCGCCGCCTCAGATTTCCGCCTCAGATTTCCGGCAGCTGCTTGACTAAATCAAGGGAAGAGAAACGATCGAAGCATGGGGCATCCACCCGTGAACTATACAATATCTATGTTTTCATGAACCTGTCTTCCGGGAATAAACGCTGTAGTACTGATGATTAGCTACGTAGAATAAAAGTAGAGGGGCAGAGTGGTGGAACAGTGAGCTGAGGTCAAGATGAAACAATACCAATTCTGTCTGACGTCATTCGCTTTGAGGCATGGACCCTTTCATTTTCAATATTTGATCGCTAGACCGTTGGTATGTATGTGAAGGGCTTTTAATTTCCTTCCAGAAGAAGTCTAAAATGACACGGTTTCTTCGGCAGACGTGCACTGAAATACCGTACTTATCACTTGATGCAGGGGGACGCAGTTAGATATGGCCCCCAAAAAGAGAAAAAACGTGCACCTTGACCCACAATCAGACGGTACCGCCTAGCTTGCAAATTCCCGAGTTTTCGGATAGAAACTTTCAGTTCCAAGACTGAAAATAAAGCATTTTCATCCTGTCCATAAAGACTTGCAAAGCGGCACCGTTCTCAATGCTTTGTGGTGTAAACATGGTGGTTGGTTATTCTGGTTCTTCGGTAGCTTAAGGTTTAGGGCAAAAACTCAAATCTGTTCCACACCGTTTACGGACAGCAACCGATTTGACATTCAGGAAAGAACCTGTTCCATAACTACAGGTACACAACTTCGAACGACTCATGCTTCGCAAAATAATTCACAACCCTTTCATCCACCAGCCCGCGAGAGCAAACGTTTGCGTGTTCCATTTAACTGTCTTCATCCTTACTTGGTGGATTACGCGCCGATAGCCCCTGTCTACGTGTCAGAACCTCTGCCTGCTGTGGAAATCAATTCATCGAATGTGTGGAATTCATAACATTGCTATTTAATCAAAGAAATCACAGTACGATGCGTCAGGGAACTATTAACAAGGCCTTAACACTCCTGAGGGGGGGTCAAGTTCCCTGCATCTGGATCCACACCAGCCCGCAATTATCCACTCATTCCAAGCGCGGCCTCTTGCTAACTGGCTTCGTTTTTACGTCTCGTGTTCTCTTTCTACCGTAGAATGAGTGTACCTCCATCTTCGGTATTTCCTCATTTCTTGCAGCTGCTCGATAGTCTGTGCTTTGGTCAGTTAACTAATAAAAAGACATAGTAGAGAGTCTTACCATAAAATGGCTTCTCGCGTTTGCGATAAAGCAGGGACTTTGACTTCCTCCTTTTTCTTTTTCTCTCATCTTCTGGATATTTATACGGACACCCTCGAAACTTTTGATAACGGGTAGTCACATTCCGCCGCGATACTGGTTTATCAGATTGGCGGTTCAGGTTGAGCTCACATGGTAGACACCTATTGACCCCCACTGCGCCTGGGGGGAATTGGCGTACGCGGCTGCATTTGTGGCAGGTAGCAGTCTCCGCGAGCGGTTTTCTGGGGGAGCCGTGACCGGCATCATCACTATCGACAGGATACCCTCGAGTGGTAAGCGGCTGTCGAGGCCCGCGCCTGGGGGGGAAGAGGAGAGAGTCTTCGCACTCGAGCTCGAATTTCTGGATCATGAGCTTTAATTTTGCGTATTCTTTCCCGGTCCAGGAGAAGCAGGTGCGGTGGTCGCGCAGATATTCGACGAGTCTCTTTGCTCCTGCACCATGATGACACGTTAGATGAGCATTTTCAACGCTATTTAAGCTTGTGGGGAGTGAACATACGTTCCTGGCGGTCGTTCAGACCATTGCGGATTCTGATCCACTGACTATAGAGAGCGCGTACAACCATATCCGACACTTCAGCGGGGCAGGTCTGCTGGTCGTCTCCTAACCTCTCATGATCCGATTCATGCGCATCTTGGATCACCTGTCAGCTATCTGCACAGATATCGCCAGTTAGACAAAACCATACCGTCTTTCTCTGCGCGCTCACACAACTCATTCAACTGCTGTATTAATCGCCTTCTCTCCTCCGGAGTACCCGTGAAGATATTCGACCAGCCATAATCATCCCCCTCTGGCTGAGATTCCTTCACTGGTGAGCTCTCGCTCCACTCTGAAATGTCGTCGGGGACGTCACTTGGGGCCTCTGAGACTGGTGACTCAACGTAGCTGAGGTGGGAAGGGATGGATGAGCACGTGGTGGAGGTGTACCCTGGGCTTCCAGCAATCGATACTGGGCCCAGTGGTTCGCAGTTGCCACCTTCTTCGGAGTTGTCGGAGCTGCTGCTATCTGATTCCTCGGTATTGGCTTCTGGATCGTTGTCGTTGATATGGCCGGTTGAATTGGGTGATGTTTTGCATACGCCATCTCTTATTTTCTGGAGCGAGGGCATCTTCATATCGGCGGCGTCGGCAGCGGGGATGCGAGCGGTTTCAGGACTTGGGCTTAAAGAACGAATACACCTTGGAAGAGTGGTGGGAGGACGATCAATAATAGGAATGGCAGTGGGGGGGCGATCTGGTACAGTAATAGCGGTGGGCGAGCGACCTACCACAGGAACGGCCGTGGTGGGGCGAGGAACTCCAGGACCGGGGACGAGAGGTCGAATACCAACGAAGAGCTCGTATCCTTTTTCAACTTGGCCGAGACTAGTGGAGTATAGAATCTTTGCGTTGTAAGCTCTCATGGGTGGTTTTGCGGGGGGTTGAGGGCCTTCGGGTGCAGGTGAGATGTTCATTTTTGGGATTTTGTTGACGAAACTTATAGGATAATATTCCGCGAGAATTTCCTCGGTGGTAAGATAATGACGAGATGGTAAATATTCTGAGAACAGTATCGGCGTTTTTTATACAGGGGTTGAAAATACGGATATTTACACAGTCGGTTTGTAACGAATGTTCCAAATGATATAGAAATTGGGGTGATACATAATAGAAGCCTAACTACGTGTAACAGTATTTTTTTAACACTCTGTCTAGCATAGAATATATGCAAAAGCTGTGGGGCGGGGCAGTAAGTCCATTCTAGTAACTCTTTAGGAGTTAATGGCTGTTCTCTGCGGTGGGCTATGGGATACAAACTTTAATCAGGAATTAGGTGTAGCTCGCTTGTGAATAATTATAATTCAATGTTTGCTCATATATCGATGGGATTTCAAATCCTATAAATAGCAAATAGAATGAGCATTTAAATAATTATTAAGTGAACCACTTGTACCTCCCTACTGTATGTATTTCATGGTAATGGAGAGCGAGCAGGGCGAGTGATATTCAGTGACTACAATCCATGTCAGGTCCGAGGGACGATCTTAAGCTGTGTGGGATGGGTCATAAAATTAATGGTTAGAGTATATTATCCCCTGGATAATAACGATATAATCGAGGATCCTCTTGTGACTTACTCACAGTGGCGAGACATGAATAAACCTATTAAAATACGGAGAGAGTGTTCAGTGCTTATAATACCTCACTAATCTAGTATCCATCTTGAGCCAATTCCCGATACTATATACAATCTATGAGCGTCGTGAGGAAGTATACATGTAGTGGTATGAATAAGCCAGGTGTTCGGGATAAGGAATGCGTATAAAGAAGTATAGATCAGGACACTTGTTGGATGGAGCTAGGAAATAGGCCAGCTTTACATCATACATGCCAGTAAAAAGCGATATAACCTCTCGAATACCTCCAAACTATCGCGAATTAAAATAGTTATTAAGACATAGTCTAACACATGAGATAAAAGTGAAAATAATCACTTTAGAAGCGAGAAATTAGACACGATGAAAACAATTACAAGTAAGGATTCTATGATCTTTAACAATGCCTCACGTGCGGATACTTCTGACATGGTTTACATTAATTCTGGCGAAGTAGTAACTGAACAGAAATAGTAAAAGAATTGACACATCATAGGAAGCCCGATTTCAAACAAACTCTAGGAAGCACATCAATCCCAAACAAATACAAGCTTTTATCATCTGATACAGAAAAAAAAAAGGAAATACAGACAAACACTAAACGACATCAAACTACCAGCTCGATGAGCTGGACCGACTTGTGGTTGAATAGCCACTTGCTTTAGTACGAGAGTACTAGGCGTCGGGGCTCTTGTGGCTGTTGTCATTGGCATTGCGGCTTGCAGGTGACCGGTTGCCGTTGGCAGGGCGCAAATTGGATTGCTGAGCTCTACGAGCTCTATCGCCAACTGGCTCCTGACTTTCCTGACGCGGCATTCCGACAGGGTTTCCTGCATTATTCTCCAGGTCCGCGGTTGGGTAATGGTAGAGAACATTGGAGAGCCAGCGGTGGACGTATGGCCCAGGCTGCCTTGGAGGGGTAATCTCTTGATCCCTTGCATCGGAGACGGAAGGAGCGGCAAGAGGCGCAGCGCAGGGTAGAACGTTGCTATCTTCGCGGTTTGGCTGGAAGGAGGGAATCTGCATTGGAGCTTGTTCCACTGGGGTATGGAGAGCTCTACTCAAACGCTGGTGAGCTGTAGAAACTGCGACCGGAGTTCTAACGGGCCGGCGATATGGATGAGCCCGCTCTGCGTGTGTACTACGAAGTCTGCGGTGCACCGCTGCTCGAGGCGCACCTGGTGGAGTGATAGGAGTACCAAGTCTCAACTGTCTGTGTTCAGAAAGATCGACTGCACCACCAGGTGGTTGATGGTATTGGTGAAGTAGGTTCGGGAGGTTCCTGACATCATTTTGGTTGGCCATATTGGATATGTTTTCATTGTCATATGGGTGGAAGATGTTTGGATGGAGACTATCACTACCCATATCGGTATTCTCGAACCCAGTCCAATGGTGATATCTATTCGGATTCTCTGGAAACATGTTGTTTGTGACTTCTCGAAGCTGTCTACGCCACATGCTTCCATTTGTCCCCATCCCAGAGTCTGGGTGCTGTAACGGGTGGTTCATGACTGAACGTGGAGGAGGGCGATTTTGAAAACCGGCACGCCTGTCTGAGCCATTTGTAGAAAGCTCCCCAGGATCAGAGCGGCGGCTCCTGAACATAAACGGTGGATTGTCGAACATCAGAGCAATTTGGGTGTATAGTGGATGCCTAACTAGGCGGATGGGTTGTTGATCAAGTATGTTTCTAACAGCATTGTTCCAAATGCTTATTATGGCGATGGGAATTCTACTATTTTCTGGAACCGGACCACCAACATAGTCTGGCAGGGGTATCCGAAAGAGAAGTTCACGATCGTCCAAAAGCAAGTGTTGCATTCGACAATCCATCAGAAATGTATTCCAAATCCGAGATATGATAGACTCGGAGGCAGCATTTTGAGGACATGGGCGGAGATCGATTAGGTACTGTAAATGGCCAATGTGCGCGGCTGACTGAAGTGGATTTGGGCTAGCCTGTTGGCGGGCGGGGTTGCTGAGAGGGGGGGAATCTCGAGCTAGTCCTCCATGTGCTCGGTTTGAAGCGTTATCTTCGCCAGCGGATCTATGGTTATTGAGATAACCATGTTCAGAACGGATGCCAAAGAGTCTGCGTTCCTCAACCCCCAAGTCTGTAAAATTCATTCCGAGTGCTGGATCCATACCTCTCCGCAATTCATCTAACTGCCGTTGTGAGGGCTGAGGTTCCTCAATACTAACTTGAGGTCCACAAGATCTTCTTGTACCATTCAACTGGTTGTCACCTATGAGATTAGGCGTGGTAAAATCTCTTTGACCAGAAGCGGCGTTGGAGTTGCCAATACCCACCTGGGGATAGCGAGAGCTGGCACGAAGATTGTGATCATGAGGGTAACTATGTAGTCCCTGAGTCCTCATTATGAGGGCGTTTTGAAACTCCTCAGCCGTGGAACCGAAGGGGTTTGGCGACCTTCGGCCGCCGTCGACCATTGGTCTATACTCCGGGGCCTCTGCTTCACGCTGACCTCCGCCCTGCCTGCGCAGATTGCTGAGGGGTAGTCTGTCGTCCAGCTGCCTCGCTCTCAATTGTAGCGGGGGTATTTGTGGCAGCGAATGGTGGTCTCCAGCCCCCATAGGAGGTCCTGGATTTATGATTTCTTCCCTCCGCTGGTCTTCTTCGTACCTCCGGAGGTTCTCACGGTACCGTATGGTTTCTAAAATAGTTACAACTGAACATTAGTTACGTCTCTTTATGATGGAAGAATGAAAGATAAGAGTTCTTACCAGGCGCACTCAATGCATCACGAGAATCTGCCTCCTTCGTCATTGTTTTCTGGTGTACGGGTGGTGCTGGAAAAGTTCTGGATGTTTCTCTCGAGTTTTTAAATTTTACTACACGGGTATTGCGACCTCTGGTAATGTTGCCGATGATAGGAGAGGCGGAATGGCTTTGATTGTCTCTGTGTACGGACTGCTGCAAAATCTTGTTTTCTGAGAGGGATGGTCGTCTAAATCTCCCACCAACAGTGGGTAAAAGACTTTGGTTGGGAGAAGGTGTTGTAGGTAATCCACTCTCGTTCTAGGGACTATTAGTCAATGCAAAGCGCCTCAATGTTAACTAACATACCAGTACTAAATGTTTCAGAGCGTCATTTCCAGTTTGTTCGGTGCTCTCTACTCCGGTGTTTCCCACCGTTGCGTTCACCGCTATTTCTCGCTGCTCCACCGTACGCAAAGGAAATGCGCACGATAGAGAGCTGTGATAGCTCACGGACGACAATGTGCTATCGCTACTCATAGAGATCGAACGACTTGGTTGAGATTTTCCCGTGTCCCCACCTTCTTGACCTGGCACGGGTTGCCCTTCTTTATGGTCGTCCATTCTGAAAATTGATACTGCTAGTTCTAGGTCCAGGAATCACTTTATCAATCGGAATCGACGAATGAACATGTGTTTATACATACCTTGATCTTCTTATCTTCTCGATATCACCTCTAGAAACGGGCTCGATATCATGCCAGTTGCAGCCCAACTACAGATAAACGTTGATGAAATCGGCGTTATAGACAGCGGAGACGTGCAGAAAAGAATAAAGGAAGAAGAGAGAATAGGAAGATACAACGAGGGGGCACAGTTTCATCTACCTACGGGGATCGTTTGTTTTCATTTGAGCTGTTACCCCCGATGATTACCATCCCCGTCATTTTCACGATAATTCCAAATCACATCACAATTGCTTCAATGGTACTAGATTCATGAAACAATGGGGGGCTACCAGTTACTGGCTTGGGAAACAGCTTGTTTCTAACATGTATGATTCTTCAATTAATATGCCAACAAGGGCTTGGATTGACATATCGTGATCAATTCAGTGGAAAAATAACAAAGCTCCGTAGAGGAACTTTCGGGATGACATGATCACTAGAGGGCTTACGGCCTCTCACTTGCTGTGAATAGCGATACAAAGATGGAGGATAATAGCTGGCCAAGTATTTTCTATCTCATTACACAACGAGTATCATTGATACTCAGGAGTCGAGACGCTTACCACTGGGTACTAGTTATACAAAGTACACGAGCAAGAGGTCATCGTATGCTCTTTCCGGATCTCCGATTCAACAGGTGCAAGAATGGTCTTTCTGTCACAAACACGGACAAAAGGGCGCCTATACCAGAAAGTCTCACTACGGTCTTGTGTTCATGTGGGTTGTTGAATTGTACTCTTCACATCAAGCCTCACGCAGGCAGAAAAAATCAGACACGAAACAAAATTGCTTTGCATTGTTCGGTTCTATGAATATCCTTTTTCATCGCATCCCTTGTAACTGTGTTTCGGTTCCGGAGCTCTGTCTTTCAGCGGTGTTAATCAAGTTAACTGGATACTAGGTTTCTATGGTCCCAGCAGTTATCCTTGACGGTTTTCATTCGCTCTGGAATATCGTTTTCTTCTCCCGATTATTGCCGATTGGGGTAACGCAGCAATGTGAAGCAGCAAAAAACGATGGAATCGAGGGGGAGAGGTTGCCGAGGAAAGCCCACAGAAGAGACTTGGTTTTGGTTGTCTGTTGTATGGAGTCCAGTGCAGAGTATATAGATCCCAGCAGCGAGCCCTATGATATATATCCCATTGCTGAGCATAGTTTACACTACCTTTCTCGTTTCTTTCCTGTGGATAAAAAACAACAAGTAACGGGTACTTGGTCAATTGGAGGAGCGGTTAGGTGTTCAACATTAGTGAGATGATACTTGTCCCTATTGTGTATTAGTTAAATGGTTAACTAGACTTCGTCATTTACAATAAATCACGTGTTATCATCATTTCCATCTTCTCCAAATTTAAAACTCTCACCAAATCTTTTACTTTTTCGGCTAGTAGAAAATATCGGAGGAATGTTTCGATTGGTATATGCACGTTCAATACGAGGTTTGAGAATGTCATCGAGTTCGAGTTCCTTGGCCCTCTCTGACCTCTAGGTATCTCGTATAGTCTCGGGGAAGGTTCTAGCAGGGTAAAAAGCGGTATATATTTCAATCAAAAGCAGATTCTATCGTTGAGCAATTCACCTCATATCTGTCGGAAGTGTATAAGAGCCAAGAACTTCGTCGGCGGTTCTCGACGAAAGGACAGGCAAGACCCTCGAGACTCTTAGTTCCTTTAGACCACTGTACCTACGTGTGATCGTGGAAATGTCCTCGAGTCAAGGAGACAAGTAAGCTGGTTCTCGTGGACCACACTGAATTCGATTTCTTTTTCTCTTGGCAGTTATTTCTACTCTGAAAAAACATTTCTCTCTTGGCAGATTTTCGTTATATCCCCAAGAACGACTTAATATGATTTCCCTCCCCAAGTCTTATCTCAGGTGCTTACCAACTGTCAATAGTAGATATAGTATCCAATATTTACAGCACCACTTGATGTATTTATATGTGGGATTAATCTATAATAAGAAAGAGCTTGAACGGAATAATGGAAAAGGCGGCAACGCCTGCCATGTTGATTGACCATTGTGGGGATTAGCCGGTCTAAGAATGAATTCGATCCCCCTAAGCTTCTTCTTCTTCTTTCTTTGGACGCCACTTAGGGGTATGAAGATTCTCCTTGTTGATTGCAGTTGTAATATTACTTCATCGGACCACCCCCTCTGGGTGAGTGTTGCCTCCCAAATTGTCTCATCTCTCGAGATGTAGACCTTTTACGGCCATGTATCTCTGAAGGCGACCTTCATATTAAAGGCACTGCAAAATAGGATTGGATCCTTTCCTCTGTGACGTCATGAAGGACGAGATCGCTTTCGCTGGCTATATTGCTTTTTCTTGACCTAAGCTCGTCTTCTTTAATAATAAATCTTCCCTACTCCTGGGATGTATCTTAGCGGTATCACAGCACCCCTCGGGCAATGGTGCCTTCCTGCAGCTAAAATCAAAGCCAGTAGCACTGTTATCCGGTGATGGGACGTAGGTGAGCATGTAAAACCCCCTTTTTTCTGTCATATGGAAGCTAGTGACGTTCCTGTTGGGGTAGGTGTCTGTGAGCTGTTGAGGCAGGAACTTCATTCAAGATATTCCTTTGGCTATGTTTGAAAGCTGCATGGAATCGCTGGTTAAGCACTACAAATGCCTTCCCAGTCAGATCCGGCCCTCCTTTATAAACGGGCGACAAGTCGGGAGGGTATAGAATGAGAGACCTCTGAGAGTACGAATGGTGCAACGAAGAAAAGCCGCCGCTTATAATTCCACCTTGTCAACTATCGTATAGGAAATATGGGAAAGGGTGAATAATACCAGTCATACATGCGAGGATGTTCACCCCGCAGCATGATGTGGTCTCAATTAGAAGTGCACATAAAAATAACAACACCTCTTCTCTTTATTTTATCCTTTGACAGGTTTTAGAGATTTTAGGGAGATAACATGACAAGCTCGGTGAGAGTTCCAGTATTATCGAGTTATCTGTTCAGGTTCCACCGAAATGATCTTCCTCCCATGTTCCTCCCAAGAATACGACGAAGTTGTAGTCCTTTAGGTAGTTGAGTCATGTAGGATAGTTGAAAGAACTTGTTCTCTTTAGTGAAGGTTCGTTCCACCCGCGGTTTGGTCCGCTCTTCATGGCTTCACTACAGAGTTGTGATTTATCCATGTAGCCAGGTGTCATATCTGCGAAGTTCCTCGCCGACATGCAGTAGGAGTCGTGGTGCATAAATTCTTTGTAAGTGATCACAATATATAGTGTACACAAGGAGCCCTTTTTCAGGCTGTGGCAGCAAACCCTCTGTAGAAAGGGTGCTAACCATCTGTATATTCGTGAGTTTTACTGGACTGTTCAGAATGCCATCTGTTCCTGTACCAGTCCACGGTTTCAAAATATAGGGTGAGGAGAGCAAAGTATTGGGAGTACGACATCCTCTACCTGCCCTATTTTTAGGTTTAGGACGGAAGTACAAGGAAGGGTGAGTGGCAACCGTTAGACTCGTTGTAGTTCCGTCCTAAACTTAAAATGGGGCAAGGATAAGTGAGCGAGCTCTTACTCGATGGTGTATTATAAGGGCCAGCTGCGTTTGGGAGTCGAGATGTGAGCCACTGGCAGTACTCGTTTGTTCAGCTCAAAGTAGAAACGAGAAGCCCGATTAATCCGAGAGCAAAAATCGCAGCAATCCCTCTCTTCCAGGTTTATAGAAGCAAATAAGAACGTTCCTATATGTTTGAGTCCGTCGCAGGACCGGCTGTTCATCTCATACTCCTCTGATATGAATATACTTCATACCCACCGTATCGCTGTCCAGACAGCGCGTGTCCTTCTATATTAATATTCTCTCTGCAATCCCAGAGTGAACGGCGGTTCCTTTGCGGTCATGGAAAGTCATTCCTATAAAGTAAAATTACTAAATACAGACCGGGTGATTTTCTGCTTTCACGCCCTTGACAATCTGCGCTAGTATTGTTCACTACGATGGGGGGGGGGGGGGGGTGGGGTGGTTAGCTCTCGTGCCGGTTTCGCTTCCCGAAAAAACAGGCAGAACGAATGTTCGAAAGCAAAAAAGCAAAAAGAAAGGTGGGAAGGAGGCCGTAAACCACCATGTTCCTGAAATCCTAGGTTTCGAAAAAGTCTTTGGATGAACGTCCAGCAAGGTGATCTCCAGGACATCGGAGAAAGACGTAGAAACACAATCATCCGCCGTAATAACCAGAGTTTATATGTGACTACAAGTATAAGTAGGTTCAACACGATTGACCGAAGCAAGAGATTTATGGGCAACTGACTGAAAACCGGCCGTACACGAGGCAAGACCTCCGCGACAGTATCAGGGAACGCGAGCCAAGAGATATGGGCATAGCCGTGACCAATATGAAAGTTAGTAAGAGGAGCATAAAGAACAGACGAGTGAAGTACGAGGTCGGTAGGAGCTTGTTTCTCCGAACAGGTGTTATCTGTTCAATAAATCCCGTGTCTTCTCCTACGAGGTGGAACCTGATCTGATGTCTGTGCTCTAAGCTCACTTACAATATACTAATCAGGCCCAAAGCGTCTCCATACGCAAGAGTTGAAGAATGCAGGTTAAGTAACGTTTTATCGAGAACATGTTCAGTTTGTGCAGGGAGCGGTGATGGGTCAGTGCCAAAAGCTGAGGACTATTTGCATGATTGGGTTCAAAAAGAACAATCACAAGTAGATATTCGACAGGACACAGTCTCGGGTCGCCATTCGTGATGCGACGTGATGAAAACCTAGGTGTATTTCTGCTGAGGAGGAATCGCCCTACGTACATGTAAGTAGAGAGTAACATTCGTAGTTAGTTAGGGGTAGCGTGACATCTAGTCACGCTGCATGCACGCCAATATCAATCTTGCACTTCCTGGTTAGATTGCATGCACAGTTAGATGTAACACCCACATCCTGTTCTGTGCGCCACACCAGCCACAAACATAGCAAATTGTATGGATGCCATATTACATTTAGCACATAGGTTTTGCCTACGGGTAAGAAGACGTTCAGGGTCCACAGGTTGCCCCTTATGCATTGAGGGAAAATAACTCGTCAATAGCAGAGAGAAGCACACAGTGCTGGGTATTATTCCATATTTTCCCTCCCTTATTCCTCTCCAAGTTTCTTAAAGATCGCGACTTTTCTGCGGCATGAGTTTATAATCATCTCTATATATCAATCTAATTGTAGATAATTCTGTTGTTTGTTAGATATCAACTTTGGTGAAGACGACTGCACGCAATTTATCAATTAAAGAAAAAAAGAAAAAAAAGGGCTCCGGTGGAGACTGACGTTAGAGATCTTTCACGAGGAGCTGTCCTGTTGATATCGTACTCCCAAAGTGCTCGAGCTGAGTTTATTAGGCCCTTTATGATATCCCTTGAACACATCTTTTACCTAGTGCTGCCTGGGTGTCTACTTGCACTCGTCAAGAGTGACTCAATAAATTTCCCGTAAACGTGACAGAGTTCTGTAGGTGACTGACCCGGGTCTCTTGACGTCGCGAATATTGGGGGTGGCGCTGCTTCTGCCCACCACTTGCTATAAAAGGAGAGCTCAACCACTATCTCTCCACATCCCTTCTTTTTCTAGGTCGTTAGTACTTGGAAAGGAATAAGTTGCCAACAACTCGATTAGAAACTCTTCTACTTAATCATCCTTCCATTGACTGGTCAAAGGTATTAGAGATAAATATTCAACCCCCAACATACACCCCTCCTTTGAACCAACTTCGTGTCGCTTCTCAACCAAGGGATAAGGTGGAAAATCTTTTGTAACTTACATACACTCAGATGGTCGCTCTTACGAGGAGCCAAACGCGAAAGAAAAGGGAAGATGAGATGTCGGGAGAGGGGGTTGCAAAAGAGGTGCAGTGTAACACTGGTATTTCACAACCTAAAGAAATAGTCGATCAAACAAGAAAAACCACGAAATCCAGGCGCAAAAGGGTGGACTTAACTCCTTCAGTCAGCCAATCGCCGGTTCCAAGCCGCGATGAAACTTCCCTGCCATTGGAGTCGGTGCCAAATGCTTCTAAGACACTGACCGAGGAGTCCCGTTCATTACCACCGGGCCCACCAGATTCTTCACTGAACAGCAGCTATGACTTTTCTTCAGCCTCACACCCAGCATCCGATCGAACGCAATCCTCGTCCTGTATTCTAGGTGCTCCACCGAACAGCCCTGAAAACAGCCATGACTTGCCTCCGGCCTCACACCCAGCGTCGGAGGTAACGCAATCGTCGCCCCATATTCCAAGTGCTCCACCAAGTACTCCTCAACCTCTCTATGATGTTTCCCAGGACGTACAGTCATTGCCTCATGTTATCCAATCGCCTCTGCAGTGTCTAACTTCGCCGCCGAGTACGCCACTGCTCAGTAGCAGTATTTGTGAGGACTTGTCGGACGCTACAAACTCACTACCTCACACTCCGGAAGCTCCTCCCAATTCTCCATTTTCGTCGCCTGAAGGTCCAAGCGCCCCAAACAACAGCTTTTGTTCGACGGTGGGCGTACACTCTGAGGTTCCAAATTCACCTTTACAGAATGTGGGATCGTTATCCAATTCCTCAGCGGGACTGCCTGCCAGTCTCACTGCCTCCCCATATAGATTCGATTCAATGGCGGAGATTCCAAGCTCGCCACCTCAAGTGATCCAATCCGCTTCTAATGGAACAGAGGGGCCGACAGTGGCAGGCAGTCTCACCGCCTCCCCATGTAGATTCGATTCAATGGGGGAGATTCCAAGCTCGCCACCTCAAGCGATCCAATCCCCTTCTAAGGGCACAGAGGGGCCCACAGTCAGTGAAGTTGGCTCTCAATATGTTTCTGAATCTGCGCTTGAGCTTCTTAGCCTAGTGCCTGAGGTATCTCGGTCTCCGGCAAAGGAACCGGACGGGTACCTAGTCGGACTTGTTACCTCCCCCACAGTCAATGTTGCTGAGTCTGAGCCTGAGTCTGTCAGCCCAGCAGTTGAGGTATCTCAATCTCCCTCAATGAATCAAGAGGGATCACCGGCCGGGGTAGTTGCCTCCTCAAAGGTGTATGTTTCTGAGTCTGAGCCTGAGCTTCCCAGCTCAGGACCTGAGGCAATTCAATCTATTCCCAACAGCCCAGAGGGGTCACCGGCTCTGGCCCACTCTGCATATGCTTCTGAAGCACCACTACACGACTTGGATAATCAGGATCATGTCCCATCGTCAAGCAACGGATCACTCGTTGATACCCAGATATCCCCAAGACCTCTTCAACAATCTTCGCGGGTTCTTAGTCCAGCTTTCGGATGCGATCCATCTGGCTTCGCGCTCCCAAATCACAGTGTCCCACATGAAATGTTTGATTATAGTTCGGACACGCCTCGTGACCCGCCCGAGGTATTATTAATCCATTACATTCCTAGTGGTAACTTATTAACGTATGTTCCAGCAAATATCGTCCGATAGAATCCTTTGGGATGCTTCTGATACGCCGAGGGAGGCCCCTATTGTGGTGCGCGATTTGTATCCGGAGCATACTTCGCCGGAGGTAAAGCTTGAAGAAGTGGTAGTACACCTCCTTTTACCTTTTCTGTATATTGATCTCTAATGGCTCTTCAGGTAACTCCTAACATGGCAGAGCTCCAGCAAAACGAAACACAAGACCAAGACGGCAACCGCACACCCTTAACATTGGGCGCCTTGAACCGCTTTAACACTACACAGGTGAGATATTGCATAGTTAAATAATTCAATGTTGTATGCTAACAGACTACATAGCCTGATTATATGGACGTTGATTCCTCTGCTGATGATGACGATTTGAATGACACAAAATTAACTGAATTTCCACGATATGCGCGTGTGGGACCCAGGACTATCCAAGATTACCGCGCACTTGGTGCCGCACAGCAGGAGGCGGAATTAATGAGAGATGCCTCAGAGGCGCCTAAACAACGCATAGCAACATTTTATGCAGCCCAGCAGGAGGCGGAATCAATGGGAGATGCCGCAGAGGCTCCTGAACAATTCATAGCAATGTTTTATGCAACCCAGCAGGAGGCGGAATCAATGGGAGATGCCGCGGAGGCTCCTGACCAATTCATAGCAAAATTTTGTGCAGTGCAGCAGGAGGCGGAATCAATTGGAGATACCGAAGAGGGATCTGAACATCAGACAGAAATTGAATCAGAATTTAACTGCCCGATGCATGAAGAGGACTTACGTCTTGGCGCTGAGATTGTCAACGCAATTCTAGACGCTGATATCCCGCCCGAAATCGATATCCAGCAGGATACAAGTGAGAGATTCAAATCATCAGGCAAGGCTGCTGCGCATGTCGAGAGTTGGATTATTCAGAATTTGCCTCCTAGGGCACAGGAACTTCTTATGTATAACAGAAGAGACATTAGTTCGGATGAGGCGGCCACGATGTTCGTATTTGAAAGACAGCTCATGAGAACTCTTATTGATGAGAGAAACCCAAGCCTGATGTGCCTTCGACCAGGACGCAAACCTATCTCTCCGATCATGACTTCTCAGGAGCATATCAGTAATCTTGAAGATGAGAATAATTTCATTATAAATAGGTTCAAAAAGAGTATTAAAGAAGGGGACGTGAAACAATGGATTGAAGAGATGGGGGAGTGGTTTGAGGAAGAGGAAGGCTGTATTTGGGGCTATATTTCAATGCTCCACGAAGAAATACGAGGGGTGGCCGTCGCTTACGCCAACGGCGAGCAAGAAGACGATGAAAAGGCGTCTGTTCTCCGAAGGCTTTCACAATATGATCCTGATGGATCTCCGGGTCCTCGATTTGATATCGAGCATGTCATACGTACCCAACCCATTTCAGGCGTCCGTCCAGGTGAGAATGACTACCCTAAAGAGCACCGTCTTCTGGGTACCGACTACGCAAGGAACGATTTATTTAAACGCTTGCGCCGTGAACCAGAAGAGTTGCCTGCGGATAATCCCCCTCGTCGTCAGGTAGAAGGACACCAATCATCTCTACCAGTTCTGCCAGTGTATTCAAATCTGCGTGTCTGGCCTCACCACCCGGCGCGCTTTTGGCCTCATCGCCCAGAGCACCAATCTGGACAGGAAGGCTTTGACAGAAGACCGGATGGAAATGTCAACGTTTCTGATACTCACAAAGTGGTGACGCACAAAAGACGTCGCTCAGATGTCGTAGGAGATGGGCACGATGATGAGCATAAACGACGTCGTCTAGACGGTGTGGGGGGGGGGGGGGGGGGAACTAAGATGATGATCATGAGTATCGTTAGCTAAACGGTACTCTGGGGGGAAGCATTTTGGAGGCGTGGATGCCTCCTCAGTTACTCACCTGCCAGGTTACTTCAATTATTCTATGGCGCGCATTTCCGTGTGCCACCATTTCATTATCTTCCATTTCATGTTTCATATCTTATGTAGATTATGATCTGACAGTTTGATAGCTATTGGTTGGCTTCGTTATTAACCACCTGGAATAAATATGCCAACTGAATGAGGTTTAATTATTCTCATTGGGCTTTGATCGTACCTTACTGTGGTTTATATAGTGCACATCAGCGGGACCCTAGCTTACGTGCAACAAGGCACGTTCCCGATGAAATACAATATTGAGGGGATACTAACACGGTCAGAACTTGTTTGAGGGCAACTCGAGGAAACGGTAAGAGATCATTTCCCACGAACAAAAGGTAAAATGCATACCAAATTTGATGAACTCCTCAATGCTTAGATTTTGTGTTTGATGTGAGAAATCGCCAGATTCCGGAGGCCTTTGCATGTATATAGATCTGATGGTGGGGGTAGATAGGACGCGCTGTGCACAAAACCGCATCAAAAGATGAGTACGTGCGTAAAATTTACTTGTGACTAACGAAAATCACTAGTGCCAATGGCCAACTACGTGTAAGTACATGTAGCCACACGCCAACAAATGTGCCTAGCCAACAATCGAAGGAAAAACAAGAGCAGTAATGGCTTCACTCAAGGCTCTACTGTACAAGCTCCCCAAGTCATTGAATCTGGGATTACCGGTATTGCAAGGTTGACGCACCCGAGACAGCAAGGAAGAATGTAATATCCAGGTAACCATGTCTATATCTACATACATGTAGTCATCGAATGTATACATCTTCGAATGAAATCTTTCATCTTTTCCTCTATTTCTCAGCCTGCGGTTTTAAAGAGCACAGTACACCTCAGATATACATACAAGAAACATAACGAGATCTCTGCATGAGGATACGCGGATGTAACTGGTACTAGGATTCCATACCAAATTATAAAGTACACGGCAGAGACTGGGAGGACCTAAACGGTCTTACATGATTACAAACAAAACGCATGGGGCAACCCGATAAACATTGAATTACGGTTGAAAAAAAATACTTGCCAAAGAAGAATGGTTGTTACACAAGGCAGCAAAACCTAGAATTTGGTTGCATGGGATAGGTAGACGAAGTGCACTAGACAGAAAGAGGGAATTTTCAACGTCCTGTGCAACGTGCCCCCAGACGTAGAAACTTCCTATATATCTGATGCTGTCTAGCTGACCATTCATTTGTGTGTATTCAGAACCTGTGGCGTCTGTGGCACTCTGTGGCAGAAGTTCGATTGAGGGAGTGATATTCGTGCGCAGTTAAAAGACCTCCTGTAATGTGCACATCCATTACCAACTAAGGCCTAAATTGGTTGAATATGGTTAAAGCGCCACCTATCAAGAATGACAGAGCTCGTGAAAAATGCGGGACAGACGAAGGGATATTCATATATTAAGGAAAGCAGCTATCGCGAGGCCTATAGAAGATAATAACTTTATTAACCCAACAATTTCATTTCTAAGCACCAACAAGACTATATGTACGCATATGCAATGCGGCAGCAGAAATCATGGAGTAAGTCGAATAGCAAAGGTTGTGGTCAATGCTCACAACCGCCTTATCTTATCCCATCGTATCTTATTATATCTTATCTTATCAGGATCATAACCTGAGAACTTGATAATACCAATAGGTGGTATTAACAGTGCGTAAAAACGAACTTATATCACTATTCATGTGAAAACTTTATTTTGCTGCGAGATCTATTGCCTCTTTTAAACCAAGTTTTGATTGAATTATTTTTTATATTTGCCATGTTCACCATGATCTTTCCAGGAAGCTCTCTGTCTTACACGTAGTTTAATTCCGTACAAGCCAAAAATACATGTAAACTAAGAGAGGCACTTAATTACATGGCCCAGGTTGTAGAGCGAATAAAAAATCAATTCCCTTCGTTGGTGATCATGACTACCCCTTCTATGACCAAAGATTCAGTTATCTTTAGGTTAAGAAGTGTGAATATCGAGTGATATCTCATGATGAAGGCCATCTAGGAGGTTTACGGTTATACCAATAATGAGAACCTCACAAATAAAGTAAGAAGTAATAATTGCATAAAGGTGATTTGAGATAACCATGTCTTTGAAATATAGGTGCCTTCGTGGTGAGCGCGGTGTGTCTCGTGCTGTGGTCGCTCCACCTCCGGTTGTGTCCTTGTTTTTGTAACCCAAAATATTTGGTTGTATTTTCGCAACGCAGCCCACGAGGTGAAGATTTGCAATGGGTGGAGAAGCAATGCTCTCTAACCCTGGAGAGCCGACCCCGGAAAACTTTGGGTTTGAGACTTGGGCAAAGTGTTTGACGTTCGCGAGTTGGACTAGGTCTACTACGGATTATGAGCCAATACTACGACGGGGGTATGGAAATATGTTCTCCTTACCATTGATACTTTAGCAGAGCTTTATTCCCCTGCAATTTAAATATTTCCCTTACTCCGAGTGTAAACCCCGATCTTTGCTGCATTTCTTATCATCTAAATCCTGTAAATTAGTTTACTTGTGCTTTGAGATTGATTTCCACAGTGAAGAAAAAAGCGGGCATGATAATCACCTGAAGGTTTTCTCTTACTTTGTACCAGGCCAGGCGAGAAGTAATCATCTAAATTAAATCCTAGAGGTTCTTAGCTCTTGACGGGTCTCTAATTCCTTGGACGATTGTAGAAGGGGTCGCAAACTGTCATCTGAGACATTTTCTTAAATGTCACCACGCCCGGGCTCGGCACGAAACTTGGTGGCCGCCACTATTTATTAGCTTTTTGTGCTTGCCTCTCTCCCTTAAATTCTGCACAGTGTTACCGATAGTTTTATTCTCTAACAACTCATTTTCTCCCTTTCTTACTTTTCACCCCACCACCCCACCACCCCACCACCCCACCACCCACCTTACTTGTGTGACTGTAAAACCACAACTTCAACAATATACAGTTCAATCTTAAGTGTTATTTCGAAAGGCTGTGCCCCTGACACTCTTCGGACATGATTTCCGACTCGGCATGGGCAAACTCCCGCAATGGGTGGGTGTCCGTACTTCGTCGTCCAGAGGCAATGTGGATCCCACCGAATCCTACAGGCGAGAGTGAGGACGAGTCAAATGAGGACAGCAAAGGGAGTCAGAGCAGCGAGCACGATGATGGGGATGAATATGACGATGAGGACGAGGACGAGGAGAACATGAAGAGTCCTACTCCTCAGAAAACACGCACTGTTATTGAAGAAAGATTTCCACCACCACCGTCACAGTATCCGCTGGGAGTACGCTCCTGGAGAATGAAGGCCAAACTTTCCGTACCTTGGCCTGAATACGAGTACGAGACAGATGATGAATATGATGATTTTGAACCGGTCCTGCTCTTCAGTGAGCCCTAAAGCGACGGATATAACGGAGTCGGCCAAGCTCCCATCGACAGTTGCCCTCAAGAAGAGTTTCCAAAGGCGGTGACTTCCGCGGTCCATGAGAATACGCCAGAGACGGAAGTTGAAGTGAAAGGACCTGCCGATACCAACTATGAAACTTCAACGAATTCAATTCAACCTCAATCAATTATTAGTGGCACTTCGGAGGGCAACAAAGAGAAAGAGAAGTCCGCTGTGCATGAGAGTCTTGTAGAGAAAACTTCACTTGATAAAGATAAATTCCCCCTCCACCGTCTCAATATCCTTTAGGCGTCCACTCCTGGCGAATGAACGTAGGTCCATATGTCGTACTACCTAAGGACCACGATTGGGGGGGACAAGAGAGGGTTATTGCACGTTGCAATGATCGCGCCTTGTATAAGCGGAGTGTGAGGGCTAGGATCAATTCAGAATTAAATAGTAGGAAAGCTGAACCTGTCGTTCATGTTGGAGAGGCTATTCAGCAATCGTCTGCCCCAGCCTGTACTGAAGGTCACGATACGGTGAGTTGTATTAAGCTTCTTAGATGAGGATACTATCTGTGCAATGTGTGCTTTAACTAACGCTCTTACTAACCTAGTTCGTCATTGACCCTGTTGAAGCATCTCCGGCGCCTGAAATGGTTCAGGGATCCGTGTTGCCTCCTGTTACTAAGGAAAAAGAGGTAAGTCAAAGTTTCCCTGACCTACATTGGTCATCATCCTGAGAGGTAGCAGATTGCCTCTTCTATTCCATCTTACTAATACATCTGCCAATCTATAGCCCTCCTCTCTGGGTGTTACTTTGCATGGTTTATCTGTCAAAGCTCCTGTTGTTGATCATCCACAGGTTCGTCCCTTCTTCTTCTTGGCTCGTCTGAAAGCATTATGTCATCGTAGACTGACACCCTCATAGGGAATTAAGTTCAAAAATGAGAAATTTCTTCGCTTGTACCACGAAATGAGTAGTCATATTGATACGAAGGATCATATGGGGGAACGCTCCGTCAACGAAGGCCCTGTAATTGAGCATCATCCTGTTGTACCCCCCTCGGATACAGTTCAGGTCCTATTTCATGTATGTTGCCTACAGAATACTCTGATTACTCCAATAATTCTATGCCAATTTACTAATGTCCTACTTTGAAGAACCACAATCTCGTGCACCCTGCGGTTCAACTGAGTTGGCCACCGCGTTCTGGGACGAGATATGTATGATCCAAACCGTCAACAAGAACCCATTCGAATACTAATACTAGCCGTAGAACTGTCTGCCCAAAAAAGCACCGGAAGTGGATACTTATTCGCCTTTATCTGCATCAGATTCTCTACCGGTTTCTGAAAATCAAAACAATAAGATGCCTTTAGAGAGAGTGAAACGCAAACTTGAAAGTATGAATGATGGACACAACAATGCCGAAGTCAGACCCGCAACGAAAAGGACCTCGACGTGTGCCATAGCTAGTGTTCTCGGAAGCTCGTTCCAGAATGCAATCAGTATCGATGATGATACCGACGATCCTCTCACACCAGCCAAGGCAGCTCAAACATATTCCAATCCGGTGGCTCAAGAGACTCAAGACTTCTCAAACCTTGTTTCCTCTCCTCCAATGCCGATAGCAGATAGGGAGACACTAAATATGAACCGTCTTGAGCAAAGACTAAGGCTTAAAGGAGTGTTCAACCACACAATCGGCGGAAGAGTACAAAAGATTTCAAACCAGCACCACACGCTTGGTTCTTCCATTATCACCGGAGCAAATGGGGGGAACAGAGCTGGAAGCAGCAGACTCCTCGCCACATTGCCATCGTCCGGATACGTTATTCTAGAGCCTAGTACAGATACTGCAGCACCGTCCGAGTCAAACAACACCTCCACCGAGTCCGTCGACCCCAATTCATTCAGAAACTCGCGCCTTGAGATGGATTAAAACACTATGCGAGCACCCCATTCCACATCTACCGTACTCGCATCTTTGGTGGAGATGTGTGTTATGGTTCCGGGAAGACTTCACCGAAGAAGAGCAGGCTTTAGTGGTGTATCTGATGGTTTACTTTCCTTTTTCTTTCGTTTTTTTTGGTTATCTTATTGGGATTTCCTTTCTGTCAGAAACGTTTGATGCTGTCTTGTGTTGATTACTATGGTGGTTTTTTTTTTTCTTCTGTTGAGATACCTTTTTGTATGCGACTTCTTGATCACTCTGTGTTGATCCCTGTATAAGTAGAGCATATCTTCGTATTTCATAAATAAGATTAAGGCACGTTACCTTCTTTCTAAATAATTTCTTCTTGATCTTTCTCTTTTATTTTTCTTCGATCAATTTCATTTTGATTATGTTGCCAACTGTACACTAGAAATATAGATCTACGTATTAAGTCATGATCCCCGTTCTTTAAATTGAAATTAACCCCATATTATCCGCTTATGGCATTCCATTCCAGCTCAAGCAAAATAAACTTGACCTGAAGCCATACCATCATGCCTATCCAGTCCCTAGAGGGCCCTGGATGTAGCCGGCTCAAGGAGATTTAATTTGTATGCAAACATGTAGTTAATGCTTCAGGGAAGATTGAATAATTATTACTGCATTAGGTCTTGAACTAATAATTAGATTCATAGCGGAGATTTATATGAACGCATATGATCATCTACTGTAAGCTCTTGCTTTTTCTAAGTGTATCATCGCAACTGTAATAGTAAAAAGCCATCACCACCGGCGGGAATGATCTCTTTCAGTGCCGTGAGAAAACACTGAATCGCAGCCACCTACATCTAGGATATCTAACACGCAGACAGCTATTCATATAGACTTACTCCAACTAAAATATCACAGATGCCATGTGGAGATGATACTTCTAGACATTTAATTAACGGTGGCTAGATAGACTTCAACCGTACCGCTCACTTATCAGAGAAGCCCGTCCTAAGAAGAAAATTAAACGTATCTCCTGTGCGATATCCGTACCTAATCAAGGCATGGTGATAAAGGAAATAGAAGGTAAGTTTACAGATTAAAGCAGAATTGCTCGAAAGGATTTCTTCATTTTTATTTTGCTCATTTCAAATCATCCTGCCAATCTGACATGCACCGCAGCCCCGCAACCAACTTTTCCCGACCAATTTTCAGAACCGAGGAACCATCCAACGAGGAAAAACCGATTCTCTGCCCTCCATCAGTCGACACCTAAAATACGATGAAAAATCAGTAAGTAGCTCCAGACAAGTTCAAGTCTACGAAATAATAACAGTACATACCAATTACAGAGACCACCCTTCTACTCTATTATCAACCGGTTTTCACACCCATCGCTTTCATCATAGCACGACCGAACCTATTCGCAATATCCTCAAAATTGACTGATAACGTTTCGAAAGGTCATGATGACTGCTGGCCGGGTGCAACAACATATACTCCAAATCTCGAATTATCAGGTGAAGCCGAGGCCAAATGTCAGTCATGGACTCTAGGAACTCGACGCGACGCTGCCCAACGATGGGCATAGCGCGGAGATATTCGAACATAATGCGGATCGAGCGGACCGCCTCATTAAGATCTTGGTCTTGGAGGCATCGTACATGGGTGGGCGTCCTGAAAGCGAGATGCGCGAAGTTAGCTCGGTTACGTATGATTTCGATGATTCGGGTGATGTGTCGGAGATTGGATAGCTGTTCGGCAACACGGTCCAGAACTGTTTCGTTTGGGGTGAGTCCGGGCTGTGTCTGATCTGGGTTGGACGGACCACCAGGAGTAGTATGGTTTGACATTATGAAAGTGGAAGGGCTACTGGAATGATGTTTGAGATGGAAAGCCTGTATTTTATCAAGGTCGATTATACCCTCGGAAGAGCAAAAAAATCAACTTCCTCCCCCATATGTCAGCATCAATGATCATAACCACTGGATTAAAAAAAGGAAAATGGCACTCCGAATAGGAAAAGAAAATGTTTATTACTAGAAGAAATATTCACGCAAACCAGGACGTGGACATGAAACAGTGGGGAAAGCGAGTTTGTCAGGAGATGGATAAAATTCGGGGAGTTCCAAAAGGCTGGAGGATAACATCGCAAAAAACAAGAATCTGTGTTTATTGTGGGAGTTTACATGCAAACAGCAGTCGCAAACCCCAATGGCGATGTTATCAGGGCGGGGCTAAGTGGTCGCTATGGGCTCGATGATTCTTATCTCTTGCTCAGACACTAATGCGAGGACATGGAACTGGTTAGTTCTTCGTGTTACGTGCAACGAGGTGACTGATGAATAGCAATGTTCTCGAGAACTCAGTGTCACGCGGAGGAAAAAGAGAGGATTGGATTGAAGAAGGGAGTTGTCCAGAAGGGAAGCTTTGGAGAGGAGCTCATGCACTTTAGATCACATATTCTTTCGAAGCAAACAGAAGAACGGGCGACTTCATCCTTGTCCTGTGAGTAGTGGGGACAAAAGGAGAGAATTGACGTTGCCTTATATGACCTTTGTTTTATGGATAGATAAAATTGGCCGGAGATGAACATCTTACGATTTTGATTGAAAATTTGATTTGTCGGCAGATGCTTATTTCTGAGATCCACTCCGAACGGTTATGACTTCAGAGGTGCCTGCCACAGATCATATAGGTGATGCAGGGAGAAAAAATGGGATCGACAATTCCTGAATTATAACGGTATAATTTCCCCTCGACGGCTACAAAGCTGGAAATCGTCTTGTTGGACCTTAACACCACAATATCGATACTCAACATGGTTCCTTGCTGCGAGGCAAGGTATTTTAATAATCTCTCTCTGCAAAGAAATGAATTGAAGAAACTTTCAGCCAAAGTATAGAAACCTTACAGCAGAAGATACTAACTGTGGGGAGGTTCTGGCCACTATTCAAACATAACCGGTCCACGCCCCCTCCTCTCGTCATATTGTCATGTTACCCCCGATATGCACAACCAGAAAACGAACAGCCTACCGAAACAATCTTCCCCGAGTTGAGCTAGTCAAAATCAATAACAAACAAAGGAGAAAAGCGCGAATGTTCATATTACGGGAACTGGCTTGAACGCGTGCGGCCGCCGATCTTCCTAGTGTTGATGACTAAATCGTGCATAAGGAACGTACCTGCAGGAAGGGGGATAGGGCACAACAACACAAGATGACAGGGAACCTGCATACTGTTAAAGATCCCGCGCAGGAACCGGACTAAAGCGTGGAAGGAGGAAATGTTCTCTTGCCGCCGTCCTGGGCTGTCCGCCGCCCTTCTCGCAGGCTACACGAGATGCGGCATTCTGGCAACCGTACACCGCCGAGGAATCAGGGCCTTGTCGCTGTAATGGGAAGGGATCGCTCAAGATAGTTTGAAGAGGGCGGTTGGAGGTTTGATAAGGATTCATCATTTCTTTATAATTTGGTGTGTTCAAATCGACTAGAACCGGGGTGCTGTGGAGTACGTTGAACTGAGGACTCCCACGCTTCGCAGACAATACCATATTTACCGTAGCACAGCGGCCCAATCACGGATAAAAAATGAGTTATTCCTGTTCAGAGCTCACCGACACCAGAGAGCCACGCCCCAAATCCTTAAACAGGGGCCTTCTGGTGTAAAGCGGGGGTCTTGATCAAGCTCCGGTATGAGTGCTAGTAATTTGGCATTTCCTCTGCTCATCTAGCTGTGGGTCACACGTAACAATCGGATATATTCGTCTTGTACAACGTGAAGCCATAGAATAAGATAGATCGAGGATTGTACGTAGTGCTAGTAAATCTTGGGAAACAAATGACTCTAGAATAAATCAGATATATCAAGATGTTGAGCGCACCACCGTTCTGACATCTTCTTCCCTTACTAGGACATGTGAGTGGTCGATACCGTACAATTTCCTCATAAACATATAGAATGTCTACAAAGATTGTGCTATCATATGGAAATGGGTATTTTTTCAGCGTCCTTTGCCATCCCCACTGCTAGAGAACCTAGGCTCTCTGCGTTAAGCCCAAAGAGACAGATATATCAACTTAAAAAGATACCGATATCTCCTGTTTGATGTGAACACGAACGATTAGCCCATCAAAACACATTAGCCGCATCTACTGGCTAACCTGTCCTCTGAATCATAAAAGAAAATATAATTCCCCACCTTCGAAACTAAACTCCATATCCATCCATATCTCCGCTCCTCCACCCAGCAATCAACATGTCTACCTCAAGCCCGCCTCCCTCGCCTTCCGCCACCACGACCCCCACTCCGAGCAGCTTCCACCAAGTATGCAAGCGTTTCCAATTCCCACCCACCACTGCACTCGCCCCGCAGCAACTACACATCCTCCACAGCATCCACAAACATATCCCGACAATCAACCACATGCGCCGCGGCTTCACCACCATGTCCCGCGCCCCCACCATCACCACCCCCACCCCCACCCCCACCTCCACCTCCGCAACACATCCATGCCTCGTCTGGGCGCGCACGCTGTCTATCAGCCTCTCCAACATCCTGATCGCGCTATGCAGCTTCTGTGTCTTCCGCGAAGACAAGACCGGCGGCGACGTGGACCTCCTCGTCGAGATACTCGAGCCGGTGAGTGTGCGGCTGGACGCGGTGGCGAAGTCCTATCAGCAGCTGCAGATGGACCCCGCGGTGCTGAATACGCAGATGTATAGCTTTGCGGTGGCGGGCGCGGAGGCGCATCTTAGGACGGTTATGAGGGTTGCGGGGTGTTGGTGGGAGGATGCGTATTTCGACAGCGTGGGGAGGAAGAGGAGGGGGGTAAAAGGGGAGGTGTCGGCGGAAGCGGAGATAGAGGGGAGTGAGATGGAGGGGAGTCTGCCGGAGGGCGGGATAGTAAAGGGAGAGAGAGGGGAGAACGATGAGATCGTGGTGAGACAGGAGAGTGTTGTGTCTGATGATAGGACGATAGTGGAGGACAGTGTGGTGTCTGATGACAGGACGGTGACCGCGAGCAGCGTTGGGGCTCAGACTCGCGGTGGGAGCGTGTGGAGCGCTGCAGAGGGAACGGGGAGTGAAACTACTGCTTGCGAAGAACATGTTCAGAATGCCTCTTCTGCGGGTAGCAGTGCAGGAGGTCGACGCAGCGCATCAACTACAGTCAGTGCAGAAAACACGCAAAACGTCTCCCGCAAACGGAAATATAGCACAGACCGCGATACAGTCAGCATGCCTGAAAGTAGTCCTGAACCTGACCGCGACACGGATAGCTTTAAGACAGGTGGTGGAGAGACGGATCGTGATACCGATAGTTGGAGGTTAGGAAGTGCAGTGCCTGATGGGCCGTCGCTAGAGACGGAGACGGAGGCGGAGATGGAGGATGACCCGTGGAGTGAGTCGGCCTCTAGCTCTGATTGTTAAATATTACTCTGAAAACCTTTGTGTATTCTAACTTATTAACCTATTGTGGTATTATCATAGATGATGAGCTGTTTGCGTGTACTTCGAGCCCTGTGTGGTTTATTTAGTGCGTCGAGATATGGGGGTGATAGTGACGGCGAGAGGGCGGATATACAGACCATATCGGCGGTCAACTAACGAGGGATTGTAGAGGACCATATGGGCATCAATTAATGAGAAATTGAGGAAGGCTATATCGCTGGTTTTAAGACTGATGTATAGCCCTTGGTTGTTTGCGTGTTGCCTAATCGGCGTTGGGAGTCATTTTCCATATAAAGTACAAGTACGTTCGCGAATATAATAATAGCACTTTGAGATCAGAAAGCTTGATATAAAGACCACCACTCTCTGTCTAGTCTCCAGTTCTCCCTCGCAATATACAGTATACGCCATGGTTGGCGGACCGTAATAATGATATTATCAGATAACTGTGCCCCCAGGTTGGTAAGGGATTATCGTTTTGATAAAAATACATTAACTGTATCAGCAGATTTGAGGATAGGTCGGAGGACCTGTCGATGATATCTTCCTTCACGCCTGATCATTGCCGCAAACTAGCCATTCCAAGCCCCGGTAATCCCAACCAAACTCTAACGAAACCCCGAGTAAGCAACAGTTGGGAGTGGTTTACTGTTCCTATTAACCGCATTAACGAAAAACAAAGAATTGACAATCCGAACATTCCACTAACCTCACAATCCGTACCCACATGTCTCACTCCAACGGCAGACGCACTATCCTCCCCATTCCCATAGATATACAAGCTCACCACACACCCCATCTTATTCGCTGCTATCGTCACTCGCTCGGCAAAATCGTCATAATCCCCTGAATGCGATCCTCATGCGCGCGCAGCACCTGCGCCCACTGCTGATAGATGCCCCTCAGCGCGGGTATGATAACCTCTAGCTCCACCAACACCACCCGGAGATTGGAAAGCTTGTGCAAGTCGCGCGCGAAGATGACGCCCATGCAGGTGCGGATGTAGGCCAGATTTTGGATGATGGTGCCGTTCTGCTCGATGGGGACGAGCTTCGGGGGGCGGTAGGTAACGGTGGAGCGTAGTCCGTGAGCGCGAGAGGTGTCGTGGAGTTGGCTGGCGATGTCGTCGGTTCGCGTGAGCATGTGGCTGCAGTCGCGGAGGAGGCGCGCGATGTAGAGTGGGTCGGTGCCGGGGAGGGCGACGGCGGGGTTGGCGACGGCGCGCTCGATGTCAGCTTTGATGCGGGTGCGCTCTGCTTCGCTCCAGGATACTTGCATGGTTGTTGAAAGCTGTTACCCTTGGGGACGTGGTCAGCTATGATGTCCTCTGTTTGTAGGGGAAACGCGATGATGCCTTATCTGTGTTCTGGATGAAAATAGTGATGATTAGAAGAATAGAGGGGGATGAGAACGGACGAGGTTGATGAAGTGCGGATGAGAAATATCTTAACACATTCACAGTAAACACACACACACACACACCCCTTTCCAACACAGTCCGGGAGAGTAGGGGGCTCATGATAGATCCGTCACCTCTATCAAAAAGTCCTAGTATCTCTATTCAACTCCCCACTATAAATAAAAAGATTAAGTCTAAATGTAACCTTTTCATATTTGTTGTACAGGGGCCAGAGATCTATATAAGACAAACAGATCAAGTTGATTCACTGCTGTTATATACTGTCATTCTACCAATTTAAGCAACGCAGACAGAGCCTGTTAATAATTCTACCCACTAGGTTCAAGTACGACAAGACGCCCACTTACCTTTTTACCATATAACCTTAGTACCAACAAGCTCGAGTAATAAAGTATAAATTGCTGCGCGAATATCATCATACTCTTGTGAGGTTATTGATGCGGTGATAGTACTTCTTTCTCTGTTCTGCCCAGACATTAGCTAAACGTAACCTCGACATGTTTCGGTCAAGTAGATACCCAGTAGAAATTAGCACGTTATTGCTATCCCCAGCGTAAGGTGAATCCCCTGCAGTTGTTCAGATAGTACCGGAGATTCTCTATGAACATGTTTGGAGGACCATAAATCTCATATAGCATTCGTAATGTCGAAGTGTCCACGTACAAAAGAGGTTAAGCTGTGAGTGTATAGAGAAAAGGAACTGAAAGAGATGCGGAAAGCAGAGGTAATGACAGACATCCTTGTATCATTGCCACGAATCAGAAAGGACGTAAGTAACTCTAGCGTTCAGTATTTGTTAACATGGACAAGAATCTTTTGAAAGGAAATGACGAAGTAATGACAGAATGAAGAATTTCAATTATCACCCACAATCCCCCGTCCACCAACGACAGCGCAAAAGACGTCCACCGAGCAGCACTCCCTCAACCAAGCAGCCCCCGTATTCTCTAAACGCTTCAATCACTCCTCCATATTGTCAGACATAAACCCCTTCAACCATTCCTCCTTCATGGCCCTCCCAGACATGCCATCTTTGCGCTTCTGTTTCTCCTCCTCCTCACACTGCAAACTGCACAGCAACACCGCACACGACATCTTCAGCTCCGCCTCCATCGTGTCGTCCGTCTCCCCCACCGCCACGAACCTGACATACTCCCCAACGCAGTTGACTAACTTCACCAGGCTCGCCACCTTCTTGGCGTGCGAGATGTAGTGTCTATCAAGCTGCTCGACCCCACGCACAGACGCGATCCGGTTATCCGTGTACACCCATGCGAAGGTTATGAGGATGTAGTACAACGTCTTGAGGAGAGTGCCATCGGCGGCGCCGGGGACTGTGGTGAGGATCTTGGGGTACTCGGCTTGAAGGGTGGGGTCGTCGACGATGCAGGCTAGGAGCTGGGAGAACCCTTGGATGATCGTGAAAGAGGAGTGAAGTACGTGGAGGTCGCGTTCGAGGTCGGAGGGGATTAGGAAGCAGCGGGTTGTTTGAAGCTCTGAGAAAGGGGCTTTGACGGAAGCTATGAGGCTCGGCCAGTTGATGTCCGAGAACATGGCGGTTAGTGGGGGTCACGAGGTGTTAAAAGAATGTGAAGGAAAGTAGTTATTCTTTAAGAATATACGGATAAGATTATCTTGAAGGGAGAGTGTATTTGATCTTATTGTGGTAGTGGGTTCACTTTGGTGCGGACAAAGGGGTGTCGAGTGGTTAGAGGCTCCAGAACCAGAGTCTTTTGCCCTTTTCAGCCTGACCACTATCTTCGAGCCAAGAGGTGCTTGATCCCCTAGAAAAGAATTGAAGTACCACAAATCTCAAGCTGGTCATGGAAGCTGACCTTTCAGTATACGTACTGCATTTATTCATATACTGTGGGAATCCACAAGCAACGCCCGAAAAAGCACAACAATGTACGAAGTGAGTTGGAAGTACTTTTGATAGTTTACACTATATACACTCTCTGAATCTATCTACAGGCTAGCACACTACCGGCATTCATTTCTAATGCCATCGAAAATGCCAAATTTTCTTTGGACTCCACAACTAGGCCAGGCGTCAGGTTCATCGTCAGTTTCTTCTCCCGGGGGCCAACAGGTGCGTTTAAGTCCTCCACTCAGTCCAAGGACACCATGAGAATATGGAAGATCGGCGCTGGCCAATCTTGTACCATGTCTCTGTGAGGTTCCCGTATTTAAGAACTGTTCAAGTCGTTAGCTTCTTTCGAGCTATTAGGATGGGGGAATTACTTACTGACAATCTTTTACACCCCGTGCCAACCAAGAGCATTTTCTGGTGGTGATGCTGAGAACCTCCTCCCCTCTGAGGCCGGGTCAGAGCCGCTACCTAGCTAGGGACATCAAGTTAGTTCAATTTAGGTCTCTCCAGAACTAAGAAAAATGCAGTCTTACCCATACTTCTAGGGCAGCCCAGCAGGAATGATGGGCCTCTTCATCTTCTGGACCCCCCAATGGTGAACATGGCGCAGCCGCCGTGAGTTCCGAGCACCCATCTGTAGATCTTGTTCATCTTCTGGGTCCACACCTTGGTGAACATGGCGCAGCCGGCTGTGAGCCCCCAATGCTCACCCCGTTGCGAAGAAGGCCAGTGATCACACTGGGACTACCATTTATTATATTAGCAGAAGTAATTAAATTGCGTATGCGTAACCGTTGCGGAATCAATACTTTTCACGTCATCCTTCTTTCACGGTAATGCCCGCACCACATATTAATGGTTCCCCTACCAGGGAGGCCAGATATAACTGGAAGGTCTTCAACTCTCCCCCAAGATCCGGGACGTATCCTGCCAGGGGTTAGCATAGCTGTAACAAGCATGAAGGTAATGATGGGCGCACAAGTCAGGAAGCAGATGTTCGTACCTGGATTCCGGAGGGTATGCCAGGAGCAGCAGCCAGCCACCAATAGCTCTGCTCTTTCATCCTCACCGCAGGCACAATAGACTCGAACCCATACGAGGCACCAAATGACCGCGGAGGGTCATCGAGTACTCGATGGGTTCTTCTCATTCGATGTACCCAGCGAAGAGAACTGTGATACTGTTATAGATCCCCGATTAGCAATTTAGGATATATTGATAAGATATTTTCGTCAAACGATATATGTTGCTGCAGTTGAAATGGATACTTACAACGATTCTCGAGCAAACTCAGGTCTCTCTTATCAGCTGTTGAGGAGCACCGCTCCATGGGTTGAAGCTCCAACCAAGAGATCCGTGCTACTGTTAAAGACTCCCGATTAGCATTAAAAGTTTACTTCGACATAGGTGAGAGAGTTGGGATGAAGGATAAAGCCTGGTGGGCTGAGGATTTTAATTGATACTTACAACGGTTCTCGAGCAAACTCAGGTCTCTCTCATTGATTATCGAGAGGGGTCAATACCATTTGATGGTAATAATAGTTGGGATAAGAATATAGGTTAAGGAAATAGTTTAGGAGTGAAGAGAGTGAGAAGGGTAGCAGAGGGAGTGTCTGTAGGAGAGGAGACAGACAGGGAGCTGAAGTAAGCAACGCCAGATGAGGAGCGCCAGGGTTCCCCTGTGGATTAACAAACGCTCCCTGGGTGTCGGTGCTATTGGATAACGCGTCGGCATGTAGAGAGGAGACGCAGAAAAATCTAGCTAGTCCTGTGTTCTATTTTCCTTTAACTCATCCTATATCCGGAACCCCAAACATTGCCCCACCATTTTCTCAACCCCTCGACGGGTAGTCTATATATATCTATTCTTCACGGTGCCTGGTGCCTTTCGACATATATCCGTCACGATTTCCATGTGCTCAAAATAAAACTGACGCTATTGCCTTCTCTCTTAAACAAGACTTGAGCAGCTTTATTTGCACCGCTCTTCCCTTTCCACTTTCCCGGACTAAGTTCTTCTCGGGAGTCATAGATATGTAATTATTAGATTTCAAGGTTTTAGTTGCTTGCTATTACAGATCTCCGTTCTTTTATTCTCAAATATTGTGACAAACCGGGTTGTTAAAATGGACGAAGGTTAATATTAGATTCGTGAAGTCTGCAATTAGTAGAAATTCATTTGTAGTTTAGTGTTCCTGCCAAGCCAATAGTAGTACCGAGTGAGATCCGATGAAGCTTGGTATAACAACGAGTGAGAGAACATGATTAAGCGAGTGAGAGCTTATGACGGCACATGGAACCTCGAACTTAGAGAATCAAGTCTTGGGAATCACAACGAGCTGAAACAAAATTGGTTTTGATATTTTATTGTGCTTATACGCTCTCTAAATGCGGCATGCCGGAGAACAGCTGTGGGTTTGTTTTCTGATGCGGCTACCCACATTCGCAGAGTTGCGGCTCTGCGGGGGGGTGTCTAGGAACGATCTCCATGGCTTCAGGGCGGGATGCGATGTCTCCCCACCGACTATTCATCTTCTCGATATATAGAACCCAGAATAAACTCCTTTTCAAGGCAACACCGTGGCTTTGCTTTTGAATATCTTTCATCTTCTCGTTTTAGCGCAGTGTCACATACACAGCTATCGGTATGGGTTCGTTGAGTCTCTTCATCTTGCATCGTCTCCTTACAAAGACTATTGCTCTCGATATCCATTGTCCTCAATGTAGATATATCTAATAAGCCTGTCTTTTTAGAATAAAACAGACCTGAACGGTTAATCATACCTGGGCGCTGCTCTACCCAATTTGTGCCTTACCTCCGGCGAAGCTGGCAAAAAATGTGCCTAGCCCCACTCAGCGCACCACTCTATCCATATACTCCGATATCTCTTTCAGAAGAGTAGCGTTCAACATTTCGGTTCCTCGATCTCAGTTCTTTGTCTGATATGTCGGTGGTGAGAGAAGCCCTAAATAACCCAAACAAGGCCCTTTGTAAACTAAGATCCGGGTGATATGCCAGGTATTACTCTTCCCCCAACCTACAGGCGCCGTACCTTGAGAAGGCTAAGACTACTAGGCTAATGGGATGCATTGGCCGCTACTCATTCCATAAGAAATCCCGTCCTGCTGATAATACAAGCCGGGAGGGGGGTCTACGCAGCCTGTATATCGATATCCCATGCCTCCCGTCGGTTCTATCCTATTTTTGGAGCGAATTCCGGGTTTCAACGCGAGAAAGCAAGGCCACGAGCTTCTCAGTAATGCTGGTTAGAAAGGAAGAAAGGATATCTACCACGAGACTTCCGGAGGTCGCTTTTGAGACAATGAAACTGAGGTCCAGATTCTATTATCGCAGCTTCGATACCGTCCTTCCTTTCGCACGAACAACTGCAGCAGAAACATTACAGACGATCTTCCACTCTAGGCACACATCTAAACACGCAATAGCGAGTGCTAAAGCCACAACAAAAAGCATGTTGGATGACCATCCCCTCAGTCTGTGACACTACTTAACTAGAGCAGTGTGCTCCCAAAATTGATAACTGAAAAAGACTGACGAGATGTAAGTACAGCAGAGATACTCTATTTTGACAGCCACTCCGAAATTTCAGCGCAAGGCATGGGGTTTGCGCTAATTTACTACATGATGCAGCATCACCGCCTGATTTCAATGGATACCCATGGTTTCCGATGTCGACCACGGAATGCTGCGCAATGCCTCGCCAGATATTCCATCCTAATGCTATAATTTTGGTTAGAACAAATGCTTCTATTACGTAGAAGAATGAGTTTAGAGACTTGCCGTGTGGAATTGGCGGTGTATACACAAGAGGAATCCGCTGTCCACTGGTCTTTTGAGGTCTTCAATCTTTGCCCTGTCTCCGTTCTGCTTGGCTGGAGGTATTTCTTCCTCCATCACGGATTGCTACGGGCCCCCGTCCCCCTCCGCGCTCGACGTCCGGGGTTGACTATACCCCGCTCTTGGCTGAACATCATTGGATAGCGCAACAAATTCCGGGGAAAAACTAGCATCCGAACTTCTGTGGTGGAGAGGGAGCTGTTTTGTAGGAGGGTGGTGGGGGCTCGGGCGTGCGCATTCTTTATTCCCCACTCCACATATCCATGAAATAAGCTCCTCACGAGTATTAGGAGTGCACATCCCACCGGCCTCGCACGCTGGGACACTATGCCTGTTGTTAGCACGCAGTACTGCAGTACCATTCTGAGGGGGTCAAGGGTCCGACCTACCGTATCTTGTCGCTTTAGCTTGGGTCTTCTTAACTCATCACCGATGATATACCCCTTTGAAAGAGCGGACTCCGGGTTCTGTTGTTCAACATGTAGAGCACCCGGCTTTTGTCGCAAGTTACAACATGTTGGTAGTTGCAGGGCGCGCCAGCTTTCATGAACTCTGCAGGAAGGGCTGTTTCCGGGGGTATCGCCACCGTCGGAAAAACCAGACATTTCTAGATCTTGCTCCTGAAGGAATTTTAATCACCGATTTTTTTCAAAAATGTTGGTCGCGTGTGAAAATATAACGTGTGGGGAAGGTGGAAAGGTGGGCGTGGAGGGAAATGTTAACTCGGTGATGCGCGTGGGGCAACACCCGGGCTGGACTTTGCACAAAGGTTTAAATTTTAAGATATAGCGAGTTCCCTACCAACTGACGACGAGAGCTACCGGATTGATGGCTGCTTCGTGTCTTTCTGGTATGTGCTCCAGAGCTTTCTAAGGGTGTGGCTGGTCTCATTTCCAACGTCGTGCTTCGCGAGAGTTCTGATCTAAGCTTACGTGCGATGTCAGGTGCGGAACGTCTCTTTGTCTATGCAGAAATGTGCTTATGATAGATTAGTGCCCTCCGTAAACTCCTTCCTTTCGCCTTGTAGTTTGGCTGCTCGACTCGACACGTTTAAAGCCGCAAGCCAGCCAATGTCTCGAGCGATCGAGTGTAGCCAGCTCGTGAGTAAGAAGTCTTTTGCTGCTCCTGCGCACAGCCATATCACTTAAACAGCAGCAGTCGACGTGCGGTCAATAGCCCTATTACAAAAAACGACTCAGCCAAGACGTCGCAGTCCCGCACACCCGCCGATGTATAAATACATGTAGCTCGTCTCGTTTTGGTGCAAATTCTTTCTCTACACAATGCGATATCAACACCAATCTTGTCAGTAACAATTTCGATTTTAAATTGAGGTGAAAATGTGAGTTATATCAAGTCCTTCCAGCGCTCTCTGGCCCCACCAAAAATATATTTAATTTTCTTTATTCAAGAATACTTTTATTTATTAATTGCTAACTGACATTTATATAAACAGATTATTCCAACCCCACTACTGCTAGGACATTGGGTGATTGCCAAGTGGGCTTGCTCTCGTCTTGTTGTTTTTCTTTTCAATCCTAGTATCAGTTGCTTTATGAAAAGGAAAACATCAAGACAAGAGTAGGTGGTTCTAGGCAGTCACACAAACCTGTGCTACTCTTTCTAGTCTGCAGGTATTTTCTCTCCATTCTTTTGTCACTTATAATTCGATCAATATATTGTACTAACTCACTTACACCGACATGCAGATGACCTCTCGTTTCTTGTTGTCGGTATGCCTATACATTGAACTTCAGGTTGAGGTATCCAATGACAAGAACCGAGTGGGGTGTTGAGCAAGTGAAGTACGTGGTCTGTTCTTGTCTGGGGGACTATTGTTTTATCTCAATTTTGCTGTTATGTTTGGGTTCCGTAAGGCGTGGTCTGTTCTTCTAAACTGGGTCGCTCAAATATTTCGGTATGAGATTCGATTTGGCTTACAGGACATGATTAGGCAGTTACCTATACCTAAAAACATGCATACATACCTAGTTCCATGTAGCGAGCGGGCGTGCCCGCTTCTTGTACTCTTTCCCCGTGGTACCTCGGGGTACTTAGGTGGTAGAAAGGTACAAGAAGCGAACAGGCAGTTGCTCTACATCTGGGCTGGTTATTGGCTCAATACGTTGTCTGTTCCTGTCCCTTAAGTGTCCCAGATTGGTACCTTTGCCTTTCGAACATGGGATGCGATCGGTCAGTTTGGTCCCATACCGTCCCGAAGAAATATACTCAGGCGTGGTCATTTCTTGTCTGCGAGGGGTTGCATACTAGCGGTTCTTCTACCACTCATGCAGCGCCCCACAGACAAGAAATGATCAGGCAGTGGGTCCATAAGGGTCGATGAAAGTATACTCAGGCGTGGTCACGTCTTGTATCTCAAGTTTGCCAATCAGTGGCTGCTCCACCAGTTGTGCAATGTTTTGTGTACAAGTTATGGTTCGGCAGTGGGCCGGGATTGAGTCTAGGTGTGGCCATAGTCTTGTTGGACCCCTTGACTTTTTTATAGTGAGGATGATCAGTGGGTTTAACAAGATATGGATAGGCCCTTGGATTGGATATGGGACTATATATGGGGCATTTGAGGTCCGGGCGTGATCTGTTCTTGTCAAAGCTGTGAATTTTGGTTTTGTGTCGATGATTTGTGGGTTTGACAAGACATGATTAGGCTGTGGACAAAAAAATGTGGCATTATATGGGACTATATGCGGGGCAGATGGGGGTCAGGGCGTGATCTGTTTTTGTTAAGACCGTGGTCATCATGGGTTTTGCTCTGGGTCGTTGGTTTTGACAAGATATGATTAGGCTCTTGACGTAGGTCGGTATGGCAGGGTTCTAGAGAGGATGTGTCATGTTATGTTTAGTCCGTGCAGGAAGAAACGGATGCCAAGGCGGCTTCAAAGGTAGCAAAATGTTTACATATTTTGCTTAGGTGAATATTGTGGGAGCTCGTTGATTATGTTTGGCACTGATTTCAAGAGATAATGGCTTGAAACTCCGGCGGGGTGTTACTAAATCGTAACGAACGAGAACAACACCCTGTGAATGATTGGTAGATCAAAGTAAACAAGGAGGATGTACCGTAGGAAATCTAACTAAGAAATAGGACAGCAAAACAAAGGACAGCTGCACCGCAATAAAACACCACAAACTCTTTGTAGCGTGTCAGAGGCCATCAATTAGTTCAACAGAAAGGCATGTCCTAATGATCGTTAGGTAACTCTCAGGGAAAAGCATCATTGATAGGGCACGAGTTTTATAGATAAGCACTTTATTAATGAGTAATGAAACAAAAACAACGTTCATAGTTTCGATGTGATTATTGACTACATGTAAATAACTGAGATAATGAATATGAGTTTAGAACAAGATACATAATACAATCCATACATGTAACCATATAACACGACTACTAAATGGTGCCTATATCCACACTACTAACTGCCAAACCTACGACAAAAGCAAGAGTAATACGTGGATAAACCTATGTAGTACGTAGTCACACGGACCTATCATGCAAGACCCAAAGAACAACACCTAAAGAAAAAACGAACTCCATATCATCTTTACTTCATGACACAGAATCAAGCGGCGACATCATTACCACTCAGACAGCATTACAACTATGCCAAATACAGGACACTTCTCCAGCGCTTACAGCAAACCAAAGACCTTTTCCTGCTCATACTCTATTTTCCACCGCCCAAGGACCTCTCTATAACCGGTATTAGAACTCATGGACGCCGACAATACAAACGATATCCAGACTCAAACTTACCACGTGCAAAGGCAGAGCCACGAATCCAGAGCCGGAAAACGAACCGCATAACATCACCAGCGCGGCCCCAAACCTAAATAAACTAGATCAGTCTCCGTACTAACTCACTCACCGCCACCACCTCATAAAGCCATCAAAGAAAAACTCACGATCCAGAACGCCCCCCTCATAGCACCCCAAACCCTCCAAATACCACCAACTGGGCGCCCAACAACTGGCAAAGCAACAGGGACCCTCTGTCCAACCCAGACCCGCGGCGAAGCAACAGGTACCTCCGGCTCAAGACGGATATCAACGACAGGGACCAAGCACTCCTGCCACTCGTGGACCCCACCAGTCGCCAAATACTCCTCCTCGGCGATTCTGAGGAAGTTTGTCCTATACCTTTCCTGCATGTCTATAGGCACGCGTTCGTGCTCAGCGAGGCGCTGGGCGTACATGGCGCGACGGGAGGCGGCCCGGTGGAGATGGACTTGCGCGGGGAGACGGGGGCGGTCTGGGGTGATGGGTGGAGAGACGTTGCGGCGGAGGCGGGGTGGAGTGGCATGTGGGCTGGGGGTGGGGGATGTCATTGCTGATTGATGATGGATGAGTGATGGATGGATTAGTTTGAGAGTGGAGGATAAAGCTTCGAGAAGAGGGTCGGCCTTTTGGGACACTGGGAGCGCTTGGCGGTACGTCGAAAATTAGTGTGAGGGCTGAAGACCTCACAGGGGTATTGTAAGGGTATCGACTTCGGGGGGCTTTCTCGCGCTGGTGAGGAAGTCCATATGTTCGGTCTGGAGAGATTAGGTAAGTTGAAATTGAAAATCTTAGAGCGTGATTACGTAGACACTTTGGGGGCTTCACAATACTTGCAGGGAAGCTCGGGCCATTATATAGTATGTATGGGGTCTAAAAAGTGGCAACCTCACGGAGGAGTAGCTACTGTTTTCAAGCAGGGATGAACCGTGGTTGGCAGCCCACATGAGTAGTTCGTGTGGAGGGGAATATCAAAATTAGCTGCGAGGCGTGGCAACAGGTCACGGATCCGAGAGAGACTGAAGAGGGTCGAGCTCTATGGCTTAACTACATGTAGAGGAGTAACGAGAGAATAAGGAAAAGGCTCCCTTTACAGCTAACAAAGCCGTGATAAACACGTATCATCAAAAACAACAAAGCTCATTGTGTTGACGCAGTACCAATAACCGAGAGCAAAGCCTTTAAAAGCAAAGGTGACAACGTTCGTCTTTGCTACGTCTCATGGATCTCACAAGCTTATCTCAACTTGACTTTGCGTGTTGTGCTCACAGGGGTTGAATAGTGGAAACGGGTGATGTCTCATGATCGAAGAAAAGTTCCTGGCGCAGGCTTATGCTTAGACCGTTTAAGTGCGCTCGTCGCCTGCGCCATCTACGGGTTCTCACTACACTCAACTACAAATTTTTTTTAACGTTTTGATTCATGCTCCAGTCTTGCCCCTTTATCACGTTGTGCATCACCCTTGCGCTTTGTGAGGTCTGCTAACACGCACTCTGACTTTTTCGGTCCCAGAACAAACTCGAGTTCGGCATCAGAAATCTCTCAGAAGCGCCGACCCGCTTCATCTGGCGGTTCTTGAACGGCTGTTCATCTTTCCCTACCTTTGCTTACAACGCATCGACAGCACCGGACCTGCTACATTGGGAAAGGTCTAAAGCCCCCGTTGAAGAAAGATTTTCTAATGGCAGAAAGAAGTACGGAGAAGTATTAGATTATTTCCTTTCTAAGATCTAAATATCGACAACTAACAAGTCCAATCAAATCATCCTACAGGCACTCTTACACATAGCGCAAAACAGGCTCTGGAGGTGCTCCGGCCTTACAGGTCTGGGATAGCAGGAAACGAAAATGCATCCTACGGGCAGGCGTTTTCAAGAGCTTTAGTCTTTTTCAGCTCGAGGACGGCGCTCCATGTTTTCTGTGTCCAGTGGCTAGCGATATGCAAGCTCGCGGTAGTGTTGATTGATGTTTGACTTACACCAACTTGTGGAACTCTGTCATGGATCCTCCATCTCGGCTGAGGGATCTCGTCGATCTCGATACTTAGATCTACTTCCGGTTCTTTAACCTCTTCCCGTGCCTCTAGAGCACGTATCGCTGTTTGATCCCGTATATAGTGCGCCCTCAGCTCCAAGACGTGCGGATGGGAGCCTTCCGGTTGCCATTTATGCTCCTCACTCCCATCTCGGTCGTCGGGAATGTAGGAGTCTCTGTCCATCGATAGATCCCCGAGGCTATCGTCAAGGTCTTCGGTTCCTGATATCTCACGGCTGAAACGGGCAAGGATCTCTGCCACAAGGAATGTGGGCCGGAGTCGTTGTAAACCTTCTAGCTAGAGATATAGTATCAGTGGCGTTTACGTGGTGGAGAGAAAGAAAATACAAACAATTGTTGTTGGCTTTGTCCGAACCGTGGGGGTGCTCATAACCAGTTGTTTGCGATGTATTTGCTAGATATCTTTGGGAACCGGAGGTATGTATAGGCGGAAGAGATCATAGAGCTGCTTCATATGGTCCCTCCATTGTGCGGAATAGAATTCAACACTGCTACAGGATTCGCGAGTCTTCCAATTGTAGCACAGCGAGGGGGGCTCGTTGCTTATAGTATGGAGTTTGTGTATAACACTCAAAGTGCGAGAAAGTGGTGGATGGTGTTGTTGTGATATGTATTCTATGAAGCCCGCGCTCTTCAGATGAGAGGCCACGATGGAGAATATCAGGCGGTGGGGAGCTGGTAAGTTTGTGTAGCTGTGTTTATCGGTATGCCAGGCAAACACAAGACTATGTAATAGGATTGCGCCCTAGCAACCTTTGAAGAAAGTGGGAGGTCTACTATCTAGATATATTATCTTAGCTGCCAATGAATCAAGATAATTATCTTTTTCCTCATACGTTTCTGTGGTTATACCTTTTAGAGAAACATTTGCTCCATACCACCGGGGTGAGATGGATATTTCTACATTCAATCTGCAGCCGAAATCGTTGTTCCTCTCTGTCTTATTCTAGACGTAGAGACCTATGCCTAGTGGTGGGGGGCGGGTCGTTCGGTGCGTTGGGCGCGGGCTCGCGGGGCACGCTGGGGAACGCAATGACCACACCACCAGCGGTGGTGCTGCTGGTTACAGCCTGTTTTCGATATATCTGAGGCCATGATGTAAAGCTGCTTTTCGAAAATCCATAGTGCATGCTTGATATTAGACTGAGCGTCAGATTCTCTGGACGCTGTTCGGTGCCGCTGTGGGGTGGTGTGTGTAACCCTAACCCACGAGCACCTTGTGGAGAGGTAGCCTTTTGATCGGTGATGGAGCGGATCGGTCGTAATTTTGAGTTCGTTTGACTTATTCACGGCATAGAGTATAGGTATTATGAGATTAGTTGTCTTTTACCCCGCGGGCTAGGATATCATGTACCTGCAATAAATCTTGGGTCTACCCAGATGATGTAGGGGTTTGGTTCATTGAATTTCTGCAGTTGAAAACACCGAATCTCTCAATGGCCTACCGGTATTGGCGAATGGTCCCCGAGGTAGTTTGACTGGGCGATCCCTGCTTTGGCTCACTCCCTGGGCAGGAAGGTTATGTAAGATTTAATGGCTTATAAACCTATCTTGGGCTACAACGTTTTTCTTTTTTTTTATGGAACTCTCTGGAAGTTAGGGGTTTTGTGATTAATCGTTTTTCTTTTGGTTTATCTCACCCCCCACAAGTGGTGGCACAAATAGAGACTGCGAGTTGCGCTTTGGAGCATATATGGGTTGCCATGAGAGAGGGGGTCTTCGGCTACCGACTCTACTAGCCCATTCTTTGCCCTCAGATTACTGATGAAGACGAGTCAAATTATCTCGAGACTTTTAGCAAGGCAAGACAGGACCAGGACTGAAGGTCTCGCAACCTATCTCAGTTTTTTTCCCACACCTGAATATGTACCCAGTGCTTCTCCCGAAGGAAATAAACTTTTCATTGGCATTAATTAATTACAGAGGAACGCAATATCACAATTCCACCCTCTCGAAACTCTATCCTTACCAAACGTTCCAGCGGTTGGAGATAACGATACCTATGGGTTGCTAGCAAATTCCTCCCTCTAAACTTCATCTATAAGATAATTATAGCAAGATTCACCCACCACGGGGTGAAATTATGATAGGCCTTCCTGTGGTCACTTCTACATCCTCTTATAGAAAGATCTCCCCCTGCGGCCATCTCGACACCCCAAGAAACTCGAGGATGTCCGATACCAAATCTTGTGGTGCTGCCTGGTAAGCTTCTTCCGGAGAACCTCCTCATTTATCCGCCACTTTTATCCGCCATCTTATCCATAACTCCTTCTTATCGACCAAGTTATTCTCCAGTCCCTCTTATCAACCAGCCAAGATGGCGAAAGATAACAGTCCAAGATGCCAAGATTTTCAACAATCCTGTCGGCGAAAACTCGTCTTGGCATCCAGATCCAATCCTTTATATACTGTGACTTCCCCCGTTCTAAACTTTTTTCCTCAAGCTACACAACTGCACCGCATCCTCCCCCTGTCTAAAGCCAGGGGGGTTTGCACACCACGACCTGTCTCCCTGGAGGGAGGGACAGCGTGGCTTAGCCCTCTCTGGCTCCCGCTCTGGCATAACGCCATAGGGACCAGAGGGGGCTTAGTTGCGTTAGGTCACTTTCGTGGTCTCTTCCCTTTCTCTCCCTACATTCTTTTGTTTCAGGCCTCTTCTGCTCTCTGGGCTTTGCCTGGCGAGCAGAAGGGGCCCGAGTTACGTTAGGCTACCCCCTTCCTCTTTGTTTCAGGCCTCTCTTGGTCCTTGGGCTTTTGCCGGAGGATCAGGAGGGGCCTGAGTTGCGTTAGGTTTGTCCCTCCTCTATCTCTCGTTTGTCCCTTCACTCTAATTTGTGCTCTGTATTTCTTTTGGGAGGGTTTGGGTCTCACTCCACTTCTGGGCGAGTTCGAGGAGTTGGGTGAGATCTTTCCAATTCCGGGGGCACAGCTACCGCCAGCCTTTTGGTTCTTCCAGAGTGGGTGGTGAAAGAATTTTATTACATCGTTCCAAGATTCAATCCTTAGCTGAGAATTCTTTGTGACGAGCAGGGAATAGGTCAATGATTGGTGTGACATCTTGGCGCGAGTGACGACGTATGAGCCAAGACTATAGAGAGATCTATGCGAGGAAAGTATATTTATTTTAATTATGGTCTATCCTCTCACCTGTGTTGTGCTTATTGATAAATCATGCGTTTTGTTCGATATGTGGTGCGTGAAATCTGATAAAGAACATGTATTTGTCGCAGTGAATAATTCGCTGGTGAAGTGGGGTTGCCCCCCCCCCACAACTGGGAGTAGTAAATTTATGGTTGGGGACATGAATTACCTAAGAGAATGCTATCTCCTGTCTTTCTACACTAATTTTCAGTTCCTCCTTCACGCCTTCGGTTTGTGGGTCGTACGGTGAGCCCCTCTCCTCCCCCGGGGTGTCGGTTGTTGAAGTTTAATTTAAGATGTGGGTTTTTGTTTATAACGTATTGTGTGTCGGTGTCGAAGAGTAATCCGATGATATTCGTACCTCACCCCGAAAATGTGTCGTAAATTCCCCTTCGTAGATATAGATGGAAACGTCCTTATCTCTAGATCAGCAGTAAGTACTTTACAACCTCGTATCAGCAAATCTACTAGTTTGACATTTGGATGTTCTCATATATCGCCTCAACAAGACGTAGCTGTTTCTATACGCTCGCTTCACTCTTGCACAATAGTACATTCTCAAGCCCAGCGAGATTGATTGTAAATCATCGTTATTAGGAAAGTGGCGCCGGGCGTAATAGCTTTCCGAGTTCCCAATGGCGTCGATGGACTACTACAAACTGATGACAGAAATACAAAGAAAAGTTTCAAAACACTTCAACTAATCCTTGCGCGCTGGAAGCTCTCTACTCCGTTTGTTTCTCGAGTGGCGAAAGCCGTATCACGCTTGAACTATATACATCTTTGTTGTCAGTGTATACCCATACATCAATGATTGGGATGCGGAAAACAAACCTCGTTCTAAAGAGTATTGAACTTTTCCAGATAGCTAGAAGACTCCATAGGGATAGCGTACGGAGTATAGACAGCAGTAGCGATTCCATTCCCCGTTACAACTCGAAGCTGCTGCATATGCTTTTCTCTTCCAAACGTGGCCGGGTCGAAGAGCTCGAGAAAGAGCGGCTTCAACTCGGCCATAATACAGTTGGGACACTCGACACTGTTACCACGGTTGAATTCCTCGAGACTTTCACAAAGCGCTTCCAGTCTAGGAACTGCGCAGGAGACTTTCATTAAAACCCAAATAATATCAAAACCGGTCATGCGCCTACGAGAAGCGCACCATTTGTCGCCACCAAGCATGATAATTGCAAACCGTTCCAAGATTTTTAAAATATTATATGCCATCCAACGCTGGGTTTCAATGTGTTCCTTCATCCCAGGCTTCGAGCAGCGGCTCTCCTCGATCTGTAACTGGTTGGTTCTCTCGCGGCGCTGTCTGAGCGCCTGGCAAAGCACCATAAAGATGGCTATGCTCTCAGTCATTCTGACTTGATATTCGGGCTCAAGCTCATCATCGGTGAAATTAGGGAGAGTGATTAAGAGAGTTTCGACGCGGCTCTCAAGGTCCTGGAGAATATAGACGTCGTCCATACGGGGCCATGGGACGCGACCAGCTGGGTATCTACGCGTATCAGCACATGGGTCATTAGGTCTCTGTAGATATCCGTACTTACTTGAGTTTGGCTTTGCGGATGAGAGAATAGACTCGATGGGTGCGATTCACCGGAAGAACGTTCATGAACGGTAACGGTAGTATCCTCTGAGGGAAGAACCCTATTCCCGGCAAGGACGGCCACATTTCGTCGGCCCTACAGATATCGTAGGGGATAGTGCACATTCCCGGCATTAGAGGAGGCATTTTCTAATTTCTACACCATTGTCAGTCCGGTACGAGGTGGCTCTGAGGTGGGAACAGTTACCGTCTTTAAAGACCCCGGGATAGAGAGTGGCAAAAAGAAGGAGACAAAACAGTAAAAAGTAGAATGGCCAACTATTCCATGCTTCTAATAGTTGATAGATGCGAAAACTGGCTTTTATTGAAATGAGGAAAGTCTCGGCGGGGACAATTCGCGATTCACAATTGTTGACACAACAGCCCCATCTCAAGTGATGATCCGATTGCCGGAGGTGCCTGAGACAATGCGAGAGGCCGAATCTGTCATTCTTGTGATAGATGATACAAACATTTCTCCTTTACCTTGGGCCTATAGCTGACAGTGGGAAAGATAGATCTCACCCGGATGTATCAGCATTAAGGGCCATCCTACTCGTACACTCATAAGTACATATATTCATTTCGCAGCTTTCGCGCAACCGGTGAAGTTGGTCTGGAAATAACCTGGCGCGAGGTATAGAGAGACGATTGAGGACAGGATAAAGAGAGAGGTGGTAATGAGTTCTCGAAGTTTGCTTGGTGGTGTGGCTTAATACAGGAGTGCAAATGACATAAATCCAACAAAACCTTAAAAGAAAATGCCGTTACCCTTGAGATGGACATCTGCCTGACAACCTCCCTCACAACCAACACCATCCGCTAAGCTACAGAAAATCATACCTTCCGCTAACGCCATGACAACTGTACAAAGAGAACTCTGGTTCTTTCTTCAACCTAGCTCGCGGTTTCTTTCTTTTTTTAAATACGGCAGCGCCATGTAAGACTGCTAGAATAATATTGACGTCAGACATCTACATCCCATATGGGATAAACTGAAGACCGACTACCAGTCAGAAAGAATGAAGAGATTCAGTGACTCGGGATCACTAGGTAAGACTCATACCGGTCGTGGTAATGCCGTCCGCACCCCCCCCCCCCCCCTTTCCACGCCTCATCAGGAGTCGGACTTCTTCCCAAACAGCTATAGAGTGAGTAAGAGAGCTGATTTCCTGTGGCTACATAAATGAGTGGCGTGTAACTGCCGGACTGTGAATGAAAGAGGGCGCTATGCAATCGTTTTCTGAATATGGGTTTTATGAGTATGAAATTGGGAAGGGCAGAATTTGTGTTACCTCTATCCGCTCAGAGATATGCGAATAATTGCACAATAACACTTTTATGAATGGATTCTTTTTTTCTCTCGGGAAAGGGATAATTCTTTCGTAGACCTCGCGCCGGATTGAATGAAGGAAAGAGATATAATGAGATGGACACCACGAAGACGGATGTTCTCCGACGGTCGGATCTCCCACGCTCAACATCAAATGAGTAGTCATCCCCTATTACGAGGAACACCGTCTGTTGGGATATGATGAATATTGAATGCGCCATCTCCGACCAACTGCGTACCGGGATTAATACCTATCTCTTTGATATGGCACAGCAAAAACCAACTTGGAGAAATGGGAGGGAGCAATGTCATTGGTATTTACACTGTCGAGTAGAGACCCAATATCTCTGTCAAAATGTCGACATAAAGGTTTCTAACTAATTCTCCCATATACGTCATCCCCCAGCTCCTCTGAGCAAGTGTCAAGTGCCGGGCCTCACAAATAACTCTAGTCCACTTCGGAGTAACAAATTTAGGTGCTATCTATATATGACGAAGACATATGAAGCATCAGAATATGTCCTCAATGATGTCAAACTGGAGAGAGGATGACGGGGGGATAAAAACCTTTTTCGGTTGCGCCCTAATATCGCCTAAGGGAGAGAGGGTCTTGAAATATCTGGTAACGATTATTCCTTTTTAGGTCGGGTGGGTATCGCGATGCTTAGCTGCAACCCAATGGGCCCTAGTCCCCCCTAAGTCGCAGAGGATAGCTGGGCACAAATAGCCTACCACATTCCGCTGAAAATCGGTTCGTCTCTGGTCCAGGTACCATGATCATGCTACGCCCTCACCACTCTACCGAGTGATTGAGCTGTGTTTGATGGTATTCCTCCCTCCAAATACCGAAGCAGGCACATGTGTGGGAGGAACGCTAACCGATGTTTGTCCGAGTGACATTCTAAGATGCATTGAGTTCTTGGCGGAGAATGATGGCGACTTGGCGCACAAAAATCGCATCGGTAATCTCTTACCATACAGCGCGCCCTCCTAAGCCTAGCTACACAATGGAGTATATTAACGATGTTCGAGATAAAGCGTAGCACAGTATTTTTAATCGGGAGAGGAGGGGAAAAACAGAGCAGTCTCGTTGAAGCTAGTAGCGGTTTATAATTTAAGTGCGAAAATGAATACTTCAAAAATGTTACGTTGTCTGGTCCGGATCTATGTGTATGTAGCGTTGGTAGCGATATATACCTGAAATAATTAAGTTAGTATAAGTGACGCAAACAGAATAGGAGATAGGTCACCGCGTCTCACTCGTTCCTAGTCTGTTTGAGTCTATTGAGGTACAGCTTCGGAGCCTAGAATGAAAGATATACTGTTGTCACTATGAATCACCATTACATGTAGTTACTATAGTGTCAATGACTGATAGCAATAGCAATGTAGTCTGATATAGCAACATATATGTCGTACTGAATCGGAGCCTACAAACCAAGCAGCTTATAAATTAGCTAAACCTTAATGACTATGTTTTTTAAATGAATTCATTGGATACATGATTAATTGGGGGTTTCGTCTTTTGTAGCGTATGAGAATTATGCGTGGGGAAACGGCGATGATTGGTTGAGACGAAAATTTTGATTGGGCGTAGTCAAACCCTGTGGTGTAGGGAGCTAGGTGGATGACACGAAGCTAGGCAACATAACGACAAGTAGTTGACAAATCATAGAATAAAACAACTGTGTCCTGGTTGTTAGCTCCTGTCTTCGCGTATCTATATTTCTTCCTCTCTTTCCTTTTCCTTTCATTTCATCATCACGGACACAAGTATTCGAGCTTTCTCCCAGGCCTGAACCTTCATTAGTCGTCATCTCCTTCAAATCAAATTTGTACTGAACCTTAGTTTCGTTACGACCCATCCTAGACTGCGCCAGCAACCAGGGCATGTGACTACAAGTAACCTCACACCTCATCTTCAAAAAAAATATATATCTCGACTCCCCGTCCCTGTTTAGTTTATCTCGCCACCACCATTTATGAAGTTTATTCTGCGCTTAAATCTCCAAACGGGATCATCTCTCTTCAAACCCCCGCCCTTACTCTAACAACACTCAAACGGCCCGGCATGTCAGAAGCTTGTATCGTTTGCTGGGTCGAGGACAAGGTCCCTGTGTCCAACCGTTCAACCACGGAAATAAAAGAAGCATACGAAAGGGCAAAATCAACTCTCTATCTCTGCGAAGAACACCTTAGAGAATCCTCACTTCCGTCTCAGTGCACACCCGAGGTAATGTCACCTGATTTTTCATCATGATAGCGCCCCACTGACACCAGGCAGACTCAGACACAGAGATTGGTCAACGTGACCTGCCACATAGCGAAAAAAGCGTCTCAGGCTGCTTACGATAAGCTGCTTAAAGATTACCCGCTCATCGTACAAGGCTCGGAGGTCGTTGCAGCCAAAATCCAACAGCTTGCGAACTTACCGGTGGTAACAAATGGCGCCAAACTTATCATCGAGAATGCGACTATGATTGCAAACAGTGAGATTGTTGTCGAGGGTTCTAAGCTCATTGTGGAGGACGTGGAGAAGCTAAAAGTGGGCGCACGACGTATGTTACATGCGGGGGCAAAAAGAGTTTGCGAAGCCACTGCTGAGGGCACGATGGATGACGTGAGATATTACCACGAAGCAGAGAACAGGGTAGACTCTGAGGACGAGGAGTGTGTCTTGATATGAGTGGTTTGATCTTTCTTACCTAGGGTGTGGAGGTGGTGTCGTCTTTGTGGAACTTTATTTATCGTATTTTATTCTTTGTACTACATATACCAATTACTAGCATAAGTTGAATTAAGAGGATGTGGAAATTTAGAAACAATGCCACTGCATCATGGTTTTGATCTGTTGCCATTATATAATGGTAGCGTCTACACATATACCTACATCTATAGATTGGATTCGATACTCAGTGGTGAAGATCAACGGATAACATACGTACATATTACGCTTCACGATCAAGTGAATTCTATATACTGTAAAGATGCAAGAATCGCCGGAGGTCTCGGATGCACGCTGCTGATATAATCATGTCTCATCACTTGTATACTTCCTGAACTAAATATATAGCGTATAACACTAGCCTAAGGCAACACTGGTCGCTTTGTGGGATGAGCTAGGATACATATACTCACATGTAGCTTTATTATCATGTCTTAAGGTCAATGTTAGGTAAATAGAATATACAGATATAAGTACTCATCTTTCTCATGGTATCTATATGATAGCGACTGGTGTGTATAAGTCTCTTGATTTGGATGGGTTTCAGTAGGCAATGATATTTTAACTAACCCAACTAGCCCAGGAGGAAAGTAGATAAGGATCCCGTTCGAAAACCTGTGGCTCGAGGCTCTCATATTCTCACTCGTGTTAGCGGTAGCCAGTTCTGTCGACACTGTTGCATGCTGTTTTCGCTTTTATATGGCTAATTTAACTCCTAGATGGATTATTATTTAAACAGTAATTCATCACGATACTTGCCAGAGGGGACCCTGAGCTCGGCAATCTTAAGCACGATATCATCCTGCCAGTCGTGTCTTCTGACTATAATCGGATTGGTGGAACCATGGGCTTTGACTTCACCCGTAATTTGCTTATTTGATCTAAGTACAGATATTCGTTGATCAGATATACCCCAGACGTGGCCTTCGTCCTCCTAATCCAATTGATCGTATCATATTTAGACAAACTCCCATGTCTCATCCTCTTCATCAGAATCCTCCTCGTACATCCTCCCGTCCCGATGTTCCCCCTCGTTCCAGTTGTATCGCTCGAATGGCTTGGTCTTGTAGTCGATTTGCTTTTTAGGACCTTGAGTAACGATCTTCTTTGCGGCTTCGAAGGTATCGGCTACGCCATCGAAAAAGGCCATGGTTGTTTGTTTTGCCAGGACCGCTTCGCGACGTACTATTTTTGCACTGGCCTTGACGGCGTTGCTTTCACTGGCGATTTTGACGTTTGTGGCCAGGAAGCTCGACGCCTCCATGACCAACGGAATATCCTGGGCGAGCTTAGCTCCGGCAACTGCGATGTTAGAGCCTAGTTTGACCCCTTCCTTAACAGCCTTCACGATAGTATTCTACGGCGCAGTTAGTAGACATGACATTAAATTGAAAAGAAATGACATACATTGCTAGCGCTAGCTACGATAGGAACAGGCTCGGGCCTGTGAACCTTACAAGGACCACCTAGATAGGTTGTTGCCGCTTGCTCAAGCTCCTCCGCCAAGGTGGCACATTCAAAAGCATCTTGGGCCCAGTAATCTCTATTGTAGCGGTAGGTACAGCACGTAGTAGCTTTGAAGAACTCAGTCTCATGATGGCTGAGAAGATGGCGCGCATGCACGGGATTAGAAACACAGGCAGTCATTGTGAACGGGAAATTTGTTTCTTTTTCGGCTCGAGATAACTTGTTGTAGGAATGAATTTGTTGATTTAAAGGGATATGGTGTGAAAAAAACCGTTTTAACGTTCGTGGGATGACATGATAGTCTTGTTCGTACCTAGAAAGCAAGTAAGGTCACTTTTCATGCATAGAAAGACTGCCCTATGTTACCCGCCGATACCCACGTCCTCCACACAAACTTTAGCACCTGACCACCCCGAATTAGCAATCATAAATAGGACCGACCTCATGTGCGTCCCGGATTTGGTGACAACAAATGCCGTACTATACATCAAGTCAATTTACTATTGTCCCTGGCTTTCTCACAAAGCACTCATCAGGGTTAAGATATGAGGCTGACGTATACTCTTTCATGTGTATTGGATAAAAAACTTAACCCTTTTTGCTTCACAGAGTTGACGAATACCTGTACTAGCGTTATAGAAAGGTGATACGCCTTGATAAAAGCTTCAAGGGCGTGGAGAAGAGAAAATTGTCCGTCAAATCCATTGGCCGATAGTGGCAGAACATTGACCAAGGTTTGTGACATCCTTAGCTAGACCAATCATCTCGCTCTCCTCGTAGGCCTTCCATACTATGAAACTGGAGTGATATCTCGCCGGTAATTTACACCCGTATTCTCCAGTTTACATTTATCTACTCACACGACATTCCCGCTTCCAGTTCGATCACTTATTTTTCCTCACCTGGAACGCATACCAATCACGAACTCCTGTTCTTCGATACTCTTTATGGCGGTGACCGATACCCCACCCTCTACAAGGGGCTCAAGATCCGACGTTATGAGTGCGGCTTCCTCTATTGGCGGATTGTGTTCAATTAAGACGTGTCCAGTAAACGCTATCCTTTCTGAGTATAATGTCAGTCTTAATGCTGACAAAGCGTAGGGCACTAGTGGTGGCTTCATACGTGTGGATATTAAAGTGAAACACGTTTCTGCAACCAGAAAGGTACCTCTCATGAGTATTCACACAAAAGACGGCTTTCAGATAGTCAACTATTGCGAGACGGAGAAAGAGGAATTCCTAAAGCAGGAGATCATGGAATTGACCGAATTAAAGAAGGTAGGTGGACGAAAGCCCAGAGCTAGAGTATTTTACGAGTATTTCTAACACCGAACATACAGATGAATCATGAAGATTGCGACGATTCAAAAGATGACGATTTCGTAATGGTATCAAATGTTCCCAAGGTATAGGGGTTGTTTGGGATGAGAAGAATCTACGTCCTTCCTTTAAACATTTCGAAGTTTTTTGTCATAAGCTTTTAGTGTTCTTTACTTCGCGTGAAGGCAAAGTAAATCTTTGTAGTGCTCAAAGTATTTTGATTTCAGATTTAAGCTACTCAATCCTAAGATTCCTATTTCAACTCATGTTTGCCAACCTTCCCTTCTTCAATGACCCCTTCATCCTAGCATAACACCCACAAGACCGAAAACTAGTCCCTCCTTCCACAACAACAAGTATACCATGAGCTAAACAATTGCAAGTGGATGTGTCTTCAGAGGCTCTATGATGGCACGAAAACTGTCGAAATACCTTCAGATATGAATGATTGTTGGTCCACGGGGTCTTGTAACTGCGTAGCATCCATGAGACTCATAACAAGCTACAGGCCTACCCTTCTGAAGTGTATCCTATATTATATGATCAGCTAAACCGTCCATACAATAGGTACATGCATGTACGTACAGTCTGTCTCATAAAAAGTTATTTAAAACTCAATTGCACTGCAATTGATTTAACGATCTCTAGTTTCCCGGTCTAAAGTCAGCAAAGTACCATTGAGCAACATAGCACCTAAGAGCGGACCTTCAGCTCCTCATCCTCCTCGTCATCACTATCGTCTTCGTATTTTGGCTCCGGGTGAAGTGTATTTAACCAGACAGCCCCTTTTCCAAAATAAGGGCGCTTTCCTCTACCAGTCCTCAATTCAACAAGAACGCTGCACTCGTAATGGCCTCCTACTCCGAAGTACTCCAACTTGAGCTCTTTGGCTGCAAGCGGTGAGCCAAACCTTAGTCGACACCTCGACTCTAGGTACCTGTAGAGATTGTGTCTAGCGTCCTTGCTATTCGGTAGCTTTGACTTTGAAAGCGCGAATCCGGCAGTCCTAGGGTCTTGGAGGGTAGCTGCTGCTGCATTATTTAATGCATAGCGACGAAGGCAATGATGCCTGAATGCTGACTCTTGAGGTGCCATAACGTCTGGGTCTGCCTTGAAGTCCTACGTACTTCTCACTATCAGCGGTGATATTTCGCACCTTGGAGTGTATGATAAGAGGTAAAGCTTCGAATATAAATATGCACTGAATGGAGAGAGGGGGGAAATACCTGGATGATATCCTGGACCTATAAGTAGATTCAAGATAGGAAGTAGTTTGTTTAACGTTTTGCTGATATAGTTGTACTCGTATGCAGGAAAATCTCTGGGGCGAGACCGAAAAGTTAAAGCTTTTGATGAGAAGTGAGAAAGACAGACTGGAGACGAAACAGAAAGTGAGATTAAGGGTTTCCGGTTTGTAGTTACCCGGGAGGTCTTGGTAAGACCATTCCATGTGATCCATGTAACTCTTAGTGCGAGGACGAATCTCCGGAGTAAAGTTTAAATATCCTTGGTAGTGATCCTCCGATCTTGGCAAACTTGTTACATTCCACCACGATGCTCTAAGGTTAGGTTGATATAAGACTGTAGTATAAAACCGCCATAAGAAATTGACTCAGTGGCTAAAAGAATTAATTTTCAAATTTTAATAAAACGAGGTCGAGAGAGGTATTAATAGGATAGAAGTCTTCATTCATATCACCCTTTCCTGTTCCAAACATTGAGTTAAAAGTTAACTCTCCTAATGATGGGGAGTCAACGATAGCTGAATAGTCCCATGTCCCTCAGCACTTCTTCATACCGACTTCAGAACCTATGATATATTTTCCGTTAGCTCATAATTAGAGGATGAAGCAAGATTTCAAATGTTTCCGCCTTCCATTGTTTCCTAGGTAATCTCTTGCCCCAAAGGTAAACGAGTCGACTAGAAAGCAGATTCATGTCGCAGGGGACCTTCATTTGTTATATAGCCTCATATCTAGTAAGATTCCAATTGATAGATGTATCCATTTTTACTGTGCCATCATTCCTCTTTCCGGGTGTATTGGGCTGATGGTAGCCCGAGAAAACCCTAACCCCCGCATCCTGCGAAGTTGAGAACACACCCCTTTGGTCCTAGATTAAGTGGAAGGTATTGGCCCAAGCTTTCTCGCATAGATCATACGAGTTCACTTTAACAAAAATGCCCTAGAGCTTTCAGGGTATATCGATCAATGGGCCGTACATCTTTTGATCAAAGTTTATCTATCTATTAATATGATTAATTAGCTAGACATGCAGATACGCTTTGCTGTTGATTCTATCTAGAGATTAGAAGAGTACAACTGTTCAAGTTTTCTGGTCCTATATCCTAGGTCTTGTGAAATTGTAGCTTAAAGGAGAAGGCTTTTTGATATGACAGATCGTGATCCATCACCGGCGAGTGAAAAGGATATTAAGATAGGGTATATGAATTACAACATGATAGCATCATACCTCTTAGCACAGTAAAATTGTACCTTTTCGAGTTGGAAACATTGGCGATCGGGACAACTGTAAATAAACGTTGGACCTCTGCAGTCTCCGAGTGATAGTTCATGATATAAAAAGTCCGCTACAGAAAAGTTGGTTCTTTGAACACCACACGTTGTCTATCCGTTTCAGAGAAACCCTCCTTATCAGCTTTTTCCAACTACTGGGATCAACGTCCAGGTTCCCCGTTGTGCTTCCGAGGGCTTATCATGCTTCTCGGGGGGTGGTCTGTATATCAAGAGGTCAGCAGTTCCACACCCACCCTGGACTGAGCTCACCATTACCCGGGATAGGCGATATAGTTTACCTTGCATGAGGAACGGTAACCGAAATTTCCCCTGTCATCTATATGTCCATTCCTGGGTTCTTGAGATGGAAATCACCCGTCGGGGTACAACCCGGTGGGTTTCTTAGAGTACAAAGTTGGAACGAAGATTGTTTCCCACTTTCATAGATTCTTCAACGCTCGACCGCGCACGACGCCTATGATCCGTATCAGCAGATTACATGTATTCAACACCATTATTGTGGGTTAGGGTTTCTGTGTCGTCTTGGCACACTGACAAGCTATAGCTCAACTACATGTTCTCCATACATGTTTTTGCGCATTCCAAGAAGCAGGGTGTATCTCTACATGAATCCGACTATAAAGTATCTCGGTAGAGCTAGCACCATCTGTCAGAACCTCAAACCCCACCAGAAGACATTTTATTTACTTTCGGACCCGTTGCTTTAGAGTCCCCCGGCCTTTCCTGTTGCTATCCACGTACTGTCTAGGAGTATAGTTACATGTAGGTTGCAATCCCAATAGCCCTCAAGATCGACGCGCCATGACATTAACACTGGTCGTTTCCCATCTAGCGCACGCGGCTTGATCTGCGTTGTGTAACCTTCACCCATGAACGCTTTCCCCAGATTTCGCAAGGATGCGCCCCCGACGAAACGGGATGACAACACAAACGACCAGGAAGTTAACCTTGACTCTGGCCATGTGGACTATAACGGCTTCCCTCCTCTCAGCAGGACCTATTGCGACGCCGGGGTTTGGCCAGCTGGGGAGGTTCTAAGCAACATAAATTCGGAGCGAAATTACACGTATCGCATACCTCGTGTCAAGCGCTTCCACCAAGATTATTCTCTTCCGACAACACACGCCTATGAAAACTTGAAAGAAATTGCCGATATGGACCGCAAGGCCCGACCGATATTGACAATTCGGAATGCGACTCCCAGTGATGGAACGCTTAGCAGTATGTGACCAGTCCTCTCACATTAAACAAGGTTTCTTTGTTGAGTACTTAACTGACCAATAACAGAAAGCAGCACAGGTGGTGGAGAAATCCCATGTGGAGGCATCAGTCCTTACGAGCACCAGGGGATTAACAATGCCCAGGACGGAAGCCTCTTGATGGTTCAGCCAGTCATCTTTGGCCGCAGGAGCATTGACATCCATCGAGCCGAGTTTTCTGCATTTCTTACTGGTCGATCAAATATGGATACCAACATTCGTTCTTCTTCTTGCCCATCTTGCCATGGTAAAAGTAGGGCCGATATCATCAAGAACCCGGATATCTACGTGGACACACCTGCTAGGCCAATAACTACAATGGAGGATCCCTGCGACCGGCCAGCGGAGGACACGGGAGTAGAAGTACCACTGGCTCATCAAAAGGTCAATAGTGGGGATTATGCAGATGTCTTTGGGACGTTTGGGTCGCGCGATGGGTTCAGCGCCCCTGAATTTTGCCGGCCTCGTGCAAACAATATTACTACACGTCCTCGTCTTGAGGATATATTTCCCACAACCAGCGGTCACCGCTTAACATGGGCAGCGGATGCTGTGGTGGATCAAGGGCCAGCGTCGTCTTTACCCTCTGAAACGGGGCATCTTAACATCCCTCCTTCGAGTAAAACCTCGAACTCGTTAAATGGCCGGATGTCTTTAATATCTCCAGACCATACGCCGCCACAAAGGAAGGGGAAAAACAATAATCACAATCCTGGAAGCGGTAATAGTCTTCCACCATCTTCCCTCATAAAAGTCCATATCAGCTAAATTGGTAGTACTAGATCCTCTAATTGAGACTCCAGTCATCAAGTCTCACCGCCTATCCTGGGCTGCCAACACAACAACCAAAGACTGCCCTGTTCCTACCATTATTGTCGAAAAGCCGTCATCCTCTAGCGATGCTGACATAAATTCTACCACCACTGGCCGATATCTATTCAAGCTGGGATCGTTGAAAATTGGCAGCGGGTTTGCGCCTAATGCCCGTGCCAAGAGTCCTTATCCCCGGGACTTGAACAATGCCTCTCCTAATGGCTGTCCGTCAGGTGTTACTGAAGAAACCACTCCGAGGTCTAAATGGGCGACGTTCAGTAAGAATTCTCGTCGGGCTTATCCATACCTCATGAAGGCTAGATCTTCCATCTCCCTACATCGCGCTTGTGCATCCCCGGCGTCCACAGAAGGCCTTCGTCCATCCCCCGTGGTGGCGGTAGATCCGATAGAGATCAGTGTTGAGAGTTTTTGTGGGAGATCAAGACGCAACCCTGTGACCTCCCTCAGCATGGTCGATGAGTTCAGGAGAAAAAACGACTTACTGGCCATGGAGACAGGATATCGTATTCCGGAAAGAGTGGGAAGTCCGACAAGGTCTGCGAAGATTGAGCTTTATGGCGACGAATTTTATGATGGAAATTTTATCGGTCGGGCTAAGAAGCGATTGAGTAAGTTGTTCAGGGTCGGCGGAAGCACCGACTAGTCACTCCACCGAGGGGGGCGCTGGATACTGCTGGCGGGGTTTTACTCTTGGGTGGAGAAGCACGGAATAGTAAGATAGGGTTGTCTGAGTTAATTATGGCCAAAATTCCCAGATCTCGAGCAGGTCGTTTCGCTCTACCTGAAATCGAGTACTGAGTGTTTGTGTAGACATATACCTCTGTTATTTTGTCAGCTATCATAACACGAAATGTGCGCTATATCAGTTCTATCAAGTTAAAATTAGGGTTTCGGTCGAAACTACATTTGCCTACATGTATTTCATGCTGAGGAGATCAGCCTTATTTTGGGTAGAAAAACATCGAAGCCACCATGATCAATATGGGCATGGCAGTCACACAAATGGCGATTAAGAAATCTGTTTATATCTCCATGTTTTTTTTCTTTCTTGAACTTCGATGTAAATCAGTTGAATCGAAACCTCAAGTACGCCTGAGAAAAGAGCCATATCAACATTAAGAACGTGCTTCTCAGCTTCATGTCGTATCACTCGCACCTGTTAACATCAATACATTGGACCTACAAGTACCGTGTCTTTTTTTTCTTGATTTTATTCATTTGCTTTCTCAAGGTTAAGTGAATAATTCAGTTGAAACAAGAAACTGGCATATTGTGAAAACATCGAATGTTTTGTTGACGGTTGATATAGGAACGGAAATTATTAGATTCGCTCCCACGAGTATCTTGGCATAGGACAGATACGCATCCGAATTTGAGAACAGCTTACCTCTACTTGTACACGTTTGAAATGCTTTATGATCATGCTTCATACTTCTCATCTTCACCTTCCTTCTCTCCCGTTACATCATTCATCATCCAAATTAGGATGAAAAACAATCTTTCTTGTTCATAACCGATTTACAGATATTAAAGCAAGAGCAAAGGTAAGAAAGGAATATCCGCTCCTCGGTATTAGAAAAGTAAAAGATAACTAAGCCCCTGCCCTTGAAGCTTCACAGTAGAAGATTCGAGTTGGCTGAACACCTCACATCTCCCTGATACAAACAAACTGCACTTGCATCATCAAAGTATCATGAGTCCTCAGAGAGATGTACCCGCCCGTATGGGGATCGATGTCAACATCGATATCAACAAGCCTCGTGCTGAACCGGCCATAGCCTCACACGAAAGTGATGATGCGGAGTTTTCTTGGACCAAACCCCTAAAGACCCCTGTGGCCACCCGTGACCGCCGCAATGGCAAAGCCATTCCTCAATACATAACTACACCAACCGAGGATGAGTACAGTGATTGCGATGATTACCATCAATACCTTCGGTCCGAAGCTGAAAAGCGCCAGGCTGTCAAGAAGGTTGATGTTGAACCTACCACAACCACAACCCCAAAGAAAAAGAAAAAGGGCAAGGCAAAGGCATCTGTGAAGCCATCGCCACAGGCACCTGCTTCCAAATCCCGCAATGGCAGAGTTGGTCCTCGACACGCGACTGCCCCAATCGCCGACGAGTACGAGGATTTCGACGATTACCACGAGTATCTGCGGGTCACACATACAAAGCCAAAGGCTACCCCAGGTTCTGCGAATTCACAGTATATCCCACCCCCTAAAATCAACGTGGACCTTGTCAAGCCTGGTAGAATCCATCGTTCTACCTTACCACCTAAGATGATTATGACTTCCCCTCCGAAGCTACCGAGCGAGCGCACCTATGATGAGTTTGACCAGCAAACTCTCTGTGGCATCGGTGTTGATAGTGAGGTTTCTATTTACAACGTAAACGATGACCATACTAGGCTCATCCCAAACCCGTCTACTCCCATGCTTCCAGCGGGGCAGCTTTCTGCAAGTACGGGATTGGTACGAGACTATGACCACACCAATAGAGAACAACCCCAAATTCCTCAATTGGAAAATATCAATCCATCTTTGACTATGACTCAAAAAGCAAAGTTGGAAAGTGGATGGCAACCTGCACACAAACTTCTATCAAGGTCTCCCAGCTACCCCGGAAAGGTTTATAGGCCACAGCCACGCTCTGGCCCACGCCCTCAAGGAAGGACCTTTCAAAAATTGAAATTAAACTCCCAACTTCGCACCTTTCAACATATGAGATTACTTCATGGAAGCAGGAATGGTAGCAGAACTCTTGGGCCTAGCAGCTGGTCATCCCCTTATGTCCCTCTTCTTGATCGACCATCCGCTCTTGTCTCTGAAAGGCCGATTCATCGCGCGTTGAGACGAGCCGAGGAAAACAACAGTGTCCATGGTGGTACAAGTATGGTCCACCTTGCTGCCGAGTATATGAAAGCCGAACTTTTTCCCTCAGACAGAGAAACCGAGAACGACAGTTTGTACTCTAAATCGAGCGGTGGTCCACATTCTCATACTGAGTGCGAAGCGGAAACTGAGTCATTACGCCCTGTGATCTCGAAAGGTCGATGCAGGGGCCAACAAGCTTTGAAATGCAAATGCAGGAAAGCGGTCGCTGTTGTTAAGCGGGCTACCGTAGGGGGCAAGGTGAGGCTCAGGAAGTTATTAAGGACTTAAACAGAGGAGGAGTGCAATTGCAAGATGTTCAGGAACTGAACAGGCACGACTGGGAGGAGTGCATTTAGTATGGCCTTCTTTTTTTTACTTTAGCTGGATGGGAGATTATTTCAATGTCAGACCTAAATATTTGTACTGAGTCACGAGCTTTCTCCTCGTGTCTCTATTTTTCTTTTTTACAGAAATAGTCTATACATGTACAGACTTCCTCCTTGAGTCTTTTAATACTCAATTTCATTTTTCCTGTTTGCTTTGCAGAGTTTAGCGATGATTATCTGGGCGGGGGGTATATTCTCATCTAGCAGTAAGACGATAACTTAAATTGCCGATCCTCAGGGACAGAGATTTCTTTTCGAAGTTGTTGTTTTTAACCAAAATGGACCAAATATCTATCTAGTACAAGAGGACACGAGATAGTTATTACACATCGCTTAGCATCATTCTCATCGTAACATCTTTCCAAATGCTCTTTCCCACTCTTTGATACTCCCTCCCATGATCTTTATTCTTGTATTCTGTGTCGTCTCCGGTAAAAAAAAAGGCAACAGCCTGCTTGTCTCTAGCGGCGTCCATATATATTTGAAGCCTAATCGCTATCATCGTCACCCATGTCTAACGATCGACGATAGATCCTCAAATACTCCTCAACTATTACTTTGTGCTCGACCCCATTGTCGTCTGAAACATTTATGCGAAACTATTCTTCCTCCACACCCGTCTGTTCCCTTATCTGGTTGAGCTCCGCGCCTTGGTTTTATCTGCTCGCTTCTAACCTTGGTGTTAGATGTTTGTCCGCGGTGTATCCTGCTTGATAATACCATCTGAAGACCATCTTTTTCACCACCCTAAGAACCCTTAATCACTTCCTCCCTGCATAACACGAGTCGGAGCGTGCTGTCTAACGTCCTAAGCTTTAAAAAAACATGCATATCTGCTGAATATATCATTGTCTATCTTACCCCTGACCACGGTCAGGCTCGGGTATACATTCCGGTAAGAATGATTCTAGGTTGGCATGCGATAATTTGTTCGAGGCATGAAAGGCGCCTAGCTGGTATGTCCTATTGTATCCCACGAAAACTGAGAGCTAACAGGGAAGGCTTGTGATATGGTACAGTCTTGATGCTTGTCGCCCTATTCTCGCCGGTATAGGTCGATCTATAGCTGCTATGTTATTTACTTCATATATGTTGAAGACAACATTTTTGCTGATACATGGACGTGCAAGGACAGAATCTTCCACCAGTTTTCACTGCCTTCCCCTCATTTCCAACGCTCATCCTTTCAAGAACATCATGGAAAAATATAGAGAGCACAGTGTCGGGATTCTCCCGGCGGAGCAGGTATAGTCGACCCCAAAGCCTTCTCCAAATTCAATTTTGTGTAGGATAACAGTACCCCGAGAAACAGTACGTTGCTGTCATGAAATTAAATAAACTCAACACATTGCGGTGGGTGAATCTAAGATACTTGGCTACGACCATTAGCATTTTCTATTGGCACTACTCAGTCCCGCCACACTGTTTGGAGTGTAAGCTCGAGGGAGAGGAGAGGGTACGAGTGGAGTACAGCCACTTCCGGAGCGTGACATGGACTTACATTGTGCTGTGAGCTTTCCGAATTACAATGTTTATATGGTGTTTCTCCCAAGCAGTGATGTCATGACCAATAAATCTCGGTTTTGTGCTTCGCTCGAGGTGTGTCCTCTCACCCACCACTAATGCATGCGACTCTGCATGAACACTCCAGGGCACCCCGAATTTTCCTATCGCCCAGACTTGAGAGTGGGATTGGTGATCCTATCGAAAGTATCTTCGGAGGTGCTAGTTCCGAAGCCTGCTTCGATGAAAGTGAAGAATTGATGTGTGCGCGGAGGTGAGGTTGTTGACAGGAAAGTGATCATTGTCGTTGAAAGTGGAGGTTTCACCTCGGTTGTTGTCATATTGTTTCCTTCCGTATTACTACAAACCCCCAAGCAGCGGGAGCGCGCGTTCCCTTCGTTACTGGAGGTGCGGTGAAGCGGTGTTATCAGGTTCCAGTCCCGCGCGGGCGTCTACTTGTCCTTGTAAAAGTTGATGTTTTGTCGTTGGCGTTTTGTCGTTAGCGTTCGTTGTCTTTGCGTGATGATGATAAACGTCGCATGCAGATTTATTGTAAACACTTGGGCTCGGGGTAAAAAGCACCATTCTTTGTGTATAGAATTTAGTCTGTGTGTGATGGCAATACATTGGTACCAAAGGGACTGGAGTTCAAGCAACGAAAACTAAGCTTTCAGATAGGATTTGCAGGTATTCTGAGCATTTTTGTACAATCTATCTATCCGGTACAAGAAACATCGAAGAAAAGACTAAAAGGAGTGATATACCATGACTAAGAACTTCACTAGTAAAATCAAAGCAAACAATGTTCGTTGAGCAGGTACAGAAAAACAGCTGCAGAGTCCTGGGAGATATCTGCGTAAGCTTAAGCGAGAAGGAACTACTCGAATGGAACGCTCGTTGGGTACCATGGGCGACTTTGCCACCAAACAAGTGCAATATCGTGCTTAGAAAAGAAGCGAAAATTACTACATGTATCTATTTTTTTCTACAAACTACTCCTAGCCGGATTACGCTAATTTTGTGGATTCCATACGTATAGCGAGATGAAGACCATGGAATGTGAGATTGATTCCCCGTTCGGCGTTTGTTCACAGGCTCCGAAATCAATTTCTCAGAAGAACATTCGCCATTTGTAAACGCTTTTCATTTCCTCTTTGACATGCTGTCGCTAGATGTAAGAAAAGGGAAGCAAGTAAGAGCAAGATGAATGACTGTCCCTGATTCTCCGCGATTGCACATCACCGCCCCATAATAAAAATTGCCCTCCCTCGATGAATCTCATAGCGCCATATAAAAGCGAACGAATAAGGGTCGCAGCCACCTTTAAAAATGTCCCCGAAGTGCGTAAAGCCAGTAGGAGCCATACCTTGACAGTTGCAACGTTCGTCACTCCCATGCATGTAACATCGCGAACATCAGCATGAGCTGCGCCAAGAGTTGTGCTGCGCTTAGTCGTCGAAAAACACCACCAAAATTCCCACCATTATCCCTCCATCTCCCTCCATATTCTCCCTCTCTTCTTCATCATTCATCATCATAATCCACCATCCATCATCCATCATCCCATCCATCTCTGTTGAACCCCCAAAGTAAACTCATTACCATCCCGCTCTCATGAATTCTCACGGTCAAGATTCAAAGATGGATACTCCTATCAAAACTGTATGTTCGTGTTTGAAATGAGATTATTTCCCTTACAACTTCATTTTTGTATCTTTGCTAATAATAATTCTCAACAACCCATAAAGAATGATCAAAAGGTCGATGCTGTCACCCCCTCTCCCGGTGGGGGGGCCAGCCAGCCGCGCAACACCGCGGGCCGCGCGCTCCAACAAGTGCCCTTGAACGTGGCATATATTCCCGTCGCATCTCCTGGCTTCACTGGAGGAGCCGCACCGCGTCTAACCAATGTCATCAAGAGGCGCAAGGGTCTCATCGAGGACCTCAACCGTTACTTCATACCTGCAGACGACGAGGTCGATTCCTTGGAGACCAAGGACGGACATCATGAGGAGATCAATGCGAATCACGACGCCGGCATTCTCTTTCCCGATCAGCAGAGTCAATATGAGCGCAGCAAGTCTCCACAGTATACTTTGAGAAACACCGTGGGGAATACCGCCACCATGCGTCGCATCGCCCCGGGCACCGCCGTCAAAGATCCAGGGAACGACGATGCCGAACGTAACGCTTCTTCAACTCTTGGTGAATACAAGGATGAATGGTTGGAGGATATTGATGGCGAAATCCGTCCGCGGACGGCCACCTCCCCCGCCTTTTGTAAGTTCAGTGCAGATCGTGCTGAACAGGGAATGAGCAAAGTCCCTTTTAAGGACGTGAGGAAGGTCTTGAAGTCCGGGATCCATGATATGAGATCTGCAGGTTATAACGCATCATCAACCGACAAGGAGATCTCGGGTCTCAAAAGGCGTTTTTCTGATGCGAATTAAGAGGGTGGTCAGTTACTATCCTTGCGCGGCAAAGTCTTTGGTTGTGGATAGATTTGGGCGTTGTCATTTTCCTTCCCTATTTTCTCACGTGTTAGTTTTGTCGGGCAGGGGAGAAAGTTTGGGAGGTACCTATGTGCAGAGTATAATGGAGATACGGGATTTGTTTTTTCTTTTTGTCTCGTAGTAATTGAATAAGCACTGCACGTTGAGCGAGGAGAGAATTGTTTCGACTGTAGAGTTTTTTTCCATGATTGGGATGTAGAGTTTGTTAATGTTTACGTGCGAAATGAGAGGAATGAAATTAAAGTAGAATTTACATACATCTGTCGTCTACTGCCAAGGCGCTAGTAGATATAATCTAACGTGTTTAGGTATAGCGTGTGCTAAGCGAGGTTTCATATTTCCATCAAGCTGTTCATCTCAAAACTCGCTTGCCATGTAACAATTATCCTCTTTCTTCTATTTGATGCGATCTGCAGAGACGTCCGGTGAATCGAAGGCCGTTGCAATCATGTCTGTGCATATGCGCGTAAAGAACCGCTTAGATTATTACAAAGTTACAAACCCGTTGTCTTACTTTACGTAATACCCAAATAGTAGATGCTAATGACATAATAGTAGATCAAGATGTAAATGACATAAGCAAAACAAATAATCCCGGGCGTGGAGAGCATCCACCGCTTCTGGTGTTCAGTCCTCGACTAATTTTATTCTCCTTCACATAGAAATAACCAAACTCCGCACAAGTCTTAAGTTTTGACTTTTCACAGTGATGCGATATGATTGCTAACATTGTAATCGTACCCAAGAAGTTTCGGGTTTGGCAATTACACTCTTGTAGGTGCGGCCCCAGTGATCTTTAGTAGAGATATCAATCAGCAATTTTCAATAATTCGCTACTCTCAAACTGTAACATCATTCTCGAAACAAATGCCGACGAGTTGAACAATGGGGGAGCTCCAATAATTCGTCATGTCGTGTCGCCGACCGCAAATATATCTACGCAAGGAATAAAATAAAGACATGAAGTATAGGCGCGATAGTAAACTACTACCTCGACCATGGTCTTAGCTTTGATTAACCCAAAGGTCTTGGCCTCGTCGACCAATCCCTTCCAGATATAGAATTATTCTCAGAGGGTCTAGGTTGTGAGATTATCGCGAGAGGGATAGGATTTGTGTTCGATGAGGGTGAATTCATATAAGGAGGGTTATAAGTCCAGGGCGTCGAGTAGATATTATTGGCGCTGGGGGAGACGTTTGGATTTTTTGAACTGTTTGTTATCTCAACGAACCCTAACCCTGCACAGTGTTGCTTCTCGCACTTCAAACCGACAACACTTTATCCCACCACACACAGCTAACCTCGACTCGAGGCGCGATCCCATGCTCTCTCCTTAGGCATGAACGCCATTACCGAAGTCACTCAGCTAGGAATAATCTCCCGATCTGCGCCATACACACACGAGTCTCTATCTTTCCCACCATCACCTCACGAGTCCGACTTTGGCAAGATGTCACCCGACTGTACCCACCACCAGCCTCATCGTGACTCTGGCTATGAGACACTCGGGTCCCCTCAATTCGGAGGTAACGGAAGTTACAATGAATCAGTGTATAGCAACACCACACCTGTCAAAGGTTCCAATGCCGTAACCGAACATGCCGCGCCGGCACCCCCAGAGGTGGCGGTATCAGCTGGTTCCAACGATGGCGCAAAGGACGCCGAAGAAGTAGGAAAGAAACCAAACAACCTACTTCGCAGAATCAGGGGCGGTTTATGGGGTGCTAGCTCATTACGCGCAAAGCAATCCATTGCTCGAGCTGCAGCGCAATTCGTCAACAAAGATGGCGAAGAAACCTCTGAGGCGGCTGAGACCCAAAAGTCGGAGAAAACAGTTGTAGATATTAAAGAATGCGAGACGGAATTGGAAAAAAATGAGAACAGCGAGTGGGAGGAAAAGCCGACTGTCGAGCTACCCTTGTCGAACCCTGTGGACGCCTCCGAAACAACCAGCTCCATTGATGCGGTGGTCCGGGCTACAACATCAATGGCTAGTCCGTTGTGGAAGAATGGTGGGCCCGGTGATCATCGCATAAACACCACCATTCTGCTTCGTGCGAAAAGAATCTCCTCAGGCCCAAGAAGCGAATTATCGGCGCTCTTCCATGAACCATTAGAGCCGCTTTCTGGTGTCGATCCGGGACTTGTTCACGAAAGGAATGATGAACTCAGTACCTACGGGTACACTATCGGTTCACGCAACTCCAATAACTGGCACCCTGGCACATTCACAGACTCTCTCCATTCCTACATCGGCAGTTCAGATGAGGAGGATTACCTTTCAGAAGGCGAGAGTTGGAATGGAACACCTCGTGGGCGCTTGCGTTCAAACGACAAGGGGTGTACTGCGAGTGACGTCCATATCAGAAGCCGTTCGCGCTCACAAAGTGACGAAACAGTGAAATATAAGCCTGACCCACCAAAGACTGCTGTTCCAGAATGTCCAGTATTCCGCTTCCCACCTCCCATGTCGCAACCTTCGAAAACATCGATTTCTCCAAACGGTTCCCAGGATCCTTACGAAGAGAAGGACGACATGACCTATACCTTGAGCCTCCCGTCTTCAATGAAAAGCTCGGTATACAGCTACGGCCCCACCACTCCACCGAGCACGCCAATTCTTCGTACTCCACCACCGGAGGGGGTAGACTACGTTCTAGTTGAGATCGAACCTTTCCTGGTGCCGAATATCACTGTCCATCCAGGAGAATCCATGCTTGATATGTGTATGGAAATGAACCAGCTCGCCCAAGATGCTCCGGAGATCTTCACCACGCCTCCCCGACATCAAGCAGGTAGAGGAAGCTCGGACTCCGGGAGGTTTCCCTTCGACTCTAAGAAGAATCTCATCGGCAAGACACTTGGCAGGGCTTTCGGAAAGCTGTTCAGACGCAACACGGTACAACCGACTCGATCAGCAGGCAGGCTCAGAAAAAGGCCAGCGTCTCTCAAATAAGGGCAAAGGAAACCTATCGCATACTATCTTCTCAATGGCCCGTCAATGTCGGCCTCAGTTCACTAGTTCCTCCCTGCTATCTGGTCTGGAACATAATCGCACGGATGTGATCGTTCTCAAGAATATTTTTTTTCGGCACTGTATCAAGTTAATTCAGCTCATCCTACATCTTGTACTCATAAAAGTTTAAGTCATTCTTATCCGAAGCTTTTTCGAGCCGAGCATACGAGATCATACCGGAGCACTGTGTAAGCAAATATATAGTAGATTAATATTAGATTAACACTAAAAGGGCGTGAGATGATTGAGTGACTAGCATGTGTCTCGATGTATTGTCTATCGTAGTAGTTAGCAGCCAGAGTGAACCGAACAGACGATGGCCACATGTAAATTATGACAAAGACGAGATCGCAATTTTATAGCAGAAAAATGTGGCTAAAATTTGGTAACCTTTTTCGGGGTGACCTGATGTGGCAAGATGTTCATGTCGGTGTTCAGGGTTAGGGTTTCTCATGCGTCCATACATAGGAATCTGTTCACCTTAATCCAGAAGTTTAAATGGAAAGATCTTGATAAAAAGAAAGTTGAATTAAAAGTTCTTTATAAAGGGTTGTAAGAGACTGGTGAAGGGACGAGCAGTTGAACTCTGCCTATAATGTAGTGAAATCCGATCCGAATTATACAGCTAAATTGAAATTCTTACAAGTAATTAACGGGCAAGATAACCTCTTCACCTAGGGTATAATATCACCGCATACCTCTATATGTAGAAAGGGCAGTCTTGAGAGCCATTTTCTATTATAGCTTTGCCAAAGATTATTTTCTTCGAGCTTAGCCATACCGTAAAGGTTCATGTTTCTGCCCATTTCAGAAGCATTCCGTCAAAAAACATCGTTCCCATCCCAATTACAACACAACAATACAACGGCGCACCCTCTCGTGAGAAGGGTTAATTCTACAACCACAGACTTCTACTCCATTTAACCTCGTCTAACTGTTTCATCTCCCCCTCCGAGTTTAAAAATGTCAATCACTTTGCCGAGCAAAGATGTCACCTCTGCCGAACTAGCCCTATTCGCAAAGAATTTAGAGGAAGTGACCAACGAGATCGCCGCCATCGTACAGGCAAACTCCGACTTCCGCCACGAATACAATCAAGCTATTCAGCGCCAAAGGATATACACCAAAATGCTCATAAACATCAATGACAATCACGAGCCCTCCGGACAAAATCGCTGCTCGGAGGACCCAGCCGCAGACACAGAATATGCCCTCTATTACAGGAAAAAGCATCAAGAAGAGATAGACAAGCTACAAGGTATCCACGAAAACATAACCTCGATGTTCACAGAGAACAACAAGGTACGATCACAGGCGGTGTTGGATATCATGGGCTTCAGAGTGGAAAGGGAGGAAAAAGAGAGGGAGCGTTCAGAAAAGGAGCGTTTGGTGAGAGAGAAGGAAGAAAACCAGAAATTGATTGGTTCCCTTCTCGCAGGGCACAAGGACGTAAACATTAAAGAACAGTTGGAAATTCTCAGGATCGAAGATGTCTCTTCTACGCCACCAACTGCCGATGGGGTCGCATTGTTCACGCGTCCGCAGCGCGATGCACTAGCTGCGGGACTAGAGAGAGTCCAGTCGGAGACCGAACTATGGATCCAGCTTCTTCAGAAGAAAGGCCACAAACCGATCGGAAATATCGCGACCCACACAAAGGCTTTGTTGATGAAAGATAGAGAGGCTGTCGAAGCTGCGGAGAGTAGGAACCAACACCGACAACTTACTGATTCTCAGATTCGGTTCTCCATCTTCCGCTTGGGTGATGTTTACAAGTACATGGAGCAGGATCAATTCAAGCTATGGAGGATTGCTGGGAAATATGTAGAACCTAAGGAGGAGGATGATCTGGATCCGAAGGCCTTTGCTCGCCCGAAAGATTGGAAATCGAATCAGCCTTGCCATACCTAGGTAAGTTAACTATATGTGAAATGTAGAAAACGTTTCTGTACTGACTTCTTGATTTCAGAGGCTGGAAATTGATTTTTTGCAGGCTTTGGATAGGTCCTAACCGGATGAAAGGTTTCAAATACCAGCATATAATACCCCGAAGAATAAAATGTGTTCTCCAGAGTTCTTTCCGAGCACTGAGTATGAGTATATCGTTCTTCCTATTGTTCATCATTGCCAGAGCCCGTACTGTGCTGAGTAACCGGGGCTGTAGATAACAGTGTATCAAACGTAAATACCATGAGTAAGTGTGATCTTTTGTATAAACTCATTCTGTGTAGGGAGCTCCGTAAATATGTCTCCGAATGCGCAGATGTAGAATGGGATGTGCTTTTTGCGCTGTGAACTGGGCACTGCGCAAAATCCGAAGTCAGCCATAAAGAGTCTCTAGCAGTGGATATATTTGCCCCCCACCTATCAACATGATTGATGTAAGATCTGATAACTCAGGTTAAATTTAGTTCATATTAAACACTTTCGATAAGAGAAGTGGGACGGTGGAGATTAGGAATACATGTAGAAATATCAACCCTCTGAAATTTGGGACACAGATGAGAGAAAGGTCCACTTATGTGGTTTGGAAGACATTTAATGCACACCACTCCTCAGCTCGCCGCCTATCTGTTTTATTAGGTTGAGAAACCAAATGTTAACTTAAAAACACTTGGCTAAATCCACATGCGCAGTAATCCATTCGCTATTTCCAATTTGCGCCCAGTTTGTCAACACAATCCTTTATCAGATATATTATAAGCTTGACTGAAACATAGTTCCAACACAGATAAATCTCTCATACCAACTATCGGATTTCAATCACCGCACTACTGGTAAGCATGCTGCTTTACTTCACGCGACAAGGTGGAACATGGGCCCTACTTGCCACCACACACCACATGTTACCTAAATCCTTCCACGGATTGGAAGGGTTCGGTACAATATGATATTTTACTAAACACTCATCCGTTTTACGAAAAGTTGATGGTGAGTGGCTGAGGGTAGTAATTGAAAAGAGATGGATAGTCTGGATGTTTTATTGTCCTCTCGTTAGAACTGAACGTTCGAAAATCATACCTATTCAACATAAAAATATTGTTTAATAGAATTAGAGCCTAAAGGTGCTATGTTCCATAGTCATAAGGGTTCATGTGTAAAGATCGATCCCAAGAACTCTCCTAAAAGGTATGAACATAACAATACAAAGATGCAAATGTACTAAAGAATAGGATTGTATTAGGTGTCTAATACAACTTTTAACAACAAAAAACGTAGAAACGAATTGACTATAACCAATTCTATCTAAAAGACAGTAACTAAAGACACTCATACTGTCGTGACAAGGACACATTTAGTATGGAGAAGTTCAGTAAAACAAACAACGAAAAACTATTATCAAAAACAAGGTTTCCTCCCCAAGCCCGGTGCAACATCCTCCCTCCTTATCCTAAGCTGGCAATTCTCTCTGCCAATGATAACTCTTGCTTCTTTCGCGCAGTTTCCTTCATTTCATCAGTGATTTACCATCTTCACAACTGATCCGAGGAAACTCATACATAGTCATACAATAATATCTTCACACGTCCGTCTATAACACTAACCCATTCGATATCAAATCCCTATATGTCTTAGTTTTTTATCGGGAAGATGCATAATTTGAGGGTAATGGATAGGAGATTTACTTCTTCGCTAATTAGCATAACGATATCGGACCAAAGGTCGGCATTGGTGCAATTTCCCTTTATCGTCTATGATGAGGGCATGTCAGCTTACAGACCTTGAGGGAATTTACCAGAAACGCGATCATACAAGTGGCAGTAGGTTACTATCTCCGAATTCCCATAAGAGGCATTCAAAGTCATCGTAGCCGGATCTCTCGATAATCATTTCAAATAGTAACTGAAGCTCTAGTGTTTGGCGGAAGGTATTATGATCAAGAGACATGTCGCTATAGGCAATATCGATGTCAAGATATTCGTCCTTTTTTCCAACACACCTATCTAGATAAAAACCGGTTTCTGTAAGAGCCAAAGAGTCAGCAGAGCATATAGTAAGATTATCACCATCGCAGTTCCCTCCTTCCTTCCCCTCCAACTTCTCCCTGTCCTGTCCTTTGATTGGTGTATTTGGAGAGCTAGGTGGTAATAAATGACATTTAGGGTTGAAGTCGAGACGTTTTCTTGGGATTTCAGCAATCTTTGACTCAAAAAGACGGTCCATGAAATTCCACTCGTCTAATGTCTTGCGTACAGGAGAGAGTCCATTGAGGCATGCTGCCTCTCTGGTCTCTCTAGCTACTATTCCCGTCCAAGTTTTGATACTTGCCACTTGTTCATTATAATCGCCGTCTTCCAAGGCCTCGTGTTGTTTCCTATTCAGGTTTTCCTCTTTGCTAACTCGGGGATGGTATGTTCTTCGATTCCTCTCACTTTCACTAGCGACGGGGTAGATAGGGGTGCTGTGGTTCTTGGTAAGCGGTAATTCTCTTGCATTGTCTTTCTTGAAAATCTGTTTATTTGCTGTATTGTTAGTAGTAAGTTTGTTGTTCACTCCCTTGTTTTGCTCATGGGGACGAAATTGCTTAAGAGGTAATCTTGATTTTGGTAGGTGCTTTCGTGGTGTAACCGGGGGTCTCTGCAGTATAATTTTGTGACGTGGAATTGTTTTCAATAATCTTTGTTCTCGGCGTTCATGTTGCAAGTGAGTTGTGGAAGTGGGAGTTTCACATCCTATGAAGGTATTTCCAGTATTTCTCAGGTCTGTGGTAGTTACTGGTGTGGGTGTTGGGAAAAATGTAGGAGTGCTCGGGGGTGGTATATTAGAGGAAGGTAGGAATGGCTTCGTAGATATCCGTATAGCAGTGATTGGTGTAGCTGGTGTTTTTGAGTGCGCGATTCCTGGTGGCGAATCATATCTTAAGATTTTGTTGCCGGGCTCTCCTTGGTTTTTGTTCTCAGGACCTCCAACATTGATTGTTTCGCTACCTACTTTGGGTTTGACACTGGAAACTGCTTTCTTTTCAGCAGCCAAGAGTTCTGCGGCCAGCTCATAAGGATCTTTCGTTGTTTTTGTTGGTGTTACTTTTTTAGCGGATCCTGACTTCCTCAACTCTTCCATAAAATCCCATGGCTCTGGACTAGGCGGGCGGAAGCTCTCGAGTATTCTATCAAGATCTTCTTCCAATTGTTTTGAATGATCAAGTAGAGTAGGTATGATCTCAACCATTCTTTCGGGAGACTTTTCGCGATCTCCCGCTAGTCTCGGTCGTGTTGGTGTTCTAGGTAATGAGTCCGCACCAACTTCCTCGAGGATATGCCCCTTCTCTTTCTTTAGAAAGAGCCTGTTAGAGGATATATGACACTTGACCTCGGGAAGCACTGTTCCTTTAACGTCGACAACGGCAGTAGAGGTTCTGTCAGAATTCTGAGATGCAAGATTTTTAGTTGCTGCCATAGGCTTTGAGAGTCGTGTAGTAACATCACTTGTGTCTAGTGGGGTGGGTATAGAGGTATGATGAGTGGAGCCATCCACTTTCATGGGAATGGGATTTAGTGGGGCCTTTGCTTTGCGTATGAGTGATAGTCGATCAGGGACAGGTGAGTGGTCCCTGAACCTAGGAGTTGAGATGCTCCTTCGGAAAGATTTGACCGAAATATCTGATCTTTTATCGAAACAGTCATCGAAAGTGGGGAGGTCAAGAGGATCGTCGAGAGAATCCTCGAGTGGAATATCGAGAAGTGTGTAAAGGTTCTTGCTTCCTTTATCCTTGTGGGCCAATGGGGTTGGCATGATATGTGATATGGCAGCAAATATGGGGTAAATGCTCTATTAAAAGTTACAGTTAATAAAGATTTGGGAGTTGTTCCCGATGAGGGGAAACTTACACCCTGGTTTTCAAGTGACTTGGGACTCGCTTTCGGTGTTGCGGGAGCTGGAATCCAGCTGATGTCATCTTCACCATAGGGCTGGGATAGAGCGCTTGAAACCACCACTGCTCTCCTCCGAAGCTCTGCAGCTACAATTTTAACACGTTCATTGAACTCTGGTTTCGGTTTGGGTTTCTCCACCTCTCTGACCTCAAGGTTTTCTGAGGTCGGAGTTGTAGTATTCGTGTGATCGATCTGAATCTGTACCAAAGTTGTGTTAGTAACGTCATTGAAGGAAAAATCGCTACATACCTTTTTCTCAGAGTTTTTCTCGTTTGGAACTCGGGATGACTCAGAAACATGGACTGGTGCGGGAATCATGTATTGTTTCTTGTGTGCTCCCCCTTCTCTCACTGCATTTTCAGCAAGAGGCAACGGGATTGTGCTGAGGTTCTTAAGCGGAACTGGTTTCCCCTTTTGAATCAACTTGTTCTTTATTGGTGCCTTTAGAATCTGAAGTAAGAAATGTTAGTACTAAAGATAAAACGAATGCAGAGATTTCATACATTTTTCGGGGCAACAACACCGATAACATCGGATGTATTACGGATTGTGCTAGTTGCCTCTGTCTTGAAGAATTTATTTTCCCGACTCGAATTATTTTGCAGCTCGCCCAATTCTGGAATTGGAACATTTTTGGAGCTTTTCTTGGCCTCAGATTGATTTATTGGTTTAAAAGCATCAATCTTCTGGGCTTTAGCAGGAAGGACACTGGTTGCAATAAAGTCAAAGGCACGATGAATGACCTAAACACGGGATAAGTTAACACGGGTACTCAGACTATCGCCGGGCATACAAACATTTTTCTTCTTCGGGAGCTTAGTAGCTGGAACTGGCTTTCTAGCCACAACAATAAAAGACCCCATCTCCTGAGGCTTCTCTTCATCTTGATTAACCTCAATGGGAGTAGTGCTGCTAACAGCAACGCGTGATGGTAGCTTCTGACCACGGGCGGTGTCTCCCCTCAACACACTAGCATAAGACGCTTTGCGTGTAATGGGTTTAATCATTCCCACCGATGCTTTATTCGGGTCAGATTGGCCCATCTTAGACGGAGCAATAGGTTCAGGGAACGCGTCCACAGCAATAACACCGGATACGGCCTTAGCCTTGACGGATGCGGGAAGCTTAGTTCCCGGGGTGAGTGTGCTAGTCTTGTTTCGAAGAGTGTCGGCGTATGACGCACGGGCAATTGGAATCATTGAAGGCATCATGTTTATTTACTGCTTTTTGTTTATGCGGGTTTGGGGGTTTGAATTTGTTTGGTTGAAAATCGAAAGTTTGTAGTTTTGTTTTGTTTTTGAGTAGTTTTTACGTGAAGTGGAGAGAAAATGTGGTGGAGGGTGGGTTGGTGCTATGCGCAGCTGCAGTGGGTTAGGGTTGCCAGCTCACACGTTAGGCTCGGACAACGCTGATAAGCATTTGTGCAAATGTGTGCATTCAATTTCTATTTATATGACTGTACTGATGTTTCTTTTTCATCCAGTACCTTGTCAATAGGATAGGGTTACATCTGTAAAGCAGCATAAGCCACACACGATTCGATCCTCAAAAGACAGAATAACGGGCAGCGTATATGTAGTTGGGTTACATATTTTTTAAAAACACAATGCGCCAACGCATAAGTTAGGTCATAATACATGTAGCTGGTGTATGATAGCTACATGTATTTAGCTATAATGCATTATTCTTGAACGCTCAACCTGTCATCTGTACCTACATGTAGGTACATGTATATTGTATGTATACATGGAACATTTTTCTGTCAGGAGAGTGGTGTTCTCTACTTACATGTGCTTAGGGCGCGCTCGAAGAGTACGTTATACACGAGAGCTGATGAACACATACACACAGCGAAGGCTTGCTATAACAGTACTTTCTATAAGGGTAATCTCTCTATAACGGTAGAACTTCTCGGTCCTTTTCGCCTGCCTTTCGGCACCAGCACCTCCTATATAAGGGTAATCTCTCTATAACGGTACCAAATTCCGGTCCCGAGCGTACCGTTATAGCAAGCTTTCGCTGTATACGCGGGTCAATATTGATGCTGGAATGGCTAATTGATAAGACCATATTTCGATAAAGAAATAACGAGTCCAGATAACACGTTTATAGAAGAGTCTCCCACCCATGATCTAAGACGAGAAATGGCTCAAATGTTTAATCTCCCGGCATTGATACCCTCTACACTTCTTCATCTTTATTTATTCGTCACCGCCTAGCACTTCACTGAACAAACATATTTACTCTTACTACCTGATATTTGTGCTTCGGGTGTTTCATCATTCCGCGTCACAGCCTTCCATTTTTCTTCTCACCATCCTTCAACCTCTAGGCGTTATTAAGCGGAGTTCCATGTTTCCACTCTCGGGTTAGTAAATATAAATAACGGTTATTTTCTACATCTGCTCTTTTTAATCTCTTGCTTAAAGTGCTCTCTTTATACTCAACATATCGCCATACAGTTACAGGCAATATTTTTGCATCTACATAGACGGATAGCACCAGGTTCGTCTCTACCCAATACCTCAGGCTTAAACCAGTGTTTATCATAACACAAAAGGCATCTCGAGGTCTTGTCAGGGCTCTTTTCTCTAATAACTAATTAGTATATTCTTCATATCGAGACCGACTTAAAATCTGCCAAAAATACGAGTGTTGTAGGTGTTAGTGTCAAAATGGCCCGAACCCCCACAGTGTTAACCGCCCCCATGTGAGGCACAACATTAAGAAGTAGTTAGACGCTTATCGGGTAATAGGAGATTAAGAGAAACCGGTATTAACTCGATAAGCAAATCGATTGTTAAGGTGTTAGCCCCACACCTCTCACCCAGCCTTCCAAGCATGTCATGAAACGGAAATGACCGGACAGTGCTGGTACTAGTACTTTGCTAAATGTTGCGGTAATCTAAACTATATAGTCTTCCTCATCGTCACCAGGAACGTCTTCTATTGATTGCAACGCACTACATGTATTTCTAATATTGATTGCATATCATTCGACAAAGAACTACTCCCGAGATGGAAGGGAACTAGCATTACGTGTAGCTATTGCAATTGATGGATATAAAAGAACAAACACTAGTGACAGAACCACAGCTATATTTTTATATATGAAGGTCGAATTCCCCTGATACCATTTTAATTTTATCATGAACTACATGTATACACTAACGCTACTCATTGAATGACTTAGAGTGCATACTAGAGCTAATATATCACAAATTACATAAAGGACAGGTGGAGATGATGTTTAGTGCGTGCCTGTACCTTTGAATGACCCAATAATCCAGAATGACAGCAATAATCTAAGAAATTATTATCGCAGTACCGCCCGCACCTCTATTTCCTCACTACATTTGGGCGGCCGAAGGCCGCACTCCGCTTGTATAATGTAGTCCTGTCTCGAACGGTTTTGTGAAAAAACTGGTAAGAACTAAAGTCGCCCAAAACAGTAAGAGTTACATGTTCCTATGCGTAATCACTTAGTTTTAGTTCTTAACATGTGACGTTTCGACGTCAAGTAAGTGCCCGGTTAGCTTGTCGTGATTACATGTACACAGGGTGTTCTACAATGCTCGCCAGTCAACTGCAACGCACTCCTTTCAACCACTTTTAGTTCCATCCATCCCTACATCTACAATAAACTACAAAGACGTCCAAAACCCTGAGAAATAGGACGACATGATTGAAGAGCCAAGTCCGACCACAAGCCAAGGTGCGGAGCCGCCAATTACCAGTTTAAGCCTCCGGGGTGAAATCTACTCCGACAACATAAGTCAGACCGATCTTACTACAGTCAATCAAGCCTTAACAAACGCTTGCTCTAAACCTTTTGTCATGAAGCTTATCCTGCTTGATATCAATGGTAGCAGCGCACCGCTGAAATGGCCCGGCTCTTGGCATATGTTATTTTCCCTCCACCGCATCCTATACACTCTCGGTGAAAAAAAGTTCGCGGAGTCTATTAACATGCTCGGGCACGATGTTGAGCAGTTGGTATAATCCCTAGTGCGAATACCTAGCGGTAAGAGCTAATAATCGTCAGATAAGAGAGAGTGGAATATGCAGACCACCCTGGATCTCTATCTTGTGGTCCATTGAGACTGGTGTAAGTTTTGTAGTTCTTAGTTCCGTTCAAGGGCTAATATCTATAAGGGATGGAACCTCCGCATGGTTGTAGTGGACGAAAAAACCGTAGTTCTTGGATTAGAACAGGCCGTACGTACCATGAAAATCGTTTTAATCCCGCAGCATCTATCTATACTAATTCGCAATCTTAGATTTACTACGTAGGGTCTCCAACACTCATGGCATCTGGAAACCTTGTAACGGTAGTCCGTCCAATCCCCAGCGCCATCGACAGGCTTCGTCAAAATCCTCCTAAGTTGCATCCCCGGGTCGCAAAGCTGAAGGTAAAAAGGAGCAAGACATCACTGGCGAGAGTTAAATGGCACGGGAAGATAATCCAGACAACCGAGCCTAACTCGTGGGCAGAGGTTACAGCCCTCGGCACGGCAATGCACCCCGGCTTTCGTCTTATTCAGGCTCAGCGTAAAGCTACGCATGCCAAGGAATACCTTAGTCTCTCCAGAAAGGTTTTAGGATTGAAAATCCACCAAATGGAGGAATATGGAAAGCTCCATGGGCTCCCAACAGCTGTGTACAAGTGCATCATCAAGTACAGGAACTCGGAGAATCTTATGGCGTGTCTGGATGCCCTAGAGGAGACCGAGACTGGGGGAGATCCTGAAGCAGATGATGAGGGCACTTGGCCCATTTTTGAAGGACTACCTACAGAAATCTCCACCGCATAGTCGCCCGGAACGAAAGGAGTGTCCCAAATCCATTGGGAGTTATTGGTACCTTTTCTTTTTTTATTATTGTAGCATATGTCAATAGCTGGTAGCAATCATGTGGGAATGAAGTAACCTATCTTTCTTTGGAAATTCATTTTACAAACTATCAGGAATTCTTACACCCCCTTTAAAGTTAGAGATTTCATTGTAAACCACGTGTGTATTAGCTCATCGAAATCTAATTCTGGATCACACTATCTCACTCGATCATTTGCTCTACTAAGACTTATCACCCGTGACAGAGTTCAAAAGGGTACGCGGAAGGGAAATGCTGGGGTGGAGAACTGTGTCTACTAAAATGAGACCCTTGTAATAAACAGAACTATATATGCACTATAACGGTGTGCTGATTATACCTCTATGAGCTTTTATGATAATCTACAATGCATTACTATGTGCAAGGCGCAAGCCTGGTCAAGAGGTGTTGTGGGTACTCATATTTTGAACTTGTTTTTATAGTTTGGAGAGATTGAATTAGGTGATATTACTCAGTTATCTACATCTAAAGTGAGCGCGACTGCTCCCTGAGAACTGGGTCATGCGATCGGACATCGATATTCACATAGGAAGGCAGAGAGATATGATTATAGAGAATGTTAGTGATATATTTGAGATCTTATAGACCCCATAATCGGTGCTGCTATGTGGGAGCATTGCTTTTTGATCTTTGTGTTCCTAACTCCTATTAACCCTCTTAATCCAGCCAATTGATTGAGTCTTGTGTTGTTCGGGAACATGTCCTTGCAGGCACTCCAGAATGAAAAGTCGGCCTATATAGATGGTTGACCATTCATAATGTGATTGTTGATGTTTTCAGTGACATTCGTTTTCTCGTAAGCTAGGTTTTCCCGGATTAATCTCCATACTTCTAACCGAAAATTGGTGCCAGTAAGTGGTTCGCTAGCCAGCGGTTCTGCGGTGGATACAGAATCTATCAACGAAACGTTGACTTAGATGAAAGTGGAGAGAGTATTGTGGGGGAGCTAATCGATACGAACCTGTAGAGCGCAGAAAATATTTAGATACAAGATCTTGTCATCATGGATCACCTATCCCGGAAAAAGATGATCTGTAAAAGAAAAAGCTGCTGAGCGATGACCTATGATACCTCCTATGATGTCCTCGAAAAATACTAATTCTGGTGGCCGTTTAGCGTCCTGCCTGGCCGATGGAGGCGAAGGGTTATTTTCCATATGACTGACACCCTAACCCTGGTTCTGCCTGTACCTACATCTGTTGCGGATGCTACAACTTCTCCCCATCGATTACATACCACCGAGGTCTTTGGGAGGGCACATGCTACTTTTAAGAATGAGACATGAGTTTTCTCATAAATGTTGGACTGAGATGCGTGCCTGATGTGGTCGGTTGAGAGGGGACGGTGGTTTTCCCAGAGGCTTACGTGGACAAACGGGCTCCGTCTCGCAGCTTGGAAAGGGCCAGAAATACATACATAAGACGGTTTCTTTAGCCTGTATAGCCATTGAGATGTTATCAGAGTCCTCTCATCTCTCCTTTCACAGTACGAACTATTTGTACATATGCTTTTACCTACCCAAACGTCAAAGGCCTTCCCACCAGTGTCGATGTCTACATGTACCTATATTATCCAGTTAAAATCGATGCCTCTTATCCTGTCATCATACTCTGCAGAGTTAATACCACAGACAGGCTATCATATTGAGCAATTCATGCTCAACGCTTCCCAGTTTTATGAGCAATGCTTCTTCTGAGGATTCTGATGAGCTGTAAATCGGGGGTGCCCAGCTCTCACCGGCAATCGTGCTTACGGATTACGAGTAATTAAACTATCGGCGGAAAATCACGGTTCGTTTCTTCCCTCCTAAACAATTCAGAATTACCTAACTAGAATCTAGGCACTTTCGGTGGGGGTTGCTGGAGCAACGTACGTCATGCCTAGTCCCTCTCCAACATCAATACTAAATCTAAGAACTTCAAACTAAGTTATATAAGCACACCCTGCAAGGAGACCTGTACTTTCAACTCCCGGCCCCCGAGTATCGTCACTATAACAATATATCGCAACTATAAATCAGTTGGAGCAGGATGTCCGTTCCTATCACAGCACAAGGTATTTATTCAGGCCCGCCACACGCTCCTATCTTCTAACGCAAACGTATGGTAGAGTTTTGGGACGCAAATACCCCGCCCAGGATTAATCAACCTATGGTACAGAGCACCACCACAGTGGATAGATCCCAATCTTTGGTCGCCCGTCCAGATGGGGTAATAGAGGGTACTACACACTCACATATTAAGATATGTCGGCAGTGAGAAATGTTGACATCAACTAGATATGCCAAACAACGAACCTCTAAAACATCACATTCACAATATCCCAATATATGTCAGCAGTAGTATCCCGCTCGCTAAAATAGCCGTTCTGCAAGACAATAAATTGCTAAAACGCAAAGGTCCGAACCCCTACTATAACGTCTTTTCGACAAATTACCTAACTGGTAACAGCATGCTGGAATTCTCTTGTTGGCAGGAATACGTCTTCTGAGAGAAACGTCTCGCTGGTGGGAAGACAATACGTCTTTTTAACAGTGGCTTCAATGGGGGAGAACAGTGTCGTTAATAAAACGAACCCAGCCGGACATCAAGACAGTGAGATCGACGCAAGCAGTCAATATGAGGGTAACGAAGCAAATTTCCTGGAGATACCAATGAATGACAACGCTATCACAGAGGAAGTCGAGGAGATAAATTTAGATAATCTTATACCAGGTGAAAGCTTGGTAGGGATACCGAGAATGTTTATCTCAACAGATGTTCCATTGAAGTTGGATTTTTTCTTTTATGATATCGAAGACCCTACATATCACTTAGCTCCGAAATGTAACGACAGACTTTTGGACTGCTTTCGTTTCATCGCACAGCAGAATGGGACACATATCTTCTGTTATTGCATGTCCCAAGGGAATGGGAGATTTGAGCGGTTGGTACGTTACCCCCATTTTAAAGATATTGAAAGATTCTAATAGATAGCACATTTAGACACAGGGTCACTTCGGCTGTGGGAAGATTTGGATGGATATTAAGCGTTACTTGGAGCAAGAGGTAGGTGATGACCTTATCGGTATTTTCATCGCTCACATGTCTACAGCGCTGGTCTATCCGGTATGTTGCCTTGCATGGCGCTGAATGTTGGATTGGACTATTACATTCGGTAGTCATACACCCTCTTTTCCTCAGTATATAAACCCGTACTAATTTAAATATGAATAGAGGAGAAAAGCATCACGGATGTTTGCAAAGTATTTCCGGCGTGACGGCTTTTTACGAGAACATTACATCCTTAGCCATGAATACCTTTTCATCCATACCCCCGCGTGGGGAAGAGTCAGGCATTGTACGGAGTCAGAGTACGAACCCAATGATGTCAAATTCTTCTCGGACAAGGCCACCCAAATTATCAATGGAGTTACCGTTGAGATTGGAATGTTAAAGTTCAAAATGTTTGATGCCGATGTGGAGGACCCGGCTGGCATATTGGAGAACAAAAGATTCCTTCTTGGAAAATCCGTCCGAACGATGAAGAACAAAAAGAATCTCTCGCAAGGCTCACGAAAGAAGATGATAGCGGCCGAGGAAAAGTTCTTGGAAGTTGAAAAACGCATGGCTGACCCAAATATCATTACCTAAGGAAATATAACCCTTACTTTGGTTCTTTGGAAGGTTTCACCTTGATTCGAAGAAGATGTGAAGAATCTGGCTGTTTTATAACTGCCCTTTCTTGATGGTTATAACTTTGTCTTTTAATAAGTGGATAGAAGTGTGTACATGTACGTGTGGCATCTATGCGCATAGTGTTTAGAGAATTTTAACTTCAAGAATAAGTCCCGCTGGCCGCCCTCTTGTCTCGGGATAGTAGCCTTATTTAAGCCATATTTTAATTTCCTCCCTCGTTCTGGCGGTAAAGCACTCAGTTCGCATACAAGTTTCTAATGAGAGATAATGATTCTGATAGCGGGACCTTATGTGTTCTCATATAAGTAGAGGTATCCTTAGCTGAAGAGCAGTCAAGGTACGTTACAAGAGAGCTTTCCAGAACTACCAAGTAAATGGAAACATTGTATATCTTCCGTCCTCGTCGCAAACACTACACGCATATTTGCCAAGCCATATTGTTGAACGAACTCTTACTTTTCGCCTAGAGCATATTTCTCTATGTAATCTTCGCCCCCTCCAGCCGCAGATCGTGGGCACTAGTTAATTAGCTGTTGGTTAGAGAGATATATCTTCCCGTTACCTATGTAACCCCAGGACAATGGTATATCAGGGGCAAATTCGTCCATCCCCAAGTTATTGAAAACTCAATTCGCCAGGTAACCCTAGTAGCACAACGCGAAAGTTTGCTTAAGCCATCCTCGATCTCTCTTTCAATTTGCGTATAGGTGTTGAAAAGCTCGAAGACTAAAAATATAGGTATAATATAATGCTGTCCCCTCCTCCCCCCTCCCCCCTGGACCATTTGATATCTTTATTGGTAGAGAATCCGACGTTCTCACTTGATGAAAGAAGTTAAATGCTCACGCCTATCAATGATACCGAACCTTGAACTAAAAAATACTGTTACCACATTGACCCACCACTTTCAAACACTCAACCCACCTATCTGAAGTGTATGGCAAGTAACCTCAATGGAATACAACTATGCACCACAAATATGTAACGTTTGGACAAAAGGCTGAAAACGCTATTCGAAGCGGAGCGAAGATTCCAGGCCTGGCTGAGAAGCTTCTTGGCTGGAAACAATCATCCTTCCGGTCGGTGGAGGAGTGACGGAGTACATGAATACAGGTTGAATAGGTGAACTGTCATCGATTGATGCGAAGGGTGATTCGGTAGAAAGCTTGGGGTTCGGAGGGGTGTTATTAGGCGGTGCAGGAGAGCGGTGAGAATAAGGAGATGGTGTATTTATCTTCATAAGCGCTCTATGAAGCTCCATTGCCAGGGTTTCGATGTTCACTTGGGAACTTAATCCTGTAGGAGTGTTGGGTGGCGGCGGTGGACAACGGTAGGCAGAATTTCGTGGTGTTTTTCTCCTGGATGCACGAGGTTTATCATTTCCTGCGTGATAGATACGAGCACGCATATCATTTTCTCTGTTCAACTCCGTGCTTATCTCACAAAACGGCCTAGAAGGGTCTCTAGCAACATCAGAGTGCTTCCGCTTGACGATGCGGAAGGTGATGGCCTCAAACCCCGGATGTTCGAGTTTACGAGTACCCAAAGGGAGAGTGCGTTGGGTGTTCTGAGCAGGTTGAGTATTCTTGGAAGAGGTGAATCTCACCGATTTGGTAGGGGTGTATCTTTCAGGCGTACGGAGTATGCCGTTGACAAGAGGGGAAGCGTTATTACTTGCCCCCTGCTCCCTGGGGCTATGTGACGCAATAGTACCCTTTGGATCTATAGCGGGTTTATACATAGAGACCTTGATGGGTTCAATTGGAGAAGGCACTACAAACTCTCTATGAGAATTGCTGGCCTGGGGTGATCGTGTCTGGCGGTGCTGTGAGAATCCGGGAGAGATAGGCTTCAGAGATGAGTAGCTGGTTTCAAGGCTCTGAGTCTCTCCTAGACAAGAAGTGGATTTATGATCGCCAGGAGGGAGTGTTGCGGGGACGCTTAGTTCATCATCTGGATATTGTTCAATTTTAGCAATTGTGTTAACTGAATGCGGGCTATAATACCAAGGGGTGCAATTTCAACACACTTTTTTGATCATCATCAACCCGCCCACCCGGTACCCTTTGAACAGCATTTCTCTGTCGTACCTCCGGTGGGTGGCGCTGGAGTATAGGTATGTAAGCTAAAGAATTACAGCGTTCGAAGGCGGGAAAACTGACCATATGCACAGCAAAGACAGAGAGAATGACACAGCCGCAACGGACATTAGTCCGTTTGAGATGGAACCACTATAGTAATGAGTTAATAAACTTCCAGGTATTTGAAGTTTTACAGTTGACTACATTTTTGTGGAGAATGTCGCAGATGGATGAGAATTCATTTAACAATTCATAGAACTCTAAGAACTACAACATTGTCAGAAGGTTGTGAATAGATATCTTGCCGCATTCTTACTTACTTTGTGTTGAGAGGAGATCACCTCTAACTCTAGTACTTCTTTCAAGACTGGCATCCCCAGATACTCACCCATTCTTGTCAAGGTCCGTTCGATCTCAACGATGAAACCCAGGTCCCTGTTGGTATAAAGAACTTCTCCATCGACAAGAATTCCAGCTTTCACCTCATAGGTGTCCCTGACAGTTGGATGGAGATGCTGGTGGTCTCCCTGAGCTTTCTCGCGAGTTGGAGTGATATGACCAATAGTGTCATTCTCGAGTTTTTTGTCCCTCAGGGATGGAAGATGATTTAAGATGGTCTGTTCTTTGAGAACATCTTTCTCAAGATCCGGTGATGGAGCGGCACAATCCAATGTCATGGTTAGAATTGATTATTCGAAAACTGTGTATTGGGATGATGAAAACAGGTTATTCGGACTACTTCCATACATAGACTTAGGATTAAAAGCAGAAAGGAATCTAGAATGTGGTATACGTGTACTTATTGCGGCGGGTGTGGGCGGCAGAACACGCCATCCCTAGTCCGTACTTTGGCAGTGAAGCAAGGGGGCTTATTTTGCTCCATTCACCTGAGGGGCTGTGAAGCTATGAGAGCGAAGACAAATCACTCCGCATTGTCTTTTCTTTTCAGTTGGTCAGTTTTTTTACATGTAATCTATTGGTTGTTGAGCTATTTGGAACCTAAATGTTCGATATACATAATAAATACAGCATGCTATCTTGACATATCAGTTACAAAAGTTCTTATACTATACACACATAGCATCATCATGTAATCTTTGTACAGGATGCAATCATGTATGTATTGAAAATCCTTGTATATGACATTAGGTAAAACTATATGATACTAGGTAAAACTCTGTGTGAGAATGATTTGATCTTTGATATCTTCCTCACGTGAATTCTTAAAAAACGTTACTGAAGAAAAGCTTTTATTGATGTACGAAACCATCCCCCGAAGTCAACAAAAAGGATCTGCATGGTCAAAACCTAAATAATTATTATCTCTGTATTTTACTGTGTGGGTATTAGTCTGGTTGACAACAAAATAGTCGGTGAACGAGACTAGGTGGGTATATCACAGAGAACGAGGTCTTACTACTAACCCCGTTATAGGTCTCCTTTCTGGTACAAAGAGAGGTAATACCTCCGGATCCTCGACCTACGAGGCAGACAACTACTGTATTAGGGTCTTGCAAAATGACATTTTACTGTAATACTAGTAGGCACAAGTAGTCCAACCTTCGAATAATCCTAATGAGGGCATCAAACCAATGGAACCAATAGCCCCGCACTAGACCACAGAGGCGCAGGATTATCAGGGTTATTGAATCAATATATTCACCTATACGACTAATACCTCGATTGTCTAAGCCTTTACCGTCCGGAAGTGAGTACGAGCGTTTACCTCGAGGACGCTCGCCGCTCTAACCCTACACCTTGAGTCCTTACAAGGCATCGAGTGTTAATGACTACGTGTTGTGGACTACACCACTTACGCCTACTACTTAAAGAGCTTTGTCCTTGAGTCTCATTATTGGTGCGGATAAAAGATATAGACAAGCCATGTACGAGTGATGGGATATGATTCATCTACCGCGGAAGCTAATAATATTATAATATATTAACACTCTGAGGTTCTGTACAGCAATCCAATCTCTAATGCTGGGGAGGATTGAAGGATAAATTCTGTATCCGCTATAGCCTCTCGGCGTCTGTGACTACCCTCGTGGATCAGTCAGTACCCTCGTATCACTTCCCACTTCCCGAACATTTAATGTCAACCTTGACAGAGTGTTGTTCCTCACTCCGCTACCAACACGTGTGAGACCGACCTTTCTATCCGACCATCGTACGTTGCTCACTCTTCGACCATACATCGTCCAAACAACAGAGCTCAAACGACAGCTCGATCAGCTTATCCATCTATTCAATGCCCCACCCCAATTTGAAATCGCAGCACCCAGTGTCACCGACACTGGGGGGAGGGGCAGCCTCGCTTCTCGAGTTCATCAATATGCCATCATCCCCAGAATCTGAGGAACGTAAGGATGACAACAGTGATACCACTGGATTTATCTCCCCGGATAGCGTCGCAGGCCAACAGGCTCTTCATGGAGCGACACAGTCTGCTCCGACCTCTACCCCCCAGCCTGGATCTGGCAACAATAAGCCTCACGCCATCAATGTCCCGCAGCGCGCTGCTGTTGAGCAAAGAGCGAGTCTCTTCGGGCCAACTGTTGTGAAAGGCTGTAGAAGTGTCGAGTCTTTGAGAAAACGGGTCGCTCGTATGCCGTCGCTGGATTCTCTACCGGAAAATGGCACCGAGAGAGGGTGCCCAGAAATTGAGATTGATGGCATGAATCACGGTATTCTGGATGATCAAGAACACAGATCAATGATGCTGGTGATCCCAGAGGTCTCGAGATTTGTTGAACCGCTGAGCATGCAGGAACTGCGGCATATGATCACCATGCTCCATCAAAGATACGGTCTGGTGGTGAGTATCAGTGGACCCCATATCGCTTTCTGTTGCTGATGAAAAGAAAAAGGAGACTCCCACTGATGAAATATCAAATGCGGAAAGACTTAAGACCGTAGTCAGGAAAAAGGTGAGGGGCGTGCTATCTCTTTCAACCAAATGAAGCTAACGTTCCTTCAGGGGTTCGAAATTACAGGGTTTAAACTCAACGAAAAGGAAAACAAGATTTTGCTCACACTTTTGAAGAAGGTTTGTTTTCCTGCTGCCGTCCCGCATGTTTATTCCTTCCAGTTGCATGCACTGATCATTCATCTTTCATCAGGAGCCTTCTCTAGTCCCCAACACGATCCCATCGTCCTCTCATCAGCAGCTTGCTACGGGCAGTGAGAAGCCTCAAGCGCTAGTCGCGCCTTCCACTCGCCTTCTTCAAGCAAGGTCGGTCCCTCAGCAGAGGTCATTTGGCCCTCGTCTCCGTAACGCCATTACAATGTCAAACCTTCGTGCCAAAGCTCGTGAGAACGAGGTCTCAACCCCTCTCTACCCATCTCAACGTCGTCCTCTTCGTCCTTCCGCAAGCACCGCAGCTCTTTCGCCGTCACGTCCTAGTATACGTGCGGTGCAGCCTTCACCTGTCTCCGAATCTCCCGGCCGCGTCTCGCCACACAAGAACGCCTTCGTCCTGACTCGTGGCACCCAGTTCAACATGCGTGGAGAGCCTTCCCCAGAGAGACAAATGCAAATCGACAATCAACTCACCGAGAAGAATTTGGGCATTCAGCAGAGACTAGGGCCTTTGAGCCTGCGTGAAGGAAGCGAGGCGGAAATTGACATTCAACAGGCCCAAGCATTGAATAGAACCTTGAAATTTGGAGAAAATCTGTTGCAGAAAATCGATAAGGATAATGCCGAGGATCGGGCACAGTTAATGGAACAGGCTCGTGCACCCGGGACCACAGATAGCGGCACCACCGACAATAGTCAAGTTGCTCGTCCAGAAACCTTCGACATCGCGAATGATCATATTCGTCAGTATACTGAGAAGCATCGTTCTGGGCTCAATTGCACTGGATCTAGGGTTTCGAGGTCTCAAATTTCTAATACTCCCAGCGGTAGGCTCTCCCGTGCTGGACGTACCAACCGGGATGAAAATCTCTCTAGCACAGGAGTAATTCCCGGTATCGAAGTCTCCGCCATGGATAGAAACCTCGCAGAGGAAGATGTTTCAACTTCTCGGCACCCCTTACGCCTTATTTCAAGCGTGGCCGATATGCGCTCAAGGAATAATGAGCCTGTAGGAAGACCACTTAGCCGCGCCGCCGTTGGACCTGGTCTTACTCCTTACCGCAGCTTCCCTGCTTTGCCGGCGGCGACCAATCTTGTTACAAAGGAGACCCGCGCTCGTGCTCCGGTTGATCCAACTCGTAAGGATACGGCATTGTTCAGGCCAACCACATCGCAGAGTAACAAACAGAAGGATCAGCCCGCTGGTGCTAAAAAGCCTCCAGGAGGATTTGGAAGGGAGTTGAAGTGGGCCTAGCTAATAAGCTTTATCGGCTATTTTTTACATGGGGAATTTTCATAATATCAATCGAAGGCTTTGTTCATGCGCTCATCTTATGTACTGTTGGGAGGAATGATGAGGCCCAACTAGTGGGGTTTAACAGGCACTATATTATCCGAAATGTCTTTTGTAATGAAGATGTCTATCATTCTCTATATGCTCAGTGTATCAATCAAATAAAGAATAAGCAGTTGCCTCATCTCCGATATCTGTTTGGCTGTCGTTCTAGGGCCACGTGTCTACTCCCGTGTAGGTAGATTCTCACTGCCCATTTTGATAGAGAATATTGGTGCTTCAATTCTTTCGTACTAGGATATACAATGCAGATGGAATGCCCAAGCGTAAGTCAAACATACATGTACTTTTTATCTGAGCATAAAGCAACATGACACCCCATAGGACTGAAGGAACATTTGCGTTATGCCTCCAACCTACACCAAATATCCGCAATCTTCGTTTTCATTTCAATATCGTTATATTTTTCATCTTACCCTTGGTTGGCAACATTGCTCACAATCCCCTCACGGAGTCTCAAACCCAGCGGAGTCACACACAGAAGGATTTACATAAGGTACACACAGGCTGCTATAAGTAGTGTCCCGTAAATGCGATTAGCAGAAAGTTGAATAAACCATATTAGTCTAGATTTCTATATGAGGCTAGAGGCACCCAGCCTAAACCTTATACCTTATCACTCTAAGGGGTATCTTTCAGATATTTCTTCTAACACGCCTATAACATGTTTAAAATCCCACTATCTACTGTGATTCGGGATTGTTCCGCATCTTTGCATCTACTGAGAGATCCTGCTGGATCGGGTGTCAGGTATGTCTTCTGTTATCAAATGATCATCTCATTAAGCTGACAGCACTGGATAGAATAGAAAATGATTGGCAGTCAGTTCAGACAGTAAATAAATATCTCAGTCCTGAGTACATTCGGGAGGTGAAAAGAACCATCTTGGCACTCTCATCCACTTATCCGGGTGTTTGAAAAGCATTGCGGTATTTCATCTCACCCGGGAGGTAGGTTTTCTAGAAGTATCCGTGGAATTTCCCTTTTTTTGTTTTGTTAACAAAGGAGCCCTTGGATGAAGTATCGTAGTCCATAATAGCATAAAAGATCGGGACGGACATGCAACCTAAGGCTCTGTGGGGACCTTCCCCAGTCTACTCCTACCCGAACGCGTGAGAAGGAGGTAGTTGAAGAGAGTGTATTGGCGGATATCAGGTGGATGAATAGTTGAAGTTCTCCGGAAAGGTAAGCTTCCTTTTGTGTTTTGGCAATTGTTGGTGGGTCACCTTCGGGGGTTATGTGAGGCTGCTCTGAAACAATCAAAGCACTGGACACCCAACCTTTGGCACCTTGGCTATAACGCTATCCGGCAATAACCCTCGACCTAACTCTCCCCAGAAGCAACCAAAAAAGAGAAAACGCCCACAAAGTGCCATGTCTTCCCTCATGGTCCCCTCTATGCATGCCCCTCAGGCGATCGCCAACACAGCCCCCGATCGCTCCAACTTTGCAGAAATAACTAGAATGCTCTTTCTTCTGAGGCGCAATACGCTCTATACAAACCCCTACTTTTCCAGGTCCGCCCTCAACCCTCTCTTCATCCTGTCAAGACTCTAATGACAATCACAGAGTTATTTCCTGGTCCCTCAACCCCAACACCGAGCCTCAGCCACCAGTCGACTACATATTGGCCCTCATTAACCAAGCCCGTGAACGTATCGAGGCACTTCAAATTGACCGCGAGCTCACAATCTGCGCCCTGAAAACCGTACCGAACATCACCTGCGAGCGTATTTGGGAGGGTATCAATCATGGTCTCAAGATGCTGCCTAACAATGACCCGGAGATTGATGATATGACGGGAACGGTGGTCAAGGTGACGGAGCAGATAAGAGGGTTGAAGGATTTGATTTGGAATGTGCAGAAGGCTGTGTGGGAGGATCCAGTTATGGCTCAGGAATACTCGGTGCGCCCGGGGGTCTCCGTTATTACACACGACTTGCAAAAAGTCATACTTAGGCGTGCGGCAGATGAGGCGGCGAAGTTTGCGGCGAGTGTGAGTAGCTTGGAAATGGAGGAGGATAACAGTGAATGTGGGTTGGAGATGGGGACGCTTGAGATGACTGGACCGACCAGTCATGATGGGGATTGGGTTGATGAGGAGATGGAAATGGATAACGAGGAGCGTAAAAATGCAGAGGGCGGGATTGCATAAAGGAGGGAGTTCTTTGGTTAGATACAGATAGTAAAGTATTAGATTTCTTTAGTCTGTATCAAATTGATGTCTCCTTATCTTCTCCTTCAATCTATTTCTTTATTTCTTTCGATTATGTACTATAATGTCGTTTTTGACATGCACACAGCAGAGGTGGGTGAGAATCCTTCCTATTGCCTCTCCTGCAATTTCTCTGCTGCAAATGAACCCATAACAACCGCTGACACGTCTTAGCTAGGATAATACGCTCACTCCGAATACATAAACCCAACCTGTGCTTATCTAGGATTATGCCTGTTACCCACGCCTGGGAGCTTTTGAAGAATGAAGAACTTACAAAAAATCGCCAAAAGTGAACTCTTTGCAGATTGCGAGCTTACTTCCCCTCCCCACGTCTCCGCTCTGTTTACCGATTCCTCCTTCACTCCTGTGGCTACCGCTCTACTCATATAGTAGCCTCCATTCGGCGGTTACAGCCATCCATATTAGCAGGTCGTTCAATCCGCTACTGAATATCGTCTCACGCTCCACTTCTCTCCACCCTTTCTCGCGAGCTTCAATCGCCGTATTGGAGCTTCCGCCGACCCTATATCAACACTGCACACGCCGTGACGCGTCGGTGCACTGTCTTGCGATTATCGGGAGGCCTGAAATGGGTACAGAATGAGAAGGCAACACTTCCGGGTAGGCGCATTGGAGCGGAGATTCTCTGTCAGCTGTGTGGAGTACTGCTGGTCTCTGAGACATTAAGGTATGAAGTTTGAAGTAATTCAGGACGCTTATTTACATTGATTTAAGACTAGAGCTGAAGACAAAGGAAGGAACGATATGATGGAGTTCCTCCATGAGGCCACATGCATTTCTTTGTCACTGATCGCCCACTGAAGACCGGCCGTATATCACATATACCAACAGATCACAGCTAGCTCTCCAAGATACCATAAGCCGACTCGATGATAGAGCAGAAATCACAAAGCGTGTTTCAAGATCGATGTTTCGAGGGAAGGGGGGTGTCGATTTGTTTGGCCTGAATGGCGCGAGTGATAAGATATGACTCAATCGAGTGATATTAGGTGAACGAGTGATGATATGTGAACGAGTGATCTTCCATGACGGGTTGCCGTGCAAGGGGTATGCGCATCATGTTATTGTCCTTGTATAGAGGGTGCGTTACTTCATGACGCACTAGGCAAATGACCTAGAGGTACACAACATGGGACGTAGAGATAGTATGTTTTGATATGTTGAATTACTCTATGAGCGCTGCCAAACTAAAAACGAGAAGACCAGTGGCTCAATGACCGAGGTATATTAGGTCTAGATGTAAAAGCCAACTCCTTCCTTTCTCCACTTGCCGTCTTCGGTGATCCTATACAGAGAAGTATTTAGAGTAACACTATAAGCTCAACAATTTCAGGTTGATTCAACATCGTGGACCCCTCATTTACCATACCCGGGAGAATTGCTTGATTTTCTGTCGGTACAAGCAGAGCAAATCAAGGACGAAGAAGGTAATGCACAGGGAATAGTATACCCACTCTGATATAGAGACAAAATTTCAAGCTTAACCTAACACCTTGTCCAGCGACCAATGGCTTAGCTCAAGGTGGAGCGAAAACTCACCCGAAGGTTCTTCCGTCCCACTTCAGGCTGTAAAGCTTGAGCCTAGAACTATCTTCGCCCTTTCCGAACCTTTCTAGCCATTTTCTCCTTAAGTTGGAGTAACACACATTTTTAAGCCAACAGAAAAAAAGGTCGCCAAAAAAAGATCAACGTCTACTAGTCGGAGGTAGTAGGTACGGTATTTTTAACGCTGCACGCAGAGGCCGCTGTAATGACATGGAAAGTCCAGCCCGGAGGGCGCGGCTATTGACTGCGCTTTTCCGATCATACCAAGCCCATCTAGCTACTAGAGAATGACCCTTTCTTTTGCAAAGACTGTTTACTTATAATGGCGGTGGCGTAAATGGCTTACTGCTATTTCTCGAGGCATTACCCGCAGGTCATCTACCGCTCACGATTTGTTGAATATCGAGATGATTCTAATACGTGTAGGTTTGAAGGTCAGCATGAGAGTCTATTTGTGGTGGAAAAGAGAGTTTGAGAAGGATGAAAAACATAACTCTTCTTAAAACGAATCGGTTCTTATGTCAAACAGATTTCCACTTCCATTCCCCAGAGAAAGCGCCAACAATAACGAAGTAAATGATGGAGATCGTGTATCATTATTTTAACGGGTTTGTATAGGATTGGTAATAGGTTCTCTTTGGAGTCGGAGGTGTCTGAAAATGATCCCGGGCTATCACCGCGAAGCTATATAATTTGTACGGGTGTAACGCCTAAGTGCATGGACTTCTCGGTTTCTTCGGCGAGATGTCACACGCAGCTGGTGTGAGGGAGGTTGTTTATTCTCGATGTGAACCCTTAACTGCGATGTATGGCGGGGCTACTTTGTTGTTCATAAGGAGCATTCCCCCGCATAGGTTTTATTGGAAATGATTTCGATGTTCCTCTATGGGACTGGTGCGTAGACCTGGTTGGAATTGGTAAATAATGATGGTTCCCCGGGTGTATTTGAGATGTTTCATCTTCTTTAAACCTTAGAGCGCCCGTGATAGAGTTACTCAGACCCATAAAGATTGCCCAACCAAAAGCGATCAAAAGTCCAGGGAGATCCATCGAGATCATGTGGTAAAACAAATTACGGAAAAGGTCTAAAATGACACAGTTTTCGGTATACGTGCCGAAATAACACATGAATGCAAGATAACACAGTTCGGTATAATCCAAAACGAATACATCAATTAGTATATGTATTGGCTGAGCAATGATACAATGTAGCAAAAGTATCGAAGGGTCGGGGTTCAAGTTCGATCTTCATCTTGGCACACTGCCAAGCTAGCTCAAGTATCACTTCGGGCACAGCATCCACTATAGGCGGGTGGTCTAGTGGATAGACTGCTCGTCAACACCGAGCGTACCCAGGATACAACCAATCACACATAAGGTCCTGGGTTCAAACCAGGGGTGGGGGTAGCAGTCGCAAATGTCTTAATAAGTCGCTGCAGTACCTTTTGTAATTTTGTACCTTTTGTAGTTTTATAGAACGCTTTGTTCTTTTTTTCTTCTCTTTTTTTACTTGTAGTGACCGCGAACTGTGTCTTTTTGCATCATGTGCTATTTCGGCACGTATACCGAAAACTGTGTTATTTTAGACCTTTTCCGATCAAATTATTGATGCTCCAGTAGGATAAGGTAAGGTGAGTGGTGAAGCGCCAAGACACTCGTCTTACCTAGACCTTTTTTACCCCACCAAGCCTTTCCAAGCCCTTCTTCTCTCTCCCTTTATAAACATCTTACAACGCAACCTTCTCCTTCTCTATAATTACTCCTCTTCCACAAAGGTCTTCGCTAATCCGACATTTTTCAGTCTCAATCTTTTCATTCAAGCCCCTCCTCCGTAGGAAGCTTATGACTGAGTCACATTTTTACTTTCAATTACGTGACATTGACTTCTCTAGCAAATATTGTAGGACTTTACATGTTAGATACTTTAACATACGCGATGTTTTTCTAGGTTCAGGGAGAGGAGTCTCCACTGCCGGCTATTCCCCGTACCTGAACCTATTCTCATATGGCGGTTTGTCGAAGTAGTCTAGATGTGGTACCCTTGGACCGGAAAAAGAAATGCTCTCTCCAATGAGAAAGGCACCGCTAATTCTAGGACAGCATGGAAAGGACACACAGGGTGAAGGGCTGATACCATCGACCATGGTTCTCATCCCCTCACCGAGTAGTCGTTTAGGTGAATACGGAATATCCGAGGCGTCCGACTTTACCTTTGGAGATCTTAGTGGGACGGGGCATCGGAGGGCCATGCTACATTTATGACGCGAGTACAAGCGCTTAGACTAGAACATGTGGGCGAGGCTCACATATATCAGCATCTGTTTCGCGTTGGGGTTATGCCTCCATAGGACCGGAGCCGACATATGTGAGTTTAGTGATCACATGATGCCCTAGGTGAGCGCCGGAGGGTTTATCTATTCTATACAAGACAAGTCAAATTTCAGATAGGGCAATAGTTGGTAGAAGGGAATAGTTTTAATCGAGTGTTGACCTTACGACACAATTGTGTCCAGACTTTATGAATCAAACCTTTCTTCCTACGGGCGTAAGTCGGTGATGTCTATCAGGCGCGAGAGGCAGAACTCCTAATGCGTACAAGGGTTCAGAAATGAAAGGATAGATTACCGGCGGGTCGTGCTACACCCTATCGGTATTGACTGATAAAAGAGCGGTTTCGAGACGGTTATGACCGATAGGTTTGAAAAGAGAAGTCAGCCTTGTGCTCTTGACCTCGGGGCTCCTATGTTCAACTTCAAAAGCATCTTCTTTAAGCCTCAGGTCAGAGAGCATTGAAAAGACGTGATGGGCGATTAAATACTCATTAGCTTATCTCGTGTGAGTTGAGCCAGAGATAGACCGGTACTGAGATAACCCTTTCTGCTATATGAGAAACTGCATATATCTTTTTTAAAGAGATATTGATGTTTCAATATAAAACCTCCTCCTTCCGAAGGTGCACACCTGCGATCAACAGAATTTGCCATTCCTTCCTTTAACTCTGGCATACGACGATCAGGACCCTCGTTGAAACAAATTTAACCTTTCTGTTTGTCACGCGTATGAGTAGCGCTATCGACCCCGGATTCGGACGTCCTACGCAGGGAAGAAAACGTGTATATTCAGTAGACTTTTGTGGTTGTAAGTTCAAGCAATACCAACCCCAGCGTATCGTAACCATCATGCTCTACTTAATTTTTCTAATGGTAAGGATCTCCCCCCTGCTCTTTGCTGGTCTCGTCGTTTCGTAGTAGAAGAAACAGATTTGGGAGACATATACGCAACCTACGAGCAATTCCTAGGGCTCTTGAGTAATATTCAATGTCTCATGGTACTTAAAACATACTTTCCTGACCTTGACAATAAGAAGACATATTTTGCTGAGTGTAGCATTAGAAGCACACTTGAACAAGAATTCAGGACACGAGCTATATATAGAAGAATAAGAATTATAGTAATATTGGTGCTCATAAAATGAATAGATGGAGAGTAAACTGGTGCTTACGGATGCCAGTGACATACTCACCGCAGGGGTTGAGTGTTATCATTTACCCGCATGACATCATGTGGAACCAGAAACGAGTAGCATGCAGCAAATAGAAGAAATCACAATGGTAGTTACCAAGCTGAAGTATTTAGTTATCAGTGAAAAAATGTATTCGACTAATATTTATGAGATAGTGTTTATGAGACTAACTCCAGGATCGCGATCCAAAAGGTGTACAACTGTCGACAAAAAACTTGAAAACATCACCAAAAGATTGCCCAAGAGAAAAACCAACAAATAATACTGACGATCCCAAATGAAAACTAACAAAATGATATACATAATCCTCCAAACAATACCCAAAGAGTAATAATAATCGGACATGACACAAACCGTAACCGCGAACGCCTTAACCAAGATTGTCCCCAAAATTTGGAACTGATGAATCTTTAGTTCCAGGCATTTCTGCTGAAAATTGGCCTGACCGATTGAACGGGAGCCCTAGGAGCTCGGGTGTTGCACCTAATATTCGCGGGAGGGCGAACGGCAGCGGTGACAACGTGGGAGGTGGAGCTCCCCCGAGAAGAGGCGCGCTGGGGGATTGCAGTGCGACGAACGGTGGTGGAAGAGGAAACAGTTGCAGCAGTGTTTGAGGGGGTGTTTAATATCTGAACATGACGATTTGGCTGGTGGATTGATGAAGTTGAGGGAGGAATAAGTGTGGTAATAGACAGATTGTTGTTTCTGGACACTGTTGGAATCCTTGATGATTGAGCTGGGATCGAAGGCTGGATTGTGGAAGAGCCCTCAGCGAGCTCCATGTTTAAATTGATGAGAAGCGTAGCGTTTTCAATAGAAACCTTCTTACTGAAACCAAAGGAAATGTTTGCGGCAGATCCATGAGCAACCTTCTGGGAAAGTGCATTGTTTTGAGTCTTTTTCTTTTCAATCCTCGTAATGGCAGACTCCAAAGCTGATGCAACCCCAGCAGAGAATTTCTCGATAGCTTTCTCAGCTGCGCTCATAGCATGAGCAAGATCTGACGCACAGGCAATGTTATCAAAGACATTTATCGAATTGTTTGAGAAAGACTCCTCTCCTGAGGAGTAACCGCTGTCATACGAAGATGAGAGGTGGAAGCCTTTGCTTGATGGAGTGGTTGGGGATGCGGTATTAGGCGTAGAAACCTGGCCATTAATAGAAGAGGACAGTCTAGTGACATTAGACTGAGCAATGTTGATAGAATCGGTATCGGGATCGGAGGATAATCCTTGTCCATCGAAGAGCTTCCTGACGGTAGTATCCCTGATGGGGGAAAAGGTTGCTGGGATAGCAACGCCACATTCTTCAACGGATGTTTCGTCTTTGATAAGAGACGAGGCGGTAGGCAAAACATCAACCTGGGTTGGTGGGGTTGAGGAAATATCAGTGGTAGACGGAGGGATAAGGGAGGTTTCAACCGATGGGGTAACTGGAATAATTGCATCAGTGATAGACGTATTGTCGACAACTTCAACGGTGACGACGGCAGAGACTTCAAGCTCTTCGGCAGCGGCGATGAGAGGTGACAGTTGGAGGCCTTCAGCTGGGACGATTGAAGAAGTTTCGATCACTTCAGCGGGAACATCAACTGAAGCGAGCTCAACCTCACCAACAGTGGTGACGAGAGTAGATGTTTCACTGTTCTCTACAACGGTAGTCGCAACGGGAATGGTCATAAGAGCGTCAGCTGTGTTTGACAAATCGAACCTCTCATTTTGACGAAGGGTTGATGTATTTTCTTTACTATTCGATCGAGAACTATTCATGACCGACTCGAAAGAAACAGGTGAGGTGATAGTGGTGATGATAGGCTCATTGACTCGTGCATTATCCAATGGTGTCAACGTAGAGAGGAGTTCAACTGCCTGTGAAGTCCTTCTGAGGAAAGGCTTTTTCGGCACCTTTGGTTTAGGGGTTGCCTCAACTAGTGCTGGCACATATGGCTTGCACATGAGAGGACGAGTAGGAGTCGCCTGTTCAAGTATTAGGATAGGTTGCAAATAACGCATGACTGGTGGCCTTACAGAAGGTATAGCAATTAGATGAAGAGTGTTGTCCGACTTGTTGCAAGAGCGGAAGATTAATTTCTGGAGACAAAAATTAGCGAAGATCTACAATTGGGATGGGGTTATCTTACATGCTTGAGGAAGATATCCTCGATTGGTGTTTTGGCAGACCTATTCTTAACCTACAAATATTAGCTAGGTTGATAGCGGAATAGTGTATAATACTTACAATTGAGTTTTCGTTTTTGGTTAGCTCAGTTAGGGCAGCTTTGAACTTCATGAAGTTCAAGGTTCGGAAATGTTCAAGGATCTCCTGTTCAACCAAGGCCGACTGGGAACAAGGAACGGGCTTGCCGCTTACGTTCTGGACAATGATGTCGAGATTCGGGAGTTCATATTGTGCCATTACCGATGATTTTAGTAAAGTAGGATTAATTGACCTTGGTTGCTGCTGGTTGATAGCGGTGGGCTGCTGCATGGGTTCGGATACTGTGTTGCCGCCGGCTGCGAATGGGGTGATTGCTCTTAAGATAGTCCTTGAAGAGGAACTTCCTCTAGAAGATCGTTTGCGTGCCTCAGAAGACTATGGTTTACTGTTAGCAAACGATTATAGTCATATAAGATTGATTGAGATCTTACAGATGGTTTGCACGGAATTGTCAAAACACCATCGATTTCCAAAGGGTCGCCCATTGTATAACCCTAAGATTCAGAGATATCAGTTAGAAATGTTTAAGTTGGAAAGGTGCTGAGTATATTAGCCTACATGTTTTATTAGAATGGCTTCAACATGTTTCAGATGAGACCCCTCTGGTCGAACCTGTGCAGAACGAAAATCAGTGATTGTCCAGCGAAACAAAAAAATACCAAAAAATACCAAAAGATAACATGAGGGAAGAGCAGTACATACCATTTGGAATTGGAAACTTTTAACTGCTTTGACAATGTTTCGGTAATTGAACGCAGTAGTTTGAGCAGCAATGTTTCTGAGCTCATCATTGACCGCCTCAATAGTTCGGATTTCCGCAGGACTAGATGAGGGAGGGGACGAGATTGCCTTGATGGGCTGATTGATGCTGGCCGCGTCAAGTGAGGGCTTACGACTGTACTTAAGCTTACTGGAGAGCATGTTTTGTAGTCTGTTTGGGGACGACATTGTAATGAATTGGATGATGTTGTTTGATTTGCTACGGAATGACAATCAGCATTTTGCATTGGGCAAAAAGGGTAATTCAAAGGATTGAGTAAGAAAATCTTACTTGAATGAATCGAAGGGTGGAACTGATGTTGTCGATTATTGTTGGGATGATTGGTTGATGGGATTGTTGATGTTGGTGATATTGGTAATGTTGTCGATTTTGCTGTGTTGTCGATTGTTAGGTTAAGTGGGTAAAGAAAGAAGAGGCGCAGGTACGGTCTGTATTTATACGTGCTCTGTGTGTGTGGCGTAACCAACAGTGATTAGGTATTAGGTCTTTGATTCATTCAGCCCTGATGGGTCGGGCTTCCCTACTCCCATCTAACCCCTAGCACCTAGGGCATGCTCATAGAAAGCCGGGAGTTGAGAGAGAAGCCCCCTCCTTCTGTCAAACAGCAAACCCCATACCCCCTGTAACGTATAGTTACATGTACGTACTGTAACACTAAAGCAGTGCAGCAGGTAATGTGATCCCAATTCGTGCCCTTAAGCTAAGGAAGACATTACACTGCTTTTCCTTATATGTAGATTGTTTACATATCTGTAACCTCTTCTCGTTGGCTAGACAACATGTAGATGTAGTCCCATCCCCATATACATGTATTTGGTCCACCAATCTGGGAGGCAGCAAGCACAACAAAGGCTCCTGCCCAAAGCTTTGAGATCCTGTCAACATGTTGTAACACTGCACCTCTCATGTATTTGCTCATCTCACACCCCCAAGGACCATTCATTACATCTAATCAACTGTTCTTTAGGTTGTGCAAAGAGATGCAAATTGTGTAAAAAAAAAGGAACCTAATTGTGATAGCTCTACTTGACTACATTGCCTTCTTGAATTTAGGCCCTTCGCATGTTGATATCCCTTCAACGACTGCTCAGATACCTCTCCCTCGCTTTGTAAATACCAACGAGACACACCTATGCCTCTTCCTCATTCCAGAGCATCATCCCACTTCGGTTTTCATACGTTGAGTCACGAATAGCCAGCAGTCTCATCGTGTAGCATGTACCACTAATCTCTACCTAGCGGGGAAACATCTGGAGCCTTGTCTAGGGAGGAAAGGCACTCAACCTTCCGACTGCGGCGAACTTTGTAGATCACCATGTTTTTGTCTGAAATCATTATATCTATCAATCTCTCGATTATATGTAATTTAGATTCACCGTTATCTTACACTAGCACGGTGGATGGTTAAATCACACTTTATCACTCGTTTTAATCACTACAAACCTGTTTTAATTGCTATACTGTTGCTCGGTCACTGTGCAGGAAAGAGACAGACATATCGAGGCTAACACCGACCAATGTGTACTCGTACAAACAGAATGGCTGTGCAAAGCATCAACCTCCATTAGTTATCTACCCCCTTTCATATAGATAAGAGGAACTCTACCCCGCATAAAAGGGCTTATGTCATCTATAGTCGGAAATCAGGGACCTCGCCCTTCCTCCAACGGTTCGATCGCGGTAGGATTCTACGTTACTCGCAAGCCTAAGCAAAGAAACCCCCTAAGAACTAATAGAGCCACAAGGCTTACGTCCGGAATCTTTATTAGTAGAGTGTCGGTACTTAGGGCCCTTTAGCCGTGATCTGGGGTCCAAGGCGAAGGCGAAACAAATGTGTTGCTAAGAAGATTTGGTGATGCCACACGCTACGCTCCGACCGCCAAACGCCGCACTTAATGCTCCTTCTTACTTACTCTCTCTCAGTCACCACCAGCCCCACCACACCTACATTATCACGACTACATCCGGCAGTGAGTTTACACGCCAGCTCAGCATTTAGTCAGTCCGCCCCCATAACACTACCCTCAGAATGAGCTATTCGCCTATTGCCCGTGTTCTGTTCCGCAAACTAGTCCAAGAACGCTACCTTTTCGAGGATGATGAAGACGACACAGTCTCCAATGCCGCCGAGGCGCTTACCACGATGGCCACGTCCGTTACTCCTTCCTTTGCGGGTTTAATCATGCACTAATAGGCCCATTGCTCTACTTTAGCGATACCACTGCTGACGCTCAGGCGGAGGAGGAAGAGGAGGCTGCTTTTGAGCTTATTATGCAACGGGTGCAGGAGGCCGAAGCCCGGCTTGAGAGGTTAAGGCGTAACATGGCTAAGGTATTCAAAACTACGAAGAACCTCAACAAAAGGGTTCGTGTTGACAGGAAGCGACAAAAAAGGGATAGTAAGAGGAGGAAGATCACTCATGCTAGGGACACGGACAGACCCGGAGATGTCAGCCAGCTTGGTGCTACCTCGCAGACTCGTGAGAACGACGAGGAATCTCGGAAGATTGCGTCGAAGATCAGAACACTTGTGAAGGAACTTGACAAGCTTTCGAAAGAAACGAGCTCGATCACGCGTGACAATGGGCCGCGTGTTATCAAGGAATAGACCCGAGTCTCCAGGAAAGCCAGTATGAGTTGAACCATTGAGAGGATCATGGATATAAGAGGTCTTCTGTTTTATTGTGTAAATGAAGAGTAAATTTGATTAAAGTACAAGTAGCTTGTCAGTTCGGGGTGAGATTTTGAGCGGTTTTATGTCTCCTTACCCATCATGATTGAACTTCGGCAAACAGGTCACAAGCAGTGAAATTGATCTTGCGGATATTGCATGCTTGGGTGTGTTGGAGCTCAACCAGCTGCCTGAATTAAAATGCCCTTGCGAATAAATGAAATATCAATGCATCGTTCCACACATCCTCTCTGTTTGTAAACAATGGCCACAAAAGTGAATCTAGCTAAGTGCATAGGAATGAAGTAATTTAGTTTCAAGCATATCATTTAACATACGTGGGTGCACCGTATATCTCGACCCCTTTGTCCCTACTTAGCAGTACCGAATATGATTATGTCTCTGCCTGAACTACTGATATCAAATCATATAGTCCCTATTACTCGCACCTGAACACCTGTGGAACCTTAAACCCAGTTATCCTTCCCATAACACCCGAACTACACCCAACATCCGCCCAACCCTGCTGGGGCGTTGGCTGTTTCAACCAAAGCGAGAACCGTCCGCTCGAACTGAGAGAGGAAAGAAACAAGGAGTCAAAAATGCAGTTACAAGTTCACCGTATTAGGAGAAGAACTGGGGTTCGTGACGATTCTTTCCTTTGATCGGTATACAGCAGTGTGATGAGCAGGCAGAGGTCCTCCTATTGCTGCATATACCTCCGTTGGGACATCAAATCCTCACCGGTTCCCCTAAAGATATCTCATCAAAGAAACCTAGCCCTAGTTTACTTCTTTCATGCATCCGGCAAAGGATATTCAAGATATCCCGAGCAAAATTCGTCTTCCGAAAAGAACAGATGAGTTGTTGCCCACGAGTTATTCAGCGACACCCAATATTCTATTAGTTGAGGTTCAACAGCGACGTTCTGTCGCCGCCGTTACCACAACTGATGAAACACTCGGCTCAGTGAATATCCTTGGTGGACCTAGAGAGATTGTGGTGGTTTGATAGAGAACAGCATTGCTGCTTAAAGTAAATAGAGGGAAGACGTCGAGAGGCACTTTTTCTCCGCGTGGTCTGTAATAGTTATGTCCGTTTGTGCGCTGGTAAAATAAGCAACCGGCGCTAAAATGCTAGAAAAAGAGAATGGGAATAAAAAGAATTAAGAGTAACGTAGGACCCTACCCAGACTTGATACTCAATACCCTACCAGTTCCGACTTCGTTTGGGTAGAGTTATAGCACTACAAGGATATGCTGTCACAAGCTTATGGAAATCTCAGTTCCGTAAATTTTCGTGAAAATTCTTTTTAAAGCGCTGTTGTGGCGCTTCTGTGGGACTGTTTGTGTTGTCGAGGTAACTAAGTGGAGGATTGAGGTCGACATAAGCTTTTTATCCCTGAATAAGCTAAGCCTCGGCGCGCTAATTCAGTTTTGATCACATCCCGTAGTTTGGACCGGGTAAAATAATGAGACTTGTTCCAACATGTATTTTGGAGGTTTTTTTTTTTTTTTTACCCGTTTAGGTTCGGACGATTTATTAGGGTGTAGGGAAACGTATGATTTGCCAAACTATACACAAATCAGACGAACTCAACACCCAATAATTGTATCAGTGGTGCTTCGGCCATATCGGGGTTTTTTCCGCCGAAGATCCTGCTCCTGCGCCACTGATAACACTCGGCTCGCAGAACGAAAATTGCTAGAACGGGTGTTCAGCATCTTTTGGGAATTGTAGTTTTCGGAGTGAGCTTCAGGGAAGGAGATGTTTTCCAGTAGAGGAATTGTTAAATTCTTGGAGAGAGAGCAGAACAGTGGGGCGATTGACAACTAACTACACTCTCGCGCAAGTATGCACCGGTAGTATTAACAGGAGAAGAAACCCAATGGGGATACACACTCGACACCCAATATTCCATCAGTCGAGGTTCAGCTAGAAGGAGCTCTTCAGACTCTCCCTTCCTGGGCCTGGACTGATGGAACACTCGGCTCGGTGGATACTCATGAGAGGCGGTGTAGGTCATCATCCGACTACGTAGACTGTTGGAGAAGCAGGGTAGTGGAGGAGTGGAGAGGGAAATGGATGAATGAAACTGAGAAATTGGGAGAGAACTGACGTGGAGATAAGCATTGCCTGCGTGACAAGTCTTGGCCGCGCTCGCTCTGCCGGGATAAACATGAACCGCTGAGATAGTGCCCAGGTGGGGGTGGGGGGGGGGGGGGGGGCGAGGGAACATTTGCCTGGTATTACCATCCCTAGTAGATTCATACCCTGATTGTAATGAACCTCCTAAAGGTTATGGTTCAATATGTAATTACAAACTCCATTGTCCTTAATGGAGGAGGTTATATCGAACTTCGCGGATTTTTTAGGCATCTTCTTTCACATATACCGTACGCTGCCTGTAGGCATTAGGTCCTCATTACGTAGTGTTTGATACGTTGGAAATGGCACAGCTGGCGGTTGCTTAGGCTCCTACGCGCAATATAGAGTGTCAAAGCCTTCACGTAGTGTCATGTTTCCTGTGTCGTGAGACTATCTGTCATATACTAATGACACGACTGTTCCAAGACTATCCTTAGAAGTGAACTCTCTGTCTCCTCTTTTCATCTCTTCAATACTTCAAGGACCAAATTCCTCAGTGATATTTGAAGATTTAGGCTCTCTATATAGTAACATCCCACCCACTCAACCCACGATGGAAGATATCTCTCACACTCCCCCACCTGACCGCGGTGTCACTCCTCCCCCCTCCGTAGGCTTCAGTAACCCTCGCGAACTTGCCTTCTACTGCATTGGCACCCTTCTCGACCTCTGCACGCAGTACCGCCGTACTCTCGACCGCGTCGAATCCACCCGCCTCCTCAACAACGCAAAAGCCTCTCGCCATTTAGGTGTTGCCCTCGACCCAGCATTTCACGTCCCCTCAGGGAAAACGCTCAAGTGGCTGACCGCTGCGCAGCTACGCCTCTGGAACGCCACAAAGGCAATGCTCCTCTCTTGCACATACCGCGAGCGTCCTGAGCGCAGCTTTGCGCATGCCCTCGGCCGCTCAGAGGCCGTCCAGAAGCGCCTAAGGAAGCTGATACTCGGTGATGTGATACGTGAGGGGGATGCGCTATGGCAGTTTGATGGCACGGAATTGTCCCTGGCGGAGGCACTTGAGCCGTTTAAGGACCTCGAGCCGGGCAGTGTTCGGTGGATTGAGGGTGCGGCGATGAGGCAGGTCAAGGATGAGTATGCCCACAAGGCGAAGGCGATGAAGAAGGCATTCTATAAGGAGAGGAGGGAGCATCTGGCGACGAAGAGGAAGATGTTGACGAACGAGATTGAGGGGCTGAGTAAACTCGCCGAGGCGTATAGGGAGGTTGCGAGGCTGAAGGAGAAGTACGAGTTTGGTTTTAACCCCGAGGATGACTATCTGCAGCGGCAGCAGATAGCTGATGCTTTGCACCAGAAGCAGATCCATGAGGCTGAGCTGCCGCAGACAGATAGTGAGGCGGCGGTGAGTGGATCCTTCCGTACGAGAAGGAGCATAGGAGCTTATTTCTATATAGGTATCGGAAGATGGAAAGCCCGAGCCAACCGCAGACGAACCCAGTTTAGGCCGATCTCTATCCAGAAGCAAGAGAAAACGCGAGCAAAACAGTTCAGGGTCAGAGACAGGCACTCTTGCCAGCGCCCTCAGGGGTGCGTCGGTTGGCCCGGATGCAGAGAAATGATAATCTTCACCGAGAGTGAACATATTATGCGGGTCTGAGCGGTGCAAAGTAGGCGGAGAGACTTGGTCCAGCTACCTGCGATGTATTTGATCCCTTGATACTTTTTCATCGTGGCGCATTTTATCCTGCTAGGTTTGAGTGATAGAAAAAGAACGAAGTTCGATTCTAGGTTCAGACAAGGAAAGTAGGATAGGGCAGGGAAAAATCGTTTCCAGTGAGCTATTTGAAGCTCGATGTGTTATTAAAGATATTATTCAAGTGCGTCAAGGTCTATCTGCTTACGGATCAATGTGTGATCACAGCAAATATCAGGTCGTGAATCTGATAGAATGTGAAATGCATAACGCTGCTGCGTCGTTCCTTATAGCTACACACGCAACACAACAGGAAAGAAACTGTATGGGGTGTATCTTCCCTCCTGTCTCGAAATTATTGCAGCCCACGAACCCGGCGGATTCTACGTGATAGGCACATTTTTCCGAGATTACGAACCAACATCTTCCGCTAGAAAAGTCCCTGAATAATAGGCAATGAAAAATATGCCCATACAAAACTAGCTTCGCCGGGGGTGTGTACGTTGTCCTCGTGGTGCGCAGGGTAACCGCCGCCACGGGGACCAACAACCGACGGCTGCCGGCCATTGACAGAAGCAAAAATAAAGTAGAAAAGGTTTTTTCAATCTAGGTTATAGGGGAAGAATTACGCGCATGTCCTGCGCTTTTTCTTTTTCAGCTCAGATGCTACTCTGTCTTCTTAGCGCTGCCCGAGGTAAAAAGCTACGGACATGGTAGAGCCCTAACCCTGATACGTAGTTCGAGCAATGTGGAAGAAGATATTCGGTCTCCTACCTACAAAATAATTTTGTTTGTTTTATTTCTCCTCTAGGAAGATGCTTGAGCAAAAAAAATCAATGGCCTCCCTCCCAATTCTTAACACAAACTAGCAGAAGGCGGAAGAGGCGTCGGTTCCATTCAATGAATGTGTGTCAGGGTTAGGGTTAGGACTTACCCATATCTAACCTCCTACCGCAGCGCACAACGACAAACACCAACAACATCCTCCTATCCTCCAAATCTCTTTACTCTACTATGAACCACGAAATACCACCAACAACGAACAACCACCAACCATCAACGACCTCCCAGCACCTCTCCGCGATAGATCCTCCCGTCCTTACGGAAAAGAAGATGCCTCCATCCGTTGTCCGGTGTAGTAACCCGAGCAATTGTTCGAGGGGCTATTATCTAGCCCATTCAACGATCACCGAGTGGTTACTAGACCGCTCAAGGGGGTGGGGACACGCGCCTCATCCGTTATCCCTTCTCGTCAGGAGCCATACCGGTGTTTTCTATGCGCGTCGCGTAATGGGCTTGACCAGAGGGCTCAAGGGAGTGAGTGAGTGCACTTGGCATTTCGTTGGTATGTCTAGTCACCCCAAGGCATAGGGCAGGACATAAAAAGCCCTGCATTCCCTGGCTCTTTGGTGACTAGATGTATTCAGGGAGTTGTCACTTTGTGAGTATCATTTGGCTGTGGGGTTGGATTGTTGCCTTCAGCTTGTGTATCTGATCAACGTCCACGAGGGTGAGAGACAATCATGTCCTCATTGTCTGGAGAATTTACCAGATACTTTAAGGGAGTGGTGTTTTTGGCAGTGGCAGTGGGAGTGGGAATACATACAGCCTTTCCGTTGCTTTTTCTGGTACGGCATGTGCGGCGGCAAGTGTTAGCTGTCTGAATATGTCATACCGGGTAAAGTAAGGGAGTAGGTCTTTTACAAAGGTATGGTGTCCCTTTCAAACGTATCTACGAGTAGCATACAGCCTTCCGTTGGTATATCTGTTAATTGTTTTTCTACATTCGGAGCTTGCTTCCGCTGTGTTTAAAGCCGTTACCAGACGTATTAAGGGAGTGGCATGTGGGGAGTACATGGTCTCTATGAGTGGGAGTTTCGCTTTCCTTTCGGTTCTTCTCCCTGGTCTGGGAATGCTCCGCGACGAGATTGTTAACAGCGTCACCCCCGACCAGATGGACTAAGGGAGTAGGATTTGTCTAGGCTTTGAATATGGTTCTACTTCGTCCGTTGGTGTCACTGATGTTTCCATACTTCGGTTGAAAGCATTCTGCTGAAGTTAGGAAAGACCAGATCCATCAAGGGAGTGCACTGTAGCTCTAACGCCTATGATTGGGACATCGCCTGCCGTTGGTACGTCTGGTAATGGTCTTACTGCAGGTTGGCCTTGTGTCTGCTTCGTTTGAGGCTATTACCAGATATATTAAGGGAGTTGGCGTTGTCCAGGCTACGAGATATGTGTTGGGGACACTCAGTCGTTGGTATATTTGGTCAACCTCCTTAATGTTGGGTGTGTCTCTGCTACACTTAAAAACTATCACATGATACATTATGGGTGTGGCCTGTTTCCAATATCTACGACTGGCAATAGATCTTTCCGTTGGGCTGTTTGGTTATGACATGGGAGTTACTGAGAAGTTCACACCGACTCTACATGCTCATTACCAGTGGACTAAGGGAGTAGAATGTCATTAGGATGCGATGCTGTGGAACACTGGGAAGACTCTCCCCGTTAGTGTCTGGTGCTCTTCTCCAGCACAGGGAGCTGCTACTGGGTACTAGGGTCAGAGGGTGGCCAGGTGTAACGAAGGAGTGGATTTTAGCCTCGGGGAGAGAGAAGAGGAGCTGTAACAGCAGATGGTGGGTATAGAAACCAATAGACATGTGATATTGCTGTTGGCCTGTGGCCGACGAATGCGTTGGAGACTTTCAGAACGTATGGTATATTGTCTGAAGGTCTCTCCAATTAATCCCAATGTTCCCAATGTAATCCATGGGAGTCAAGCTGTCCGTTTGAGAAGTCTAGGAATGTTTTGAGAGGTAAGCCTAAGTTCCCACCAGTGAGATCTGTGACCTCCAAAAGGCTTGTAAGTACCGGCTGTCTCTACCTAGAACATTGCTACATGTAGCTACATAGTTTCAGTGAGTATTGTTCTATATCGCCCAATGTAAACCACAAAGAACCCACGAGTAATGAGGAAACGTTAAACCTTAGCCCACGAGAAAGGTTTTACAGCACTGTGGTCAACGATTGATCCTCCCGTAAGTGTCACTTTTTAGCAGAGCTTGAGTCAGGCAGGGCCTTTGTATCATACGTCTAGGCTCTAGAAAAGCCTGCAACACCAACTTAGATGTTAAGAACATGGACACTAGGGAATACGAGTGTCACAGAAAACCGCTCTCTTTCTTCACAAAGGTCTCGATTACAATAGATTCTCTTAAGAAATATAAAACCTAGGTTGCGCTTATATATGACAAGGTTTACTTGCCCTTCATGGCATAAAAGGTTGAGTAACATCCTCAGAGGAAAATAACCTCTTCGCCAGCTCCTAACGATCCAACAAACTCTGGCTACTTAGTCAGACCAGCACCAGAAACAGAAAAAACCTCAAAACACTGTCTAGCCGTTTCCGGCAGTGTTCCAAATAGCTGGCGAAGACTTTTCACCACTGTGCCAAGACGAAAAAAATCTTCACCCAACAAACCCTCCTTATCCAACCCTATCGGCGAAAACGCAGAACTCCAATCTTGGCATTCGCTGGAATCCACAAGTATATGAAGACCTGATTCCCCCCAACTCTGAAGCCTTTCTCCTCAAGCTACACAACTGCACCGCATCCTCCCCCTGTCTAAAGCCAGGGGGGTTTGCACACCACGACCTGTCTCTCCCTGGAGGGGGGGACAGCGTGGCTAAGCCCTCTCTGGCTCCCGCTCTGGCATAACGCCATAGGGACCAGAGGGGGCTTAGTTGCGTTAGGTCACTTTCGCGGTCTCTTTCTTCCCTTTCTTCCCCTATATTCTTTGTTTCATGCCTCTTCTGGTCTCTGGGCCTTACCTGGGGATCAGGAGGGGCCTGAGTTGCGTTAGAATGCCTCTTCCCTACCCTCTCTGTTCCGCTGCAGTCTTCTGGCTTTTTGTTGGGGGCGTTTGGGTCTCACTCCACTTCTGGGCGTAGTCCGAGGGGTTGGGTGAGATAATTCGCCCCCTTCCAGTTCAACCTCTGCAGCATTTATGAGTTTTGTTTCCTGTCTGCATAGGTGAAACACGCATGTCCCCCTCAATCTCTGTGTCCTTTTCGAGGAGCTGAGTGCGATCGTTCCTGTCCCTATAGCACTGTAATACTCCTGCGAAGATAGAAATGACATTCTGTAGTTAATATTAGTTTTTATTCTTCTTATAGAGTAGCAATGATGACTCTTACTACGTGTAAAGTCCTTCACTATCACAGATCTGGTGGGGGAGAGCGAGACGTAGATTTTATTTTCGCTGTGATAGAGCTTCCGCATTGCCCGGAACCTTTTCTCTCGCTGATGAAACGGTACTTCCGAACTCGACCACTATACAAAATGTAAGGAACTCCCCCCTACTGAGGATCACTCTCAAACGTTGAGTAGGCTCCCGGTTAGAGGAGTGGCGGAAAACAAGGCCGAGGAGCAGTGTGCATATTCCGTGACACAATGCCGTACCAAATCCGAGTGCTAATCCAAGACTACGTATTACCCAATAACCTCATAGGAAGTCTAACCAAGATGTATGTAATACGAGCGCAAGGCCTTTGAAGAAGAGCGTGATTTTAAGCTTGGTGTCGTGCCGTCTCGCTGAGATGAGACTCCTACACTAGATTCTTGAGAGCTATGGGGATGGGAGATGTTGCCGTTGCATTGGGCTGCTACTGTCGTAGGGCGTTTTGTAGACCTATACATACCCTGTCCCATACTTCATTACTGGGGCGAGCAGCTTGCGGCTCGCCCAGGGATATGCGTGAGACTAAGTCCGTTGTGTGGCGAGTCTTGTTAAGTCCTTCAAATTACAAACGCGCTGAATCGGAGTACTCCAGTATCGTTCATATTTCCTCACTGGAGCTGCTGAGGTCATTGCCCTCATTAGAGGTTATGATAATCTCCACTATAATTGAGATCACAGCTCATTCGGCACCTCCGGCGGGGTTTATGGGGAGCGAGGAGGCTAGAAAGTCGCTTTAGAACCTGTTCCACACGTGTCATTCTTGTTAACTTCGTAATATACGTGTGGTGATCTTGTGACTCTATGCCATAACTTATATGTAAAACATGCGCTACAACCTCCCCCGCGATCGGGCCTCACTCTCATCATCCCAGGTCTGATATTTTGCTAGCATTGCGCCGCGCGCTGGCGTTAGAAACAATGCATCCAGATGCATCATTTCTTGTACATTCACTACTCCTTCGGGACTCTATGCTTCAGGACTCAATGCTCTTTTCGTATTTTGCAACATTCTGGCAGGACACCATCCATATGGCGTCTCCTGCTATTCCAGACTTCGCGCAGATCCCAGGATTATTCTCTCATCCCCCACCAGTACAGCATAGAATACCAACTCTTCCGGTGTGTGTTAAATTCCACAGTCATTAGTCTATCTAAATTGAGATTGACCTATCACTCAATTCATCTGTGTTTAGGACGGGCCTCCCGTTCCTAAAGGATCACCATTTAGGTTAAAAAGACTACGAGTCAAGTCTGAATCGCCCGAAGAGACGGTTGATTCTTCAGAATCACCCAGATTCAAATCCGAAATGCCTGAACCGGCCATCGACACAAGCGTATCGCCACTCGCGGTAAAAAGACCACGTCTCCGCTTCAAAACGCCCGAAGGAACCGTCGATCCCAACAAGAAGACGTCACATACGAGATCTGTCCATCTCAGGGTCAGATTCATTCTCGAGTATGGTAACGACAGCCTTGATGGTCTATCAAATACAGTGGCGCAGTATGAGCTTTGCAACTGGGAGCCAGATACGAAAAGAGTAGAGGCAATAAAGCATATCTATCACCAGTGGAAAAAGAGCTTCTTGGATCTCAAAGTTGTGAGACAGCATCTGAGGCCCGAGGAGCGCCGCTACCGGGAGCTCAAGCGTCTGGTGGAGAGGTTTGAAGAGATGGGATGGTATATTATAAGAATACGGGCTGAAAATCTGAGATTGTCCAGGCATCAAATGGGCGAGCTAGTTTTGGCAAAGTTTGCTTGGTCGCATCGCAGGGCGGCCGAGCTCTCTTTCAGGGGCTACTGAAGCTGGCAAGGCGAAAATGCAATGGCATCCCACATGTGGAGGGGGATTAGTGGTTCCCTTATACTTTCGTCTTCTGGCCTATCGTTATCTAGGTATGCACAATGTACGATGGTTCATGTTTGAAGGTTGCGGTCCTGTGAATGGAGTACTATTTTATTTCTGCTTAGGCCTTTTCCTATAGCTGTCTATCAATTGCGTTTTTAACAGCCCTGATCTTCACTTCAACGTTGGAGGGGAGTTTTATAAGTTACTTTTACTTGACTGTCATATTGCTATTCAAGAATGTACTTGGTATAACCACTATCTAACGTCCATAACCTAACGTACCCCCTATGAAATGAGATTTCCCTATACTAGTATCACCGGCTCATCTACCAATCAATCCCCATTCAAAATCAGAAATTGCTTCGTCGACCGTAGATATATCCCCCGGTTGAACCAATCCGCCCGCGATCTGAAACATTTACGTACAGATTGACGTTACTATCCTGTTAATCCTAGGGAATCTAGGTGGGTTCCTCTCACCGGCCTTGACGGAGGAGGGCAGCTGAGGAGAGAATGAAGTATTTGAGATTGTACCCCACAGAAGGAAGATGAAAAAGCACTGGGCTTATCGACCCTTTTCCAGCCCACACAGCAGCGCTATTTATCAGGATGGTGTTCCTAATCAACTCTCTAGAATCCTTGCGCTGAGGCAACACGTTGACTCCTCCCTGAATGACCCCCAGATTGCATTTCACCGGTGATGCTTCGCGGGTTACTCTGCATCCATCCTGACTTCTTTAAGGGACTGGGAACTTTCAAGTCCATTTCATCGAGGAGAAAATCAGACAATCCATGGAGTCTCCTAGGTAAACTAGTTCACTTGAGAAACGTTCCAGGTAGGGTAGGACAACCACGTTTCAAAATAGCCGAATATTCAAATTGTCCAAATTTTCAACATCCTCCTCACCTCCACCTCTAGAAGTACAAATACCACCATGCCCCACCCAAACCACTTCACAAAAGCATACAAAATATCTAACAATGTCGACCCCACCCCCCAACCACAACGCTCACATCCTCTCCCACCTCCAGCTCCTCATCAGCCTCCACAACCAAGCCCTAGACCGTGTCCGTGGCGGCCTGGATATGCTCCTTTCGCTACTAACCAGATACTCCTATATTGATGTGCTGGCAGAGGCAGAAAATGAGCTAACGATGCAACATGGTCAACTAGTACTTATGCGACTGCATGAGTTTCGCAATAGCGATGGCGAGATTGTGGAGCTGAGGGAGTACTTGGAAGAGGCCCATATGGATTGTAGGTACTTGGCGGATTTTTACGAGGATCTGAAGAGGTATGTTGAGAGGTGTGAGGAGGCGGTGGTTTTGGAGAAGTTGGGGGTGCGGGGGTTGTGGTAGAAGGATGCTGTTTTGTGCGCGACAAATTGGAGCTAAAGAGACGAGGATAAAGAAATAACTCACTGAAAGAGGAAAGCAATTAAAATTTGACCAAAGAAGTTATCAATCTAGTTTTATGAGTCCAAATCTCATATCATTAGTCAAGTGAGATGAGCTTCCCACGTCAGCTGAAGGTTAGATATGAATGATGCGTGCTTCTTCCTTGATTGTGCGTATTTGGCCGATACTGCAACAGGCCTGCCCCAACTCAAGGATGACTCTCTTTCTAGCACCGTACAATCAATGTCATCAGACCTCTTAAACTCGAATACCCATAATAACAATCCCTTATACACCTTCCAGACCGGAAGTGGTCAACCTCTCTAACCCCCCTAAGGAGGGCGGATAGAGAGGTGAACCACTAGAAGCCTCGAACATCAACTGAACAGATTATGGAACCAGTACTCCTGTACCCTTCTCTCTGCGTCGGATGTGAGTAGGAGGCAATACTCCTCTGGCAAAAATGAATCACCAGATGGCTACAAGTTCCAATATCAATCGCATGGCGGTAGCTAGTAAGACCGTTGCTGAGCAGTGAGCGTAGTCGAGAAGCTCCGGTTATCCAAAGGTCCAGCTGATGCTAACATGTCTTCCCTTGAGTAGGCATGGCTGCAGTTCTGAAGAGCAGTCGTAGAATACTGCCGACAGAGCAAGGGAGTACTATACTATAGAACAAAGTCAGTGCGAGCAGGTAGTGTTCGGGGGACTGCGGACAATTAAGATACAGGTAGCTTGAAGGAATACTACCGCTTTGGTTCCCGTCATTTCATGCCGCCTTGCCCGCTAGGATAGCGTCCTCTGTATTATCTTCGACGCCGATCAGGAGAATGAATATAGTATATGGTGTAATAAAGTAGCGTGACCGCGCGATAAACGGTCAACCTCGTCGCTGCCACCGAGGAGGCCAACAAGAAGAGTAGTAAACAAAACACCTGCGACAAGGTTTGTTTCGCACCCGTGAATGACCATCCAAGACTTCTGAACATACACCTGTCGCATCTGACCTGGTGAGAGCATAGCTGGTATCAGGAGGCTGGGAATGAGATGCCCGTCAGAAAAGATAGTGAAGTGAAAAAAATAAGTTTTCTTGTTGATGTGTCTGCAGTCAGCGCTGGTCGCTCCTTCCCTTTTTTCGCGGGGTGCATGACAGCTTACCCCTGCATCGCCAAGCTTTGTGGGGATGCACGGACCAAGGGACATGCCAACGTTGTTCAGGCACCAGCAGAGCCTCAACGCTGACGGCAACCACCACAACCATTTATCTCGTGAGAACTGCATCGCAAGGGTAAAATAGTACAGTCTGGAGGGCGCCGTTCAATCCCAATCGCCAGGAGCAGATTGCAAAACTGCCGATCCTTGCTTCATTCCTCGCTAAAAACAAGCTCACCAGCATACTTTAAGCATACGCGCCGGCGCCACCCCCCTTCCCTGCATTCTCGGCTAGAACGCGCCCCTTATCCCCATCGCGATCGCGCCATCAGAGCTCCAAGCTTCAAGACAAACATTGAAGCCCGAGGACACAAAAACCAAACCAAACAAACAATGCACATCCTACCCACCCCCGACACCAAGTCGGAAATCGACCAACCGCCTTCTGAACAGGAAAGCATAAAGCGGCGATCCGCGGGCGTGTTCGCAGGCTTCGCGCTCTTCCCTGCCTGGTTTCGGCAGCACCTCCCGCTAGATAAGGATCGCACGTATTTTGGGCTGCGCCGGAATGTCTTCCTTCTTGTTCTGCTGGGTGCGGCGCTGGCGCTGCTTGCGTTGATTCTGGGGCTGGCAATTGGCTTGACTGCCGGGAGACATGGAAAGTAGGCTCCTCCGTCCTTCCTCGTACCTCAACTGCGCGCTGACGTCGGCGAAGATCGAAATCCTATATCCCCAATCCTTCCAACAAAGCTCTTAATACCGGCGAGGCAACCTATTACGCACCCGGTCTCGGCGCCTGCGGCATAACCTCCACCGACACCGAAGCAATCGTCGCCGTCTCTCATGTCGTGTTCGATGCCGTCCAGGTCGGCTCCAATCCTAACGCGAACCCTCTCTGCGGTACGAAGGTCTGGGCTACGAGAGTAAGGGAGGAGACTGGAAAGAATGTGTCGGTGGTCGCCACCGTCGTCGATAGATGCACTGGATGCAAGCCGGGGGACCTAGATTTTAGCCTGGGGCTATTTGAGCAGCTGGCGGCGAAGGAACTAGGGAGAGTTATGATTAGTTGGTCGTGGCTTTGATTGAGCTATTGACCGGGTATTGCGAGGGATAGGGAACCTGCTGCCGGCCGCCCCCTCCCCGGAGAAGCATCTTTTTCACTATCATGTTTAGTATATTCTTGGCCCTAGCGGCTGTAAGTTAGTAATGACACCCATTTTTTCAGAGTTCTCATTTTTCGGTAGTCACGATTACTCTTTGAAAGATGTAGTCACTCTCGATGTCGTGTTTAGTATCGGTCTTGTTCAGCTATGGGAGTAAGATCAAAGGTGGAGAGAATGGGAATAAAGGAGCATTCCATGTGTGCCATAATAGCTGTAGAAGAATCGGAGCATCATTTGATGATGCGAATGATCCTATTTGTAGCTATGTATATGTTTAATCGGGAAGACGAAAATACCTAGGAAAGAAGACAGGGTTTTCAAAAACGGAAGAGAAAGGTCTTCTAGGATATGGTATTGTTCCAGTAAAGCTAGAGATTCAGTTAATCGGGGGAGATGAGTCAGTTGACCGGTCAAATCAGGAATATTCTCCGATTAAACTGGATTACCACGGATTGACTGTCTTCCTTGGTTTGACGGTCAACCGGGGAATATCGCCACATCGTCTAACATATCCCTGGATTGACTGAAATGGTTTTCGACTTTTGATTGCTGGAGTGCGGGTAATGCAGTGGCCTCACTTTTAAAGCGTCTATCCTATGTGTCAGCTTTAAGGGATATTTATACAAAGCCTCAGTGGCCACAGCTCACCCCTACCAACCAACACCAAACTACCTGTAGGCGCCGCCTCCCCCCCCCCCCTCTATCTCGGCCCTGTTTTTCACTTTACTTCAGCCTTCCCTTTTTCCTCGTGTTTGTTTCTTTCTCTATTCCTTTGACCTGACGAATAAGCCTAACGACATGCGAACCCCGCAACCACCCACCCCCCCCCCCCCCTTAACGAACAGCTAAAGTGCATTCTATCATCGTCGGAATACTCTCCTTCATCGATTGTAGATATAAGCTAACTTTCCTCTTCAATAATCCTCGCTGACAATTATCTTTACTAGACAAGCATATTATTCCTTTGCACCCGCTGGTTGACCCCTCACTCCGTACTCCATAACCGTTTAGGACACGATGATGGTATAGTTGCTTGCGGCAATAAATCACCCCCCCTAAACGGATGTGGAGTAGGGCTCTGTATGGGCTACCAAGGCACTCCATTTAGATACTTTCTTTTTATTATTCGGACACTTCTGTGCACCCCACTACACCCACGGTGCGAGAAATGCTCGCCTCCACTGGCAGGTCCAACCGTGCTCCATAAACCGCTTCTCTTGTAGGTATTCTTAGCATTTTGCGGCGATACATCACTGAAAGAAACGGATATGGAGAAGGGGTTGGACTATGCGGAAACTGTATGAGCACATATAATGATATTTTTCTACTTACTTAGTCCCGCGCTAGTCCCGCGCTCTCGAGCTGTATTCCCGCATGGGAATGTTGCCTCTTTGCCTATGTGTTTCTTGCATCGTTCAAATACATGTGGAGTGAGATGTTATGGATTTATAAGTCAGTGATCCAAGTATGAGTTCAGCTAATTAGGTTCATGTGCCATGGACAGAGAGATCACTCTGTTTGTTTGAACACATTTCCGTGCAATATTACATGGCACGGAGTAGACAATAAAGATTTCGGACACACAATGAGCCCCTAGAGCATATAGAGTACGTAAAAAGGAAATAATAGAGAAGAAGAAGAAGAGAAACTCAAGAGTTTCAACGTAGGGAAAGGGGTAGGGTAGCTCGTACTCCTTTTTAACCAATCATAGCCCTTCGACCGGCCCTCTGGGCGATATCATAGCTGTTGGGTTACAGCGGTAGATTATCTGGTGCTTTTTAATTGTTTTAGGACTTATATGTATGTTTAAGCTTGAGGTTAAGGGGCATAGGTCTCCAAGTGTACTATCGGCGTTGAAAACCCACAAACTGAACCAACCGAGCAGAAGACAGATCCAATCTGAACCGTTCTGTTTAATGATTTTGTGCAGTTTGGTTTAAATAGAAAACCCAAGAACCATCAGAAATACTGAGATCGTTCACCGTCACTCTTGTACCTTCCAGCGTTCAACGTAGGTGAGAACACGTTTTTCCTGCGTGATAAAAGGCCTTAAGGGGCAATAAAAACAAACTCTGCGAGAAGCTACCTGACGAACTGAATGGGCATGGATCCAGAGAGCAATGAACAACTGATGCTTCAGTTGATACCGGAGGACAGGTTCACCGAAGGTGGTGAGTGAAGGTTAAAGGGTAAGAGATGGATGAGGGAGCCCATACGACTCATTTTCATTGCTGCATTAAGTTTTTCGACGCGAGAGGATCTGCGTCAATTTTCACTTCGGCGTGCGGCTGGACAGCCAGAGTGTTCACCTCGAGCATGCTCCCGTTGATATCTCGTTGATCACACTAGGAATAAGAAGGAGAAGTGTGTTTAATTGTGAATTAAAGATGCTGAGTTTATTGTTACTATTTCTGAAAATTACAAACTCCAATGGACCTCAGACAAGGCCCACACTTGTCAGTATAGAGAGGATTACTAGGATGCCTTCTAAGCACCCTACAATACCGACCTTTATCAATACAGCTCGTGCAACGATCCCCCCCCTTCCATCACTGAAACCTTAGCTCGTTGACCCTGAACGCTCATTAACCCTTCCACACATCTCGTTGTATCTAGTTGTAGGTCACTCCGGTCTTCCTCAGTGCGTCGTCAATGCTGCTGAAATCTCCTATGAACATATGCCTGTTCTTAAAGAGCATCAGCTCCGTCCTGCGCGCATTAACCTCTTCAGGAGTTGGCCATTTGTAGGTGGTTTGTGGCCGAAACGCCTTATTGCCGCCCTGACCATTCTATTTCTTACCCTCCTGGTCTGTTTTCATCACCTTCCCCTCTGTTTCCTCCGCCTCAAAGACATCATAGTTGCGCTTCCGACCGTGTGATGAAATCCCAATTTCCTTATCCTGGGTACTGGTAACCACTCCGTCAGCGATCTTTGTCTTCGCGTCGGCAATCTTCGCACTGGTGGCCTCCAGAGTGGCCGCCTGTGTAGTAGCCAACTCCATGTTGCCGGCCTTGGTATTAATTTCTGTAGAAATAGTACCAAAGAAGAACGCCATGTCTTGAGCAGTTGGTGTGCCGCCTGTCATAGCACGGTAGGAGGTCACTGTCTGGTCACGGATGAAACGGAAGCGCTCGGCAGGGTCGGTGGGAATTTTGAAGACATGGCCATCGGTACTGAGCTCATTGTGGAGAGACATTTTTTGGGTGTTTGTGGAGGTATTATGATGGCAGAGTGGGTGGTGGAAGGAGCGGTTGTTAGAGACATGTGCAGGTTCACCACGGAAGCCCTAACCCTAGCAGCGCCACTCTAATGTGTTTTCCAACATCCTGCAACTGGTTTCTCACTGTAAAATGTCCAGTGTCGTTTTTTCCCACCAAGGAACACTGTGCTGTGATGTTCGGAAACATTACATAATCTTCCCGGAGTTGTGGTTAGTGCCGATAGAATGGTGAGACAAATCAAAGAAACACCCGATTGGCCTGGACCTCAAGCACGAAACCACAAAGTTGCTGTATGATTTGGCGCATTAGGAGCATTGGTTAGAGGTACGCTGCCGTGTGAGAAAAATCATCTGGAGCGAGAAGACCACTGTACTGGCGATACCCGTCTCTCCCGTCCCTAAGCTCATGGCGCGAAATGTCAAAGGCTAACGGCCTATTGGGTGGTCGGCAGAAACACGGGCGCTCTCGCCTCGAGCGAGGTACAACTTCATTCTTGTTAATAACGATGGCAGATACTTGGGTGGAATTAAAAATATTTACACTGTCTTGTAGTCTATTCCTAACAGTAGCTAAAAAGAACAAAAGGTACTGCAGATATGGCCAGACCCATATCTACTACCCCCACCCCTGGTTTCGAACCCCAGACCTTTCGGTCCCCTCTGTAATCGAGTTGGGCGCAATCGCACGGTGTTTTCCGGACGAGTGTTACCAATTAGGCCACTCACCCATGTGTACTGTTGGACTGAAATCTTATTTGCACGCCAACAGTACTCAGAGACACTAGCCAGCTTGGGTTAGCACGTAACCGGAAGACAGACTCCACAAACGAATTGAACGTATTTGGAGGGACTCAGTCCTGAGTGTTTTCTCGCAACGTAGGATGTCTTCCACGGCGCTTTTTTGAAGAGTGAGGTTTCACCGATCACCTTCATTGTCCTTAGGAGAGAAAACTACCAGGAGCTAGGGGTATGTATCTATTGCTATCATAATTATAAATACTTCGTCTATTTTGAGCATTTTTCCGCCGCTCAGTGCCATCTAAATTTACACACTGGCTCAAATCAGTAATATGAGTCCAGCTCAGAGTTTATAACGCGGGAAAATTAATCCGATGAATCTGCCTTTACTATGTTAAGGAATGAAGAAGAATGTGGGTACCGTGCCTCTTGGTGTTGTAGCCTTGATAGAGGACCTGCAGAGAGGTATTAAGGAGTTTTCACAGCATGATTTGGGCCTTGTTCGACGTTTTGATCTTGGTTCTGTTTCTCCAACTCTGCAGTCTCACTGGCCAACCATATCTGACTATATAAGAATGGCCTGTTTGACTCTCATCAGGATAACACAGTAGGTGTGTCTTCTGGTATAATCTCGTGATGTTTTGGAACTAAAACTATAACCATCTATGTGGAAAAAGCAGGAGTCCTTCGATTAATCCTTTATGGATGAGATTTCTGCAAAGGTTCTTCTAATTGCTGGAAATCACGGCTCCACGGGATAGACCCAGCTCACGCGCAGAAATAGATGTACATGTAGTCTTCTGGGAAGAAATGGAGTCTAAAAAATCTTGGAAATCAGGCAGAAGATCTATCTGAAGAAATGACGACCAGCCTTTGTTGTAAGCTTAATTTTGAAAACAAGTAATGGTATATAGCAAGCTTCTGAAAAAGTCGAAGGATAGCCTTGCCCTCTCAACCATGTTCTAATAACACCGCTTCATTTTTCGGATTTTCTACCTGCAAAAGAAAATAATTGCAAACTCAGACAAAGCAATATGCCACTAGAGCATCCATGCTCCTGGGAGGAGAAAAGACGATCAAACAAGAAATCCCGCTAATCTAACTTGCAATGAGCTGTGACTGGGTAAGACCTTGACCCTAACAAAAAAAAAAAAAAGGAATAAAGAGCGAATAAGATTTAAACCCCATCAATCAACCTAGTAAACCTTAAAAGAAAAAGGACTAATATGGAGAGAAAATACCATATCCCTCCGACCTTCGCTAGCTTCCCTGATATTTATCGACTCCCAGTAGTTGTGTGCGTCTATTACTGGCCATCATGATAAGACTCATGGTCTTCGACCCTGCCTCCGGCGGTGCGCATTCTGTCCAAACCCATCTCCATTTCCCTATACCAGTTCGCGGAAAACGTTAACAAATTATTTAAATTGAATGGATTGTGCGGTATCTACCTTCTAGCCACATCGCCAATTTGATGTGTAGTGACGTGGAAGGACGAGATGTTTGGATTGTTGTTCGGGAGTTCGTTGACATTAATGACAGTCATACTGTGGATGATTCCCTCACGGAGCTGCTGCGGGGTGTATGCGGTCTCTGGTCTGCGCAACGGAGGAGTAAGAGCTCCAGCAAGAAACTGGGGGTTAGACCTCGGCGCATCCCTGATGAGCGGAGGGGCAGGAGGGCGTGAGGGCGGAGTTGTTACAGTAGGACTATCAAACCCTGAACCTCTGGCGGCGTAGGAAGGTTGGGAATAATTAGGATTGGGAACATATCCCCAATCCTCGCCCTGACCCGGGGGATATTGGGAATAATTAGGATTCGGAGCATACCCCCAATCCTGGCCACCGGTGAAGGATTCGATTGAGTGTTGACGACGAATGACGGGAGACTCAACCGGTTCCGGAGCGGGCATCGAGCGCTGAGCTGGTCTCGGGACAGAGATGGGAGAATAAACTGGCCCCATTGTAGCCATAGAGCGTTCAACTGGTCTCGAGATAGTCATGGGAGGGGAAACTGCTCCCATAACAGGCATCGACTGCTGAGTTGGTCTCGGTATAGACATAGGAGGATAAACAGGCGCAAGGGGAGATTCAGGGGCGTTTGCTGCTCTGGGAGTAGACCTAGGAGAGCGAGCTGGTTCGTGCCTCTGCTCCTCACCATCTTCTGCGCTGCATGAGCGACCGAAGCCTGTTTATCTTAGTCGTGGTCTAAATTAGAGTTGTGTGGGTAAGTGAACATACATGAGAACCTGACTGCAGCAAGCTTGCGGGCAATTCCACGGGCTCGACCGGCTTTTCTGGATGCTTCAGAGAGAGCCATTTGGTTTTCACTCTCGGAGTCGTTGTCAGAGAGGGAGGTGGTGCGGTAGGAGTCCGCCGAATTGTCTGAGTCCGTGTCGGGATGACTTCTGTAAGTAGTTGGGATAGCGTTGGGTCCAGTCATGCGTTGGGGATCGATCGCCCTGTTTGGACCTGTTAAACCGTCTGTTGCTGGCATTCCGTCTTCCCAGAAGATGCACACTTGACGTCCACAGTAGTAATGGTTACAGACTCTCCCCCTCTGGGCCTGGTACCGTGCCATCAGCGCATTATGGCGAGCGATCTCCTGTTGCTCTTCATCCAACTCGACGTTATCAACCTGCATTGTTGATGAGGAATTGCTGTTGGGAACTGATGTCTGTTGATGGAAGAAGATGGGATATCGTTGAGCTGTGCATTGCTTAGAGACGAACAAATATACCTAACCCACATTTATTCTTTTTTCCGTAACCCGCTCTACGCTTTTTAACTGACGTCATGTAGTTGTAAGAGGGCAAGCTACTAGTGCATATAAACACATTTCCTTTCTAAATGACTTTATCAAGGTCACAACGCTGTCTTTTTAGGATTTTATATTAAGATTTTACTCACCAAAGAAGACTTATAGAGGCGATATTTATCAGCTATTAAGCCTGAATTTATTGAATCAATTCCATTTACAGAAACTAACTTTGAAGTTGACTATCTCCACTTTCTCAATATAGTCCGGTCACTCCTCAAAGTCCAACCAGTCATAGCCAGAGATGGATTCGGAGTAGAGCTCGTTGACAAAGTCCCTATAGTCACTCCATATCTTCCCACCAAAAGCCTGTTTTTCAACTTCCAGCCTTCTTTCATCATCCTCAGCTCCGGGCCATGTGAGCATTAATTCAGACCAGAGGATATCTAGCCTCGCCATGGTGTCTTTAATCTCGTCAATCATGTGAGTGGTTTCCTCGAGAAGCCGAAACTCAGCTCGGGCTAGAAAAACATATAGCTCTTTCGCTTGGTGTTTTCCTATGTAAAGCTCCTTGACCTTCTTTATCTGCTTACGGCGTAGCTCTAAGCTATGGCCCCGGTCAAGTAGCTTATCGCAGTTATTGCGGAGGAGGGTGATTTCTCTGCGGAGCTGGTAGTCCATGGTTGAGTTTGATATTGAGCTGGGACAATGTGATATATGTGATTGGATGGTATTGATGCGAGATGGAAAGCATTGGAAGCATTGGAAGTCTCGGAGTCTCGGAGACTGTACTTATATACAACGTTGATATATGGAAACTTGAAAATTCAGAAATATATCATTGATTGGAAAACAAATTCTCTTTCAAGATTGAATGTCTTGGATCTCATGTCATGATACAGTATGTATTCCTCCCCAAGACTATTCTTGAAATGCATGTACCCTCCAACTATTGTAAGAATAATGATTTTTAGCGCTACAGATTGGAATAGTTTCAACCCATCAGTTCACGCACCTCAAACCATCCCCCCCCCCCAAAGCAGATGTCAATACCAATCGCCTCTTATAAGATAAAACCTGACCCTGGATCCCTTAGTTCATGATCGCAGATCCTTTTTTTCAAGTAGTGCATAACTACGATGCAGTCTGACAACACTAATGCCTGAAACCGACTTTTATTTGACCACAACGGATGCCATAGTTGATAATTCAGAGGTTATACCCATTTATCTCTGGGTAGAAAAGAAAATATCCTCGACGGACCTTAACGGCAGATATCTAAGATTCCAGCGGGGAAAACTAGCCTCATAAATATATTGTCTTTCAAACTGTTTTGGGTGCCAACGGCGCCTGTGTTAAGTGATATTCTCAAGGTTAACAATCCTTTTGGATTCGTTCTCATCGTGGAGTGCAATAAGAAAGAAGTTTCTATCTTGAATAATTCCTCTTGGTCTTTTCAAGCGCAGACCCATAGCCGGGCGGACCTGGACACCGGATCGTCTCGTTGGTTGCTCCATCCTAGAGCTCAGATCCTAAACTCGCGTAAATAAAATCAGGCAAGTAACCGACACTCTTTTATATGAAAACTCTGGAATTAGGACACGCATTCCCTCATTGGGTGATCTCGCATTTCTCAGTGAGAATAGTCTCCTGGTGCTTCTCTTTCCGAAATTAGTAGTGTGTCATTGCCCGGGGGCTCGAGTTTATCTCTGTATGCGCGTATCTTGTGCCATGGAATAAAGGGCACAAACTACATGTACATGTGGAGAGTGTGGGGAAATAACAGCTGCGAGATACAAATTCAAACTTCATTTTATTTCTAGTTTGTACATACTACATAGCTATATAGACATAGATAGTTCACATTGTTGGAGAAATTACTAATCGAGAGTAATTGATGATTGAAAATTTGACAAGCTTAAACACTTTGGAAAAGTTGAAGGTTTCCTCCTTCCAAGGGGCGAAATGTACACTAGACAGGACAATACGAATGGGGTATATGTATCCCGATCACACCTGCATAAGTCTTCATTTTGTCCGTGAGGCTAGTAAATCGCACTACAAAGACAGGGATTTATCAGTGTGAGGGAGCCAAGACCGAGTGATAGTTTATGACGACAAGGAAACGAGTGATACAGCATGAAGGTTTCGAGTGATAATCTATGATGATTTATAAATTAACTCACCTCCCAAACTAATGCACGATATTCTCCTCCATTTTATTGAATGGAACAGGCCTACAGTCATGCATGACTCGTCGCACATTCCTGGGTGCGCACAAGGCTTTCTACTTGGTAGCGCTGGTCTGGGGGTTCACGGCTTTCTCCACTCTCAACTCGCACACCCCAACTCCCTCGCCCACCTTCTTACCTTACCTTACTTTACATCACGACATACCTCGCCCTCACAGGCCTTTCATAACAAAAGATAGGAACACTCTCATTATTGATAAATCCATCTTCTTACCTTAGCAATGGCCGGGCCCAGTAGGCAAGTACCTTCGATCGAAGACCTCGCTGCAGCTGTGAATGAGACACTTGCCCTTGGAAGCGATGGTGAAACACCTCTTCTAAGTAGGGAAGTGTCTTTTTGGGATGATGGAACACCTATCCTGAATCGTCAAAAAAATTCCCAGGCCATCGGAACAGATGGTCAAACTCGTCAACCACCTACTCAAGTCAAGGAAACATTCGTTCAGGATAGGACCCTCGCTCAGATCAATGAAGCACAACTCAGAATTGATACATCACCATTGGAGGGAGATTCAGATCACGTTAACGATAGCACCAAGCCTGTTGAAGAAATTGCAGATGCTTCTGAAGAAGTAACGCCTTGTCCAATGACCTTGTTATGTGGAAAGGATGGCTGTGAATGTCTGATCAAGCATCCTCGTAAGCCACGTATCCTACTTATGGGACAACGACAGTAAGTTAAATCATCTCTTTTACCACTACCATTCCTTATTATACTCACATGTACACATCATCTCCAGGGCTGGAAAGACATCAATTGTCGAATGTGTCTTTCGGAAGTTACCACCCGAAGAAACACTCTTCGTTGACCCTACAGTCAAGATGCACAAAGTCTTCGTCACGTACGCTCATTCTTTCCATTTTCCATTTTTTTTTTGTTCGTGCTATTAACAAATCATCATAGGTCATTTCTGTCATTTATCATCTATGATGCTCCCGGCCAACTTAATTTCCTCGAACTCTCTTTTGACATCACCGGGATTTTCGACAATATCGACACAATCATCTGGGTCTTCGATGCCCAGACAGAGTGGGTCGACGCCCTGATCCGCTTTCACCGTACCCTCCTGATCCTCAAAGACCGCTTTCCCAACATGAACATCGAGGTGTTCATCCATAAGGTTGAGGGTATGTCAGACGAATATGCCCTCGAGATCAAAGAAGATATAATCCGCCGGACAGAAGAGGAACTCATGGACAACGAACGCTCAGGCATGGCGATCAGGTATCATCTGACTAGCATCTATGATCGTACCCTCTGGGAAGCGTTGAGTAGGGTTGTGCAGAGAGTCACACCGAGGCTAAACGCCGTTGAAGGACTCCTTGACTCGCTGTGTGAGAATACCGGAATGGTGAAGATCTTTCTCTTTGATCTTTACAGCAAGCTATATGTGGCGACGGATACTAGTCCAGTGGATATGCAGACCTTGGATACTTGTACTCATCATATTGAGTTTGTGTCAGAAATGGAATCAATCTTTGGGTATGTGTTTCCTGAACGAATCTTTTGTATCGTCGGTTACTAACATTGTGAAGATATAAACGCAAGAAATATATAGAAGAGCAGGAAGACTCGGAGTACAAGACTCCGGAGGTCTGCAGTATGGTTTCTCTCAATGACGGCAAAAGGCTGTATATGAAGGAGATAAATCAGTGAGTTAAAAAAGACAGATGCTTGTACGTTTTGATGTCTGGGAATTGTGGAGGCTAAATGGTACACGTTGTAGATATCTTGCTATCGTGGGCGTTTCTGGAAAAAGGGCTATGAAGCAAATAAGCATTGTCGACTTCAACATATCTGTTTTCCAAGAAGCAGTTATTAAGCTCATATCCGAAAGGTGGGAAGAACCCACAAAGCCCCCAGAATAGGGCATCTAAATACCGGAAAGCGTTCCCGATAAGATGAGGATGAAGTAATTTTTCCTATGTCTCTTTTGTTCAGTCTAACATCTCGAGTTAACTTTAAACGCTACTATTTCTTTCTTCAACACTCTACTCTTAGTTTCTTAAATATTCTGCTCTTTCTTTCCTTAAACAATACCCTTTCATACTCGCGCTCGTATAATGAAGTGGAAAATATTATCTATTAGATTGGGTTCGTACGTCTGAAAAGTCTATTTCTCTCCTTTTCCCACCTCTATCTTTAACCACTACCCTTTGTGGCCCTATTCATCCATTATATTCTTTTTCCTTTTACTCGTTTTCTTTTGCTTAAGCCCACCCTTTAGTACTCAGAAATCGACTGTATTTGGTTCTGCCAGGTAAACCGCTCTATTCAACTACTACTTGTACCCTAGCCTGAAGGAATACAGCGTGCGAATTGACATTAAATCATTTTATCACGGCAGACTCCCTCACAAATTAGTTTTCCCGAATACTGGTGTACAGGCTCTCCCCGCTATCTTGTACCCTGCCCGAATAGTTGATCCCTTTTTCACCGCATAACGTTATGTGAAAAGCTTAAAGTTCCTATGCCGTCGTGTTTCCCTTACCACCGACATATGGACTGAACTTTACTCCCGTGGCGACCAGCAACGGCAATGCTTGAACTACTCAGTATTGGTAGCTGGTTTTGAAAGGGGTGCTCCAAGATTCAACGTAATCCCTCGGACCAAGACTGGTGGATAATGTGATAATGTTTATGCCGCTAAGGCTGTAGATTATCAAAAAAAGTGATATTGTGTCTCTATTCTAACCTTAGTACTCATCTCTTAGGAGTTCCGTATATACGTAGGCTCTCTGTTCTCATTCCCAAGGTTGATAGGTTCGAATACAGTCAGTACCTCATCCGCAATAGCAACTCTCCATGAAAAGCTCGGTCAATAACCTCACCCCGAAGTACTTAGCACGACTCCAGCTTATAATACTCCAAGTTTCTCTGGCTATGCGTCTTACCGGTTCTCTATGAACAATTTAGCTCTCCAGCCACTTTTATAGTACCCGAGCCCCATTGAAGACATCGCGGCGTGGTCGAGGGTAATAGCCTCTACTACGTTGCATGACATCCCCGGTTCAACCCGGGATGGAAACAGTGATAAGAATGCCCAATATGGTAGCGACGCTCTTGAGGGATGATACTTATCACGTAAGTCTTTTGTCACTCGCTTTTTCTAATATTCTTTTTTTTCCTTCTTCTTCTTCTTCTTCAGTCAGTAATGAATTTATCGCTAGGAGTAATGGTATATATATGGAGGCAGCGGGTAAGACAGGCCTGGTGAGGGTGAAGCTCTTTGGCCTGGGCTCCTTACTGTAAATACCGCCATTTACTCTCTTTAAAAATGAAACATGAACGGCTTTGCCTCGGAAGTGTACTCGCACGTCAATGATGTATTTGCCCGATGACTAATTGGCGCGCGCGCGTTGGGAAAAAAAGGATCATGAGCCCGTTGAGCGCCCGATATCAACGAAAAAGCCCCGTTAAGTCGCCCAAAGCCAAATAGACTTCGCGCAACGCCTTGCAATAGTTAGAGTGAAAGGTTTGTACTATAATTGTATCACTTTGAATGATTAGAAACTAAATCTCTCTCCTGTATGATGGCACCCCCACACTCTTCCAATAGTCAAGCTACGGACCTCGTTAAAGCAGGGGCTGTCCTAGCAATGCAGAAGGCAGGGATATCGTACTCTGGAATAAAAAGAGCGACTGGGGTAAAGAAGAGGACCGCTATCAATATTGTGAATCGGGCTAAATCCAGAGCTGGGAAAAATGCGAAACTTCACAATCTTTTGAGTAAGGAGAAGGTAGAACCAACACCCAAGAGTGGCCGACCCGCAACCATTTCTGAACGGGATAAACGCTACCTTATCCGTCTAGTGGAGCGTCCAGAGAATCGCCGAGCAACACTGCCTGAAATTGCAGATATTTCAGGCTTGCAGATCAGCCGAGAGAGCGTTAGAAAGATTCTGAAGGATAGTGGCGGAAACCTAGACGGAAACCAATTTTGACAAAAGAGCAAAAAAATCGAAGACTGGAATGGTGTAAGGCCCACAATGATCAGAATACAAATTGGTCTACTTGGATCTTTACCGATGAAACAAGTGTGGTACCTGGGCAAACAAGAGGACAAGAAGGAGTATGGAGAAGAGTCCGAGAGGAATATGATGGTAACAAAGGGACCGTCAACAGAAAGAAAACTAGTAGACAGAACTCAGTAATGTTTTGGGGTGCTATTTGTCATGGTGTTCGTGGTCCTTGTCACGTCTGGTCGAAGGAAACTGAACTCGAGAGAAGAGAAGCTCTTAAAGAGTTAGAAATCGAAAATCAGACTGCTGAAGAGGCTGCCAGAAAATCTCCACAACTCAATCCTCCTACGATATCCAAAAGAGGCCGTAAGCTGCAGTTTCTTACTGAGCAGAAGAAAAGGAAGAAAAATGTTAAGGGGGTTGATTGGTACAGATACAGAAAACACATCCTCCGTCCAAAATTATACCCTTTTACCACAAGATTAGAGCCCAAAAAGGTGCAGCCATATTAATGGAGGACGGGGCTGGCCCACACAGCAATCTTCTACTGGAGGAAGAGCGATTGAGAGAAGGTATTGTTCAGAAGGAATGGCCAAGCTCATCTTCAGACCTAAACCCTATTGAAATTATATGGAATATAATGAAGGATAATCTTTCCGCTCGCATACCTAAGGTCACTAAGACCAAAGAGATCATGTCTGTTCTTGTAGAGGAGTGGGAGGTGATACCTCAAGAAAAAATTGATTCTCTAATAGAATGTATGCCAAAAAGGGTCACAGCATGTATTAAGGATAAAGGAGGCAACAACTACAACTATTAATTATTTTTTATCTTTTAATTTGGTTGCGTGGTCGAGGTTTTTGGTGGGTATTCGGGGGTTGCGACGTCGCGCCGGGCAAATACATAGTTGACGAGCGAGTAATTATGGTCAGCGTTGCTCTGCATGGTCTACTCCCTCTTGCGGCAGGTTCGAATGTTTCCGAGAGGCATTCAGCTGTCTGTATCTGGGATCGTATAAGACCTTGAAACCTCCAACGTGTACGGCGAACACAAGCCATAATGGAAAGATCTCTCCTGATTATCCAGAGGACCTCTATCCATGAGCACTGTTACTTTCGTTAATTGAGCTGTAGAAGGGAAAGAGAACATTCAATTGTCCGCTAACAACCATTAAGTTCATGCCGGCTCCGAGAAAACGCGTACAACATCGACAGCGGCTGGGCGTTGCCATCCCAGTCGTGAGCACCAAGGTGTAGGTGATGACGTGTGGTCCTTGGCTCGTGCTGTACAATGATACTTGTAACTATAGGATTTCTCTGAATATTGGTACTAACCATTACGATCAGAGATGAAGTACTGAAAAGAAAAGCAACAGAAAAAAGGAGGGGGAAAGGCTCGAGATATATAGCGCTCTAGCGGGGCTGTCACTACCTAGCGTGGAAAGTTTGTTGTCAGAAACCCATCATTCACCCTGAGAAATGACCGTTACTCACCCCCCTCCCCCACCCAAGAGGGCCATTTGTACAGATAAGACCGCAAGGACATAATTCCGGATGACATGACCCCTTGAAACCCTCGGAGTATGAAAAGCACCTGAGGCTACATGTAATCAATCAATCAAGCACCTGAGACAGAACCCTAACCCTGGTTGCTGGAATGTCAGTGCAGCGGAGCCAGGGACCCGCGCACCCAGACAGGTAGAACTACGCATTGGAAGATAGCTACAATTATCACCCATAGCAGCACAGTACATAGGCTTAGTAGATTTACGCTCTCTTTCCACAAGGTATGGCCTTTATGTGTGCCGCATCCAGTCCCGAGGTCGTTCTCTGCGTCACTAACAAACCTTCTCTCCCTAGTCGTATCATCTTAACTGGGCCATTATCCGTCTCTTGTATTGGGCTAGGTCATGGGCCTATATACCGGAAATCCCCGCGTGGGTGACCGATATCACGAAGGTCCTAAAAGCTTCGTTAAATACCGCGCTCAAATGTAGTAATAAGGGCCCAAGCTTTAGGAGCACACTCTACTATCAGGCCATAGAGCGATGGAAGAATGCACAGATTGCACTATATGAATGGTGGGTGGTCGCTATATTTCTGTTATTTTATGGGAGCTCATCCATGCACATGAAGGATTTCCTTGCGACGATTAGACACCTCAGATACGAGGTGGTGTTGTTTCTTCTCCCGGAGAAGGCGGTTTGTATATTGTTCACCTGCAGCCGACACCAATGAGAAAGAACTCCGCGAGCTTAACTCACTGAATCGAGCTAAGGATATGATAAAAGATGAAATAAGGGAAAACTGGTCCTTCGCTCTCAAAAGGCCGGGGTGTTTCTCTTTTCTTGGAAACACATGCAAAATATACCGGTCGAAACCAGCACACACTTTCCTGGCGCACGAAGGATACCGAATGGATTCAGAACATAGCCCCTTCCTCCCGACACAGAGAGGTAGGATTATTGTAAAAATAGGGGTCTAAAAACAGGTTTTTATGGCTACTATATACTAAGGCATATCAATAATACTCCTCCCATATATATTTCTACAACAATTTTCCCGCAAGCTCTATATCAAGGTGGGCAGGAGTTTCACCAGTCAGGACGTATCCCGCACTGGATATCAACAGCTAAAATGCCATGAGCTTGATACGAAGGATATTCTCCCAAAATAGGAATGGGGTTTACTTCGGTCCGGATTTCCGTGTGGACCTTCTGTTGCTCTGATGTGTAGGTCTTGGCACCACTAAGATCACGTGTTGCGGCTCAACTGAACATTCTTTCTCTTCACAACAGCAGCCACCAAACGCCAAAGTTTTGCGAGGACTTCTGGGCAGTTTCTCTCAGAGCCTGAGATAAGTCACATTTAGAGTTATTTAATAGCCTTAGAACTTGCGATCTCGCGACCTAAACAAAGTTCTCGCTCGCCATCCTCGGTAAGAGCGCATCAGATATCACTCGTTTCTACACAACGCAGATTTAGTGAGGGGAACTGAGCTAGGGAATAATCGAAAGTTCATCCCTTAGGCTTTTACTTTAACTTTTTCTTTTATAGGACGGAATCTATCCTTTTCTTACAGAGTTAGTAACGTTGATCTAAATAATATGCAACCAAGTAATGCAGCAAGGAGATAAAATAGAAGGGAAAAATTATTGCAGGTGAAATTAGCACCTGGTGGTTCTGAAATTTGATCTGAGCTACTGCAAAAATGAGAAAAATAAAACAAAAATAACTCTCTGGCGGGGAATTGAACCCCGGTCACTCGCGGACGGTTTAATGACAAGCGAGTATACTAACCACTATACTACCAAAGATTGATAGATTTTCAGGGTTAACATACAAGAATCAAATTTTTCCCCGCAACTCTGAAGCAACCAGAACCCTGCACACACAAAGAAAGTCTGTCCAAATTAATTGTTTACAGCGTCTGTTTATCTTAGCATTGATTGCGACGGACACATTACGCCGATCACTATAGACTAAGACGAAGACTAAGACTGAATAATGACTGAACACGATCGTTGAGACAAAATGGAAAAGCTTACGGGGCCCGAGTCGTTCTGCGTGGAAGACGGGCTCGCCTCTTCGCCGTCAAGTCAAGTTGCCGGGGGGAAGACTGCTCCTCGGTAATTGAATTTTCTGATGTTTATCTGGTTTCCCTGTTGGTATCAAGACGTCTATACAGACGGCAGCTTGAGCGCCTTAGACTATGGTGCAGATCTTGGGTGCCATTCTTATTTCCATTCCACTCCAAGCTTTACCTCCAGTCATTACTTTGGCCACCTTGAATTATGCTTGATCGTTAGGGTTCAAGGTTATTATCTCCCGGAGCTATTTTGCGAGGCGCCGAACGATACACAGGCGAGCTAGGGAGCGTATAAGAGGAGGGCACCGAGCTCTATGGAGCGCTCCTTTAGGAATGAAATAATATTTAGCTGGCCATATCCTACTCTTATAAAGACCCGACTTCTCCCGTCGCATCTCTCCTCTTATCATTGGGAATATTAATCTTCGTAGCATATGAGCCCGGTATCGGGAGATATCTCCCGCACTTTCCGGTTTGCTGTAGGACGTCTCGATTAAACTTCATAGACACTTCTAAAACTGACTCTGTGGTTTGGGAAGCAACAGAGGACGTGCGAAAATAGACTAAAACACGATCGAGAGGTAGGTCGCATCGATGCCTTCCTCAGGGAAGGTCTCCGATTATCCTAACTACTCTGGCATAAATTCTGAATGCTGATGAGAGGCAAACGTGGTGTTCGGATAAGGGTTGGCGGTGACACCTAGATCCACCTCATGTGCCTCATGAGGCCATTCATTTGCTCTCTCCGAACCCAGGCCCACCACAGCTACGATAGCTTCCACTATTTCCTTGGTATTTGATATCTGCCCCTGTGAATGCTGGAACAGAGGCGGTGGTGCCTTTAGGTCCACTGACTATGTCGCGGCAGTCGGGAGTGGGCCACATCACTGAACCCAATGTTTCTTTCTCACCGCAACCAACCCCACGGCGCGACTGGTGGTCGGGTGTATGTAACATTTTCAACTGCGTGGGGTGGTATTCGGAGGTCATCTTAGAACCCTCTCTTTCTACCGATTTCAGCCCATGCCATTTCGGGACTTTCCTCGACGTCTATCTGTCTTCGACTCGGGTTTTCCCGCCATGAGAGCGGTACTAAAGTCTAGACAGACATAACATTGATATCCAGTTTTCCTTTTTAAATCTATCGCGCGAAGTCCTACGTTTCCTTCATTTATTTAAATCTATAAACATATCAGTATTTATAGTGTCAAAGGTTGGAGATGAAGACCAAATACCGATTCTCAGAATTTTCATCTGCACTGGTATCAAGAACATATGCTCAAGAAGATCTTTTAGACCGCCACCCGCAATCCTGCCCTTCCGGCTTGACAGAAACTGGCCTGATATGGATATCTGCTTGTGCGGTAGATATGAAGATGGGAGGCGACTGTAGCACGAACTGGCTTCAGATATAGCGGGGGTTGTCAACCAGAAGATAATTATTATAATTCTCAGCTGTCGGTAGTACGTGGTAAAGCAGGGCTCTCAGTAGTATGAAGAGATTTGTTTCTCATCGGCCATGAAAAGACTCCACGCCCGGTAGTAGCGAAGATAAAGGTAGCACAGGTAGGTTTCTGGGCTAATATTGGTTGTGGTGAGTTACAGGGGGGTAGATGACAAGACTTCACCTATAAATACTGCTCCCATACAGCCTCCGTAATTGCGATCGTATCGTACTTTCCGTGGGCCGGGGAGTACAGGAGGACAGCGGGGGCGGTTGACTATCGGAGCTTGGGTTTTTAGGCTCTGTAAAGAGAGAGGGAAAGAGCCTCGTAGACATTGAAGATATCAATTACTGGGCGTAGAGAAAGAGTATGCTCTTGTGGTTGGGAGCGTTGCTGTCTCGTCTCTGCGGTAATGTGGTTGAGCTGTTCCTCTCACACACGAGTAACCCTAACCCTCGCCTAAGAGCAAGCAACCAAACATTTTTCCTCCACCTACACCGCTATTTCTCCACCTACACCGCTATTTCTCCACCTACACCACTATTGCTCCACCCTTTCCTTGGAGTAAAGCTCAATCCATACCTAAGTCTTCGGGATAATACTGGAAAAGAAGTAAACCCCGAGAAACAGAGAAAATAGCAACAGGAGCATCCTGGAAAGAGCGCCAATGGCACTGAGAGCGTGTATCTCAAGTGTCCCGTATGAGAAGATGGCTTGGAAGATTTCAACCCCCTACGCGTACAGGGATCTAGGTATGTGCTAATACCCTCTTGTGCGAACAGTTGATTTAGGTTCTCAAATACAGCTGCTAACAAAATATCAGACAAGGAGCAAGTGTCCGAAAGCTTCAGGAAGCATCGTGGAAGGATTTTGATACGGCTTGACGGTGAGCCCTTCTTCATGGTTTGATGGACTTGAAAGAAAAGGGTATGAAACCTAGCTGTGTAAAGTCTTCGCGGAAGTAAATTACTAACCTATAATCCGCCTGCAGCTCTACAAAACCAATCTTGGGAGTGAAAGAAGACGCTGATACCAAAGCGCCCAAATGGCGCTGACAAAATCATGGATCAACTAGATCCAAACATAGTAGAACAATAGGCGCTGTGTGAGTTTCAATAAGCACAAAAACAAATACCTTATCATGGCTCGAGGTTGAAAAGAAGGATTAAGGGAAGAATGAGCGACTCGTGGCAACAATGTTCTGAACTGACAATTGGGAGAGAGGAAAATAACGACGATAGGAGGACTGGTGAGCAATTGACCTGCCAAAGTCATCGCCGGCGATATCTGGAACTGTAGACTGTGGCAGCCATGAGGGTTTACATTCAAAGTCCCTGATAGGATGGAGGTAGTAAAATGATAACCTATCAAACCTGCAATATTATGGGTAGGCTAGCCTCTTGGGTGCTAATTAGTATCTGAGGTGGGTTTAAGTGTTGCGGGAATGTGAAAGATTTCCTCACTGGAGTTTGAAGCTATCTAGTGGTAAAGCACGGCGGGGATGTCTAGACAAAAGTTGTAAAATAATTTACCCTCTTGATTACAATGAATAAGTTGAGGGACGTTCTATTAGTGTTCTTTCTGAGTAAGATGCTATGGAAAAAGCCTAAAATGAAACAGTTTTCGGTATACGTGCTCCGAAATAACCCATGATGCAAAAAGACACAGTTCGCTGTCACTACAAGTAAAAAAAGAGAAGAAAAAAGCAAAGCGTTCTATAAAACTAAAAAAGGTACAAAACTACAAAATGACGATCAATGAAAATCAACGTAGACTACTAAGAGACGAGACAGACAGTGTATTGGTGGTGATGATCTATGAGTACAAGAAGACTAATCTAGTGTGTGGTTTTCTCTTACGTCGCTTCTCGTCTAGACACATCCTCCTCAGCCACTTATTTAGCCACATGCGCTACGCACTACAACGTCAACCGAAAACTGTGTCATTTGAGACCTTTTCCGAAGATACTATCCCTCCATTTACAATCCAGGAGGAATACTTAGCAGGCTCCACGGTGGATGGTTTGTTGTATTGGGGATGGTTTGTTGCATGGGGAGGTTAAAAACGTTATTGAGGGCAAGAGAGCAGGGTGCGGGCGATAAAGATGTAACAAACGCCTGTAGATAAACTGAATACTAAGAGCTGGAGTGCCTAAAAGAGCTACATGCACTTTGGAAGACGGGGAACAATTGTTGGAGGAGACGATATGTAGGTATACTCGTGCACACTCACTCAATCATTGATCATAACAATGATTCACCCCTTCTCTCTCACTTCTACAATCTCATTTTTTTGAAAGCTCTTTTAATTTTGATAGCTAAATCTCAGCTACCCAATTATCTTCAGAAATATCCACCATCCTCGCTAGACAGCTCACAATGAACCTCATTGTGCTGTGTCTTACTATTCGCGAGACGCTGTAAAAGAAACGACCCTTTTCGTAAAATTCAAGAAAACTCCATATACCCAGCAGGTCCAGCCCAAAGGAAAGTACATAATAGATTTGCGTTAGAGACTCTAACTGGCGTTGAAAGCTTGGCTATTATATACTCCCATCTCGGGGTTGCTACGGTTGCAAGGTGAACCGTTCCCCGCCTCCCAAGCCTGACCCCATATATAATGTACCATTGACATTATAACACCCTTCTCTCCTCCCCCTTTTTTACCTCTTGCTTCGACTTACTCTACTCTTGTAGAGGTGTGTATTCTTTCCATGCACCTCTCCCTTCCAGTAGTCGAATCCACGAGGATTGTTTACAATTTCGGCCATGTTCCAGCAGCACGTGCCCTCCCGGCGTTTGGCCCCCCCGCCGCATTGGACCTAGTCTTGGGACTGTTGACAACGTCATCAATGATCTCCAAGTATTCCATTACCTCCTCCAAGGTTGGAAAGTACGGGGGAACCAGTTCAGATAATTCGCGCCACCTACGCCCCCATTTCTCCGTAAGCCTTGAAAGTGGGCGATGGGTTCTACTGCGTTCCACTTCGATCTCCAATGAAAGGTCCAACTTTCTGTTGTACACGGCGATTAGAGGCCGGTCCAAATACGCTCTCCTTGCTCTTTTCGTCTCCTCGCTCAGGCCCTCCACCAGGGAACCGGTAAGGTCCTGTACACCCGTAGCGGCGTTGATCAATTTGACAAGATCTCTATATTGGTCATTAAACTCCTTGACAGATCGGTCAACAATCAGAAGATCCAAGAATTGCTGCTTGAGGCGCTTGAGATCCTCCTCTGGATGGTGGTGAAGAACAAATTCCCTCTTAAACTCTTCCCAGTTTATGCAATCAGAGTATGCCAATGTTCGTCCGCGGGCCGATTTACAATTTCCTGGCCAGCGGCGGCATGCCCACTCGTACGATGTGAATCGTAAATAGCCTACCAGGTGTGGTGCCCAACCATCGGTGGTGCCTGGAGTCGATAGATGGGAATCACGGTTGGTCAAGATCCGCTCCGCTTTCTCAATCCAATCGCGAGCTGTCTGCTCGTTTATATCTCCATCGTATGGCTCCAGTGTCTTTGGCCTTAGTTTATACCGTGGGGTGGTCGCCTTCGCCGGCGTTGCCTCTTTTGGTTCTGGTTGCTCTTGAACTGATGAGATTACCCGTTCGACTACCTGGTCGACTGCCTGTGTTATCATCATGTTATTGTAGGCTTCCAACCCCTCCCCTTTCAACTCTATTCTGGGGTCAGAAACTACCGGTTCTCCGCCATCCAATGCCCCGTCTGTTGGCTGTTGAGCTGGGCTGTCTGTCTTTACGGGAGGTGATGTTTGTTGCCCACCAGCTCTACTCTCCGCCCTAATTGGAAAATCCAGTTCCATCTTGTGCCGGGTTTCGTTTGCTTCATCGACCAGGGCTTGAATCATTAAAGGAGAGATGGGTTCAGCCGGTTGTGTGAAGAGCTGTTTTACTCCTCTTTTAACAATGGCTTGTCTTGCGTTATAAAACTCTGAGGTTCGCTTGTCGAAAGGAACAGAGTAGTCAAGGGGAATAAGAGTCATAATGATGGTATGCCTTGGAATACTCGTTTATAAAAGGATTTAAAGGGGGATGATAATAGTTTCTTGAATGAGGATCGGTTGATAAGAGTTATTATTGTTGTTAACGGTGAATAGGATGGTTAGGTTTGTGTTTTTTGTGTGTGATATCCTCGTGGAGTGGAATGGCCCCACTTTTGTCGTAATATACTCGTTGGGATATTGCTACCTAGTTGCCAAGTTGCCTTACATAATTGTCTGTTCTGTCTGCTTGCGTCATGAGTTCCCTCCGTGGTTTTATCTGGCCCATTCGTCTCCCCGTCATCGGTTTCTGGCTACCTAAGTTCCGGAAGTGCCCTCCTTGGAATTCAGCGACCTGAAGCCTCCCAAGGCGCAATTCCATACAGAGATGAATGTAGAATTTAGATTCACTTTACCCTTATTTACAAAATCTTCTCACTTCATTCATTTGGCTGAAGGGATATCAGAGTATCACGCATGTTTGTAGTCTCAACTGGATTTGGAGGTTGCGTGGTTGTGTGGTGTGGGGATCGAGTGATACACTGTGATTGATTTTTAACTGCAGGGAAATCATTTCTCGCTTACGTTATACCTCCAGGGACTTCAACAGGAGGGTTCAACGTTGCCTAGCTGTGAATTCCTTCCCGGGTTCCGGGGAGATTCCGCTCCTCCGGATCTAAGTTAAAGTTCACTCTTCACGGGAAACATGTGCAGCCTCGAAACTCCAGAAGCGCGGGGCAATGGACAGATGTTTTAAACGGAAACACAATTAGTTCCAAGGTTATATGTATGTGTCGTCATCGGATATCATTGGTCTTCATGCTTCACACGCGGCGCGATAGAGATAATTAAGGACAACCTCTACTTTTCATACCCAGGGAAGTTCCGCCGAAATGTTACAAATTTATCACCCCGCATGAGCAGATTACGAAGAGCTGGATGCGGCGAAAGACCGGATGGTGTGCGGGAAGCAATGGGGCGCTTCGCGGTTTCTGGAACGTTGCGCACTTGGAAACCTCACTTCATACCAGCATGATCATGAGCCCATTCGTTTTTCCTTCACAACCAGTCACCATTCGAGAAATCACGGGATACGGATCGATGTTTTATCACATTTACAATAAATAACTTAATACTTCACTATTGGTTTTCATCTGCTTTATTCCTTTTAAGTCTTGCTTAATTTTAATAATGGCTGTATTCTAACCTTCCCCGCGCGCTACGCCGTCCTGACGATAAAATAGCACCCCTATATATCTCCTCTCGCTGCTAAAACTTACCACCCCTCCCGGTTTTAACTTACCTAATCGCCGATATTACAATCCCCTTCACTCTTCGTCCTCATCCTCCTCCTCTTCACTCTCCTCCTGCTCATTCTCGTCCTCTCCCTCCACCTCCAGATCCCCATATAGCGCCTCCAGCTCCTCCTTCAACCTCCCCAAATAGACCTCAAAATCCACAATATGCCTCTCCACATGCGCCAGATCGCCGCGCAAGATGCGCAACTTATTCTCTGCCTCCTTCTTCTCCTCCCGGATGAGGGTCTTCAAGACCGAGTTCATCATGACATCGGGGGTCCGGAGCAGAAGGTAGTTGCGCGCGAGCTCGGAGTCCGCAGCGTCGGTCTCGTAGGCGGCGATCTGGCCGGTGAGGCGGAGACGCATGTTGTGGCAGTAGGTGAGCTCGGCGCGCTGGCGGCTGAAGAGTTTGAGCGCGAGCTGGCGGACTTGGTATTCGGGCATTTTGAGAGGGGGTTGGTGGGGTTGGTTGAGTAGGGCGGTAGTTGAGGTTTGTTTTTTGTTGTATTGAATTCGAAGACTGTACGATTGTGATGATGATGATGCTTTCTCTGGGAAGGAGGCATGGGTGTTTATATACCGCGTCAATCATTCATTTCATGTGCGATGTTCAGTTCTACTCTGTAGCTAACGAGTTACAGATTTCAAGTACAACTTTCAAATCCCTCAAAAACCCGAAGCTTCGAAGCGTTTAACCGCTGCTTGAAACTATGTTTCAAGACAACCAGCACATTGACCCATGAAATCCATGGAGCATTGACAAGTTTCAAGATTCGCATATCCTACACTACGGACCACCCAATGCGCCGCAGGTATGAGTCCGATAGCATGAGCGCGAATAATTGCTTAATCTAATAACCCTCAGTACTTGAACGCCGCCAAATTTGCCTTGGCCGCTGGATCACCAAATATCACTCGCAGGCGGTTATTATTTAGCACGGGTAGTATAGGTAATGCACTCTGGATAACATTGCTGGAAAGCAATGCGCAAGAGGAGGACAGGTCTGTGATTGTAGAGAACTCGCCAAATTCACCTTTACACCCGCCCAGCCCCGCGCGGTGATTAATGTACCGGAGCTACATCTACACTAACTGTTCCGTATACACCATGGATACATGCAGATGTACCGAAAGACTTTGACTGCAGCTGATAGGTTTCTTGGATAGACACCGGGTGGTATTGAGTACGTTTAGCTCATGGAACGCACATGGTCACAACCACCAGAATGGAAACAAGTCAATAAATTGCTGGCGGATGATACAGGTTTGATTCGTTCATTGGATATTCTTGACTAAATTTTATTTTCTCTCTATCAGATCACCTTCTCATAGCGCTTCATCTCCCGATAACAAATATTCAACGCAACGGATCATATCATCAACTAATACTCCCTACCTCTCTCACTCCGTATCATTATCAGGATACACAAAATCAATTGTCCACCACCCCATCGCCTGTGTAAATCCGCCCCCAAACCCACGGCTCCAACCCCCACGCCCATTCTCCTCCACCCCCTCTTCCCCCTCCTCCTCTTCATAAACCTCCCTCTCAGGGTACCATCTTTCCATAACCTCATCGATCGTCCTTATGCTCTCCCGCACCTCGCGATACCTCGCGATAAATCGGCGCTTCTCGTTTTTAAGCAGATCAAGCAATGATTGTGGGCAGTTGCCCGCGTCTTGGAGAAGCTCAAGCATGCCGGAGATGTGGCGGGTCATGCGGAATCTGTGGCCTGCTTGCGCGCGGAGGTAGTCTTGCCCGAGCATGGCGTACGTGTGGGAGCGGCGGATGGCGGCGGCGGAGTAGGACATTGTAGGTTCTTGTGGGTTGGAGTAGTTGAGAGTATGTGTTCTGGTGGTATTTGGGGTATGTAGGGTTTTGCGTCTTGTTGTTGGTTCTTGTTATGTGTTGATGATAAAGCTTTTTGCGATGAGGATGAGTGATGCCTTTATAGGACCATTTTAGATGTTCATGTTGGGCGGTGGAGGGGTGTCCTAAGCATAAGAGCGTGGTCACTTGAAATCAGCAGGAAGGTCGTGATTCCTTGCTAATCTCCCAGTTCTCAACTATTATAAGTCTTTCGAGAACTTGAAAGTCATCGGTGTATCCGATGGCAGGATCCTCCTTTACCGGACGAATCATGAAAGTTGAATGGCCGACACCGTTTGGGCTTGCATGTAGTCATGCCTCACCGTTTCGGTAGTGCTTTCGGTGGTTCTCTAACCTCCATGCCTCTTTCTTCCCGTCGGGTGACCCGTTTCTTCAGGTGTAGGGGGCACCATTTTTAATGGAAATTATTGGCTATAATAACTCTTCAAGCAGGGTAAAACAATATTCGTCTAGGATGATGTTAGTATTGTCCCCAAATGTGGTTTTCTGCGGTATCCTACATATTCGTGCACAAATTGCGAGATATATATCCTCCAAGCCCACTGTATATAAACCTCTGGACCTCCCAAGACTTACCTGCCTTTTATTTCCTATTGTTTGAAAATATGTAAGCACAATCCATCTCTCGTCCTCCCGCGCGCCGTCCGAGCTTGCGTGCTTCGTATTGTCATGGCTCTCCCAAAGGTACACAATGTGGTGGTTCTCGCAGTACCGAAAGAGACCTGTACTAATATGTAAGCCTTGAGCTTCAAAGTCTAAAGTGAACTACTATAGTGACCCATACACGAACCGTATATTAGCTCTTCCAACGTTGTGACCTTCCGCTGTGTTTTCTGGGTTTTCCAGTGGCCCCGGTAGGCACAAAAGAAAAACGAGAAGAAACACAGAACATGAATGTTTCCACCATCTTTTGGCACTTTTCTTCCTGAACGACACTTTGATTGGCGTATAGAGTATTTATAAATGACAGATAAACTAAGCCTGAGAAAATTACCTGTCCTTGCCCCTGATCTCCCACGAGTAGAAAAGCACGTCAACTCCTCAAGCCGGAGATGGCAAAAACGCCAACTGTCTTCTCTCTACAGCCGTCAGTCCTAACGTCATGGCAATCTTTAACACGTATCATCTATAGGATATGCTTCTAGTTCTATGGTAACGTTGTTTTACTCGACTCAAGATCTTCTCCTAGCTAGCTCCAAGTTTATCAGCATATCAAGGATAGACTTAATCTAGATGAGGTCTTATAATTTGGTTTCTTGCACAAACTCGAACGAAGTCACGCACATGTGGAAGTAGATAATTCAAATGCAATTCCTCACGCCAACGCAAGGAAACTGATAGTCCGAGTAATATCGTATTTTTCTCCGTTCTGTCAACCCGTAGTTAAACCCCCAAATCGTATCAACTTCAACTCGTTGTACTTTCGCTGTCAGTCCTGTACTTGAGCTGTGTGCATAAAAAGAAAAGACTTGGTTGGGACCTTGAGGGTGATTTTCGAGGTATCTAAGACATTTTACAGTGAGACATTTTACCCAGTATACCCTCTTTCGCCCCCCTCTCACATTTTGCCTTCCCGACAATTCACCACACTTCCAGACATCGTCTCGGAAAGCGCTTGCCACCTTTACCACTTCACATTCTGTCATGTAAAACAGTTGCAATAGGTCAGTTTTATGAATCTCCTTTAATCCTGTATCCCATGACGTTGAATACTCTCAGATAGACTAACCCCACTTCCAGTCCCAACAACACACTATTCCCTTCTGTGTTTCAACATACAAATCGTCCATCATGACTCGGAACACCAACAAAAACAAAGACCGTAAGCAGATCCAGCTTGCCGACCCTATGCCTGTCAAAGTCGAGGACCAGCCACGCCGTACCACCGGATTGTCCCCCAGCCCCGTTGCGATCAAGAATGAGTGTAAACTCCACGATGTCGCTCAATCCAAGGCGGACGAAAAGGACATCAAGATGGAGTGTCAACAAGACATCAAGATGGAAGACCAACAACACATCAAGCAAGAGAACAGGCAATACATCAAACACGAGGATGGGCAACGCATCAAACAGGAGTATGGACTTCGCATTAAACAGGAGTATGGACAACACATCAAAGAGGAGTATGGGTGGTGCATCAAACAGGAGGATGGGCGATACATCAAGACGGATGTTCAACGGCGCCACACTACATCTTCAAGCGCCTTTTACCCATCATCATATCATGACCTCATAAAAAAAGGGAAAGAGATAATCTATACCCCTACATCCACTATCTGCCCCTCGCCCAACTCCAGCGCATTCAAGAGGGAGTATGGTTACCTTCCAGCTGGTTCATCCAAAACCGATCTTGCGATGAAAGAAAACAGGTTGCATCATGGGTTCCCATCTTATACCTTCGACTCGAATGACATCGATGTTGCCATGAAGGAAAATCGGCTCCATCATGGGTCTGCATCAGAGAGATTTGACTCGTATGATACCGATCTCATGATGAAGGAGAACCAGTTGCATCATGAGCCTCAAACCCAGCCTACAATTTTGCAACAGGCTCATATTCACCAGCCTCCCGTCTTGCCACGTGGGTGGAAACCTCCAGTAGATCCAGAGCCGGACCATGGAGCGGTATATTTCTCTTTCTTTACACAATTCTTTCTTCATGAATACTAATATACCCTTTATCATAGACATATACTATCCCAAATTATAAGGATATCCTGCTGTGGCCTGCCTCATTAAAGCATTATATCGCGCGCTCGTTCGAGGATATTCTACCTGAAGAATGGGACGCCGTTTACAAAGAGCTCCACGCAATCATTTTCGAAGCTGTCAAAGATGATGTGTACCTATGTGTTGATTGGGACAAAATGCCACTCCCCAATGTGATCCGGCACGATATTCGGATTGCAGAACTTAGAAAGTTGAGAAAGGAAATTGAAGTGCTCGATGAGTTGCAAAGAATTGAGGATAAGGAAAGGGAAAGAGTTTGGGAAAACAGAAGAATGGAAAGAGAGAAAAAGTATACGCCAAAGGTAGAGAACCCCGGACCTAGCTCACCTCCTAACATCACGGTAAAGCGTGAACAAGACTTTAAATCAGGATTGGAGAAAGAGCAGAATGATCTAAGTAGTCATGGAGGTAGAAGGCAAGCACAAAGGATGCAGCAAGCAGTCAAGGATGAGGTTCCTGATTCTGATGATGATCATCGCAGCGAGGCATGTTTTAGGCTTTCTGACAATTCAGAACTTGACTATACACATGAACCCCATGGAATGAACACATCGGACCATCCCGAACTTGCGGCGATGAATGGTTTACATTTGAAAGCTACGACGCGCCAAAATCATGATTACTCCCTTTGGGATACAGAGCAACTCCACCCAAACGACTCGATCTCTCAAGTTGGGGGTCATAGCAGTCGCGAAGATTTCTATGATACGGCAAGCACCCCCCGAGGCCGGAAAACATTTACCTTCAACAATAACGAACAAACTTCAGGCATCAAGACTGCCTACCGGTTGGAAGATAGCTCCGTATCTTTAATGGCCCTGGATGAAGGCGCCACTGCCCGTTCAGCCCTCTCAAGTAACCACGATTCCAACGGAGGTGTACCCATTCAGCACAGTGAGAGGAACACCCAAGAGAACCGCAAGAGATCTGATGCAGGCCCTAGACAGAGAGGAGACCGCGTTCACTTTCAGCCGTATGCGAGTCAGAACCGTGATACCATATCTACGGGTTGCCCTTCAAATGAAAGACCAATTGCTCGAATGAACTCACATTCAGCTTCCATTAAAATTCAAGCATCCATCTGCACCCCAGGATCCGTTCCTACTCAGGGCCAAGGAGGAAGTCTTGAACAAACGGGAGGTGAGAGTACTTACTCACATTCAGGAAGTCAAAGCAATAGTGCGTGGCATTCCTATACTGCCAGCGACGTTGCTCGAAGCGACGCAGCTACCACTCGCAGGCAGCCCGCCAGGACCCCAATCACCAAGACGGAAACCACCGATCTCACGGAGAACGAGTGGAACGACGCATTTTGAAGAATTTTGGTCACTGGTTTCCTATTATTTGAGTATATGTTTGCGTGTAGGAGGTTTAGCTCAGAATGATTTGATTTTTGGTACATGTAATACTTATGTGACTTACTCTGTCAGTCTCTTTATATCACTCAATACAAGTATCTCATCGAAGCAATCCTATAAGGACTTTTATTCTCTATAAACCTTGTTTTTGTGTTTCTTATGACTCCTTGCATGAATGGGGCAGAGATGCATGACGGGGAAGATTATGTACTTGGATCTGGATTGTTTCAAGGGGGGAGAATAGAGCTCACACGCATACATAGTGATGGGCACGAGCCGAGCTGGCTCGAGCTTTGAGCTCGTGTTTTAGGCTCGAACAGGTCGAGCTCCCTTACCGACGAGCCCAAATCCAAAAAAACCTCGAGCCAGGCTCGAGCCTGTGAAAGCATTACTAATTATTGTAGAACATTATCGTTCGGTGACCTATATAAAAATATATCCTCCACTACTCATCCTAATAGACATTTTCTATACATAGTACCGAAGTACTTCCTGGAAGGTCTATTTTTAGGTATAATCATGAGAGCTCGAGCCTTTACCTACACAATCCGAGCCGGCTCAAGCTCTAGATCAGGCTCGTCTCGAGCCGGCTCATGCCTATCACTACACACCCATGGTAACAAGAGGTTAGTGGGCAATAATGTTAGTACGTGGTGGTATTGGAAATTAAGTATCAACGCAGCCCAGGGTTAGGTGTACCACTAGCTCGCGTTACTCTCAATTCCCTTAAATATTACTTCCGGCGTATTAAGTTATGTGTGGGCGAGGTGTGGTCTAAGGGTAGACACCTCGTTCGGGGATGATACACTACACCGTAGCGGTTGTTCCCATGTCCATCGTTAGGCCATGGGTTCGATACAGGGGTGGGAGGGGTACCTGATAGGGATGGTATAATAACTCGGCATTCAATACCTATATGTCGAAAAAGGCCATACGCACGCAGCGAGACTTTTTGTTGTTTTTTTTTCGCATCTCTTTTGCCTATTCTTAACATTTCTAAAGCTTGTTAGCCTGAGCATACTCTCCTCAAGCATCAAAGCCTCGTGGACCACACTATTCCTATCCTAGACAACTCCTACTCCTAGCATAATGTGTGGAAGGCTCCGAAGCTTATGACATTTCCTTCACTTGGCGTTTCCCCCCCCCCCCCCCCTCCCTTTACGATCTCGAATAGGGTAAGATGAACATGTTTGCAATGTGTATCAACACCAGCCCCCACACAAAAATGAGCACAAAGTCCTACGCCCTAGAAAATGATTGCCTTAATTCTCGGTGAGCGCAATTTATGTGGCGGTAACTTTGTCAAGCGTTACGGAATATTTTAAGGCAACAAACACAATTGTGCAGGCTCTTCTTTGCAGGCTCGTGCGCGCATGCCTGTTCTTCCCCGCGTCCCTGTTATATTTTCAGTTTGCTCGGTTTAGTCTATTCTACTAACTTCTCGGTCTTTCCCTCACATCCGCGAGACATCACGTTTGAGTAGCCTCTGTAAATCACAAAATCAGCTTGTTTAAGCCTGATACTCTATGGGCTGAGTGTAGGGTGAGTCTTGTCGTTCTTCCTCTTTCTAGCTTTTGCCTTCGTTGACTAATTATAAGTGCGGTTGAGGGGAGGATAGTGTATGTGTGTGTGTGGGGGGGGGGGGGGGGGAGGTAGAAGGCGAATACGAGCGAGTGGAGTTATCAACAACTTGTTACTCCCAAATGTCCGACCTAACTCTTGCGCTCTTAGGATCACTGTAATCTCGTTTCTGCTCACTTCGCCTCCCAAGGGTTCCAACCACTTTCCAGATGTTTACACCAACACGATTAAGGGAAATATCTGCTCGGGGAAGACCTACCATGCACCTCGTATCGTTTTGTTCATATATGCACAGCGGGATAGCCGCTTTGATAGTCGCAATTCAAACCTCCAATTTGGATGTTTGGGTGCGTTCATGACAACTGCCCAAGTTTCTACAGAGCGGACTTGGTTTCTTGACCCATTTTTTGTAATATGGAAGGTATAAAGGTAAAGTGTTTTTCAAATAAAGGCTATATGCTAATCGCATCTAAGGGATAATTCAGAGGCACTAGAAAAGATAACACTGATTTCAACCCGCTCGTATTCCCGCCTATAGACATCCGCTTAGGGAAGCCTTCCTACGACGAGAAACACACAGCCCATATTCCTACGCCAGAGAGACCACCGAGAAAGGAAGATATACCGCTTCTCCTCCGCCCGATTCTAATCTACATTATGGGAGTCAATTAAGACAAAAGTATGTCTCACGACAAGTGCATAAGTCGTGCACGTGAAGTTGGCCCCGGCCCAACCCGGATTGCCAAGAAATTACTATGCGAGTGATATGCTATGAGTATATAGAATTCCAAACACTTTTTCTTGAAGAATGATTTTATTGACCCGATTGAATCTTAGCATATTTCCTTCAGCGACAATACAATACTAGTTTAGGCGTGAATTATAATTTGCAAGGCAACATGCACCCCTGAGGTGTAGGAGGTAGATGACATACCCCCCAACGAGATATCTGGTGGGAATGGACGCATAATGAATGGTGAATAGCGGAAGGAAGTGTGGACCCCCGGCCCGCTGGATAGGCCGGCTTCACCAGCTGTTATGGACGAAGGTTAGTTGAAAGTTGAAACCCCAGGTAAACGAGGGCTGCAATACAGTATTCAAGCTCACAACTGAGAGCTTTGCATTCAAGTTGGCTCCGTCTCATAATTGAAATCAATTATATGCATATCTTGATTCTATATCCACTAAATCATCCAGGAAGGCGTATAAAATGGCCGAACTATCCGTTCAAATTCCAGTCTTCAGTCATCCGAAATAAACACCTGCAATCATGACCTCTATCGCATACAACTTCTTTCATGGCGCCTATCTTGACCACAAGATCCAAACTCTTCAGCGGCTCGTTGACAGTGATCCTGCCATTGCTAGGCATAAAGATCTCGAGAGACGTATCCTAGAGGTTCATCTTAAAATTATTGAGCATAACGATGACACTAATGAGGATGCTGATGTGTGGGAAGCTAGACACCTGCATTTAGTTTCTGAAAAGGAAGTACTGGTGGGGGTTCAAGTTCCCTTGACTGAACACGCGAAGACGTTGCTATCCGAATTGGGGCGCTTCAAGTTCTCGAAGTGGGTATTTGAGTTGCAGTTGGGGCGAATCACTGAGTGAGAGATTGCTGGTGGAAGGTCGAGTATTAGTCTTATAAAGAGCTAGAAAAAGAGTTACCGTTAAGATTGCATAAGAACAAGGACGATGTCAGCCTATTGAGATGGTGAGCAGGATTTATCACAATAGATAGTTAGTTAAAAGCTGTTATCCAATGAACCACGCTGCGATTTGATTCCCCGGAATGCGTGATATTCATAGCAGGAAAGTAGATAAGGTTGCTGGTTATTAGCCCACATCTATAATCTTCGATAAGGCATGATCATTACCGCCAGCTCATACACAAAGACACTGGTCCATGAAACGTAAAACCGAGAAATAAACGCCACTGAAGGAAGTAACGTAAATATGTGCTTGAATTCAACGATTCAGTGATCGCAGTGACTTGCTACCAATCCATAGCCGCGATATTCTTGTATCTCAGTGCGCATAACGTGGGCCGCCGCACATACGGATCCGCCCGAGCGTTTTTCGCGAACAGATCCAAGATACTGTCGCCCAGGTAGCAAGGAAGAGGGTGTCATCTCTCCGGGCAGGGCCATAGTCCCCGCAGACTTCAACCGAACTACATGAAGGGAGCGATAGGATACGGTGTTGAAATAAACGGATTTCTGATACTCATGTCAGTACCTTCCTTTTCCCACTAATGTTTCGGGTCTGTATGTTCTCCTCCGGACATAGCCGGTGAGTACAGGTGTGTTTGTTACGTCCGGGCGAGGTGGAGAATAAAGCCGGTGGTGTACATACGTCATTCCTCCTTCAAATGATACCTGAATGGGCATACAGCTTGAGCTTCAAGCTTCAAGCAATGCAGCTGCCTCAAGCCCAGCAACGATGGTTGGGAGACGAGCGCGCCTTCCCCATCCATTCCAGTAGTCGAGCCCGGCGATGGCTTAGTCGTGTGTGTCGTCTCCAGCTCCGGGGACATGTCGTGGGCACTTCTCACCTAGGCGTTATTATGTGGTGGCGGGCGAACAAAATCTTTTTAAAGACGTCCATTGTTGAAAAAGTGTTTGTCGAGAGGCAAGTTGTTGGGCTCTGTTGTCGTCTAGGTGAGACATGCGTCGGCAAGTCCCGAGGTCAATCTTGGGTGTGCCAAGACTCCCGAAGATGCGGCTACACGATCAGCAAAGGGGAGTAAACTACCAAGTCTCACACACAGCACGACATGTCATGCGATCACCGGCTCTATACACCTCGTGGGAGGGTTATTTTCTACAGCTCCTCGAGTTGCCTCGATCGTGTTCATGAAATCAACAAAAGGACAATCTCGAAATAATCTTGGCATCATTGACACGCCCCCGATCACCACCCCCGACTCGCCATACTTGAGACAGCCAACCACCAGTCAATGATACCACCGACATAAAAATGGCACTCGAGCTGAAGAGAAAAAAGGAAGTGAGACGTTATATGTCGGTGCCATGAATCGAACATGGGTCCTCTCGGAACAGCAGTTACAAGGATGGAAATCCCTGTAAACCCACAACGAGAAGTACTAACCACTATACTACACCGACTTGTTGATGATGAGACGAAAACGCAATATGGAGTTATTTCTGACAGCACATTTAGCAACCACTTTTTTTTCCCACCACGTTTATCGATCGTCTCGTTGAGTTTTCTAATAACCGAGCTCGTGAACTGCGGTTCGGTTTTGGAATGTTATCACGTCAGGACTCGGGAAATCGGCCACTGAGCGAACAGAGTGCGAGAGGTTCTTAAATTCCATACTTCAAGATATCGGTCCAGGACACAGGTTTCCTGAACCCGTCCTCTAGGGGAATTAGCGCATTGAAACCGCTCAGTGAACAGAATGCTCTTTCAACTAACTTAGAGGCACGCGACAATAACCTCTTGTCTACCTACAGCGACCCATACCGCCTACTTGTGAACCCCCTTAAGCTGTCCGTGCTAAAACCCCCCCAAAGGGTTGGTTAAAATTGGTGCGTGAGGCTCACCGCCAATTAAGAGAGGTTTGTTAGCATGAGTTACACCCCCGGTTTCAAGGACCTCTATCCTACTAATCGATTTACGCATAGAATTAACACGACAAATTTCATGCAATTAATGTATTAAACAAAAAAACAAAAAAACACGACAAATTTCCGATGAATTCTCTCTAGATTAGTATTAGCATGTACCATATCGTCGGAGAGGTTATGGTTCATAGATCTCCTCTACCTTACAAGTATCATTACCGTTGAAGGTTTCTTTTCAAGGCCATTAACTCTACTTTGGAGGATTAAAAGTGGATGATTAACTTGTAGTCTAATTAACCTTTATGGTTAATTCTGGTCATTCTCTAAACTCGCAAACACTTCTCAATGCCTGCTTATTCTCATCTAAATGTCTAACTAACCTATAACCTCCAGTTAATTTCACTCACACTCCAACCACTCAATCTCCTCCATACTCGGGCACAAACCTTCACATCCTAAACTCCCGCGTTCCCCTCCAAGGCGGAGGAAGGAATCGCATGGATGCCCTTCGTACAAAGCTCAAAAACATATCTACGAAGCTTCAAAGTTCTTACTTTTGCGAGAATATGCTTCGCCCTTCCTGTCAATGGCTCACGCAGACTCTCCAACCTCGATTTCTCTAGCAGATGTTCGGCATTCTTTGCGGTCTACACCGCAAAATTAGCGTGGCCCCCCTCCATTTCTGCATTGTTTTCGGTGATCCGGGTTTTATTTCGGCAATGAGGACGTCGAATTGACGTCTGCGGGTGATGCTGGCGTCGTTGGCAATCTCGGTCTCGAGCCTTCTGATTTTGAGGTCGAGGTAGGCCATGTATGCAATTCTGAAGAAGGGAGACATGGTATGTGGTGTGGTGGTGTGGTGGTAGTATGAGTGAGCCGGTATTGATGTTGTTGATATTGTTGGGGAGTAATTATAATTATAGGATATCTTAATCGATGGTATAGCTTGCGATGCCGGTGACTGGGGGGATGGAAGTGGTATGTGATATGTAATTGGTACCGGATTGCCGACTACTTATACTACGGATATGAAACATTTATTGTGCTGATTTGGGGAGATGAATTATAGTGTGTTAATCACCCCCATGAAAAATTATTCAAGCTCTGTCTATCGGTTTACTGCCGACGAGAATATTCGGCAGTGTGCAACCAGCATTCAAGTGAGGAAGGCCCTATCATCTCAAGTCGCTTTGGTCTCCTTTTCTAGTAACGCAACCAGGTGTCTAGCTTATTCTCGGGTTATTTCTTCGCCGAAAAGAGCCTTTACCTCGGGATATGATGCATAACCACCTCCAAGTGACACTTGTGGGGGGTTAATATTGGTGGAACAGTATTCCCAACGGCGTCTTAGTGACTCTCCACAACAGCAGCGACCTAGAGAGCGCAACTGAGCATCATCTCTAATCACCTTTCTTACTCCCGCGAAAGTTAAGGCGTCGATTGCTGTAGTATCATTGTTTTTGGCATCGGATCCTGAATTCTCATGAATAGCTGGTTCTGAATTCTTGTTCGCCCTTCTCCCACCCTGGACGGAGACAAGCGACTTTTTCGCCCCCAGCTGCTATCTTGCCTCGGTTATCTTGTTCATGAGGGCTCTTCCCATTGAATATGGAAGGTGAGAGATTATGGTTAGCGAAGCTCTTGGGGGACTTTCTGGGCGAACGTGAGTATGTTTACTAGTTCGGACAGATCTGGGCAGACTTTGGTGGGGAAAAGCTAGTTATGAATTATCACTCGATCTCCGATTTTCATTTTCTTTTGATATACTTGGTGCATGTATTCGGGTCTGAAATCAACGCTTCTTTTTCCTCTTATGAAGTTTTATCTAACCATTCTTAAATTCCAATCTAGGTCTAACCTATCATGATCACTAGCCTACTCTTCATCTCTTGTCGAATTTTTCCTTAACTCAATCTATATCTCTACCCTAATCCCCGCCATATTTAGTTATCTAACGTACCTCTCACCATACCTACCTGTCACCAAACCCTCTAGTTACGCGGAAGTTGATTCAAGATGTCGATCGCTCCCCTCCTCTCCACATACATTCCAAACACATGTTTCTTCAATTTGTACATCCGGATCTTCAACAGCCGCTTCTGCGGCTTCTCCGGCAACGGTATTCTCCTGCTCTCAATCAGCGCCTTCTCTGCAAGCAGCCTTCTATTCCTACCAACCCCCCACAGCTTCCGGTTATCGTCGCCGTCAAAGAGTGCCTCGTTCTCCCTGATCTTGGCATTTACTGCGTCGATTTCGGCATCGATTGCACACTTGGCGAGGTAGAATTCGTCCTTTGATTGTTCGGCTTCTAAGCATTTGATCCGACTGTCTAAGAAGCCGATGTAGAGGACGTTAAAGAGAGGGGCCATGGTAGCTTCGTGTTAGGTTGCGTTTGTTTTGGGTGTAAGGTGGTGTGGTTGTAGTGTGGATGCTTGGAGTTAATATGTGTGATATCCGAAATACTAGGGGGATGAAGACTCTTTTTAGCATCTTGAAATAATTGTGGTCCTGGTTCGATAGGTATGAAATCCGCGGCATATAATGACCGCTTGATAAAGCCGGTAGTATTCAAACACTGTATGCACCAGGTATGAATATATCTGCTCTGTATCTTGGACCCCCAGACAAAGAATCTACATCACACTCCGCAACAAACTCCATATCCACCCAAAAATTAAGACATCACCATTCCCGCTATGCAAATCTTTCCACAGGATTCTGGACAATTCTCAGTCTTCCGGGAAGGATCCCCGTTCTCACGAAGGAAAGGTGGTTGGTTCCCAACTTGCTTCCAACAGGCTATATATAACCTTCATACATCACCTTATTCCACTCGGCTCGTCGTGTCTGTGGTGGGTTTTGCTTCTATCCCATGCAGCCCCTCAATACCCAGAAACCACTATCGATAGGATTTCCAAGTATCAATCTCTGCTATAATCCCAGGCCGCCGGTACCCTGCTCCTAGCCTCAACCACTACCGCCTCCTTGCACCCCAATCCCGATGATGAAGGTCGCAATATTCGTCTTTCTGACTATGTTCACCGGGCAGTGATATTGCCACAGACCACCTATGCAATATCAGTAATGCGAGAAGACTATATCTAGAAAATATGGAAGGAATTCACAACAAGTTAAATACATATATAAACGCACAAGAGAAAAAAGCGTAATTCCAGAATATTAACTTAAACCTAAGCCTCATCCCGTCCCGCTCCTTGAACTATAGCCAGATTACAGCCCCATACCTAACTGCCATATATAGCATACCTCCAGAAGAGATGCTGAGTTCTTATTGAGTTCACGGCGACCTTGGTTCAATGAATTGCAGATTATCACTCGTTCGAGAATCTACCTAGATACCGCTTATTGAGTGATACACTACACAGGGAAGGCGGCTATCGTCATTTTAAGAGTCTAAGTCCCGGTTTACGTCAATTGTGACTGGTACACGTCAACGATATTAACATAAATACGGTATGCACGTGCTTGCCCTCCGCGGATCCCACCCCATCTCATGTGCTCGTTGAGCATTCAAGAGACCCTCACAGGGCAGCCAACCAGCTGTTTACCGTCTTTGGGTAATTGTTTGCATCGTTTGCTGCTCCTCAAAATCTCATAAACCTTCTAGAAAATACAAGTCGATTGAACCTTACTTCATGAGGTATCACTCGATCAACTCTCCCAATAATTGAAGCATAATGCCTAAATTAGGAGGGAGTAGATAACGAGTTAGGTCCCTAAAAACATTCTTTCACTATGAAGAGCACGGAGGGGAACCTCTGGGGTTCCTCCGAACACGTTTATTTTGTACTGTGCTCTTGAGGACGGTTTGATTATTAAGTTCAAGATAATGTATTGGTTTACTATAGTGGGCGTTTTGGAGCGAAACAGGAGTTCAATGGATTTTTTTTGGACCCTACGTGATTCACGGATAACACAGACTCAGGCTCTGATAGTAAAAACGAAGCTCGAATTGTCATGTTTTCCTCCAATGAATAATACCTCCTATCTCGTAACGCTCGTCTCCTACGCTAGTATCCCAGGTCGTATTTCCTCGCTTTCCTACCTCTCTCTTTGTTCGTAGCGTTTGGAGCGATTCCTTGCGATTCTCTAAGCCTGTACTTGGTCTCGTATTCGAATTCTTCCACTAAGGTAACGGCATTAGGTAGGTCAGCCTCGTCCATCCATTGGTCGAATTCCATGGTCCAACCTTTTCAGCGGACCAAATACTGCTTCTTTTTCTAGCGTCCGACGATGCGACTCTCTAGAATGGTCTCAACCTCTAGACCTGCGGGTCCCCGGCGGTGCCTTCCAAGGGCTCTGTCTATGATGATAGGTGGATGATGATGACTGGGAAGAAACAAAAGAGACGAGACTGTAGAGTACAAGAATAGCTAGTTATGACACGGTTACCACTTGTGACTTGTCCTGACCCGAAGCACTGCCTTAGTTCCGTAACCACTTTGCCTGCGCCACAGCGTTTCCAAAGAACATCTCCTTTCCCTTGCCTAAGCAACACCTAATGCTTGGCAACAAGCAATACCAACTCCTGCTCCACCACCAACGAGGGCGTGGCATTTTGTGAACAACACCTACGACACTGCTACATCTTGACAGATTCGAGCAAGTCTCGCGCCGGAGGCATTGCTGCGGGAATATAATAAAGGCAAGGGTCTCGAGACAAACTTCAGGGGAAACCCTTATTCCCTTCGGCGCGGTCCCTGTGCTCTGCCCCTCCGGCGAGGTAAAAAGGGCTCCACTCTTCCTAGACTCATCCATCTTTGTCAAATATGCCACTCTCACTTCATCTAGCCCTCCGGCACGTCTCAATGCAGAGGTATCTACTCAAGACAACTCGGGTCTCCCTTAACGCGCGAAAAAGAGCCAAGACCATGAAGAACCGAAGATGCTCCACTCCCGAAGCCTATCTGATAGATGGAAACACACCCCGAGGGAAATATTATCGCCTTGCGAATGACTAAGGTTTCTCCTATCAGTTAAGGTAATTCTTTGTGTAGGAGGAATTCACGGTCTTACTCTCTCTGACTCTCGCCACATGGCAGGTTTTATCACGGTTTAATCCAAGGATCTACAAAGACCGGAGGAGATCTTGATGAGGTGGATGGTATTCTGCGAATTATCTCCCCGGGACCTGAAAATTGCGAAACCAGTCAATATCACTCCAATCAATATGTAAGAGACATACTCACCCTAGTTAGGGGTAAAGGGAGAACTAGCTATCACTGGTAATGTAGTTTGCCTGAGAAATTAAAGCATTGCGAGGGCTCTGAAGGTCTGGACTGAGGATACGCGTCAGGTTTATCACTCCTGGCTTCTGAGAGATAGAGGATCCGTCCGTTTGCAACTAATTGTTCTGATGGTGAAGAGAGGATTTGGGGGAGGTTTATGGTTGTATTTATACTCGGATGTTGAAGCGATGCATGAGGTATTATACATGTATGTGGCCTATAAATGTACACAGTATGTTGAATTGAACACTTGGTTCAATGCCTTTACATGTTCGTAGGAGGTGAGGGTTACATGTAGTTGTGTGCTGAAAGGAGCAGCGTAGCCCAGTACCGCCGTACAGTTAAACATTCTGTTCTATTCGGCTATCGACTCTACTTCGGGAATGGACTCGCAGAACTTAAAGAAAATGGGACCAGAGATTTAACTATTCTATAACTCCTGAGGCTTTTGACATCCTCATAGTACCATAGGTATACACTCTCATCGCCCTAACTACACACACGACGGCTCTGCTCAAAATCACCTTATCACTCGTGAAAAAACGTATGAGCAATGATCTCTGTCCCTTTTTCAATTGGTACACAAAAACACGTAATGTGGGCAAGAGGTTTATATATTCAACCCTATCTGCATTGCCACAAAGCTCTGGAAGCGTTTTGTACTGCTCCCTAGAATATTGTATAGTGTAGTGATAATTGTACAAAACCATATTCCCTAGGCTTTCCCTAAACAGATCAAGTCCAGCGTAAACTGAGTTGAGCTTCAACCCTATACGTCTGATGCAAACAAGGGAAAGAAAAAGAGAAATCAACAATACAAAACTAGTTGTGCAATAGCCTAAAGGCTTTATTAATCATCCGTAATAAGGTTGTTTTGGGAGCCTCGGATTATCAATCGGCACTCCGGGTACCTCAAGCCTTGTGTGGTTGGCCCAATATCCCCCGGTATGAGGGTTTATCTCACCTACAATCAGTTTTACCAAGACTTTTTGCTTCTCAGTGAGCATTGCCAGTTTGTTCTCAAGGAGGGTTAATAGAGCCTTCACATCAGCACTGTTTTCCTCCAGTGATGAATATACTCTTTTGGCACCTTTACTGACATACGCATTCTCGCGAAACTTTGACATAGTGATCTCGCCGTCAAACACCTGTCTTACCAAAGATTTCAGAAGACGGTCGTTCACCTTGATATTCTCATATATTTCGTCCATGTCCTTAAGGTATTCATTCAGTGCTTCGTCTGAATACAGCGGCATAGGAGGAGGAGTATCCTCTTCTTCCGAATCACATGAAGAGGTATTCGATGGTATCGATGATTCTCCCCCGGGTGAATCCGCAGAGGGTATCAAGATACTTGGAAATTCACCCCCCTCCCCACCAGTTGGCGCTATCGTAGAGTTTCCGTCCGTAGAAGCGGGTGGATCATTCTCGCTTGAATCACCACCTGTCCCATCTACCTGAGGGGTTTCTCTCAGTCCTTCGTCTACAGAGTCAAATAGAGGAGAATCGTCATTCCCTTGATAGACTTGGGCTTTGTCATAACCGCCCAATCCGCGGAGCCATAGCTCTGACTGGCAGGAAAAGGTATCTATAGGTACATGTTAGCAGAAATCTTCATCCTTGTTACTATGCCCTACTGTCCCACCTAAGATATTCGCAAACCTTTTAGGCCTTTTTTGATCGGGATAGCTTTGTGCTGGACTGACTTGGGTTTCAGATAGCGTGGATGGCTCGTGGTGGTGGTCCCTATACCACAGCGTCCCGCCTACGATGTTTTCGAATGGCTGGAGTCTTTCCTCGGACGATGATCGTTGTAGTTGGCTTTCCGACTCTTCCAACGGCTCAAAAGGCTCACCGTGATCTCCGCCGCACAAAACCGTCCCACCTATGATATTCTCACGTCCATGAGATTCTTCTTTAAGAGCACAGCTTTCTACTTGATTGACTGGTTGCATCAGCAATGTACCAGCACTCGATACCTCTGCGCGCCCGTATTTCCTCAACTCCTTCTCAAGCAGTGTTTTTAGCAGACATTCGACGCTAAACTTGTCTAAATTATTTAGAGAAACACGCGGTGATATCACACCACCTTCTCTAGATAGTTTTGCATCTTGGTGTTCATTCTGTTCTGTAACTGTGGTTTGCGGTGAGACTGTTAAGTTCGAATGAATGTCTGATATTCCCCCATTACCAAGCCCCACTGTACTTTTTTCCACTGTTGAGGAAGTTGAGGTCGTAATTTGATTTGTTTCCAGTATGTTAGGCTTATACTCGCCGCGAAGTTCTTTCTCCACAATATCCTTGTCGGCTCCCCTATTCTGAGGGGGGCCGGGGATGGGGATTTCATGTCCACGCCTATCAGGTTTCTGACCCGAAGCCTTTTTCACTGATGCATCGTACAAGCTGTTGCCCCAACTCTCCATCCCCTTGATCATCCATTCTTTCTTCGGTGTATCGAGTATTATTGATGCGGCGTATTCATCCCACCTCTTTTCGCACTCGAGAGGACTTCTAACTTCTTCCAACCCTGGTAGCTCTGAAACTCCTGCGGGGCATGTATCGGCCACCACCTCCATCGAATGAGGGATTGTTACAGAAGCCTCAGGAAGATGCACACCAAATTCATGGTCTAGAGGAGATTTCAAGGATGCTCCGGTTCCGCCGTTGGTAACTCCATTTACTTTTGTCGGAAGTAATAGCTGTGAGATTGAAAATTTATGGGGTCTCACCTCGAGGTCAAAGCTTCCTCTAACATCTCGAGTCTTTGGTGGAACTAGACCGATTTTATGATATAGGTCGCCCCCACCAGGAAAATCGTGTGCCGCATCTGGCTCCCTAACTTCATCTTTGCCAGCCAGGTCCAAAACTTTGAGATCACTCGGGGCACCTGGCATTATTGGTACTGGCTCTGCCCTTAAGCTTTGGAGCGCAGGGACATCTGCATGACTTTGCGGGAATCCTGCTGGTCTTGTTGTGATATTGCATCGTTAGCAGATGTAGGGAACGAATATTTCTGCTTTGACTTCATTTAGAATAATTATGCTTACAAGATGTTAATTTCATCTACAGCACACGCCTTTTGGCCATCCAATTCCGAAAGAAGTTTCTGGATCGGGGCTGATAGTGATTCCTTTTCTGATACAATTGATGGTGATGTGCTCCGTGTATCTAAACCCATGTTGTGCGAATAATTCGAAAGAAAATATCGATGAAGTAATGTGTGAGATGTGATATGATGATTATGAATAAAGCTCGTTTACGGTAAGGTCCCTATTCTTATACTTCAAATCGGATTTTACTGATACGTGTTTTCGCTCGGTTCGGAGGTGTCCTTGATCTGTCAGAAAGGTCAATACTCACCACATGTGTAACTTTAATCACAAGGTGTCATTCTACCAGTGCAGAGCGTGCTCAAACCGTGGTTGCGCCCCGGTAATCGAGTTGGTATGTGGAGCACCGACCTGTCCGGATGAGAAAGGACCGACGCGATATTGTTGAGCTATCGTAAATCCTGTAGGCTCAATTGCACCCTTCTCGCATTTGGTTAATTGCATGCCCTTCGCAGGAAAAATCGTTAGCGTGGTCGCTTTCCCCGCAACAGATGTCCCTAGATCGAGTCCTAAAGTGCAATCTACTTGTTTCAAGCGGCTCCTGTGTGGAACCGCCTTAGCTTCAACCAAACAGGGTTCTAGTTCATTATGAACTTCGTCGGCCAGATGGTCTTGCTACGATAACATCTCTCCGACTCTCCGCGAGAGGGTGCGCGTCGGGGGCCTCTCTAGTTCTGCTTATGTCGGATATTCTCGAAGATATTGTAAGAGGGCGTGCCCTCGGCGGTTCCTTATTTCCAGAAGGGCTCTAACTAGAGTGTGTTACGATCGCCAGATATAGGATGGTACAATGGTGTGTTGGTTGATGAGAAGTGTGAACACAGGTGGTCTCGGGCTGGTGATTTTCTGGTGATTTGGTGGAAGGTGCGGGCTTTTCCGGGTCCGGGACGGTGAACTTGGCGCCTTCTTAGATTAGCCGATTATAGAGTTGGTGAATAGTCACCTCTGGTAAAGCGGTTCATGAACTTTTGACGGTGCCTGTCGACTTTAGTTGAGCTATTTGCCAGTGAACCAGATTCGTCATTTTCCAGACAGACTATGGATCACTCTTATACCCTTTTTAAAATACAAATATGTCTCTGGGGCTGAGACCAAGCCTCTCATAACAAAAACTTGTTGTGGAAAACTGTGCTGTTTGGAAGAAAATTGAGCTTGCGCCTGCATTTTGCTGGTGTAAATGATCAGTTTTGGCCCTGCTTCCGAACACATCTTAATACACATAACTTATACTAACACGCACCCTCGCGTCTGTTTAATACGGTGAGGTTTAAGAACTCCAAAACTGAAAGTCCAGCCCTTCTGCGTCATTTCTTCCCGCTAGTGATATTATACCTCCAGATCAAGCTGCGTTCCCTGGCGAGATCATTTATTATCACTCGGTCATCTCATATCACTCGGGCATATAATATCACTCGGGGTTTATATCACACAGTGTAGTTCATTTAATTCAATACGGGGTGATAGCTAAGAATATATACATGTATCCAAAACGAGACCTTTATTGAATCCGGATACCTTCCCCGCATTTGAACTGTTTCATGTTCGATAGCTTTGGCCATTGGTTGAGAAAGTAACAAAAAGTAGAAATCAGCAAGCACCTACAGGCCCAAGTTACGAGAAATTATGGATGTAGTTTAAAATTACGCCCTAAAATTTAATATTTTGTGGGTTTATTATAACTAACGCCTGAATGAAAAGGGTAAAGATGGGCAGCTGGGTAACCCCCTCCACTCCAGTTGTGGGTGAACAGGTGGAGATGCCCCATGAAACAATTCCAATTCTAAGACGAAACATTTGTCAAAAATCCCTCCCAATCTTGAAAAGGGCGATAACAAACTCGAAAAAGCTCACCTATTCCTGCCCTTCTCTCCAAACCCTCATCTGAGTCGAGGGCAACAATTTCTGGGAAGAGAGATCGCTGTTTGTTTCCGCGAACGAAAATTTTTCACCCAACGTGCAACATTAGCCACCCTTATCGGAAACGTTTAACGCTACTCACCACTTACTCATCGCCCGCCTGCGGAGTTTAGGGGGGCTCTCTACCCTCTCTCTCTCCCTCCCTCCTCCCCTCCTCCACTTTTTCCGTTAATCCTTCTCTCCTCTCCCTCTAGATCTCTTCCTCTCTCCCTCTATCTCTCCTCCTCTTAACTCTCCTTCTCCCCACCCCCCACCCCCCCCTCCCCTCCTTTCTCGTCCGAATCCTTCCTCCCCATCTGATAAAGAAAGATCCGAACCCCAGAATTCGCTATACACACTGAACGTTATTCAATTCCCTGTTGTCCAAATCAATTTCGAATCTCGAACCCGGTCTGGTGAGTACTCCATTAAACCGCAACTTCTAACCCCCTCTCCGTATGATCATCCAAACTCATTCTTTGGTAGAAGGCTGTGCTATCTGTGCTGCCCCCTTGCCTAAATAGGTGTGTGTCCAGAGGAGATTCGTTCTGTATGTTTGCCTTCGAAAGACTCCACCGTTCTTCCCAACCCGCTCACATTAATAATGTTTTTCGTCACGCAAGCCCATCCGAAAGATCATTTCCCCAGCCTGTAAGTACCCTCTTCTGCACTAAAACAGGCGATGTTGTTTTGGCTAACTAATATATGTTCAGTTGCTGCAAAGAACATCTCGCACAAGTTCTAGATACTTTCATTACTTCTGGCCTGGCTCTTTATAGAATTCCTAAACACTATCAGTAAGTTCTTAGCTAAACGTGTATATCCAACAACTTCAACCCCTGTTCTAAGTGTATGTATACTTACGTTTCTTTCTAGAGTAACACTGGTGATACTTCTTTGGCTGAAAGGAATCTCTTCACTATTGAACTCGTGAAGAATTTTAGTGGGTACCCATCTCTCTTCTGCATTAACCTTTGCTGTTTCGTCTAGACTAATCTCTCCGTTGGTAGGAAGGAGAACGTTCAAGTGCTCGAGATCGAAATTATCGCACGTGATCTTTGCAACCCCCTGAGAAGCTTTCCAAAGGTCGACGGGTTAGGTAACTATATTTGTTTGAAATCCCGCTGCTGCACTAGCTCTGTACTAATAACTTCTCAGGAACCTTTCCAACTTTATTGTCGTGCCTCTGTTCGGGTTGTAGGATTTGTCAGCAACGCTATACATGTAAGTATCGACCTCCCTACCGATAATTTGTATGTTGAAAAATACTAACCTCTCCTATTAGCATTCGCGACATCGTGCTCTCCCGGGAGTCCGACATTCTCATCACTGCACCTTTCTCTTTGTATAAGTAGGATACAAAGTGAGTTGTTATTCCTTAACCCTGTTACTTATTGATTTTTGAAGACCTCTTGAGCGTATGCTAATACCTGTCGGTCAATTAGAGTTCACATTTAGCGTCAACTAAACATGGCTCAATTCACGGCTACCCCTACCCCTATCGGCGGAGGCATACAAACCGGGCCCTGGCACTACCAATCGCCATTGATTGACTTGTTCGTCTTCCCATTCTTCGCCACAACTTTGTCAAGTAAAACTAACAAGGGATGTTCGAGCTTTAGGAGAGATAGAGGAGCAATTGCGGTTGAAGTTTCTTCTATCAAAGCAGTTGCTAGCTCTGAGGGGTTGCGCCATTATCCCCCCATCATTAAGGCAGACAGTGCTACGCAAGCTGGTATTGAGGGTCCTACTGGTACTACGAACACCGGTCGCACCGGCACCCTTATGCCCGATCGTGGCGGCGTCGGGCAGCGCTGGTCTTCTGCCATCAAGAAGATTTATAAAAAAATCAAGGGATGCAAACCCGTATCCTTCTTTCGTAAGGGTAAAAAGCAAGGGTAGCCAGTGATGTGGGGTATATGCGCGCATGACTAACTAGAGGAGAAAAAAAATACTTGTCTCCAATTTGTGCTCTTAGCAACTGGAACTAATTTTGCTTGCTGGTTAAATATCTTTTATTCGATAGTTTACTGTGACTTGTAGTAATTTGCCCAGCCAGAAGACATTGTTCTTCTACCATAATTCATGCCAATGGTGCCAAACTCACTCCCTGATACCACAATCCATAGTGGTTTCCTTATACCAAGGACAGTTCATGTATTTACACAAGCTTGACCTTCCCCAAGGCCTCCTCCCGCCAAGTTCTCTGATAAGTAGGGCGATTTTGATTAAACACACTCTTGGAACTTCTCAAGAAGTGCATTGATGGTTCTTCTTTCATTTTTCTTCTGGTATTTAACTTCTTTGACCTTCTGTTCTCGTCGTGAAAGTCGCCGTTTATAAATGACCACTCCCTAGCACGATTTCCCTTGTGTATTCCCGGCCCAGCAGACAGCATGTCCCTATCTCTTGGTTCCATCGCCATCATATTTCCCTTTTCTGTCTCATCCAATTTCAACCAATCTTCCTGCATATCACAGGCTGCAGTCTTGCCAGTATCCAACTTCATCACCTCTACTTTTGTTAAGTATAAATTTCCTTCTTTCGATGCAGTTGATTGAGATTCCATCCCGTTATCAATACTGCTAATGTATTCGGTCGCTTTCCGCGCCGAGCTATCTTCGATCGTTCCATTATCCGTTTCATGTTTGCCAATCCCCGGTAGTCGCTGTCCACTGCCATACGTAATTCGAGCGAGCGACTCAATCAAACTGTCCTGTTTTATAACGTTCAGTTAATAGAGTCTGAGAGTGATGAAGGATTTGTAGGAGCAGTCACATACCATTTCTCTTTCCTCACTTTCGGTTGATAAACCACGGCAGAGGGCCATTAAATCACGAGTTTTACTAATTCTGTTCATGATGACGGCGGTTGACTGAACCGAAGTGTGTTGATGGTACTAAGTGGGGCCACTTTGCTGATATGCAATGTTGTTCTTATTGTTGTTATAACAAATATTAGTACTGAGTTTAGGGGCTGATTCTGGAGGTCGGAGGAGAGAGATTAGCAATGAAGTAGAGGGGATCATGAGACGACACCCATTTATACCGAAGAAAGAAACCTCTCACAGATGTCTAAGGCCAGCTATTGTAATTTCAATCCGTACGCCCGGAAGCCAGCTTGTCTTTCAGGGCCTGAGTGATGCTCTAAGGGTTAACCTCACCGGTACCTCCACGTAGAGGTGAGGACAACATATGACCCCACAGCTAAAACCTCTTCGAATACGAAGGGAAAGGGGTATGCAAATCCCGTTCTTGATGTAATTCATAAGATTATGAGGCGGGTGTATGATGTTGAATATGGTGGCTTCGTCACAGATTATCACTCGCTTCCCCCCGTTTTCTCACTTCCGGCCAAATTATTCTCCTCTCCCGAATCATTTTGCAAAATAAGCAAAGAGTTCCTCACCACACCACCTTCTTGGGTATAGAACGCACTCCGCTGAATGACACAGATATGCTCCGCAGAACGCCCCCCATAATACACCTCTCAAATCCTTCTTCCAAATATCGATTCTCAAGATGTGGCCTAGGAGCTCGACGGGGAGAAATATATAGCCGGGTTTGGTCGTGACGGATCTATGTATAATCTCATGTGGTCCATGTGGACGAGTGTCCTTGCGTCTTTGCCTCGCGAGAATGTCCTCGATGACATTCAAGGATAATGGTCCAAAAGGGATCTCGAGGACACTAATCTCTCCTCGAGAACCCCGAGGACACTTATTAGCATCGACAGCAGCGGTAATGAATTTTGAGCACGGCCAAGGATAAAGGCCAACAAAGACGAGGAACCTCGACGACACCGTCAAACCTCGCCTTGTGGACCACACTGGTATAATCCTACAGGAACAGGTGCCAATGGAGAATAAGTCAGCCAAGTTAGTCAAAAAAAAAAAACATGCTCCACAGGTACCTTGTTTATGCAGTATTTCAGGACTTGATTGGTAAAGTGTAATTCCATGCTAGAAGCATGTATTTACATCTTACACCCGCCAACTAGATATTCCAAATGATAGGGCTTAGATGAAAATCTAATTTTATTTTTCGCTTAGCTAGCTGCATTGTTTTTAGTTTCGGGAGAGCGTTGGCATTCACTGCCCCTCCAAAACCAGTTCATTCAGTGATGTGGCATGTGCATTACCTTGAATGTGGTTCAAGTTCAATAGAATCTACTAATTGTTAATGAGATTAGCTAATAGTAGTTTCGCTGAATGCAGTACCCTTGCCAGTCCTTAGTTCGTCGAAAACGGTTAGCCGATCGTCCAAGACATCCGTGCGCAATTATTTGCAGGGCACGTGCCCTCCTTCACAACGACATCCGGCTTCGGAGATTCAAAGATTTATTTACTGGCAGATTTCCAGATACGTAGAGCAGAGATATGAGCCATCATGGTGTATTGAGAAATGCACCGAGTAGATAAAGTGATTCAACTTGTCACTTGGGTCTATTTAACCCGAAGACGGTCGGAAAACCTAATACTTATTAAATTCGGGAGACTGTCTTTAGGCCTGAAAGAAGTGATAAAGAAGCTCTGCATGGCTCCGGCTCAGATTCTACTGTTCCACCGTATATACAAGCTTCACACGGGACTGAATGAAAGTCAAGCTGAAGATGTAAATCTTCGGATAAGGAGACCGTTGAGATAGACATTGGGTGGCCTATTTGCTCAACGCTTACTTAGTACCCACAGCGAACAAATTAAGGGAGACACAGTCCATATTTTGGGAATCTAGGGCGTCTATACGAACTCGCCGCACCCAATGTAGCGCGGACGTTGTGAATTTCTTTCTAGAGACGTAAGTGGATCTGTACATGAGCTATACATGCACCCTCCGAGATGGCAAGCGGCGTCTACTGCACATGATATATCAGGGATATGTCAAGTTGCGCTGCTCCGACGGACCCGGACGAAAGTGCGTTCTCTAATGAACTAGTGGTTTGCTGCTGATTCTGCTAACGCTTTAATGTATACTTCTAGGCCTCATGTAGGTCTGCTTTCACCCCCTTCCAGTAGCTTGAATAACATCTGTTCGAAACAGATTAAGCTTTTTGCCTACTTGGACGAGCACATGCGCAAGTAGACAGCAGAAATGCCAAGTTCTCATTTTCGCCGCTCGCACATACCCCACTGCTCTTCCATCAATCCCTTTCTTTTCCTGAATCCATATTCTTTCCTTCTTCTCCCTACACACCATCCGCTCATCCTAATCATCTTCTCTTCGCGCTTCTGTGTTCCCTCCGCAGAATCGTGTTTCTTACTATTCGTCAATCAAACGCTCCTCCCCATTTGCACAAAGAGCATCCTGTACGATGATTTAGAATCATTCTTTCTAACTTACATCTTGGTATCTTGCTAACCAGAGTTTGTTTTTCAGAACTACATTCAAGAAACACGGGTGATCATCAGCCGCAAGCGATCTAAACATTCTTTGTTCGAAATAAACACCAGAAAGAACTCTATAGTTCCTTCCTGGTCGCCGTATACTATCTTGTATGTTGTTCACTGGATAGTTCGTTTTAAACCCGCTTCTATTTGGCTAATTATTCATCTAGGCTGCTGTCGAGGGTCAAGGATCAGCAGCAAAGGTTAGGTTGTGATTCTTGGCAAGTGGAACGGTTTGTATGTTTATCCATGAGAATCCGCTATTTCAGATTTTATAAGGCAACTTGCTAACGTACGTTCATAGGAGGTATAACCGTTCCACCCCGCTAGGAAAGAAATCAGAGAAAATAAATATTACGGCAGTCTACTCACATATATCTTAGAGCGTAGTGCCTTAGCGTATGTTGGTTTTAGAATCTCCTTTTTCTTCCCCTCATGATCATGTTCCTCTAACGATTTTCAGGCGTACCTCTCAGTATCCAGATCAGATACAGACATTATCCAGTGACAACCTGCAGCTGGGATTGATCATCGTATTTCAAACACCAGGTTTTGTATGTTTCATACCCCGAATAGCCATTCTATACCCCCATTTCTATTGTATATCACTGACCAGTGTTTCTATAATTGTTAGTAATAACAAACAATGCTGTCATTCAAGATTGATAATGAGCATCAAATTCCCTCCGCTGCTCCGACTCTCACGAGGAAACAGAGGACACGCAGGCGTCAGTCACGTTACATGAACGGGAACAAGGATTCCAGTGCCCTATCTCCGCGTCCTCATACTTCTCCTTCTCCTCTGGCTCCCCCTCCTCCAGCTCCCCTTCGCTCGGCTCTTCCAAAACCAGTTGTACAATATTCTCTTCCCGAGTTGCTATTGCCGCTACCTATGTTACCCATCGACGAACACATCTGCGAATCCTACACTGCCCCGTCTCCTGAAAAGGTCACTGCCAGTCACATTCTGAATCTCTCCAAGGATGGAGATAGTTCTTTGTGTAACAAAAAGGCTAGTAAGGGGAAGAAACGCATGCGCACTCGCACTCGCACCTCTAAGCCAAAATCTTCCAAGGACCTTGAGCCAAACTCCTCCACGTCTGTCGGTAATTCTCAAGGTGAAGCTACTGAAGGCGTGACTAAATCCACCAGCAATGATGAAGCAGGAGACTCACTCGTTGTCAATGACACAAGTACAACCTCCGCCCCGGCCCCGGCTCCGACCCTGGCTCCGGTTACAGTTCGAGAGAGATGGATTCCGAACTTCGACTGGCTCCCTTGGTGGCTGCCTAAGTTTGCTATTAAGAGCAGACTCAAAGCACCGAGAATGGTGACTGTTACTCTTCGACAGCAACCACAGCAAACTAATAGCACCACTAGTGCTGTTACTGTCCCGCAGCAGCAGCCCCAGCAGCCCCCACAACAGCCTCAGCAGCAAAAAAATAGCGCTATCGGCCCTGTGCAGGCAAACACTAGCAAAAAAAGGCGTATCCGGAAGCTCCGAAACAGGAGGCCCCTTTCTCTTGAAGAGCAAGCCGAGGCTGCTAAGGATGACGCCAGAACCGCTTTGTGGAACGAAAGCTGCAAAACCGCGAAACGCGTCACTATCGGGAGGTACGGTAAAGTGCGTTTTTCCAGTGTTGATACGCTTTCTAATGAGGAATATGCCCATTTGACCTCAAAGAATCGCTAAAATCAAAACTACCAGCATCTCCTGGAAAATACAGAGGAAACTGGACTAGGATGCTGCAGGAGAAGAGCTGCATGGGGTGTGTATCTCGGGGATAAAAGTTTTCTTCTTTCTTTTTTCTCTTTTCTTTTTCCTTTCCTTTTTTGCTCATATTTGATCGTCCTCTTCACTTACTTTACTTTTAATGTGCATGTCTAGGAGCATTCTAATTTCCTATATTTTCAAATTTGTCTCCGGTACTTACTAGTTGGAGCTATAATTGCGGTTGGTCTTTGTCTGTTTTCATATATCCTGTAGCTTCTATAGCCTAATTACATGTACGCTTGTTATTACCTCGTGTGAGGTGATATAATAAAACTTCTGGCTTTAAAACTCATTCTACAAAGGTGTCTTTGGTGGCCAAGTCTCCGCCCGAAGATAGTGGTATCTCTACCATCATCAAAAAGAATCTCAGCTCACCAAATCCTATAGATCCAGAATTACAGCAGCGTGGAACACCTCCGGATCTTAAAAGGCATTAGTGATTGTTCGAGCCACACGCAAAAGAGAGGATGAGAGAAAGGCTATTCATGCCTTTCATATTGAATTCCGTATAAATCTAGCCCTAATTTAGGTATATGAGTATTGGGTAATTCCAAATTGAGAGGGACGGTCTTCCCTCTTTTATTGGGCTGTTAAGAATGCCCTAAAACTAACAACCTAGCATAAAAGAAATTGAACCATAATTCTAGCTCTCTCCTATTGTCATCTCTACCCGATCGCGTACTGCCGTTGCCGTCTCTCCTCGCCCTATTCATATAGTAATTCTTAACCCATGGCCAATGATAGCGTCAAATAGTCCATAAACCCAGAGCACATCTGGAGAGATTGAGACCAGCAGGTATTCCAGATCAGACGGTCCCTCCCCCATGCTTCATAAACCTCTCTGGGCATAAATAACCGCCCCCCCAAAAAAATTCAGCGTTCAATGATTCCTTAAGATAGAAAAGGTCGTAAACCGACTGAAATTCATATCCAACTATTTACCGTAGCTGTATTGAAGAGATACTATAATAAGAATACGATTCTCTCACGGGCTGTAAAACACAAGCCGGTCTTCTGTCACACACTCAATTTCTATGGGGTGACAACAATGCGGTAAGGTCTGACCAGGATATGAAGACATCAAAGTAGCACTTGCTCTATATCACACCCGGAATAAATTAGTGGGCGATTTATAGGGCTGGGGAGCGGGAGTGTGTCTTTACCTTTTCCCACTTCATCTCTACCAGTGCCCTCTCACCTCAAAGCCCGCAAGATAATACCCGACTCCCGTAACCTTCAACCCAGGATATATCTTGAACCAATGTTCTCCGTGATATCTATTGAGTGAGTAGAAACCAGACTCTTTCCACAACGCAAATGGTTCGTCGGGTTGTAAAATAGGTTGTATATTTCCTTGCAGATCTTTCTCATGACACAAATTCCACCTGTGATGTCGATACTCCATTATTGGTATACACTTCTCTTCTCGTGAGACTAAGACCAAGCCCGCTCCTTCAATTCTCTCTATTCTCAGTCAGTTTTAGGTGTTTCGATATATGGGATTTCAAATAGGACTGTCCGCTTTCCTACCTTTATACGCCGATCCTCTAGGAATAGGGGAACATGATACATGGTTATCACCACTAAGTTTATCATGCTATAGTGGCGGGATGTTTGCTATCATTGACGGAAATTGAACGAAAACACCTTTGACACGGCCTGTGAGGTGCTTCCTACCACATCATGGATCGAGACAGCATAGCTCAGCAAATCCAAATGGGATTACTGAATGCAGGTTAGAAGCTGTATAGATATTGATCTCCGTGTTGATCATACCCAGTGATGCTGAGTATCTTCTAAAAAAAAAAAAGGTCCACAGGCTTTGCAGCTATTTCTCTCCAATCCACGATGGTGGGCCAACGCAACCAGTGACCGAGGGAGGCTAGATCATAGTGAAGCAGGCCGTGGAAGAGAACCACCGGACAGTAAGACGTAGAAGCCGTCATAACTGAGGCTATGCAGTAGGTGAATACCGAAAACAGGAGAAATGCCGTGACGGATGGAATAGGTCTCTAGATAAAGCCCGGCAAGAACGAATTTTCCGTTGTCATTTCGTGGTGGAGGGAATTTTTAGATATTGTTGCGAGTGTTTGTGTATGTGGGTGTTGTGGGATAGTGTGGTAGTGAAGGTGGTAGGGTACATGTAGTGAGCGTAGTGAGTGGTGGGGTAGTGGTAGACTCATTTCGGTGGCCTGATATGTAGGTGGTGGGCGCCATTGCACATGAAAACAACCTAACAACACTTTATACAGGCTCATTCACAACCACACCACCACCACCACCACCACTACCGACCAAAAAAAAAAAATCTTTTAATCCAAACTAATGGCGACCACACACCTCTCAACACCTTCGCCTGGAGCTGCTACCGCAGTAGACTAAATTCAACGACGGAACCGGGGGTCATCAAAACCAGCAGGTAAAAATCAAAGTAACATCCCCCCCCCCCCCCCCAATAGTCTGATAAATACACTTGATCGATACGCAAATACTAATATCGTCAGTCTGCATAGGTCAACGAGAGAGATATCTCTGAGAATTATTGCAGAATACTCCCGCCCAATTAGTCTATTCGACTACTTTAAATTTATGTGGAAAGAAGTCTTATTTGGGGGTTAAAGTGGGGTAACGCTCTGGTTTTGGGGGGGTATATTCTTTGGTGGGGGTTTATGCTTTGATGTTCCCTCTTTAGAATCATCCCAATCTGGGGGGGGGGGGGGGGGCGACGCACGAAAGCCTACCTGAAACATTAGCCGCGATAAACAGCTGAGAATACAGATGTCATGGCTGTGGTGGATTCATGATAATCTTGAAGTAAGTGGGATTGCAGACCCTGGGACATTCGCCAATATGACGAAGAAGGCAAGAGGAGGGGGATAGACGTTAAAGGGACAGCCGGGTGTAAAGATCTTTACATAAAGGAGAGCTTGTCTTTCTCTTTTTCCTCTGGAGATTCACGGCTCCTTATATATGTTTCTATATTCCCAGCGGCAGCCTTTCTCTCGATATTTGCACCTTCTATGCTTATAATTCTTAATATATTTATCGTTTGGGCACTTCCTAAACTCATTGTTGATGTTTTTTTCAATCTTAGCATCTACGTTTGAGAAGAAAGAAATCTGTCTGGACTCTGGCCTGGCTTAATATCGCAATATCTTAGGGAACTCTGCAGCTGCTCAAGCACACCCTGTATCCTCTTCTCCCTCGAGTTGATACATACATGACCCAATAGTATTACCAGGTTACAAAAATAAGTACGCACCCCGCATAGCAACCAGACACGATTCTCAATCCGTTTCATTCCGGCCATGGACAAGAGTACTACCTATAGTTCTCTAACTCTCTAGATTCATAGATATAGAACCATCTTCCCCATATCTATTGTGACTGTCGAAATATACCTACTCTGACGGTTGATAGTTGTCGTTGGTGCGTAGTTATTTTTGTAACCCGACAATACCTTGTTCCTCGAGATTTTTCGCCCTACCTGTGCCCCCGTCTTGGAATCTCCGTTGAATAAGATTCTGTGAGATCTCAACTTGTACAATCCACTACACATCTCCCAAAAAAGAAGCCAAAATCCCCGCTACTCTCGTTATCAGATATTGATCAAACAATAACTCCAATTTGATATATTTACTGCGGAAAGCTTCACTCAAGCACTGGAGCTTAATTCCTTTACCTACCACCCTGACCATTTACTCCGAAAACACAACAAAGCGCCAATATTTTTTGAAGGAAAGCTTAATGGTGTATTATTACTATTTCCATTCAAGATAGAACCCCTTCCCCAAACGCCCAACCACTGACCTGACACCAACAACCCCCAAAGAAATACCAGAGAAACCTATATCCTGCCCCCAAGCCTGTGCGGTGCGGAACCCTGTCGTGTTCGAAACTCTAAATGAAACACCTGCCCATTAGCATTCCAACACCACCTTCCCCACAACAAATGAAAAAAAAGCACATACAAACCCCCCCTCCCCCACCCCCCTCTCTACATTCCAAACACCGTAACACTCCCCCTCCCGCCCACCTTCACATTCCACGTCCCAGCCGCCAACACCTCCCCACCCTCCCCCCACCTACAGCTCCTCGCAATATCCGCCACCAGCACCGCCACCATCCCACACGGATGGCACCAGCCCGCCTCACCACAGATGACAGCCTCCGCATTGCCCACCCTGCGCAGCGTGCTGCACTTGGCCGCGCCGTGCTTCTTGACGCAGCACGCCCGCCGCTTTGTGATCGAGACGCTGAGCGCTGCCACGTCGGCCGCGCCGGGGCTGTTGCTGGCGCCCTGGCACTTCTTGGCGCTGTGCGGCGTGAGCCCGCCGAGTTCTTCGAGGGTGGGGTGGAGGTGGCCTGCGGGGATGGTGCAGCGGCCGAGGAAGGTGAAGGGCGTGAGGGTGGTGGCGGTGGTGTTGTGGGGGCGGAGGACGGCGGCGGTGGTGAGGGTGGTGAGGAGGAGGAGGAGGAGAAACTTCATGGTGATTTGACGGTGTTTTGGTGATGATGGGCGTGTGAGTGGTGTGTGGGGTGATTTGAGCGGAGGAAGAGGGCTATTGTGTGATGTGTGCGGTGGTGATGGTGGTGGTGATGGTGGTGTGCAGACGGATACTAACGTCGCATGGTTGCATCCGTGCGAGTGACGCCTGATGAAGCTGGGAAACAATTGAATGGGCGACCCTTTTTCCTTTTCTCTCCCTCGCTGCCCGCGACAGACAGGCGTTTTAAAGTGCGGTGCCTGGCTGGCTTAGGCACGCTATCGGGCCGGATATGGAATGTTCCGATGGCAACGCTAATCGAACACCTGGGTGTGGACCCTGGCCCTGGAGCTGAGACTTTGTGGGGGAGACCGTTGCAGTTGCAGCCACCCGCTCGCTCACTCACTGCACTGGGTGTGTACTGTTTACCCGGATCCATCACTATAAATACCTCCCTTCCCTTCGATTCGCCCTGAGCTGCGATTTGCACTTTTGCAACAAACACCCCCGGCGACGGTCCGCGTGACCATGCATGCGCCAGTACTGTCATGAGGATATTTGTTTATTCTACGCGCGCTGTGTGCTATCGTTATCGGTATGCCTTTGCTCATTTCAATTTTCTCTTCTCGCCAAATTGGTCCCGCGGGAGTCACGGGTCCCCCCCCCACCCCCCTTGCGCTGCAACAATCATTACCTCTACTCTATGTAGCCTATATGCATGTCACCCAGGGGTTTCAACCACCAGCGATAACCAAAGTTTTCAAAACCGGTTGTCGCGCGACCATCTCAGCGAATTGATTGGAGCGCTCTTGATTGGCGGGTGCGACGACGTCTCTTGTGTTTGTCATGGTGTGCTGTGCTGTGTCAGCAACAAACAGCTCCATAGACCGCATTCTCGTGCCAATGATAAGTAAGCGGTCGGTGTAGTATAGTGGTTAGTACTTCTCGTTGTGGTTTCACAGGGTTTCACCCCCTTGTCACTTCGGCTCCGAGAGGACCCATGTTCGATTCATGGCACCGACACTCACAGTCATTCTTTTTGGACCATCATGGACATTGTTCAGATTGAGGGTTGACAGTCGTTTTATTTGTTGATTGTCGATAATTGGTTGTTGGGTCTGCGTGGTGGTTGGAAGTTGAGAAGAGTTAGGCTCGGCGTGGTTGTTACTGCAGACAGGTGGTGCTTGCTCTTTGCAAGACTTTGCTATGCCTCGCGATTCAGCGACAGTTGAATTGCGCGCATTCTTGTCTCTTCATGTGCTGCTATATATCTTGCAAACGATATTCATTTTTGCCATACTCCCCGTTTTCAGCACACCTCCGCGACTCCGTCGGGTTCCGAGAGATATACACGCAACCACTCAAGTGACTGGCGTATCCCGAGGTTGCAAGAGTGAGTTTGAGATTATTGTAGACTATCAACCTCTTTGTCTTTTGAAAAATTGACACGAAGCTTGCTGGTGAGGAGCGGTATGTTGTAACTGTACTTCATTGGGTGAGGTTGTTGGGGTCTGGGGATGGGTTTACTGTGGTTGTGGTTGTTAGGGTGTTATCTCTGAATTGGGAGCCGAGCCTGGGGTTCTTACTGTAATTTTTTCGGTATTGCGCCCTGAGTTTTCCTCTGGCGGGTTGTGGTCGATATGTACACAGTTGCTGTATGAAAGCGCAAGTAGTATTTAGCATGCGAGTAAAACCTGCTGTCTGTATGTGTTTTGGGGGTGCAGGGGCCGGGTTATAAAGGGCCATGATAGGCGGTGATTGGCGGGGTGTAGAGCTTCATTCTGAATGAAGAGTCTTGAGCTCTCTCGGACTGGGATCGTCTTGCGCGCAATACAGGTATTCCGGCGCTCGAGTCTGCGTTCGCACAATCATCTCGTAGCTCAATCCTTTTCAACGCCTCGCCCGAATCCCGCAAGGAAGCATTGAGATTTTAAAGAGTGCGAGCTTACCGGTATGTACTGTACGTGCTCCGAGCCCGGTAACATCACACCCTATAGGCGAATTTCCATCGCCGGTGGTATTTGACATGCCGCTGAAGGTGCCGAGCTTGACCGAAATTCGGTAGAGATGAGGCGACGCTGCGAAATGGATAATTGCAAATTTGTTGTGGTGGTGGGGCTGGTGGGATGGTTGTTGTGCGCGGTGCATCACAGTAAGCTTATTGCTATGTATGTAGCTGGAATCTCACACCGTCTACCAGGAATGTGTATGGATTGCCTTGCAACCGGGTTTATCTTGCAATGTCTAAATTGGACATCATTTATGAATACTTTCATACATATTCTGGTTTTTGTTGGTATGAGTGTGTCACTTTTTGTGGTTTCGAGTTATACTCATATACCAGCTCGATTCAAGGAAACAATTACACAGGCTTTGAAGTAACTGTATGAACGTAGTCCTAACAACTTGATAATATCATTATTACTCTCTCCCTAAATGATATTGAAACTTTTGAACGCCAGAACATGAGTCTGTGTTTACTACATGTCCCGTAAAGAATGCCACTTTTCGAATTTGTATCCTCCATATAAGTCCTTAATTGCTGTGCGTTTGCTTGAAACCTTCGTGAGCTCGTGACGCGGGGTATATGCCCGATCTTCTTCTTCTTCTTCAGCTGAAATCAACAGTATTGCCAACGAGCTCCAACACATGTCGCCTTTTCCTAAGATATATCTAAAAGCACGGCATTGTTAGATAGTACGTAGCCACAAAAAGCACCCTTGAAATACAGCACCTCTCCATCCATCCAAACACTCACAAGTCCACAATCCCACGGTATCCCGTTAACCCCGCGCTTTCACCACACCTGCATCATTTTAATTCTTCAACAACAGCTCATCCAGATTCTTCTTAAGGCCCTTCAACTTATCTCTATTCTTCTCCATCGCCTCCCTCGTCTTGGCGCGCTCCGCCGCCAGGTAGAAATGATACAGCCCGGCCTCGTCGTGCTTGAGCATCTTGAGCGACAATTCGGCGTCCTTCAGCTCGAGGGCATTGTGGCGCTCCTGATGGTGCTCGAGCTTGATGCGGAGATGGTCGATTCGCGTCTGCAGGAAGCGCATGTTGAGGAGCGTGATTGGTGAGGGTGAGACTGTGTCGGCGTACTGGAGAGAGGAGGAAGAACTGGAGAGGGCGATTAGAGCGAGGGACATGGATTGCTTGGAGGAGGAGGTGGAGGTGGAGGTGGGTGTGGAGAGTACTGATTTAATTGCGGGTGAGAGGGACATGGTGCTTATATGGTGCGGAGGAGTTGGGGGTGGTTGAAAGTTGCGTGGAGAAGGTGGAACTTGATGGTTTTGGGTGATGGGATGGGTGAACTTGAATAGGTTGAAATGAAGTTGAAAGTGAGTGAGAAGGGCTGTCAATAGGGAAGTGATCCCTGGACAGTGGATTTAGTCAGAAGTACATGGATCAGTTGGGTGTATCCTGGTCCTTAGAGAAGCGGTTTTTTCTATATATCAAAATGTCAATTCTGCTTTGTTCTCTAGCTGGAGTTCACCCGCTTTGGCATTCCAGATTGGGGGGTTTTGCGGGTTATATATTGGATTTCATATGTATATATACACTAACTTACTGGTAATCTTAAGAGATTGCCATGTCCTCGTAGGACATCCAAGGTCCTAAGCAGCTTGAAGAGTTCTCTATACTATTGGTGGTAACATACAGGTATTACTGCAGTACTCTTGCTGCTGTCTTTGCTAATGTTAATCGACGGCTAGCATATTCCAATATTACAGGGGGCTTATATACCAGGAAATTGGCAAGCAGCCATGACTTTAGCACAATCGAACCCACCTCCGAGTACATCCCTTCCCTGCTTTCAAGTGTAAGTGTGTTTCCCCCGAATGCATGAAGCAATATACATGTATTTCTACATGTGTATCGTTCGTAGATACTCAAATGATTCCACACTCAGGCTTCATTCCTTAACTTTTCACTCACGACAAAAATGCTAAGAGTTATTATGATAGTTTCAAACTCTATCCTATACACACCTTAGGTACTTATACGAAAAGTTATAGGAATTGAGAAAGTACTACACTACTATGTAGCTTCAATTGTATGTGTAAGCCGCATTACGGTAGAGCGGACACCGCCTGGTCTGAAAATGCTGCCTACAGTTACAAGTATCCCGCTGCTCTCATCTTGGCTCCGGATCAACGTTTTTCCAGCCTCTCAAGATGCACATAATCTCTTCACAAACGGCCGAAATGTGTATGGAAAATGATAGTAATTTCTTCCTCGAGCGGAGATAGCTCACTGTGACTTGACTCCAAATGGACGGTGCGGTTGATACATTTACGGAAAATTTAACAGAAAGACCACGAAGTGTTAGGACTCGAGCTGGCCATACTAAGTGTTCTTCTCTCCAGAAAAACATACAAATACCAACTTTGGAAACCCCACTGGTCAACTCTACCGAAACCCACATCATGACCAAATCCTGGAACCCTCACGTCTCCCATTACAAAGCTACCCTGACTATGCACACTGTCAACTCTCGTGACAGAAGCCCTTTTTCGTCGATCGGTGAGTTTTATCACGTCCTGAGGGTTGGGGGGAACCTGGCTTTACGTCATAAGACTACTTGAAAGACATACACTGACCTATGAAAACCAGAAGCACTTGGGGAGGCCTTGAGGAGGACCCCACCGCCAGCATTGCCGGCACGAGATGAAAATGCATCTCCTCCCCCGGCGACCGACCCTTTCTACCTTCCACGTCTAGGCAAAACGCACGCCTCTGACATCCATCTCTACGAGCGCTTTGTGGGATGGTACGATTTCTGGAACATGCACAAGCGCATATTCCTCAAGTATGGCTATCTCGACAACCCTCTCTACGAGGTCATCAACGCCGCCGACATCGACTCGGACCATCTCCCTAGCCTTTGTCAAGTCCCCTCAATCCTCCACATGCAGTCGGCGGTCAGGGATCTCTGCTGGAATGAGAAGTCACGCGTCACCAATGTTGCGAGAGGGGGGCTGAATAGGCTCATCATCTGGGTCGAGATTAACCGTGTGGTTTGGCTGCCGAGAGATTGGTTCGAGAATTTGAGGGTGGAGGGCGGAGGGGTTGTGGGGAAGGATAACGGAAAGAGGTACATTACTGCGTGTACAAGTAAGAAGGATAAGTGGTATGCCACGAAAAGGGAACAGCTTGCTGGTTTCTCTATCCTCAGCACTCGGCCTTCGGTGACAGGAGCCTGAGGATTCCTGCAATGAATCTACGGAGGTGAGGGTTTGTGTTGGTGTACAAAGGAGGTGTTCTGTTCTTGTGGGTTAGAGTTACATGTAATCGTATTGGTGGCCCTTTTCGTTTCTCCCCCTCTTAACCTTTGTATTCTTCCTTACCTCTTCCCCGGTTTAGTGTAACTAATACGCATCTCTCCCCTTCCCCGACATTAGAGTAATATTAGTACTGGAAGTCTTTGTGGAAGTTTACATAAAAAAATTATACCTGTACTGCTCATATCGATTTTTCCCCCGGCCCTTGAAAGAACAAAAATGTTTAAATTTATAGATACAATTACAATCGACCCCAAGCTTCTAATAAACCCCTGACTTATTTTATAACAGAAGGTCCAAATTTTAGTGAGAGATCAAGCAATTGATAAAGATAAGTGAGCGGCTGGGCGCACTATTGGCACTACTTAGTTTTAGGTCGGGCGGTATTTTCGCCATGTATGCACACAGTTGCAACGTCTATCCAAACCCACAAGGGTCAATGATCACGATCCAACCCAACCCTAACCCTGATGGTTCAGCAGTTAAAATAAATAAAAGGTGATTTCAGGGGAAATGAGTAGAAGCATATCTTTTCGAGAGTCCATAATCATGATCCTTCGAGTCAGTTGGCCACCGGAACGAATGGTTGTTCGATAATAGTACACTACAGGTAGGATTTCCGTGCACTCCGGCGTGCGCATGTATGCAACAATCGAAAGTTACGACACCCGTTTACATATAAGATTTTTACGTAGAATACCATGTTTCTTTTGCATACACTTTTTACTTCAAGTTTATACTAGTAAGAGATCGTAGATCCAGTGCACAGACATACTAGCGTCGTCAATAGCGCCCCCACCATACGGTGTTGTGGGCCATCTATCCTCTCTCCCTCAACTACCGGCCTACCTCCCGACCCTAAAGCCAGTACCATCACTACATGTATCTATCTTCAACCCGTGGATCTTCGGCCCGATCTTTGATACCCAGCTCAGAAGCCTAACATGACCTCAAAAACTATCCCCAGACTCAATTACACAATTAGCCAACCCAGCCTTCTAGCCAGCTTCAAGTCTACACTTCGATTAATGTCGGTCGCAGCATGCGGAAACGTTATCCTTGAGCACAGAATGTAAGACTCCAAATAAAGACTCGAATGCCAGGCTCGAAGCTCAAGTACCAGCTTCAGACATAGCTCTTATTAATTGTTCGCTACAAATTAATCTCAGCATGCGGCTCATGAATCCAGAATCTCTTCTCGTACACCTAGATGAATTCCACATTCTTGAGTCCTTTGGTACGAGTATGTGAAGAAAGGAGAACCTTCACGGTGAATATAATTCTATTCATTAGCATCGCATAGTTTTCACAGAGAATAAACCATAGTCGACCAGTTAGATCCCTAGCTGCATTTTATTACTTTCACAATGCTGAAATGCAATTAAAGAAACACAAATAACATTTTGAAGCTTTGAGTACAGGTAAAGATCTCCGAGTGTCACCGCATCAGTCAAGATGGAGATATATGCTTTGTCAGCGGCACCAAAAGGTTTAGGGCATTATCAGACGGCCTCAGGATCTCAAGCCCCTCCAGAGAAAAGGCAGGAAGAGGCTTTATCTATTACCGCTAACCTAATTTTCATCCCCACCCAAGACTGCTCTCGGCCGGCCATCGTCGCTTTAGTCGACCTTTGTTTTCCTGCGGCTCAACTCGTTAGCCGAGGATGGAGAAAGCCCATAAACACATAGAAACATTGATTCTCATAATGGCAAAGGCCACAGGGATAGAGCAACCGTGCTGTGGATGGCAAAGCCGGTATGAGTTATTGACGGATTATGCCTTCGCTCATAAGAGCTCTCTATATAGATATAGCCTTCGCACTTTCCCTCTCTATATTCATTATATACTCCTCATTTTCATGAAAGAAATATTCCTCAAAACCTTTGAGGATAACGGTTCGATCTCTACTGATATTTATTAGAGTAGGAACGATCATATCGACGCATAGAGCAATGAACCTCTGTCTTTGTGCCCAAAATTGACGTTTAGATTATTGGGCACAAAATCGCACCTAAGTATGCTGGTCGTATATTTCTCTGGCATATCATACTTAGCGGAACTAGGGACTGTTACTATCTTTTCTCAGTTGTGAGTTTGCTCTTATTTTCCAGGCTGGCTTTTGCAGTCTTACTGAATCGACGGTAACTATCCGGATCCTCTCCCGCTCCGAGACTCACTTTCAGCCTTCACAAGACAGACAATTGAAAGTTCGATGCTACCAATGGCAAGGGCGTCAGTTATAAGGTCTTTTATCCACACGCCCTTGTTCCTATACTAGAAACATCACAACCTCACGGCTAATTCACAACCTGATACAAATTGCAGCCTAGAAATATTTCAATATTCTATCTCCCAATAGCACTCTCCTCCCAATTGCACTGAAGCCATTCAGGTCACCTAATATCGCGATCTTGGTTTTCTACACCTTTGTAGATCCCATACTCCCTCTCGGAACCCATTCCCCTTGTAATAAGGCCCTCAATGCTAATCGCGATGGTTTATAGCGTAATGTGTGTGCCTCACCTTTGAAGGGCTTTATTTTGCACACAATTGAAGATTGCGGCACCATCTCTTAGCATTAGTACCTTGAAAAAATACAAGTTTCTTTACTAGACATCAATCCGTTGTGGTGTAATGGTTAGCATCAGTCGCTCTCATGAAAATGATCCGACTAGATCGGGGTTCAATTCCCCGCAACGGAAGATATCTTCTCTTTTGCTCTTTTATTTTTACCAGATTTGACTAATTAGTCTTCACAAGTGGGCGTTTGGCGGACCAATGATCGTGGAGCGCGGGAGTGCTAGCGCTAGCACTAACGCTATCTTAGCGGTTTTTTTTAGCGGAGAAAAACTTTTTTCATTCGAAGGTTTTGGAGATCCTATCAGAGGCAATTTGCGATGTATACCTCGACTTTGGGGATTGTTTCACTATCGAAAATTCCTTCTTCGTGAGGTCCTTTCGTGAGGTTCTTTCGTGAGGTTTTTAGATTTACCGAAGCAATCGTGGTCAATCTCGTAAGAGCATGAATCTAACCATCCAAAGTTTCAACCCCATAAATCTAGGTCTCTTTCAACACCAAGAGCGGGGCCTTGTGCGCTGTGCGGCAGCTCAGCGAAAGCATGTTGTGGTGTGGTCTATCGTTTTGACTCTCCTCCTAGACAAATATGCGCCAAGTCACACAAATCGAGTGAGAATACATGATTAATATGCCCTGAGAACGCACTACTCGCCAAACAATGCCTCAAAATCACGATATCCAGCGTCATATGTTCATGGTCTTAAGTCGGGGGATAAACGCCGAGAGAGCGGCCCCGAAACCCCCCCAGCAGCGCTAGTTACTAGAATTGGTTGTGAGTTTTTCTCATCTCGGGATCTTGAGCTCCTGGGCAACCTTGTTACCAGTCTATGCGAACCCACTCAAAACCAAAAACACAGAACGACCGTCCAACACCACCCAAGATTTTCTTTCAACTCCCACGCACCCCATCGAAAACGCAGACTCTCCATTCCTCCATTCATTTCATTTTGCAGTGTTCTCCCCAGACACAAGAGGCTCTTATTGCTATTCTTGGCAGCGCCACCAACTTTCGGCAATCTCCGTCCACCCCAAAATTTCTCACGATGCCATCCATACCGGGAAGCAGTGCAGCAAAAAAGATCTCTCTGGCGGGGAATTGAACCCCGGTCACTCGCGAGTTGGTTGACAAGCGAGTATACTAACCACTATACTACCAAAGACCGATTGATATCTATCCTCGTAAAGTTATGATTATATACGGCTTATTTTGATGCTATTGGACAGAAAGTTCACATCCATGCAGCACCGTCAGCGCGCATTTCTGTAATCGCCGAATTGAAAGCTGAATGAGGACAAATAGGTTTCTTCAATATCGTGTATATAGTAGCTTAAATAAACCTTAGGCTCGCTATACTGATAGCAGACCTCTATGCTGCTATTACGAGGATTCCTAAGTTCCCTCCTGTTCAGTCATGGCAATATTAGCCTACTGACTGGCGTTTTCATACGGAAAACTGTGAAAATCTGTCCTAATGTCGTATAAAGTTAGGATTCTAGTGGTCCTCCTAATTAATACATCATCATCATCTTCCTCTTCATCCAATAGCTTGGTCCTATCATTGGCGCTGGAATACACAATGCCTTTAAACAGCACGCAGCAAAGCCTATCCCACCTAGAAGCAATGGTTGTTCCGCATTCCATTCTGAAAGCAGTGCTGGTCTATCTTACAAGAATAGACTCTTATTTTCTGAAGTCGCAGCATCTTGTACGTAGTTTCCGTCAGATTTTCAGCAACTTCAAACTTTTCGCATCATTGATCAAGATCGAGCTCGTTGATGCTCTTTTGTCATATGCAATGAATATCCGTCCTCGCACTGCAACCGGTAGTGAAATGACTATGGTAGCCTTCTGCCTGTGAGCTGAGAAAGGCGGGCCCAGCCAAGTCGATTCTCTATCAAGGGGTAAGTACGTACTGGGGCGGCTTCAGATATTGGCATGTAATCCCCATATACTTAGTCGTGGGGTGTGGGCTTATCTCGCAAATCATTACAGCTCAAATGTTCCAGCAACGAGGGCGGCGCTATGGTCAGCTAGGCGCAGTAGTCCCTGTCGCTCCGTTTCATCGGCTTTTGCAAGCCACCGTATTGTTTCTTGTCTCTACCCGCCCCACCTATCATATCATGCAGCACCCGCCCATCGGCATCCGTGGACCATGAGAAAAGGCAACTCGCCAAAGATCGAGTTGAGCCCGGTGGAAGAGATAGAAGATCGGGAAACTTTCTTCCCTAGGTGTGATATGGAGTGTGTGTAGAAGCGGAAAGGTACACGTGTGGTTGAGGTGTTGTTTTACGTCGTGGAAATCCTACTAATGTGTGGAGCCAGGACACATGCTCAAAGATGTGGTTACGAATATTGGCTCTGGACGACTACTAAGGTTGGGGTACGGACGTACAAGTGGCTATGGTCTCCCTCTGCGTATCTAAGACCGGTGCCACCGTGCATGGGCAGTATAATTTGATGAGCGGCGATGGGATATAGAAATGGACATTTAAACCGGAGATGCGGTGGCAGGTACGTTTTATTGAAGTCATATCCTCTAAACTATAATCTATTCTCTTCTCTAGTCATGCCTCTAAATAACCAAAATCTCTAGAATTCCAAAGACATTACGCTCACCGTATCCGTCTTCTACCAAAATTCTCACTAGCTAGCTGGTACTCTCACATCCCATCTCCAGATCTAATTAGCACCATGAATCTTACCTCTTCCTCCACCAGATGTTCTACTCCTCTTCTTCCTCCTCCTCCACTCTCTCGAGAATAGTCGCCATCCTCTTCGAGGTATTAAACTCTATCCACCTCGACCAGAGACTCTTCTTCATGTATCTCAACCACTTCCGCCTCCGATCAGTGCTGTCCGGTGCAGGGTTAGGGTCGCAGAAGCAGCGGTCGAGACCAAAATCTGGACAGGAGCATGCGGTGGTGGGGGTTGCAGTGGTGGACATTCCTTTTGTGTGTATGTGGTGTGTTTTTTGAGTTATAAAGTGCAACCTTTGGATTTTGATTTTTGGACTTTTGGGCTTTTGGAGATTTTGGACTGTGTTTATGGATATTGTGATTTGGAAGCTAATGGTGACGGTGATAGTGAGGAATAAAAACAACAAGAAAAGAGAGCTGCAGACATTCTTATACTCTTACAGCGACAGTTTCAAGTAGTGGACTTTGAAGTCGATCATTCTGCAGGGGACTCCCTGACTACCAAAGCTTCATGATGAGTTTAGCTGGATCTTGAAAGATTGGAGTCGATACTTGAAAGCATCTCCATCTGTTGAAGATATCTTTGGGTCAGGTGTTATCGAAGAGGTTGAATCGGATACGAATGTTTCCTGGAACTTGCTCGTACGATCATGGGGGGTTTATTAATGAATTAAACGAAAAAGAAGAAAAAATCATGGGGGTTTCAGCTATGGACGCCGAGTGACCCATTATGATTAAATATACCTCTGCACGATAAGGATAAAACAGAGAGGAGATAGTACATATACAAGTGAGCACACTCTGATCTCGGCCATAGGCCAGCGAGAAGCTCCATATTAATGTAGTCACTCACTAGGAAAATAATAAATCCCAAAAGAAAATATTCCCGTCAATTACAGTACACACACATATCTACGTACATGCGCCCTTCCCCGCCAAAGTCTCGCGCACAAACGGCTTCAAATACTCTCCCACCGTACTGTCACTCCTCCACGCACTCCAATCATGGCTCATCAGCCCCCATGTATCATCCACATCCACGCCGCCACTCCTCACATAATAGCTGCCTGCTACCGCCCAATTCATCCACCCCGCCCTACGCTCTGGCAGGAACTCCTTGAGGCACTGTGCATACACGCCCTTCCACACGTCGTCATTCATCGAAAACCCAAACTCGCTCATAACCACGGGCATCGGATACACCACCTCGGGGTTCATGGTGTCGAGCGCGTTGAACCCGTTCGCATACAGGGCCTTCTTCATCTCGTGGCAGTTGGTGGTGTTGATGCGGTCGGACATGGTGTAGACGTGAATCTCCATGACGGCCTTGTTGGCCCAGGGGAAGTCGGACGCGCGGAAGATAAGGCTGTCGTTGGTGGTGGAGAGAGGGGTGCCGAGGGGGAGCGGAGCGAGCGTCTCGGAGTAGTTGAGGCCTGAGAAGTAGATGAGGACGTCGGGGCTGGCGGCATGGATGGCAGAGGCCGCGGCGGTCATGTGCTTGTACCAGTCCTCGAAGTCATATGGGAGGGGAACGGGGGAGACGGTTGACTGGCGCAGCTCGTTGCGCATTCCGATTGATACGAGGGATGGCCATTCGGGTGCCTATGGATTCGCTCCCATGGTCTCGTTAGCTCTACTGAACAACATCAATGAAGTAGGCATTCCAGAGCCATATCGGCCACCCACCTTCGCCGCCAGATACGCCAACCCGCGCTTCCACTTCTCAACATCGAAATACACATCCCCAAACCACGAATTCCCATCATGCGCGCCACAGCACCACTGCGCCTTCGACACATGATTATCCAGATGCAGCGCCACCTGCTGCCTCCCCATCTCCGCCGCCACCTTCCTCCACACCTCCAACCGCGGCATCTCTGCCGAAAAGTCTTTATTGCTCTTCAGCACGCTCTCGAGCACCTTCGTGCCGTTCGCCTGCCCAAGTGCGTTGACCAGCGTCTCTCGGAGACTGACGTCCGTGCCGTTGCGCTCAAAGATCTCGTCGACCATCTGGATCGCGAAGGTCAGGCGGACAGTGTTCATGCCCAGGCTCTTGATGCGCGCGATGATGGTCTTGTAGGATTGGTATTGCAGACCCTCGGGGATCATGGGCTCAAGGTGGCCCGGCCAGTTGGTACCAACAACGGTGACGGGGGTGCGGGTGGCATCGGTGATCCAGCGGCCTGAGGTACTGAGGGGGCGGTTGAACGCGAGGGCGCTCGTAGCGAGGGTGAGGAGCGGGAGAAGGGAGGGGAGATACATGGTGGATGTTCTCGCGGTGGTGAAATTGAGCTCTGGGAGATATACTGGCTTCAATTGAGAGCGGATTATAGTGGTCATATATAGCGTCCCCCACCTCCCCCCGCTCTGCCCCGGAAACCCGAATGAAAGAGCTACATCATACGACGCCCCACCTCACCGCCGCGAAATAGCCGTTATGCAATAAATAAAAAAATAACCTTATACACAATGCGGGGTTACCACACCGGCACGATCATCGACGCGACATCCGGGGGGACCTGAATGGCGTCCGGGGAGCATAAACGAGGGCCAGAGCAGCTGCTTGATTGATGCAGATCTCGGTATATTAGAACTCCGGGGTGGGCTTTTTAACCCGGGACCTTAACCATTCCAAGGATCTCTGTTTGTTGTTCCGGGTTCGCGATTGGTGGCGGGGGTGGGGGGGATGCAGGCAGGTAATATATGCTTCTTTTTAGGCTGGAGCCTGGGGGGTAATGATTGCTGGGCACGAGTGATTTGTGGTGAGTTTGCACGTGAGGGCAGGTGTTTTTGGCATGAGGTGACTGGGACATGGATGGGGATATGCATATGGCTGGGGTGAGTATCGCTATTCGGAATATGAGTGAGTCCTGGAGAAACACATCCAGACGGCTTGTCAAACCCACAACCCTTGGAGTACTGCGCCGTTTATCAAACAGCATCTGGACATAACTACATGTACATCGAACAGAACAGGAAATCACACCTGTTCAAGAGAAAAAAAAGTCTAACTGCCGTTATACCTATACATACCAGGAAGGAAGCGAGGGCAACCCTCTCTTCCTCTTCATCCTTTCTCTCTTCGTCATCCTATTCCTCTTCACTGCCAATGATGGGAGTATGTAATCTATCAACCTCACATTTTACCTCACAAAGCTCCGACCTGAACGCCCCAAAACCAGGCACAACCCCGGCGCACAGGATGCTGAAGCCGAGAACCGATCACGTGACTGACTAATCACACGATGTCACTCGAGAGCCGAGGTTGGTGGGGGCAGTCCACTGTTGCGCGAGCCCTTCCAGAATGCAAGAGACATCGCAAGCAGCAGTTGTCAATATCGATCTGCTCGGGCCCGACTCGGCCGGATCGATTAGCTGGGTATATGATGTCAGGATGCCTGCACTCGGTAATGACGGCATTGACACTTTGGGAGGGCGTCCGTGTATAAAGCGTCGATGGGTACGTTCCTCGTTTTCAAAAACTATCGATATCTGTGATACCAGTATTATTCAGGCCTTTCAGTTCATCGATTCTCCTTTGATACCTCCTTCAGGATGACACAATCACTCGGCAAGATCGATGTCCACCACCACTTCGTTCCCCAGGCGTATGCAGATGGTATACACCGCCATAATCTCATCACCTTCTCAGCGATGGCTAACTCATTTAATAGCCCTTGAAGCATGCGGTGGTGATCCCTCTGGCTGGAAACTCCCCTCCTGGTCTCTCGATGCCACCAAAGAGCTTATGACCGCCCAGCACACCACCACCGCCATCCTCTCCCTCACCGCCCCAGGCACCTGCATCGTCCCCGACGCCCGCGCCTCTGCCGCCCTCGCCCGCACCTGCAACCTCCATGCGGCCTCCATCCGCGACAGCGCCCCCAGCACATTCGGCTTCTTCGCCTCGCTCCCCTCCCTCCTCAACACCGCAGACGCCCTCGCCGAGATCACCTACTCGCTCGACACCCTGCACGCCGACGGCATCACACTCTTCACCCGCTACGGCCCGGGCAACACCTACCTCGGCCACCCCTCCCTCGCCCCCATCTGGGCAGAACTCGACCGCCGCAGTGCCGTAGTCTTCGTCCACCCCACCCACGCCGTCGACACCACCCTCGTCTCCCCACTCATGCCCCAGCCCGTCATCGACTACCCGCACGAGACCACCCGCACCGCAATGGACCTCCTCCTCTCGGGCACAATCCGGCGCCACCAAAACGTCAAGATCATCCTCTCCCACGCCGGCGGCACCCTCCCCTACCTCGCCGCGCGGCCCGGCAGCTTCCTCCCGTTCCCCGGGGTGGAGCTCACCCGTGAGGAGTTCATGCAGGATGCGCGGTCCTTCTATTTTGACCTTGCGCTGAGCTCTGGCGAGGTGACGCTGGGAGTGCTGGAGCGGTTTGCGGCGCCGGGGAGGGTGCTGTGGGGTAGTGATTTCCCCTATGCGCCGAGGAAGGGCGTGGATTGGTTCTTGAAGGAGTTTGAGGGGTATAGGTTTCGGGACGAGGGGATGAGGAGGAGTGTGGAGAGGGGCGCGGCGGAGACGTTGTTTCCGAGGTTGATCAAGGCGGAGAGGAGTTTGTTGTAGCGCGCGGAGGGAGCTATGAGTAGGGGGTTAGAATGTAGATAGTGGGGGGTTTGGAAACTGTTGTATAGCTAGCTAGATGGAATTTGATCCTTTAATTAATCAGCCAAGTCTTCAGTTAAATGAAGCTGTGAATAAACAAACCCGGAACTAGCCGTGGTATGCGTGAGTAATTCCCGCCCACGCTAGGCTTCTCACAGAGCCGCAGGGTTAGGGTTGACCCGCCATAGAGAGCCGACCGCAACACTAACAACACCAACCTGGGCTCGGTGCAGCAGCATGTCTTCTCACTCGACTCGGTGGGAGATATGTTTACCCTCGCAATAAGAGCCAGCCACCAGCGCGCGATGCCATTTCCCCTGTACATATCTTAAAAAGCTTAGCACCCAACCGTACCGAACCACCCCGCAGTCTCCCTCTACCAGTGACAAAAAAAAAAAGACCTCAACCTCTCCTCTCCGGACCCTTAGAGCTCATAGACGGCGCTTTCAGTGTGTATATAAAAAAATACTAAAAATGAAGTGTCTCTCTGGCGGGGAATTGAACCCGGTCACTCGCGAGTTGTATGACAAGCGAGTATACTAACCACTATACTACCAAAGATTGCTTGAAACCTAAGGACATGGTATTCTGATGTGAAAATTTAAGGGTTAGGGTTGAATGTGGTATCGTGACAACCACGCTAGCATTTCGAACCCTGGTAAGGCAGCATATCGCGACCTGAGAGTTTCGGCTCAGGTATGTCTACACGGGACGACATCGGCCAAGCGCCTCTACTTCACGATCGCCAACCTGATTCCTTCCGTTGGCGCAGACGGGCCGAAGTATATACGGAGTCGTGGCCTCCAAGAGGTCATAGTCCATCACTCGGGTTTCTATCGTATCGTGGTAGTGGAAACAAAGCGTGAGCGATCAAGGAACTGCATTTAGCTATAGGGGCGCCAGACTTTTCTGACTATGGGTAGGTGTGTAAACTTCGGCGTTTGCAGCCAATCAATCTATAGAAATTGGGAAATCTACTCCCATAATGGTACTAGCGCCTAGCCCAACGATGGAATTTTCTCTAATTCCCATACAAAAAAAGTTCCTCTGAAGTTGACACACCCACCCCCTATGCCTTCTCGCGCCATAGTAATCTCATCAAGTAAATGCGATACACACGTCTAAAATATGCCCCAACAATTACAAGACCAGATATACCTATATATATTACGTTCCGAACCCAAAACACATTGCCGAAAATATACCTACAACCCATGCGCCCAGCCCAGCCCAGCCCAGCCCACTCCATAATCAAAACCCCAAACGAGCCCCAACCCAAAACCAACACCGCACCCACCGCACCCCCCAGGCTAATGCGGCCAGTAATCGATCCACGCCGGCGTCAAATACGACCCCCCCGGCAAGTCCCTGAGGCTCAAAAAGCTCTCCACCGTCAAATAGCCAATACACAAAAAGTAGCCCGCCGCCAGCAGCCACGAGAGATCAAACAGGATGCGCTCCACCACATACTTCCACGTCGAGTTCGCCCTCTTCTCCAGCATGCTATAATCATCCAGGACGCCGGCGGAGGAGACATGGGACGGGAGGGTGTCCGCCGCACTCTCGTAGCCCAGGGCTTCATGCGAGTCCTGCATCTTTCCGCCGCAGATCTGCTCGCGCTCCCATGTGAGGCGTGTCCAGAGGTGGCCCTCGAGGCTCCGGCGCTTGCCGTAGAAGCGTAGCTCCCAGATCGCGCAGATGAAGCGGTTCTCGTAGTAGCTGGTGCCGAGGATGATGGCGTAGAGTAGAGCCCCGCCACAGACGGCCAGGGCAGAGATGATCCAGAGATACCATTCGAGGGTGGTGGGGAAGTAGTTGTTCCATGCAAAGAGGTGGCAGGCGCCGTTGAAGATAATGAGGAGCCCCATCACAACCATGTTCTTTCCGGGGCCGCTGCCGTTGCAGAGGAGGTCGTAGAGGGCGCGGCAGAGTGTGCGGAGGAAGCCGCATCGCGTGCGCTCGGTGACGACTGTGTATTTGGAGAACTTGCTGCTCTCGGCCTCGGGCGACGGCCATTCGTGTTGTGGGTATCTGTCGACGGTGATCTTGATGGGCTGGTCGACGTCGAGTGGTTTGTACCACCAGAAGATGGATGAGACGACTGCGCAGGCGACTTGGATGGCGACATGGAGCTCGATCAGTGTGAGCGGTAGGCAGGAGACCTTGCGCGCGATACACTGCACGACGAACCAGGTGGTCTGGACAAACACGAGCATCTTGGCAAGATTACTGGCTTTGCCTTTATCAATGATGTTCCTCTTGTCGAATGCGTCTTGGGCGATCTGCCCAGATTCGACAAATTGCTTGAACCCCCGGGCTGTCAAGGTGGACGTGTAATAAGTGCGGCCACCACCACCTCCTCCCATTCCTCCCAAACACTCATCTTCATCCGTCTCGAATTCCCAGACGGTAAACCCCCCCATCAGCACAAAGAACGCTCCCTGCATCCCCATCCGATCCTGTTTGCTGCCCGGCTTGATACCAAACTTCTTGCACCAGCTCCTGTGGATCTTCCCCGCCTTGCGCCACTCGGAGTAGGAGCACATCATGATAATCTCCGGCACAAACGCCGCCAAAAACATCAATATCAGCTTATACACCCTCCGAGTCGTTGACGTCGAGCCCAGCGGAAGGATATTCGGATGTACGGTGGTCCACACACAAATGCCGAACGTAATCACACAACTCCACACCAGGCCTACCGTGCCACGGCCTTGTGGCTCGGGGTAGAATGCGCCATGGCTTGTCAAGGGGCCGGGGGCCAGCGAGGGATCGAACGCGCAGGTGCTGAATAGGTTCCAATTGACCATGTCGTCGGTATCGTTCCGCCGCTGTGGTGGAACCTCGATCGCCTGGTTGTATGGATACCGAAGTTTATTGTTTGGGGTGGTAGCGTTTGCCCGGGGCTGGCAGGTTTAACGTCAGCGCCTTAAATTCTTGGGATCATGGGGGGCCTCTTATAGACGCACCTACATGTATCCTCCGTTGAGTTTAATCGTTCGCGGTAAAGAAACCGCGCGCGCAATAACTATTCGAGCATTATTAGACGATATTTCTGACATCCCTTAGAAAGATAACCTACCACTCAAAAAAAGAAGAAAGCCAAACACAGCGAAGCAAGCACAAAAAGGAGTGTACGCAAACGATAAACAACAAGCGTTCTACCCGCGAAAAATAAGGTTAGCAGATCGATCTTCCAGGGCGGGCCACAATATAATATATTCCCGGGTCAACACACCAGCAACACTAGCGACGATAGCCTTAATGTCAATCCCTTTCCCACCAGGGGGGAGAGATGGGAGGGGGCATCTCTTATGTACGTCCTCGTACAAACTGGGAAGACAAGGCTGTGTGTAACGTAGTATCCGTGGGTTTTGCTGTTGGTAATACACATACATATGTACCAGCCTGGTCCATAGTGTGTCACGAAGGGAATTGCCTACTCCAAAAAGGAGTTGAAAAAAGCCATGGTTGAAGACATGCACCTGGGTTTGAACAGTCGCTGTCTGAATCGAGGAAGCGGGTCGTGTATCTGTCGGCCTTATCCCTTATCCCGGGCTTGGGGACATGAGGTTCTAGGTACGGCCCATTTTCTCGGGACTCCTGTGTGCCGTATTTAGCGAGAAGGCGCATTCCAGGATCCTAGGATGCCCTGCACCAAGCAGAAGAAAGGGTCTTCTTAACGCGTGAGTAACATCTGGTAAAACAAAAAGAGGGGGAAAGAGCATTCTACCAATCAGAAAACGCGGGCTGAGGACAAAAGTGCACATTTGTAGACGCCACCAACACTGTCTAAGAGCATGCAGGTTACATAAAGGAACACCAAACATAGATGAGGCTGAAAAGGCATGCAGTGGAAATCCACCCTGAATGGAAAAAAGAATTGGTTTCGGGGATGATCAATTCGAATGAGAACTGTTCCCCACTTTACCCCACGCAGTGCTAGTTGCCTACTGCAGTTGCCTAGAGGCGAGTGACGAGTGGTGAGATACACGTGACACGGGACTAACTATACCTCATCTGGAAGCAGTCCTTTCCCCTTTTGCAATTTGAACCATCAGTGACATGAAGAAGTGCACATCGTCGCATCGCAGGCAGCGGTATTCAAAATTCGAGAAGAGAGTTTGCCCCGGCAGGACCCGCATCGTCTGGCTGACATTGGGTTAAATGTTCGGCTCATATATAAATATTAAATACCATCCTAAGCACGTTGTTTCTAGGAGCACACTGTTTCTAGGAGCACACGGGGGGAATGGCTACAGGGATAGATGGAGAGAAAGTATCTGTCTCACAAAATGCGATATGACTGTCAGAATCTTAGTGTACGCCAACAAGGCATTCCCGGGTCTCGTAACAAGCGACAGTACTAGCGCTGGTTGCGCATATGCATCTCATGAATGCTCGTTTTCAGGATGCTACATTATGGTACAGTTGGGTGATCCAGTAGTTAAAATCAACTACATAGCTGATATTTCATATGGTGCTGAGTCCAAGTCTAAGTAGCCAGATACTTTATATCCTGCATACTTATAAAGTATTAGGAGAGAAAGATTTGTCTATGGTTTCTGTAGCATGCCATAGTGTCATTATCCTGCGTTTTTTTATTCAGATTGATATTGTAAGAAACCTTGACTAGTATGTAGTCTTTGGTAGTATAGTGGTTAGTATACTCGCTTGTCAACCAACTCGCGAGTGACCGGGGTTCAATTCCCCGCCAGAGAGTTCTTCACAACCTTTTTTTTTTCCCGGGTCAGAAACCGGGTTTGGACTTTTGACGATCTTGTTACATAAGCATACATACAACCCAATAGATCCTTGACTCCGACTCCAACTGCAACTGGATGTTTGAAGCTTTCAAGCGGATTATGGAGGTCAGTTTTCAATCTTACATATGGCCTCAACTAGAAAGCCCCTCTATGGATGTTTCTTTACCCTTAATTTAGCCAAAGTTCGCGGCCTCAGTACAGAATTATGTAACTGGAATTACTGAAATTATGACTAGCGCAGCGCCCATATAGGGTTATCTTCACAAGGTATAAACATTAAACACCAAAACCGAGATCTTACATTTCCAATCACGCTGTACTAAACTCACCGTTTCCAACCGCGCAGCTCTGCACTTCCCAGGTAACGTCTGGCCGAATGGTTCCTGATGTTGCATATCATGTTCCCCACAATACTCTACATACATGTACCTTCTTCACCTTTACAATTAATACACCCTTCTGCACCTGACACAACGCATCTCTCAGCACCTCCATCCTCACCAGCAACGCCTCTTCCGCTCTACCCAAAACCACCGCCCTAGCCTCCAGGCCCCCGAGGCCTCGACGCAGCTTCTCGTCACGCCGTGCCCAGGTTTCGAAATCACCGCTGGCGTTGAATTGGGTGTTGTTCAGAGTGATGCGGTAGGCGTACTCCTCTATTCCCCGCTGCGTGGAGAGGTAGGTGGTGATCCTACTGCTTGCGTCTATATGTGCCTGGAGTCGGTGGATGCAGTACCGCAGGTAGGCGTAGTAGGGGAGGTTGCGTATCCGTGCCATTGGGAAATGTTTGCTAATTATCGGAGGTGCGCAAGGGGTGGGGAGTTGTTTTATATATGCGGAGATTATACGTACTTGATAGCGGTGGAACCTAGCTTTAGAGGACGAGTTTCAAGGGAGAGGGCCTAGCACATGAAAGTGTACTGCGTAAGTGCTGGAGCTAGAAGTAGCTTTTTGAAATCATTTTGAAGATTAGGATGAACAGCACTCAAGTGCACATGTTTCTGGGTCATACGCAATCACTCGGTTCCGGTGATGCTTGGCGGAGAGATACTGTATTCAGTGCCGCTTGGACTTAAGAGCCCGCGAGGTTCTGAACAAGCTTGGTGCTACCAGTCGTATTGTCGATATGGAAACGAGCCCTAGTAGGCGCACGAAGTAGTTCATGTTTGGAGTGCAGAGAATAATAATGCAGACTTCTTAAAAAGGCTTTTATCGGTCTTTCTGAGAAGGTCGTAGAGTTTAACGTTTACCTCTAGATATCTCCTAACACATCTCCAATCCCCTAATATATAAAAGGTCATGACGAAAATAAATTTCGCAAATGGCGGGTGATGATTGGCCTACGACCCAATCCTACACACAGGATCCCTATATAGGACGTTAAGGGTGTACTGGAATATACCGGAAGAGGCCTTCAATGGAGTGGTTGTTCTGTTTTCTCTGCCCGGGAAAGTACTTCCAAAGGCAAAACGCCCCAGGCCGGAGTGGCAGGAAAAAGAGGAACGTAAAGCTTTATTTGATTCACCAAACTGGTTTGAATTGGTAGTATAGATATAAATTCAGGGAGAGTATTATATAATTATGAATTGATTCCGGTATACACGAGAGAACCTCTAGTCCAAACATAATATTTCCACTACATTTATCGGTACAAATTAGCTACCTCTGATGGATACGTAGAATTGGGACATGCTATAAGTATGTAATTATGTAACATCTTATCTAATGTAAATACTTACATGATACAGCTACCCTCCAAAATTCTTCATGATTCCAATTTCGGAGTCCATATGTAACAACCGGCGGGCCATCAAAAAACCCCCAAGAGAAGGCTTTCCCCATGATCACCAATGAATGGCGCTCGGAATCAATGAAGAATAAGATTAACGACCTACCTTTTTTTATATATAGAGTCACGAACTATATTATATTTTTCGTTGTTTTGAATTTCAACGTTCAACGTTATGGGTGCGCCACACTAGTACTGAGCACTCACGTTAAAACTAAATCACGAACACTTGATCATCCCCCGGCCCCCAAAACGTCCGGAGATTCATTTCTGGAATGCCTTAAGTATGAGCCTGAAATTTGTGTACGTACTCAGTGACCAAATATAAGAAAAAATACAATAATCGTAATAAACAAGACATGAACTTTGTGTATACGGAAACGAAAATGTTAAACAAGTAAATATATAACTACTCAAGATATCTTAACCTCCCAACACATCAGGGAATCAGTCCCCGGCCGCGATTTCGGTGGCGGGATTGGGGTCTCCACGTGCACAACCAAGAACCCCGATTTCCCGAGGGGAACTCCCATACACCTCTCCCTCACCTTCACTCTGGCCGCCAACACCCGCTCCATAATCGATCAGCAGCTGTATGATCACTTCCGTGTGTTCTTCATAACACTCGGGTATGGCAGCCGCCGCCAGTAGCGTATTTTTGTGCCACCCGGCATGGGCATTGACATCCGCCCCTCTCTCTAGCAAAGCTTTACGGTGCTTGATCTCCCAAGTCTCACTGCCAACCCCAGCGCATTCATCGGGTGTCCATCGTATTGGCCCTCAGCATTCACATCCGCTCCTCTATCTATAAGCAACAGCACCAATTCATCACTCCACATTCCCACCGCCTCGACCAAAAGATACGGATCATTCACATCTGCCCCTCTATCTAGCAACAGCTCCACGATTTCGTGATTGCCATCGAAGAAGAGTGTGGCCACCGAGAGAGCAGCCCCATATTTTCCACCCTGAGCATTCACATTCACCCCACTGCCTGACAATAGACGTACTACTTCTTTATGATTGGCTGCTATGGCCGCCCGTAGAGCATCCCCGTACTCCCCTCCCTGTGCATTTACGTCCGCGCCTCTATCCAGAAGGAATTGGCACACTTCCTTATTAGGTGCGTAGTAAATCGGTACTTCTCCATTAATGCCCAATTCATTAATGTGACATATTTTATCGTCCAACAGTCATCTAACGGCTTCGCATGAACCTTTCCTAACAGCACAATGGATTGCGTATTGGTCATCGGGATAGTACGATATATCGTGGTTCTTCTCAAGGTATATTGAAACAAGGGGGAGGTCAAAGATGAGTGCAAGAAGAACTGGGGAGAATTGTGTATGGGGGTCGCGTTCGAATATATAGTGGCAGTTGAATTCGGTGTTTCGGTTAAAAGTTTTAAGGGTGAAAAAGAGAGATGATTTAAAGAAGTTATGTATTGTTGTCATTAGTTCGTTGTTAATATAGGGCAAAGTACGGGTGTGCTGGTCCCAGTAGTTATAGGCATAACGGCAAAGGCCAGGATAAGCGCGACTCGGGTCTTTATGAACCCAACAAAACATGATAAATACCATGCATAGCTGCGAAATCTCGGCATTCGCAACGTCGGGTTTGATATTAAGGATAGATAACGTGGAGCAGTCGTCAATTGAATCGTTTAGGATGTACTCTTGCACAGAAAAGTGGACAAATCGTATCGTTTGGCGCCAAGAAATATAGGACCCGTACTCTAGATTTGTACTGTCAAGCATAACTAAATTACTACAAGCATCCAAGATAAGCTCCACTGGAGGGATTTTAGACGTCAACATCTTAACATCTTCTATGTTGGCTTCCATAGCAACCGCATCACGAAGCGCTTCCAGCGTGAGTGGTCTTTTGGCATAGGCTATCCACATAAGCACCCTCCTTACTAGCTCACGCCGTGGCTTCTTCTTCTTGCTGATAGACAAAATAATTCTCTTGTACGTCTCTGTCATATCCTCGGGCAAGCTTCCTATGTCTTGCCTGATACCATCATCAGATACCTGAGAGAATATATGTTGTAACTGGAAGTCTACCCAAAGGAACCTAGAGCGGCCAGTTAGCCTGATAATCAAACGAATTTTGGATCATACATACATTTCCCCTGCCCGTGCTACAAGTTGGTTGACTACCTCATCTTTAAGCGATGCATCCTCCGATCTCAAATTTTTTAATTGAGACGTGACATATGATTTGATATCTGCATCAACTTTCTTTGTCTCGATCTTTATGAGCGGGAAGTTTTCAAAACCACGTTTGATATCCGGTTCTTCCCGGCTAGTGATGAAAAGCTTGATATTCACACGTACAGAGCCAGATGAGGGCGCAACGATTGACCGGAAAATGTCAAAAAGGTCACTTTTTTGATCTTCCGTACATTCGTCGAGGGCGTCGAGAACCAAAAACACTTGTTTGAAAGAACTCGAGATTTGGATGAAAGAATTTTGTAACTCCGTGTTCCCCGGGTTGCTAGCATTATCGTAGAGTTGCTCTATATCCGCCGGAAATTCGCTCATCCTTCGTGCTAGCTGTTTAATAGCAGCCTTCATGTATTCTGTACTCTTCTGTGGTTCTTTGTAATTGCAATAGATGAATGATATGGCGTTATCACTCGATAATCTGTATTTTGCGGAGAGCTTTTCCACAACTAACGAGCTAAATCCGTGCAAGTCAGCTCCTCGTTTAATCGAAGTATCGGTAATGATCTTACGCTAACACAGTCTTTCCTGTGCCGGCTATATACATTGAAATTGGTTAGTAAGTGGAGATAATTGGAGGCTGCACTACTCAATCACTTCAATTCGGACTGGCCAGGGTTACTGACGGACACCATGACACCACAGAAGTCTTGATTCAGGCGAGCCTTCCCACTCCGCGAAACGCGGATCTTCAATAAGCCATTGGCCGGTGTTCTCGAAGCGCTTTTTGAAATGTCTTTGGTGTGTTTGCTCGTAATCAATTGATGACAACCATTCCAACGCCTTACGACGTTTCTCAACTTTGGCCCAACAGTCAACAAGGTTTTCCTTCGGATCGGAGCAAAATTCAATTAGAAATCAAAATATCGGTCTTGCCTTTATCTGCTTGGGCCTTTTTGTCGAGCGTTTCAAGCCTCCCAACTAAGTCTTCCGCTCCTGCCGACCTGACTACAATGAGTGTGCGTTCCAGGAATCTATCCTCTATCGGTTTGAATCTCGATTCAAAAGGCTCCCAGGTAACCCTTAGAAAGAGTGTGAACGATTATAGGTCTAGTTTAATAAATTAGCAATGTGGCAGCCTATAGGACGCTTTGCGAGTTTCAGGTACTAACATGAAGATCTCCCTTCCTTGTTCGTGAAAACCTTTTTGACAGCTACAAAAAACCCCAGTAAGTCACAATATGCTGCTGCTAATGCCTGATAAAGGTCAGCGCCGGCTTTTAAGTATAATACTAGGTGTATAAGCAGAGATCTTGCCTTTTGAACATCCACTGACTTCTGGAATACCTTCGAGCCGTATTTAGACAAATAATCCAGGTGTCCCCCAATTCGCTCTATCATCTTTGTAAGGCTTTCAAAGAACTCGATATAGCCCAATACAAGCTATCGGAAAATAATATTCATTATCTTCTATTTTACTCTTCTCTTTCTTTTTCTTTCGCAAAATTGGGCAACGTCTTCAAAGCTTACCAATAATACACAGCGAAGGCCGCCAACGACAAGAGAGAAAATCTCAGGATTATGTTGAATACAAATTGCGACAGAATCAACAAATTTGCAGACGCAGCGCAGTATCTTCTCAACGCGGGCGCTAAACAACTTGGACGGATCTGCTCGCTCTATTGGCTGTAATTCGTCCATAACATTCACAGCAGACCGAAAAGCATCTTTATCGTGATCAGATAATCCAGCGGCGCACGCTTCGATTGTAGCTCTGAGTGTAGGATCAGTATCGAGGCTGACGTTATTCGGTATTCCCG